AACAGGTTCAGAACGTGTTCCCGACTCTTCTCAGATCGACGCTAAAGAGGCAGGTGACCAAGATGACCTTCATAATCCTTTATTGTTTCTCGCTGAATGTGCGAGGAAAGGTTGGGATTCGACCTCGCCCTGGGAAAGTCCACTGGTCATGCCCGCGCCTGTGGGAAAGCTGCCCACTGAGGATGCGAAGAATCTTGAGGGATGGCGCTTGCGGCATTTCGAGAAGGTGGTAGAGGACCAGAGGAGCTACTTCCAACACGGACTTCATGGAAGTAAGAGGGATGTGGGGGAGGGCCTGGATCCGGTCAGCTGGAGGATCATTGTTGATAAGCAAGTGGAACCATTGTTCGATGCGTGGGTTCTCTCTCATGTTCGAGACAGAGGTGTTGCTAACTGTAAGTAGATACTTCCTCTACTGTCATAAGCAATGGCCGATGCTCGATCGCAACCTTCACACGCCGGAGTTTGTGCGCAATCGCTCAGTATTCCTCTTCACTGTCATCCTCGCCCTGGGCGCCACCTCCCTTGCAACCCTACCCAAATCATCGACCAGAGAACGTAATATAGCGACAAAGTTGTTTGCGCATGTCGAAAAGCTACAACTCGTTATTTGTGCTACGGCAGCCAAGTCCATTGAGATTGTTCAAGCTGAGCTTGTGGGTAGTCGTACGTAATGGAGCCAACGAGCTGACCACTGAGTAGCTCTCTCAGATGTGGGCACTCCGCACACCGAGGCTGGTAGATGATCAGCGAGCTATGCGGCTCGGTATGGCATTTCGAATGGCAGGACAGATCGGCCTTCAACACCCCTTTAGACACAGCGGCGCTGTTCCACTGGACGCATTTGCAAAGAATGATTTGATGTTGAGGGTATCATTGATCTTGACGGAAAGCAGGTTCGTTTGTCAAAGGCCATAGTTGTCATCGATGCTGATGCTGATGGTTATGGTAAGGTGGGAGTCTATAGCGGATCGGAAAGAAGTAATAAATGTCGGGTTCGACCTCACAGACAGCGAGAGGAGCATACTTCATCGAGTCCATCCACTTGACCCAGAGGCTATCATCGCATCTGACTATGCGCTTTACGGATTCGAGGTCTGTTCAACTTCCTCTTCCATGTCTAGATCTGATGATCCCCGCAGGTTGAGTCCAAAGTCCGCATAACCTCTAATACATCCGATCCATTCCTCCTGGACACCTCCCTTGACGCTGAACTCTCCTTCATTCACACATACCTTGCCTCCTGGGAATCCCACTGGGTCGAGCCCCAGACGGACCCTCTCAGAAGATGGTCAATCCAGTATGCCGCTCTCCGCTCTCTCCTGGTCGGGCTATTGCGTATTGCCAAAGCCCGCGGGAATCGTCTAGGTCCTTGGACTTCAAGCTTCCGGAAAGATCTATACGGGGTCTCCACCAGAATCCTGGAGGGCGTTCTGAGCCATGAGCGTGCGTTACATATGCTACGTCCAACTTCGGTTCTGGTGTTCGTTTCGACTATTGTCATTCAGCTCACCGACCGAGAGGCGCGGGAGAGGGATCTAATTCTCCGAGTGGGGTTGAGGCTGGCAGGGGAGGCGGGGAGGGAGGAGATGAAAACGTTCGCGACGCACAACGGTTTTCAGATTCTGAACATGCTTTGGTGAGTATTGTATTCGAACATGATTAGGTAGCTCATCGGGTATAGCTTGAGTCGAGAGGAGGCGGGTCAAAGACGGGCAGCCCGTATCTTGTCATTTTCGAGCAGAGTAGATGGAGAAAGGCAAGACGCGAATCAGCCAAAACACAGCCACGACGCGCACCAAGTGTCCACATCGCCAGCTGGAAGCCATCAATTCTCATCTTCGCTCAGCTCCACTTCTTTCTCACCTCTCGATTCCTCCCGATCTCGGCAAAACTTTGATCAACAGCCGTCAGATTATTACCTCCCGCTGCCGGTGACTAGTCAAGATCTATACAATGTTGAGCCTCGGTCGCCAAATCAAAAACCTGGACATATGAACGCGGGGAATAGTGGCTTGGATCAGCTGCTGGCGTTCTCCCTGAACGACGTCGATTTTCCTTACATCTCCGACAATGCTATGGCGGCTGCTTCGGCAGCACTCCACAACGGAGAAACCTTGGGTCAGAGAGGCTTCAGCCACAGCGCAAATGTCTCTGATCCTGTGTCTTTTACCAATGGGGTTTCGGGCCGAGGTAATGAGTCCCAAATTGATGGAGGAGAACCAACCTGGAGCGATCTATTAGCAGCGATTGTCACTGGTCGAGATGGAGGGGAAGGAGGCATGTCGGACATGTCAGGACTCTACTGTTCAGGGGACAGAGGGATCCCTACCTCAGAAGGAGTCGGAGGAATGAACTGGGCAGCGTATCATGAGCCTGTCGGTCAGGGGACAAATACTGCATCTGGCCCAGAAGGAGACAGGATGACCACCGAGTTGTATTTTCAGCTCGCTTCCGCTTTGGGAAGTTGAAATGAGAATTATGTTTTTGCTGCTTTGTATGTCCCTGATGCATATGTTGTACACATGAGGACGCTCGAGCCAAACACAGTTGGAACGATGATAGTGAAGAGTGGCGGTGTCACGTGATCTCGAAAAGTTCCTCCACCTTTGCTCTTTCACTTTGGCGCCAATTTGGCGCACCAAAACAAATCATACGGCTCGTACAACTTGCTTCCCCGAAACTCAAACAAGATGCCCAAAGCCACAGCCAAGAAGAAGGAAAAGAAGGCCGACTTTGTTGTACGTCTTGTCCCGCGCAAAATCTAAGCAAGACTGACAAGAACGTCGTAGAAAGTCAAATTGAAGCTAGGCAAGGGCAAGAAGAGTGCTTCAAATGCGACCGACACTTCTTTCAAAGCCAGGTGTAAGCGCATTAAGCTCTGATTGGATGGAATTTACTAAGACTTGTGCAGCTATAGCTCTTCCAGGACAGGAAGCCCTCAACAGAGCTCTTCTCGTCTCAGAAGGAAACGGTCCCTCAGAACCCACCACTGCCAATGGTCTCACTCTTGAAGATCTCCTGAACCGATTACGGCACCCCAACTCTGGAGTCAGGAAAGAGACGCTAGGAGGCATCAAGGAGATTCTGCAGCAGGGCATAGGCAAGGAGATTGGCAAGGTCTTGAGGGCTCTCGGCGGTTTGGTTGCTGATGATGATGCGGGGGTCAGAAAGGGGTTATTGGGACTACTGGGGTGGTATCTGGCGCACCTTCCAATGGTAAGCTATGGTCTTTGTCATCAAAGTCAGAGCTAACAGCAAGATAGTCTGCTCTTTCGCCGCATCTGCCCTTGCTCGTCCTCCAAACGTCCTCCGCCCTCTCGCATATCTTCCCGGAAATCCGACTTGATGCCTGTAAATTGGTGCATCTTCTTCTCCAACACGTTCCCGCCCACGTTCTCTCTCAATGGCCCTACGAATCATCCAATATTCTTGAAGGCTTGCGTCTCGCCGTCGGCCTCGGCGGTGAGAAGGGCGTCAACTCTTCGATAGGAAGATTGACGGGTGGAGCAAAGCTAGTGACGATGAAGGCCATGAGAGAGTTCGTCAGGGTTGGATTGGATAGCGGAGAGGAAAGAAAATGGGGAGCTGGGTGGGTAAGGGAAGGTGGTAAGAGAGAAGGGAAGAGAAAGGAGGTCAGGAAGGAGCCGATGTTGGAGGATCTAGCATTAGAAAGCTGGCTCGTCGGGGCGCAGGGGCTGAAGGACATTTGTGACGGCGGGAACGTATGGGAGGTCGGCAGACTTGGGTCCCACGGCGGACAGGGCAACGAAGCGGGTGTCGTGAGCGTCCTTTCGCAGCTCTATATCCAACTTCACCCTCTTCTTCTCTCCACATTCCTTGAAAACGCCCCCACTGCTTTCTCCCCATCCGCCCCCACCGTTCCCACCGCTTCGGAGGACATCCCTCTACAACTCTGCGTCGCTACCGCCTCTCTCACTGAGCTTCTCGCCAACGCCATCCTCACCCGTGCCCCCGCCGAGTCTAATTTACCCGAATTGAAAGAGGTCAAGACTTGCATATTCGACTTTCAAAGGCGGATGACGGCGTGGTTCCCGTTCGCTTCTAGGACAGCTCCCACACCGAGCGGCGTGACACCAGGATTCGAGTTGTCTTTGGCCTACGCCGACCTCGCTTTGCTCCTTGCTCCTCGACCGGTTGAGCTGGTCTACCCCACGCAGGTGGAGAGCCGGGCAAAAGAGTTGGGATGGCGAGAGCGAGTCAAGGCTACCGAGGAGGCGTGGAAAAAGATGCAGACGGCTGAGAAAGGTGCAAAGGGGAAAGGCAAGGCCGGACAAAGTCAGTGGGCTATGGAAGAGGTGGCTGAATGGGTGGTGGACGTGTTGGCTCCCTCGCAGGACGCCCTTGTCCCTTCTCTCACACCGGAAGCGTACAAGGCCCTTCTTCCCATCGTCTGGGATTTGCTCGTCCAGCCGCCAGCCTCCACTTCAGAGCAGGCCGACACCCCCTCTCTTGTCGGCACTTCGCTTCTCAACCACCTCCTCCGCCAATCCTCTACTTCTCTCATCCGGGAGTTGGGCGATCAGTTTTTGATCTCTCTCATTGAGGTGCACGAGCAAAAGTACATGACACTGCCTTTCTACCTCCCTCCTTCTTCGTCTATACGGCCGCTGATCCAAGGGTGGTTCGACTCCATCCCCCGTACACTCTTTGAACTGGGCCCCAAAGCCCCTTCAACCACCCAGCACCTTCTCCGGTTCCTCCTCTCGGCAGCCCTCCAAGCCCCCGCAGCCTATCCCCAACCATACTCCCTACTTGACTTTTCCGGTTTCTCCCAATTTACCCAGAAATTAGCAGCATTCTTCTGGGTGAAGCATTCCAAGAGGGGTGATATACCGGGGGCGTGGGTCAAGCTGGAGGACAAGGAGGTGAAGCGGCTGGGCTTGGATGTGGCCAAGGCTTGGGCTGGGTGGGATCAGGGTGGCAAGTTGGCTGAGGCTGTTAGGAAAGCGTGTGAGGGGAGTGAAGGAGAGTGGGGACAGTACTGGCGAAGATAGCATTCATATGGCCATGTATCATGAGTACTACATTGGCATGTCACCCTCTATACACATCATCTACACATCATCTATTCACAGATCCACCCTGATTAGGTGGACGCTTTCTCCTCCATAGCCTCTTCTCTCGTCACTTCACTGAACTCTTCTCCACTGCTACTAGATTCCTTTTCCACCACCACCAAGCTCCCTTCCTCAATCTCTTCCTTGAGCCACCTACCGATCGCATCCCAATAGCCTGGTTGGACACACGTGTCATTATGATCTCCCCTCTCAAAATCCTTCCACTGGCACTTCCCGCCGTCTCTTTCCCGCAGCTTTCTCAGATTGTGCATCTGTGGAAATTTGACGAGCGAGTCGATGGAGCCGACGAGGAAGAGAATGGGGGTCGAGGCAGGGATAAAGGGCAGCGTTTTGGAGGCGTCCCAGTGCTCTGTGAGGAGTATTGGGAGGAGGAATTTGGGGATCTGGGGGAGGATGAGGGGGATGAGGGTGGTAAAGGAGAAGAATGTGTTTTCGAGAATGAGGCCGGATACCTTTAAGAATTTGTCAGCAAGCGGATGAAGAAGGGGCGTATGACTCACAATGTCCTTGTTCTTACTACCGGCGTAGAGGCAGGCGGCGCCACCGAGAGATTGCCCGTACAGCTGATCAAGGGTCAGCTGTGATTGAACACGCCCACGAGGCTTACAATGATCTTGGTATCTCCTAGTATGGGGTGGGCCTCAACATACTTCATAGCAGCTTGGATGTCTAGCTTTAGGCCTGGTAACAAAGTTTCAGCAATAGGTCTTCTACCGCTCGAGACAGCTTACCATGCTCCGAGGGTGTTCCTTCCGACAACCCATACCTATATGATGATCAGCACGAGTGAATGAAATCAAGCGAAAATCTCACCCTCGATAACTGAGCATAAAGACATTGCACCTGTGGTCTACATTGAAGTTTCTCGCCAGCAACACTCGATGCCCCATATTGCCCGCGTTGGCATGGAACATGACCACCGTCGGCCTCGATTTTGCATACTTGACTCGTCGTCAGCACCCACGCTTCGCTACCTGTTGATCGTCACTCACCGAAATGGACTTTTCATCACCCATCTCTGCCGCCCACTTGATCATCTCCTCTTCCGCCCTTGCCCGCCTATCCTCTTTTCTTAACGCTCGGATATCCGACATGGACAATGGGTGCCGGCGCGCAGGGATGACATAGGCTTTGATGTTGATGCCGTCAGAGGTAGTGAGTGTCACATCTTCGTAAGGACAGCCAACGTCTATAGGCTTAGGGACCACTTTGTGCAGCATGTCAATGTGGAAAGATATGATATATGAGATTTACTCACCTGTACGAGCGCCTTCCGGGAGGTTGGAAGGATATATAAGCTTGCGCTGAAAGTACCAGAGACCCCCCAAGGCTATTGTAACGCCGACAGCTGACGTGCCGAGAGCGTACTACGAGCCGGATGGTCAGCCCGAGGGTAGTGGCGCGGAGCAGGGCGGAAGAGCACCTTTGCTAGGGTTAGTGCTGTACTTGAGGACACCATTCTTGAGGAAACGCTTGTATCTGGCCTTTAGCTCAAGATCTCGGATGAGGCTTGACTTGGTCGAGAAAGGGAATTGTGGACAAAGGATTCGGACAAATGAAAGAGGTGCGTAGCGCAGATGACGTTCATGAAGGCGGCGAACCCCGCCTGTCAGCCAACGCGACGAGATCAACGCCGCCCTGGGCCTTCAGGCCACCACTTTGCAAAGGAGAATGAACAGAAGAGGCCGCAGCGATAAGGCAGCCGCTTGTAGTGAGAAGCTCCGTGAGTCAGCGAGTTTGCTTGTTGTATTCTGGTTCTGCTGCTGGCCGCTTACTCGAAAGGATACGAGGCGTACACCACTCCTGGATCTCCAAGTTACGACTATGTAGACTTGACGAATGCGTGGAGGATGCAAGAACTCCCAAGGACTGAGGCGTCCCCAAGTGCTACATCTCAAGGTCTTCTTTGACGACAACATCGGACTTCTTCCTCCTGCGGTACAAGAAGCGCCGCCAGCTACAGCTGCACTCCGTACGGGTGGGTATTATCTGAGCTTGCAAGAAGCGGCCCTTCGTGAGACTTCATGTAACGTAAAGCTGGTGCAGTCTCGCTGCTCGCTACGGTGCTGAACTTCACCGGCCAGGCCGGCCACCAACCTCTCTAGAGGGGGTGGGGATCGCCGAACGGGGAACTCAAGGATCATGAACCGGCGTTATTCGGTTTCCTCGTCTTGAACTTGGCTTTCATCTTCCCAGTTACTGGCTCACCTCACTCCTCACTCCAGTGCCCTCAAAATGCACTCCTCGATACGTTCAGTACTCAGTCACCTTCGCGCTTCGTCTCTCAAGTTAGGCAATGACTGAAATAAGCTCGCGTTGGGCGTCGGGGTTACTACTAGGCACCGGATCTCTGTGCCTGTCGATCATCCTTTCTGCTGCTTGTTTGAAGCAATTCGTTCTCTTCAGCAGCAGTCTGGCAGAATTGGCAGCCAGAAGGTTGGGACGGGCTTCTTCCGTGGCTGGTCGCATTCTCGGCCTTTGGCATCCTCCTCTTTGCAGGTTGGCGGTAGTCCGGGGCTACTCAGAGGCATGCAAGTGAGAGGGCGGTCTTTGCTTTCGAAGCTTTCGATTGGATTGACTTCAAGATGGTACGAGTACACCTTTGCACCGGATGAAAATATCACTCGGTCTCTGAATGAACACTGATATCACATCATGACTATCCCCTCCCCTCGAAGCATCATACCCCTCATTATCAGTGATTAAAGTGTAGATTAAAGCGGCGTTTGAGGTTCGGGTAGCTGCCCCCAACCTCCAAATCACGTTCTTTACGTGGGCCCATCGCTTGCAATGGGATTGTCTTCCATGCAGATCGGATCTCTTTCAAAGTCTGGAGATGTCAGCGGTAGCGAGGAAGCTACCATGTCACTCCCTGTCTGTGAGCTTATACCGGCCAATATTCACAGTGAGCACTTTGAAATAGCAATGACTAGATGCAGAAGCCAGAAGCTCCAGAAGAGGCGCAGTCTTCTGGCAAATGTCTCGATCGAGGACGAGAACGGACATCTTATTTGTGTCTCGAGTTCCAAGTCCCAAGCTCTCTCGTTTCTCGTTCTCTCGCCATGGTGCGATATCTACATCATGCATGTTTGCCTATCGATCAACATGACATAAGGATGCGAAAGCTTTTAGCGTTCTAAGCGCTCCCCACCGATAATCATCGACCTCATCGGCAATGATCAAGCAACAGCCCTTGAAGTCAGATGAGATAAGCACCTGCTCGGCCCTCGGGGGGCTTGCCGATGTTCCAACGGTATCTAAATTCTGCTTGGGCAGACCGCCTCACCACTCGCTCTGTAGTGATGCTCTGCATCAGGCATCCCGGTGACATCGTATACAAGATACCGCATTGGACGACATGCTGATGGTCGCCTGGATCGGAGCATTTGCTGTCGGGCCCTTTGTTGAGCGTCCCTGAGCCAGGCACGCAGTTGAACGACTCTTTTGCATCTCGCGCCGTAATTCGCCTCCCGCAACGGAACAGGGCCGATGCTGGCTGCTGAGGCTGCTGGAATCACAGACAGATGTATAAAGTGCATAAAGTGCCTCCCGCCCCCTCCCATCCACCTCCCCATCCACCTCCCCATCCACCTCGCCATCCCCTCCAGGTCCCCCAGTGCGCGCCATGCCCTCAGAGTAAGCAGACACCCATTCTCCAGCAGGCTACCCACTTACTCTTCCCAGATCCGCCCTTTCCCAGGCAGCCGTCCGCCACCTCCTGCCCGAACCCACACTCTCCACCTCTTCCCCGTTCCATCCGGCCTACACCATGTCTCGCGCATCCACGTCGTCCCAGCCTCGAAGTCTACGCCAGATCCAAGAAGCAGCCGGCAGCCGGCGCGGTAGTGCAATGTCCATCGACCCATGGGGACCTCTTGAGGACGAGTGGGACGAGTCTCCTCATTTTCGTCATGGGTCGCCTGGGTGGTGTTTTCCCCCTCGCAGCTCTACGGCCTCGTCCGTTTCACAGCAGACATCAGCGTTGTCTTATGGAACGAGAATGCGATTGTCTGAAGATGTGGAACGGAGAAACTCGTTTGGCGGCGTAGAAGGGCGTAGAAGGAGCAGCAACAGGAGTTTAGTCGGCTTTGGATTTTCGACTTCCAGAAGAAGAAAGTCCAGTGGTCTGCACAACGTCTACGCGAGCCATCGACTTCGAAGCTCGGCAAGTTCTGGCGGGTACAGCCTTAAATCAGTGGACGAGGACCGTCTGCACCAGCTTCAGCGGCTTGGGCTTCTGCGGAGAAGGTACTCGGACGTCGTCGATACCAGAAGCGAGAGTGAGGACGAGATTGAAGAGCCCGATACCAGCAGAAGGAGCGACCTGAGGGAGATGCTCAGTCGGTGGTCGCTGAGCTCGTCAGACCATCACCACTACGAGGAAGACGAGGATGATGGAGAAGCCGAAATCTTGACGGCATCCTATGCCTCTACGCCTGCACACCCGTTCCCTTCCTTCCCCGAGCGTTCTTCTCTATCTCCAGACCCTGTTGAGAGTCCCTTCGTCGATGGTTTGGGCACCGTACCTATCTCTTCGTATCCACCACCCCATTCACCACCCTTCCCTGCACACCTCCCCGTCCCAGACACCTCCTCCTACACCTTCGGCGGTCCCTCATCTCGCCCATCGCTTCAACGTTCTCTTACAGACTACGCCTTTCCTCCCCGCAATACTGGTGCACCTCATCTCCCCGAACTTCCCTCACCTATCCGGAACGCTCTCAGCACTATCGCACCCGCCTCGCGCTACGCTGTCCATCTGCATGCAGAACGATTGACCGGATCCTTCCCTGTCGCCCGTACTGCCCCTATCGGCTCATCTCCCCTTCGCGAAACGGCCCGTCGGCAGTCTGTAATGTCGTCAGAGGAGGGCGGTCCTTCCCAAAGAGGCTCCTTGGCGGACGCCCCGCCTCTCTTCCCTCGACAGGAAGATCAGTGCGTCTGGCGTCCCAACGCCCCCCACTCCATTCCCCTCCCCATAAATCCTTATCGTTTCCCCACCACATCCTCCCTCGCTGTCCAAGCGCCTTCTCAATACCAGTTTCCCTCCCTCTCGCCCTCTGCCGCGTCATTCAACTCGGCAACGTCTTTCGAGTCCCTCATCACCCCAAGGGCTGCGCCCGTCACCATCTCGGGGGTGAGGGATGGTCCGACGACGGATGAACGGCTGGCGGCTGAAGCGGCAGGAGAAGCTGAGCTAGAGGGATATCCTTTCCATGCTTCCCCGATCGAGAGGACCAGTGCGCCTGCCTCCCCGTCTATCCTCCATGTGCGTGGCGAAGCGCCCCCACTCGCGGGAGGCATGAGACGTACCCTCTCAGTTACTTTTGCCGATAATATCCCTCTTGGCTTGAAGGGGCAGAAGAGGGGGTCGTGGTCTAGTGTCTCTGTATACTCTACAACATCGACATCAAGTCGACGCGGGTCATCGATGAACGAAGAGGCAACAGCGAATGTGGGGCAAAAGAGGTCTTCCTCTCCTTTGGCCAAGCTTTTCAAAATGGCGGGGAAAGGAAAGGAGAATGTTGAGAGAGTCCCGACGAGGAGGGGTTCAAGGAAGAGAAGTGGATCGGCCGACGCAATGTGGGAGGGCTTGGGTCTGGACTCTAGTAGGGGAAGAAGATGACGATAGGAAGCTTGTAATTAGTAGCGTACAGTTGTAATGGCACATGGATGCACCAGTAGCAGCCAATATACAAGCAAATGTCATTCACAGCTATCTACAAGTATCATCCTTAGATCATCAAGAGTTCGTTATTCACAAAATGCCCAAAAAACACGACCCGGTCACATTCTAACTCCCCTCGACCTTTCTGACCGCTCCAACTCTTCTTCACTGACTCCATTCCCCGTCCCCGCATACAACAGCTCCAACAGCCCCGACATCAAGCTATTCTGCCTACACAGCAACACCAGCTCCTTTCCCGTCTGCGACCGAAGCATCGCATCAGATGCCTCCCCCGGTCCTCCCCTTGTGGGTACTAACGGTCCCAGATCATACTCCTCCTTCAACGCATACTGCGTGTAAGCAGCGCTGATAGATGCTGTCCTGGTTCGGCCGCTTGGCTCGCCAGGGCTGACGGTATTTGTTGCAGTGGTAGGCCGGACGGTGGCCGCCGTGGCCGGCCTTGAGGCAAGAGGGGCGATGGAGGACGATGTGGGGCCTGAGGCAGATACTTTCCTTTCCTCGGCAGGAATGACAGCGTCTCGCAAGACCTGTAGTGACACCGCCTCGGCATTCCTTCTGATAGCCTGACGCACTCTTCCATCATGCCCAGAGACCTCTGCAGACTCGGCTTTTGACGCCCTAGTCTGTTTGATCTGTCTTTCAAGCAAGTTGCCCCATTTGTGGCGGGCTTCGGGGGTGTTGACACTGAAACAGTATTTGCGTTTGAGCCCGAGATGGCTGACAAAGGCGATTTGAAAAGTGTGCCGCATGAAGGCACGCTCGACAACAAAGTGGCGCGTATTACCAAGACCTGCGTAGAGGGCCCTGTATCCATGTCAGCTGAGGACCCCAAGAGTCAAGATTTACTCACGCATTACTACCGACTCGATCAAACAACAAGCTCTTCGACCCCAAGCTGGTACCTCTCACGCGGAATGATTCTTCCGAGCTCTCTGCAAAGTCTAGCACTGGCGGATCAAACTCCAACCCCTCGCCCAGCAACTTGATTCTAAACATTGGGTCTGCTGCAGGAAGGGAGACGTATATCCGCTCAGACCAGACACCATAGGTCAGTTTCGAAGGTAGTTGAGAAGGATTCATAACCACTGAACGCTCGAGTCGGTATTCGTGGGAAGCTAGCGCTTGGATGAGACGCATAGACCGTATAGAGCTATACACGTCCCACAGAACCTGGTCTGCCACAAGCCCCCTCGGGTCTTTGCTCCTGAAGGCACTGATGAATGTCTCCCGCGTGATCGCATGATTCGGCAGCGCGAACCCAAACGTCGAGTAGAGCGCATCATTGAAGCTCATTATCGCCATGACAAGGTCGAAAGTCATTTCTCGCGTGTAGGGTACGCGCTCGCGATTGGCTTCATAGTACCCTTCTGCAAACATGTAGAGCAGATTTTCGCATGCGATGGGATCGGTCGGCAAGCGGATGGACAGCAAGAGCATGCGGAGAGCATCGTCAATTCTGACAGCATTGAAGTGGAATCTGTCGACGAATGCTCTGGCCAGCTTTGCATCTCCAGACAGGACCTTGCCGACCTGAGCTTTGTCCAATTCGGGCGTTTTGAAAATCAAACTCGCGAGCGTTGCAGAGTCCACTTTCGGCTGGCTCCTCTCAACGAGATACCGACAAGCCTCTTCAGGATCTTCGGCGAAACGTTTGATGAATCCATTGACTACCGGGTGCCTCTCGGGCTCGACTAATGAAGAGGGTTCATCTGTGATTCCAGAGATGGACAGCTTGTCGAGGGACACGATATGCTTGACGAGGAATTTCATGTCGAGAGTAGCGTGAATACCGTGGGTGATGAGTGGCTTGGCTACCACCAAAAGGTCGTTGAACAAGAACAAAAATCTGTCTTTGACAGTCTGCCGCAACATCAGTTTCAGAATTGGGCGTAGAATAGAGGACACATACGTTGGCATTGACGACTTGCAATATCTGGGCACACATCAAGAATTTGCGAGGTGGATCGTCCAAGATTTCTGGTCTTGCGGGATCATCCGGCCCCAAAGCAAGTACCTCGTCCATCTTCTTGAGTACCTCTACCGACTTTTCCGGCAATGCTCGTTCCTCTCCTGCATCCTGTACGACCCCACCGTTCATCCCGGCAAACCGTGTCGCCCTGCCTTCTTCGTTCGCTTCCGGTACCATTGAAATCGTGGGGCTTGCTGCTCTTGACCTGGTGGGTAGAGGAGGAGAGAGGGTAGCTCCTTGCCCCAATGTCGGAGTGGCGCCCATGGGAGGGCTGGCAAACGGGTCAACATCAGAGCCAATCACCATCGCACCTTGCCCCAGCGTATTGTTTTCCCGCTGCGCACGGAATTCGCTACTCATCTTTCGGCTGATGGAAGCTCGAGGAGAAGCGAGAGCTTTGGCGAGCCAGTTTTTCTTGTTGACGCTGTCCTCTGAAAGACGCTTCACTGGGCCGTGCTTTTCATCAATAGACGCGGTACGAGGTTCGAGAGGGAGAGCATATATGTCACGGGCTTCAGACGCCGAGTTTGTCAAAGGAACAACAGAATCTGAATACTGTTGCGTCAACTTGGGAGGCGCTTCCAGCCGTCCTTGACTTTCTCCGCCTGCGAGCGTATCGATCCCCGGGAAGGGCGACATCTTGGCCATGTGGATTCTTGGATCATTCAGGTTGGCTCTGGGTAACAGCGACACCTGCGACGGATCGGCCGAAAGTTGGTGCTGGATTAGGAGATTCGACGACGATGAATCTGCTTGTGACGGAGCCAGGGAAGAAATCGACGGATGGTGTTGGGCTACGGGCCGGGGTGGGAACTGGGTCTGCGCAATGCTGATTTGGGAAGGAGTGCCAGATGCACCTGAACCGCGGGAGCCTTGACTAGGAGAGACGGGCGGGCTTGAGCTGACGGAACTCTTGCTTCGACTACGCTTCTGCAAAGCAGACTGCACAGAACGCTTCATCCTCGCGCTGACACTCCCTGACCTAGAATGAGAGGGATTCTCTGCAACTTGGGCCGTTGCAGGGAGTTCTTCCCACGACATGCGGCTCTCGAGGATAGAAGAGTCGCGAAACGAAGGTGAGAGGTGGCCATTGCTGGTGGAATTTGGATCAGGCGAGCTCAACAATGAAGGAGAGTTGATGAATTGAGGTTCTGCTCTGGTCAGTAGAGCTCGGGTCACTGCGATGATAAGACCCACGATTTATATCTCTACTTGGAGTTCCCCATTCACTACCCCCTTCTCCGATATCTGACGGCCAATTTCCTTCGGTCACCCCTGCCTGATTAACGTGTTGCCCCGTCGGAGTCCCATTCATCACAAACATCATAGAATCCAACCCCGACGTTGTTGTCGAATCTCCAGGAGTGGATGTAGTCGGCGTCCCTTCGTCTGCGACGGTCTCGTGATTCGTGTAACGAGTTGGCGTGGCGAATGACGGTTGGGGAGGCAGAAGGGGAGACTCGTCAAGGTAGACTTCTGTAGCCGCCGTATCACCGGGCCGTACAGATGTCGGGGTATTCAGATGCTCTTCTTCAGGCTCTAGTCCCTGAGAATCCATGACGATGGTGGGAACAGGCTCTGGAGCAGTGCCCAGCGCCCCTCGAGCTGTACGACTGGATAGACTTCTTCGCAGATGATCTTCATACTCAAATTGAGCGGATCGAAAAGTACCGCCAGATATAGGCCGGTCATTGTCGATAGTTGGAGCAGCAAGCATGTCGTTGGAAGCAGCAGGGAGCGGCTTACCTAGCCGAGCAGGAGAAGACTGGGCAACACTGTCTTGGGAGTCCTTGATGGGACCACTGTCCGGGAGATCCGCAGCGGCAGCTCGTCTTTCTTCCCATAATCTTCTGACCTCTGCTTCTTCATTCTTGCTCGCTTCACGCCTTTCAGCCAAGCGCTCTACCATCCTCCTTCCGACAGCACTGCGGCGCTCCTCTCCCATATTCGAAGACGACACAGTGAAGCTTCTTTGTAGCCGGGGCCGAGGCTTTTCGAGATCGATGCTGGGCTGTTCCATCTTGACTCCTGGCTCTTCCACGTTGCCTCTTCTGGCCAGTATACCAAGCCCCCGAGGAGCTCCCAGGGTGCCCGCTCTTTGTAGCCCATTCCTCGAAGGTGAAGGGTGAAGCGTGATGTCCTCGTCTGACACTGCAATGTTTTGCCCGCCAGTCAACTTGTTCATCGCATGCGCTCGTGCAGCTTGCGAATTCGACCTTTGCAGTGTCCGCAACTCGCCAAGGGTGGGCAATGGACTTGGGGTACTACGCGGGGGGTGAAATCGAGAAACGCTGGTCGGTGTGAGCGAAGGAAGGTATGACTGGGCCAGCTGCATGGCATGCCAGTCTGGGGTCTGGTTGCCTATGGGAGACATGGAGTTATCGTAGGGTCTGCTGTAATAGTCTGCTGCCGAGGCCGAGCGTTGCACATTGGTTGGATCGATTGGTGACGGGTACATTGCGCTATGGTCAAACGCAGTGTGCACTGGCGACGGCGAGAGCATCTCTTGCTCATCCCCATTTTCAGCACCGAGCCCCTTTTGTTTGGCGGGCGTTGCGATCTCGAGCACTGGTCGTGAGCCTCCGACGGGCGATTCGATGGGCTCTTCGACCTCGTCTCGTGCGGCCCGTGCATCTGGCCGCCTACCGTTTGGCTGCCTGGGCAGCGATGCTGCTCGTTTGAGCTTTGCTATCGCCTGAGACCGGACTTGAGCCGAATCAGAGGGACTGTTTTCTTGCCTTGAAGCACGGGACGAGGGGCGGGAAGCGTAGTAGTATTTCTTGGTCGGCGACTTCGGAGAGGTGGACATGTCGGTGTTCGTGGGGGGTTGGGGGATTTGCTCGTGCTGGGAGGTATCAGAGCATGCTCAGATGGATCCCTGGGACTCTCGAGGAAGGCGGGGCAGAGAAGGAGATGTATTGATGAAAGAAGAGAACTAATAATAATTCGAGGGAATACAAATCTCAGCTCGGAATTTCTAATCAACACTAATACTTATCGTCTTCTTGACTTTCTTGACTTGGATGATCTTCAAACGATTTCTCTAATTCCATCTATCACCTCGTTCATCCTCCTGTCGTCGCCATCCACCCCCTCTATTCACCCCCTCATCTCAACGCCGCCCCGCCATGATCACTCTCACACCCCTGTCGGCCTCGGCAAACGAGTCTTCATCGTCAGAGCCCATCTCTTACCTCCTGCAACTGGATGATGCCCGCATCCTACTGGATTTGGGGCAGAGAGACTACCGAGCAAGCGCCCAGCAAACTTCTTGGGAGTACGAGGAGAAAGTACGAGAGTGAGTAATGAACTTTCTACGACTGGGACATCTGCTCAGTGTGATTCAGACTCGCCCCTACGCTGTCTCTTGTCCTACTATCGCACTCTCCAGCAAACTACTTGTCACTGTATCCTTATGCGCGGGCAAGATGGGGCCTCACATGTCCGGTATATGCGACCCAGCCAACCGTAGAGATGGGACGAGTGGTGTGTCTTGCCGAAGCAGAAAGCTGGCGGTCCGAATGTCCAGTGGAAGCTGCCGAGGCCATCACAGAATCATCAAGTGAAGGAGAAGAAGTGTCAAGAAAGCCATTGAAAGGCCCGCTTGTGGCCACGTCAGAAGAGATCCACGAAGCTTTTGACTGGATCAAGTCGGTACGATACAACCAACCGCTACACCTGGGCGGAGACTGTTCACATCTGCTCTTGACGCCCTTCCCATCGGGACACACTCTTGGTGGGAGTCTGTTCAAGATCCGATCTCCTACATCTGGTACCATTCTCTATGCTGTCGGTATCAATCACACTAGTGAAAGGCATCTGGACGGTATGGTCGGAGGTGAGTTTCTGTCGCTGCCCTGCAACCCTTTTCTGACTTTTTGTTTAGCTCAAAATGGACCCACTGGCTATGCCGACGGCGTCCAACGCCCAGATATCCTGATAGTAGAGTCAGGGCGATCCCTTATCACCAATCCCAAGCGAAAAGAACGCGAGGCGGCCCTCATCTCCCTCATCTCTTCCACCCTCGAATCCAACCATTCCCTCCTCCTCCCCGTCGATCCTTCCCCGAGACTACTCGAGCTTCTCGTACTTCTTGACCAACACTGGACGTTCAAGCGTACCCCTCGACAAGGGAACAAGCGATTCAGAGCCGAACCGGGAGGCGAGATGGCCATGTGGCCCTACCCTCTTTGCATCGTCAGCCGGACCGCGCAGGACATGATCACTTTCGCCCGGTCGCTAATCGAGTGGATGGGCGGCACTGTCAAAGATAGCGGTGACTCTGTGGTTGAGACGCGTCCCGGAAAAAAGGGTCGACCTACCCGTGTGCAGCTTGGTTCTGAATACGGGGCACTCGATTTCCGTCACTTGCAATTCTTCGCCTCTCCTGCCGACCTTTTAGCCGCCTTTCCTCTGTCCCAGCCGAAACTTGTGTTGGCGGTACCTCCCAATATGTCACACGGGCCTTCGAGGTTTTTGTTCACGGAGATGGCGAATGCCGAAGGGAACGTGGTTTTGTTGACGGGTAGAGGCGAAGAAGGGACGCTGGGTCGAGACTTGTTTGGAAAATGGGAAGAGAAACAGGGCGAGGGAGAGCAGTGGGGACAAGGCAAGATTGGAAAGCTCGCCACATTAAATGGAACACTGCAAGTTGAGGTGTGTTTTTCTTGTCTTTCCCCCCATCGATCAAGCTGACATCGTTTACAGATCGACTCTAAGGTCCCCCTTGAGGGTGCCGAACTGGAGGCCCACTTGGAATCAGCTCGGCTGACCAAAGAAAGAGCAGCCGCCCAACAAGCCGCTCTCGAACGCTCTGCCCGACGGATGCTCGAGGCCGATGATCTCGAATCTGACTCTGATGACGAATCTGATGACGGCGCGTTGGCTGGCGCTGAAGAGAAAGGGGAGCTTGGTGGCGCAACGGTCAAGAGAACAGAAGGAGCGAATGCTTATGCCGGTGACGGAGAGGATGTGCGAACGATGAGTTTTGACATCTATGTCAAAGGTCAGCAGATGCGTTCTGGTCGAGGCGCCGAGATGGCGCGATTCCGAATGTTCCCCTTCGTCGAGCGTAAGGGTCGCAAAATCGATCAATATGGTGAGGGTCTTGATATTGGTCAATGGATGCGCAAGGGTCGAGAAATTGCGGAAGAGGGAGAGACAGAAGAAGTGAGGGAGGCGAGGAAGAGGAAAGAGGAGGAAGAAGAGAAGGCAAAGGTCCAGCCGGAGGTTCCGAGCAAATTTGTGAACCAGCTGGTGTCGGTGGACATGAAAGCGCAGATCGGGTTCGTGGACATGGATGGGTTGCATGACGGGCAAAGTATCAAGACCATTGTCAATGACCTTCAGCCGAGAAAGCTTGTAAGTACCCTCTTGCCTCACAGGCTGTGCTCATGGCGCGACAGATCCTGGTCCGATCAACACAAGAAGCGACCCAAAACCTCGTCACCTTCCTTCACTCCATATCGGGATTCACCAAAGATATTTTCACTCCATCCCTTGACGAAGAGATCAAGATCGGTGAACACGTCGCGTCTTATTCCCTCACTCTTGGTGACAGTATAACCTCCGCTTTGGCCAAGAAGTGGTCTGAAGTATGTCTTGATTTTCCAACTGGCATTGTTCTCGCTAATGGTCGTCTTAGTTCGAAGGCTACGAAGTCACCATGGTCGACGGCAAGATCATCCTCCCAGCGGGCTCCACCATTCCCATCCTGGAGGCCTCTCACCTGTACCAGCCCCTCCCCAAAACCGAGGAGGCCGAAGGAGACGAGGCGGCAGAGGGAGATGTCAAACCATCTGCTGCCGAGCTTGAGGCACCGCCCAAGGAGGCTACTCCTCCTCCCAGTGCTCCGACAGTGTCCAACCTGCCCTTGACCCTACCGACGTCTACGTTCATTGGCGATTTGCGTCTTGCTCGTCTAAAATACCGTCTCTCATTACTTGACCCGCCTATCCCTGCAGAGTTTGCAGGAGAAGGTGTGTTGATCTGCGGGCCTGGGGTAGTGGCAGAGGAGAAAAGGAAGGGAGGACAGGTGGTGGCTGTTAGAAAGGTCGGGGAGGGCAGGATCGTTGTCGAAGGAAGTGTAGGAAGGATCTATGGGGAGGTCCGAAAGGCTGTCTACGGCGGTCTCGCCAGGGTTGACTCGGTGTAGAGATGATATCTTGTAGGACTCCAGATCTGCTGCGAGATGTACGATCACATGATTGAACACATTTGTACATCTCTTGCCCATTACAAAGTTCATCATGCAGTTCATAAGTTCGTGAAAGAGATGGAAGATACAAAAATCAATACCCCTACTCCTGCTGACCACCATCTCCACCTCCTTGTTCACCCTCAGTTTCGTCTCCTCTCTGCCCTGCTGGTACTTCATTCGGCACTGGACCGTCGAATTGCAATTCTGCTTGTATCGCTTCTCTTAACTGCTGTCGTTCCAGCTGTCTTCGCAGATGTCCTGATCGAGGAAGAGGCAGTTGATTGGGGTGGAGGGATGGCGATGGCGGAGTCGGTGGGCGTTTAGCGCCCTATATCACGATCAGCAAGCTTCCAAAAGGAAGAAATCATACGCACAGCCATGCCAGGAGGTACTTCCTTCTTCTTCTCCTTCTCCACAATCTCCCTCAATCCGCTCTCCTCCCATCCGTCCCCGTCTCCACCACCTCCCCACCCTCCGGGCCCTCCACCAAGGCCTCCTCTCGCACCAAACCCTTCCACCCTCAGTCCGCTACTGCCTCCTTCTTCCCGCCCCCCAACAGTCCCCAGTAAATCGCCAACTCTTCTACCTCTTCTCCGCTTCCCGTTCCCTGCCCCTCCTCGGCCCTTACCTGAAGACACGGGGCGACCGAAGGGATAGGAAGGGTGCATCTGAGACGGCAGCGTCTCGTCTGCATCTAGACGAGGGGGTTCGAGGTGGAAAGGGATGGGGATAGATTCGTCGTAGCCTGGCATGACGGACCATCCTGTCTCGGGGGGATCATCGAAGGAGAGGGATAGTGTGTCGGTGAGGGAGCGGTGGAGGACAGTGAAGCGGGCGTCCTGGGAGCGTTAGGTCGAGCTGAAGGGTGTATTCGAGGGCTTACTGTTATGCTTGTGGTCATGGTTTGAGATTGAGGAAATGAAGTGATTCAACAAGCAGTCAAGCTGCAAGCACGACTGGAAACCAAACAAACGGAAGCAGATGGCAAAAAGACAAAAAGATGATTTAAATTGCCCATGAAGGTGGGAGGAAAGAAATTCGAACGCGGGTTTGCGGACCAAATACACGGATATCTCTAGTAAAAGGCGAGAGATTTATTCGATTTGTGTTTGATCCCCCGCTAGGAAGGGTGGCAGTTGTCAGACCCTATGACCTGTGGGGGCAATCGCGGGTATGCATCGAATAGCTGCATTCGGCCCCATGCATCCTACCCGCAGAAAGCATAGACACCATGCATACACGGGACAGAAACGAAACAGTTACATGCATAGACACCATGCATACACGGGACAGAAACGAAACAGTTACATGCATAGACACCATGCATACACGGGACAGAAACGAAACAGTTACATGCATATACAAATAGTCCTTCTAGATATCTTTCAACAGCCCCTTGCCCGCCCTCCTGGACAGCGCTTCGGACAGACCCATGCCGGTCTGCGCCTTGAAGAATCCTGCGCTCGCCTGCTCCTGACCATACTTCCGCCTCATGCTCTCTTCGCGTGCGAGCTCCAACCTCTCCTGCTCTGCCCTGTTTGCGAGGGTCTTGGAGCGTTCGGCATACATTTGGTCGGCAGAAGAAGACATGGCGGCCAAACGGGCAGCACGCTGGTCTTCGAGCGTTTGAGATTGGGGATTTCTTGTAGAGGGAGCAGGTTGGGGACGAGGAGGAGGAGGACGCGAAGATGGTGCAGAAGCGGGGTAAGGGTGATGAGGCGGCGGGGCGCGGTCGTTTCGCCCTTCTCTGGGTTCATCCCTCCACCTCCTGTCGTCTCTGTCGTCCCTCCTTCTGTCATCCCTGTCATCTCGTCTGTACCCATCCCTCCTAGGGCTCTGATCCCTGGGCCTTCTGTCATCTCTGCGCCTGCAATCCACATCTCTATCATTGCTGTACTCTCGCTCTCGCTTGGGTGAGATAGATCGAGGTCGGTCGCGGGAGCGACGCCTGTCGTCTCTGTCACGGTTGTTGTAAGAGTCGCGATGGTGTCGCCTGTCACGATCATCAGAGTAATCAGAGGCTGGTGACCGCGAGTCCCGGTCTCTATGCGATCGGTGCTTCGACCTTCGTCGGTCCTGCATACTGTCAGCATTTGCTCCGCCAAAAATCTATGGGAACTCACCTCTTTCTCTGCATGCTTCTCGGCCTTCTTCCTCGCTTTCCGCTCCTCCTTACTCTCTCCCTTCCTCCTCTCCTTCTCTTCCTTTTTCAGTTTTGCCTCTCTCAGCTGCTTCCTGATGTCGGGCCTGTTCATCAGGGCGGCAAGAGCGGCTTGCTCTTGTTTCTTGATGGCAAGAAGAGGGTCTTCACGGATCTTGGAGGCAGTGTCTCGAGCAGTGTTGGCGTTCTGAACGGCGATAAACTCCCGGCTTGCGGCACCAACCTGGTCAAATGTCAGTTGTACCCTCTTGTGATCGACAAGTCACGCACATTTTTATCTCCTTGCCCAAGAACCTCATCCACCCTCTTCTTTCCCAACAAATACTCCTCCATTTCCTTCTCACCCAACCTCGCTCCACCCAGCGCTCCTCCCTCAGCTCCAGGAGCCGCATACATCCAATCCAGCTTCTCCACCCTCTTCTTTCCCGTCGACGCTTCCTGAAGCCTATGAAGCTCTTCAAGCTGTCGTTCCTCCTCGCGCTCCTTGCGCAGGTCGGCGAGCTTTTTGCGTTCCTCATTCGCAGCCTTCTCGGCTTTCCAGACCTTCTCTTGATTGACTAGAAGGACGGGGTGCCAAGACTTTTTCCTGTGGGGCGCGCAATGTCAGCGAGCGACCAGATACGGGGGAAGAGTGCAACATACATATTGAGATCTCCACCACCCATTTTGACTGTTTCTTTGCTTTGGTTTTGGGGTTTGTTTAAGGGGTTCCGTCAGGAGATGCGGCGCCAACTTGACCAGTGGCGAAAGTGGATAAAAGTTGAATGTGATGGAGAGGATTGATGTTTTGCTGTTGACGGAGACAGCGGAGGCTGGTGGCGAACCATCAAAGGCGGATATGTCCGCCTGCGCACTTTGACTTCTGCAGTCCCAAAAACTAAGATCTACATACTAAGAGTCCTATGTATGTGGTCTCTATAGCCTAACGAATGTATACTAGCCCAAGATATGTACTGGTATACCTGGTCGAGTGGGTATGCATTATCTCTGTCAAGCTCCATTCACGTTAAACGATCACGTACTTCCTCGAGTCTGCACCTTCTTGGCACGTACGCATAACTAGCATCGACGGCCATAGCCTCCTCGAAGTACCGCGTCCCGTCTGATCCGCGAAGTCAACTAGGAGAGCGCTCGGTTAGTACCAGGGTGGGGGACCACCTGGGAATCCCGGGTGCCGTCGTTTTTACTTCTTTTTGTTGTTGCGCGAAGAGCGCATCACGATGGACTGTTGGGTTTAACGTGCATCTTTGACGCTGGCGCTCGTGGCAGATTTGCATATATGGTATTTGACTGGTATTTGACAGAGAAGTGTAATACCGCGAGTTCGTATGCGGACGCTGCATTTGTCGTTGAAAGGCCCTGGCTTGTCATGCGCTTGAGAACACTGTGGGACACAGCCGCAAGAATTTCAGCATAGCGGACAAAGATGCCGAAAGCTCGTGATGCCATACATGCCAATGCTCTACTTCTTCACACCCAAAACCCTCCGTGTCACTTCTGATAGCTCCTCCTTTCCACTTTGACCGATAGTCGGACTCAAGGCAGCTATCCAGTCTGCAACGTGGACAGACTGAGCCGCAGCCTTGGCGGGATGGGGCGAGAGAATGGGAAGGGGGGTAGAGGGAAGGGGAGTAATGGTCTGAGATGTGTTGTAAGGGATGGGGTGCTTGGCTGCCGGGATTGTCAGCTACTCGTAGGAACGTATCAGAGCGGCAGGAGACATACCCTTGCTATAAGGCAAATATCCATGAGCGGTGGCACCCAGTAATCCTTTCTTGCCAAACAACCCTTCTTTCGATTGGTCTGCCTCGGCGTACACCAGATGGCTCCTGGGCAAACCTGCCCTCCTGGGTGCCGAATCTTTCGCATTGTCCCTCTTAGGTTTCCTCTCCCTCCCAGGAGCTCTCGATCCAGCCCCAGCTCCACGCTTGTCTCCCCGGTCTCCATGCGCACGACGGGTGACATCAGGAGGAAGTGCCCTGTCGGTACCGGTAGCTGAAACAGCCTCAGCAGCTACTGCATCGGTCGCGCGAGGTCGTCGGGGAGTGCCAGCTTGTCGGGGCGAACGCGATTGACGCTGAGGGGCAGGGGAGTCTGAGAAAAAGTCGGCGTCTGTGTTGGGGTTGGCTGCAGTTCGCCTCGCTTTGGGCACCTACTCTCCATTAGCTTGCTTTCTTTCTCGCAGATGGAGCGAAAATATCAAAAACATACAAAGTTGTCGATAACGTGCTTCCTGGCGCTGCTTCCGACATTGATCTTTAGATCGGGCAACTCTCTCACCCTGTCGGTGTGGGGCGTGAAGCCAAGTCCTTCTGGAGTGGATGAGGCTGTAGGGGCATCGTCTTTGAAGACTGGACGAGAGGTGTGGATGAGTCGTTGCGGAAGATGCCTGAGACGGGGAAGGGCGATTCTGAGGGACATTGTGTTTGTTTTTGTCAGAATATAGTCACAGCACGAAATGTTCCAGGTTGGATGTAAGAGTTGGGATAAAATATGGAAAATCGCGGCTGGTAATAATCAGCTGCCGCTTCAGTTGGTTCTCGTCAGCCAACCTGCCTGTCTTTGTGCATTGTGCTTGAGCGGATGCATGGGAACCATATGTAGAAGTCTACTAGGAAGCTGCTGGAAAGGCAAGTAGCTATCGTTGTTGCAGCGTTTCGCGTTCACGGACATCGCTCTTTCGACCCTCACTCAACTATGCAGCTTTGTATGATGTCGGAGTCTTTCTACTCCAGCATTGAAATATGGCGAGGCCTAACATATGAGATTGAGAATCCGTTTCTGTGACCAAAGCTTTTCTGACCACTCAACATGAATAGTTGTTGTGATATACGTGCATAGTCAATTGAAGAAGACTTATTGGCCTGATTAGCGGGATCAAAGCTCTCTTATCTGGTCCTTCCGTTCCTGTGACGGAGGACAGCCTCTCTTATCGGCCCGCCGGCTGCTGAGGGGTGTGGTGACAGCCTCATCTTCTCGTTCTTTTCGACGATTATACTCGCAGTACTATACAAGTACGACAGCCATGGCCAACTTTGACATCCTCCACGCAAAAGCAGTCGCCGTCATTACTGGTGCCGCGTACGTCCAACGCCTGCCCGTCGTCGTCGTGTGCCCAGATCTATGACCTGACATTTGTAGATCTGGTATCGGCCTGGCATCTGCCCTGTATTACGCCAAGATAGGCCTGTCTATCGTCCTCGCCGACTATGACCAAGCTACCCTCGATCAGGCCGTCGAGAAGGTAAAGGGCATCGAAGGCGTCGGGACCGTCCTGGGCTTCAAGGTCGACGTGACCAGCATCAAAGACATCATCTCTTTACGCGATAGCGTCCTCGAAGAGTTTGGCGAAGTGCATATTCTGATGGCCAATGCTGGCACTTCCGCACCCACTCCCGCCTTCTCCCTCCATACGCCTCTTGAGGAGCTGCAGCAAGATTGGGATAAGGTGTTGAGCACAAACCTTAAGGGCGTGCTCAATACTTGCCAAGCATTTGCGCCGTTCATGGCCAAGGCGGAGAATGCGAGTGTGATCTTGGTGACCGGTAGTAAACAGGGTATCACTGCGCCTCCGTAAGTCTCCCTCCTTCGGGATAAGGCTGACAATGTCAGTGGCCGGGCTGGGTACAACGTTTCCAAGGCGGCTGTCAAAACCTACACGGAGCAACGTAAGTGTACCCGAACTTGCACATTCGGTCCTGACTAAGTGTGAACAGTTGCGCACGAACTCCGCGCCGAAGATTCTCCCTGTTCAGCCCACCTCTTCATCCCCGGCTGGACCTTCACCCCTCTAGCCGGTGCATCTCCTAACGCTACCAAACCTCCTGGCGCATGGACAGCAGAACAAACAGTAGATTACATGGTGAAGAAGGTGTTTGAGGAGGGAGACTTTTATGTGGTCTGTCCCGATAACGAGACCAGTACTGTGAGTGCTGTGTTATCCTTACAAACATATGGCAGAAGGCTGACAGAGCCTTAGTCGCTCGACAAAGCGAGGATGCAGTGGAGTATGGAGGATGTGCTTCTCAATCGTCCCGCCCTATCTCGATGGCATCCCAGCTGTAGGCCCTACGTGTCCCTTTGCGCACTGGGTAGCTCACACTTGGTGCAGACAAAGCCCGATTCGAAGACTTTATCCAGCAAAAACAAGGGCTCAACGCTTCTCGAAGCAGGTCCCGCGGTCGTCGTCCCGAACTCCGCGACTTGTCCCAAGCCCCTTCTGTCTCCTCCATTCCTTCAGAGGCAGATCTGTTGGCTTTCAGGCGTGACTGATTTAGTATTGCGCTTTGTATACTAGCTGGGGGATTTCCGATTGTATTCGTGTCGTAGCAAGGGGAAAAGGTGACCCAAAGCCATTCGAACAGGCTCTGATGCATGATCATGAAGGCTGCTTTCCCTGCCTGTCTGCCCACTCATACATTCTCACCTCCTCATCCGCAATCTCTTTCAACCTCTTCTCCACCCCTTCCTTCTTCTTTTCCAGCGTCTCGAGGTACTCTTGGTTGGTGAGCTTGCGGACGGGAAGGAAGGTGGAAAGAGAGGTCATCATGCGTTCGGGGAGCGAAGGTTTATCGGCTGGTTGGGGGTTGGGGAGGTCAGATTTGAGGGTGTCGAATGCGGGAGTGGGTGGTAACGATACGGGCGGCGGTGTAGAAGGAGGAGTGCTTTCAGCAGGTGAAGGAGATGATTCTCCAGCGAGGTAATTCAACCTCATCACCCTGAACTGATTTACTCCGAGCTGTAATGTCGATGTTATAAGCCCACTAGTGAAGGCGGCTTTCCCAAATGTCCCCCTGCCTCCTAAAAACACATCGAGGTCAGCTTCACACCCCAGGATAGGATCAAAGACACAAGACGCACGGAAAGCAGCACTCAATACCCCACCAGTCAATCCCCCAGCTAGAGCACTATCCAGAATTCTCTCAGTTCTCCTCTGCCCCACTGTCGGTGCTTCTCCTTGTCCTATCGTTTCCGATGGATCCAGGCGCCGTTGGAGTTCGTGCAGACGAATAGAGTGGCCGGGGGTGGCTTCTATTGATAACAGCAGAGGGGAGATGATGTATTCTCGAAGAGCTTGAAGGTATCAGCTAGATATCAAACATTGTGGCATATACTTACCGAAGAATCCAAGACCGGCGATAGACATGTTCAAAGTCATGTTCATAGCCAGCACGGTGGGATTGAGAGATTGGGCGACTCCAATCGAGGCGCCTGTGGCAGCTCCAAAAGTAGCTAGAGATAATGATTAGTCGAGTACCAGAAGATATATGCCAAGTGAAAGTGAGAGGCGGTTATGGCCAACCACTTACCAGTAGAGACGATGCCCTTGATGACGAGTAGAGGCGAGTCGGGGTCATAGGGGTAGAAGAATGGTGAAGGGGAGGATGAGGCGGATCTGTGGGACATTTTGGAGCTCTGTATTGGAGAGCCGATAGTCGAGGAAGCTTGAGAGCAGACGAAAGCTTTTCAGTGGCTTGTCAGAGATAGAAGGCGAGCGAGGGACAGACGGAAGAATGCAAAACTCGCGGAGAGCCGAGCCAAGTCCGTAAATGGGGGGTGCTGTTGTTCCGGCTCTGAATTGGCTCTGAACCTCACTCAACAAGCCACCAGGCCACCCAACGCCCCCTCCGGGGCGCCTACATGCGACGCACTATGACCGCCTGATCCACGATAGCAAGTAAAACATATGAAGCTCGGATTCAGGCGCCTATCGGCGCGATATAGATGCGTGCAGCGCCTAATGGCCTCCGGTCCCAGCCTGGCTATCGCCAGGCCACCCAAGTCACCCAACGCCCCTCCGGCGCATGTAGAAGAACCTCACTCAACAAGAGCATTCAGGGCTCATGATGGTGTCTTCGAGGCCTTATACACCTGACCCGTCGATAGAAACACTGCAAGAGGAACATATACAAGTTATGCATGCTTTACAAGAAGAAAATGCCATTTCCAAACGTTCTTTCAAGGCTCTTTAGATGGAGGTTTCCACTATGTCTACACGTCCAGCGGTTACGGTGAGAGGGAATGACCACTCTCCGGGTCACTCTAGGTAGTCTCTAGTTCTTGGGCTTCATCTGAGGCGCTGTTAGTGACACTCCTCACAGAAAGCAAGAGTCAACTCACAAAGTCCACAAACAGATCCAAGCAGACCATATCCTCATCCTCGGCTGTGTATCCCCTGACCTGGACCGAGAACTTGGCCTTTGGAATCTCCTCCGGCAACTCCACAGTGTGTTGTACGCTGTAAGGCCCAGGCTCAACGGGGCACTGGACAGACGCGTTGGCGTTGGCAGCTTCTTCACAGACGTCAAACTGCTTCTGAAGAAGCTTGATCAAACCAAGCTTGACAGTTACGTCGGCATAGGCGCCATCCTGTGATCGTCGTATTAGCAGCTGTACAAAGACAAAGGTGTGTAGAGAGTTGATGACAGGTACGCACCTCAATACGCTCGAGGACGTCAGCTTCGACGCTAACGGTGAGGTTCTTTCCTGGAACAGGGGGGTCGGGAGACACCTTGATAGACTTGAGCTGGCTAGAGACACGTTCGTCAGTCCTCTAGATGTCTTATCATCGGCCGATGAGCTTACATGGCGTCAGTGGCCAATCCTGCCTGACCATCAGCTTTCCGTCCCAAAGCGAGAGAGGAGGTCACATACCACAGTCCACATAGCTCCACGAGTCCATAGTCCTGATAGGGTCGTCGACCTCGGCGACATGAGCGCCGTGAGCGGTGGCAAGGCTGCCCTTTCCGCCGGACACGAGCTCACTCGCCCAGGACAGCGCGTCGTTGGCGATGGAGGCGGATGCGGGGATGGCAAGGAGGGGAAGGAGGAGGGGGGTGAACTTCATGGTGATGGATATGGCAGCGAGACGACTAAGATGCAAGAGATGATGGGGCATCGGGTCCCTACTTGCCGGATCGGGACGGCGGACAGTTCCGCCCCGGCCGTCGGTCTGCGCGTGTCATGTCCTCTTTCATTTTGGAATTTCTCGAAGCGCTGTTATATATTTTCATTCAAAATGACTGTGTTAACGTCCTCTACACGATGCGCCAGGGAGCTATCTTCTAGGTCATCTCTGCCCGCACGGTTTCTCTCATCCGCCCCCCAAGCTCGTCGCCCTTCTCCCTACCGCCTCCTCCAGCCCCAAGCCTTTCTCGCCGCCTTCGCCCCCTTACATGTCCGCGGATGGCGGCTCGAATCACTCAAGTCAGGGGCACAGCTTTCAGAAGAGGGAAACCTGGATGATGCGTTTGAAGCGCAAATGTACAAGGGAGATTTGCAAGGCAGGAGACTGGTGAGGGTCTTTGAGATGGGAGAAGGTAAAGAGGGCTGGCGAAGGGTTGGGCAGTTTCTGCGAATGGCGGGGACGGTTGTTGAGGAGCAAGATGTAATACCGCCTTTCTCCGCAATATGCATCTCTCTGACAAAAACCGCAGCACCACCCTACGATACACATATCCCCTCTGTCCGACTACGCCCCTCCCTCCCCTACCCTAATATCCTCTCAGTCCCAGTCAGACTACATCATTGAGCTTTCCACCCACACCCATACGCCGCTACCGCCGTATCCCCAGCCAACGAAGGGCGGGGCGAAAATGAGCCCAGGAGTCACCTCAAAAGATGTGGCGTTGGCCGAGAGAGTAGAAGAGATCTATGAACAAGTGGTGGGAAGTGCAGTCGAGGTGAAGAAGGAGCATGAGGATCTATAGAAATCGTGAAAGCGATACATGGTTTTGAAGACCCAAGATATGAAAATGGCATGTATATAATGTTTCTGATCAGAAGCAAGATAAGATAATGTCGTGAATGAGTGTTACAGGACAGACTGGCTACACCAACAAGAACGATACTGAGACAGCCCCCAAGAACATGAAAGCAGACATGAAACACAAAGATCACAAAAGCACAAGCGAAAATCATTTATGATGATGATGGAGATGATGCCCCAACTTTCTCAAACCCCACTTTTTCTTGTCACCCGTCCCCACCCCGCCTAGTCCAGCACCCCCGGGACCCATGCCCCCAAAGCCCAGCTCGTCAGCACCCAGGACCCGGCCTCCCCGCCAGTCATTCTCAATCACCGTATAGTTTTGCCTCTCCGCCTCTTCATCCTCGCTCTCGTCGTCATTCAACGGCGTACCCGTGAATCTGTGAGAGAAAAGCGAGGCGTAAGGGGAAGGGTTCCTGCCCGAAATGGAGATGGTAGTGCCACCTGAGGAAGGTATTCGAGGGCGAGGGGTGTAAGAAGAGCTGGAGATGGTATCGCGATGTTTGGATGTGTGGGCAGGAGCGGGGAGGATAAAGTTGTGGACGTTGTGCGATGCCGTGCTGGCATTCGATAGTCCCCTCGGCCTACCAGCAGATTGGCTCACTCCGACGCCCACAGACTCTGGCCTGGGCACACTGATCCACGGATAACGGTCGTCCTCCTGTTCCAATGCTTCTTCCCTCTCCAAAACACTCCCAGGCCTGCTGTTATCCCTCCACCCCGCTCCCGAACTGCCAGATGAGCCGATACCAGACGTAGAAGCGTTGGATGGGAGAGGGATACCGCCGCTGGCACTTCTCATCCGGTTTCCAGCCGTTCCAGGTTCCAGCCACATCTCGTTCGCCGATGCTGACACCGCACGCTGCCTTTGTCTCTGTCTGGTCCTACTCGTAGGGGCAGGCTTGGCCTTGAGCGGACCAGTGGCAGGGAGTGTTAAAGAAGCGAGACGCTCGCGGTAGGCTTCGGCACGCTTGTCATAGATGTTGGACAAGCGAATGTCTGATCGAGCGTCCGGGGCGGAGATGGTTGTGAGGGCGGTGGCTGCAAAAATGTCAGTGTCATACATATGAAAATGGATAACGGAAACTTACGCCTATCACGACTGCTTTCACGCAACCTATGCACGCTTTCTTTGTCCTTCGCCGCTCTTTTTCTCTCCATCTCTGCATAAATCTCATGACTCTCTCCATAAGCAGCCAAAACTGCCGCCAAATCCTTTTTGGACTCTCCATCCTGCTCCAACTTGGCGAGCAAAAGAATCTCGTCTTCACCTTCTTGGATCGCTGCCTTGGCTTCGGCGCGGGATGAGATGGTACGGGAATGGGTGAGGCGTCGGTGAAGGGACGGTGGGGAAGGGGTGGTAGCGAGAGCAGCATGTTCGGGCACTGGAGGGAAAGATGCAAGCGAATTGCTACTTGGCGCATGTCCTAGAACTGCAGCCGGCGCCAACGAGGGAACGGTCAAATTGGTCGAAGTCGTTGACGAGAGTGGTTGGTGATTGCCCGAGGTGTGCGAGTGGGAGTTGCCAGATGAGTTGGATGAAAGAGATTTACCTCGGGGGCGTGACGTCCCGTGCAGAGATGGGGGCTTGGAGAGAGGCGGAACGTCATCCTCGGCACTGTCGTCAGCGGCGGGAATATTGGTGATGCTCGACATCCGTATATGTGATGGCGGGGGAGAAGATATCCTCGAGACATCCGTCGTCACCGATCCTATGCTCCCGCTCCTGATTCTACCGCCCTTGAAGCTCCCTCGTGTATGTGAGAGGGAGTGGGATGATGATGGTCTGGAAGAGGTGTGGACAGGACCCTCATTCAGGCTGATCGCACTGTCCGCTAGATTGGCAGTAGACTCGGCATCCAGCACACTCCTCGCATCATGCCATTCTTCTCCTTCTGGCTCGAGTGCGTCACCTTCTTCACCTTCCATCTCTCGCTTGACAGACTGTTTCTCCATCTCTCTGATCGACCCCTCGGCTGCCAGCTTGCGCAGATCGTCAGTCGGCCGGCTTGATGTTGACCCAGTAGAAGACTTTGTGGCAGTAGTCATCGGGTTGCTCAAACCTGGCATCGTGTGTGATCGAGGTTTTGTAGACCCGGGCAAAGTCGGCAGATCCGGGCTGGGTTCGGGAGGAGAGCTGATTGTGGGCAACGAGCTCGCCGAACTATGGCGGGAGACAATCTCCCGCGCCCGCTTCAGTCTCTCCTCTTCATCACCTGCCCATTCATTGGCAAGAGGACTCGGCGCGATGACTTCACTGCCTGTCCTTGGTCTCGTACAAGGTGTCGACTGGACAGAAGAAGGCGGGGGAGGGTTCAAAGTATTCGGCAAAACACCCGAAGAGCCTGAAGAGCTAGAAGACGGCGGCACCAGTTCCTCCTCAAAGAACCGGCTCTTAGTAGCCGGTGCCGATATCGGCTCCTTGCCCATCCCCGCGCCGTCTTCCCACACAGGCCTCTCCATATCCAAGCTCGCTCGTTCCAAGCGCGCCATCCCGGCATCAAGATCTTCTGCCGAGATGACCTTGTCTTCTGGGTTTCTCGCTGGAGGACTCGGCGAGCGCGAAGGCGGAGAGTGGGCTCGCCTAAAGAGCCTCTTGAAGCCATGATGGTGATGCGAGTCTTGCTGTGCCGCTTTCTTCTTCTTTTCTTCGTGGTCTGATTCGTGTCGGAGAGCAGCCCGGAAAGCAGCACCAGGGTGGACCGCTTTCTCGAATATAGATGGTAGCGACGGGCGACGGGAGGAAGTGGAATGCTGGACACGAGCAGTAGGAGGCCGTGGTATGGGACACGCGATACCAGGGGATGTCTGGCTTGTCGCCGAATGAGTGCTCGATTGACGGCTGAGGGGCAAAGACGGCCATGAGCCGGTGCTCCCGTCTGTATAGAGAGGTGTATTGTCGCCTTTCATGGGCGAAGGTGTTTGTGGCGTGTCGAGCTCAAACGGAGAGGCCAGCTTGTCGAGAGCAGATGCCTCGCTGGGGAGATGTAGTCTTGGAGGGGGCGGAGCGCGCTCCTTGGGGGTCTCTGAGGTGAGAGAGCTCTTGCTGGCTTTCGACAGCAGCGCCTGCAGTCCCTTTTTCGGCTTGGAGTCATTTGACCTCAGGCTCGAAAAGCTAAACGTCCTCTCCCTCTGTTTCCCCTTGCCGTGCTCAGCCACACTCTCGCCATCGTTGAGCGCCAAGCTGCTGGCTGCGGGACTTTTCTCGCCAAATGTAGCAGCGTCTTCATTCTGTATTTTTTGATACGCATGCAGGACGTTGACGACTTGGTCGTGATTGCTGAGCTCGGCGAGGTCTAGTGCAGTGTGCCCATCCTTGTCCGGCGTTGAAGGGTCGGCGCCGCATGCGAGGAGCATTTGAACGACGGGGGCATGGCCATTGGCGGCTGCGAAATGTAGGGGTGTCGAGCCTATCGACATTAGCGCGTCATACCACGCAGCTGTTGATGCTCACCTGCAGTTCCAACACTGGGCGCTGTACCCTTCTTGCCATCACTATATCTTCTCGGTAATCTCGGCGCATTCACGTCCGCTCCCTGCTCGATCAGCATCCTGACAACACTGAGGCTCCCTCCGGAACACGCAGCATGTAAGGGCAACACGCCATGGAGCACCGAGTTTACAGGCTGGCCGTGGGTGAGGGCATAGTGGACGAGGCCGACGTTACCGCTCGCTGCGGCCGAGTGGAGTTCGAGGTTGGGGACTGGGAGGGGGTAGACAGGGCGGTCGAAAGAGAGGAGATGGCGGACGCGGTCGATGTGTATTGTAGGGGACGGGGGAGAGAGGGTCATGGACGGGACGACGAGCATGGTGAAGATGGAAGTGGAGATGGAGAATTGAATGTCAGCCTGTGATCATGTCGCGCGATGATGCTCATGAAAGGGGCGATGGAATGAGGCGGGCAGTGTAGACAGCCGTCCGTCCCACACAGCATACCTCGCCCCCGAATCCAAGAGCGCATCGCGAGCCACCGCATCCTGGATGGGCACTCACAGTCGAGCACGACGTCGTACTTGGCTTCGAGGTCTTCCTTCTTGCTGGGGGACCGCATCGTTCACAGCCTCAATCGTTCAGTTGCTCTGTATTCCGCGCCCAGTGTCGGCACTCCGCTCCTCCTTTGGTGTCGGTGTTTGTTGTTTGGTCCGCGGGTGATTGTTATGGTGTCTGCGTCGGGCGCATGGCGGCGGGTGCTGTGGATGTGGAGATGGAAATGCAGCGACAAGAGAAGAGAGAGTGGGAAAGGGGAAAGAGGAAAATCGCAGGGTGACGTCTCTGCGATCCCGTAATCTTGGGTTTCGCGGGAGATGAGCCATGAATGAGCCTCGTATGTCACCTGGCCTCTCCCTCCTGTCTATTTGCTCCCCCTCGCCACCACCCACGCACCCAGGACGCTGTCGACGCTGCCCACCGACAATCACCTCTGCCATCTCCCATCCTTCAAGACGATCTGCGGCCTCGCCTAACTCTGGCCCGATGAATCAGGTGCAGGAATCGTGCTAGCTTACCATTGTCGTTGCATCGCAGACTTTGATCGTGGTCTAATCGCTCTACTATGGACTCTATACGGCTGCATCATGCATGTACAGGCGCATCAGCGCAAGACTGTCTCCAGCTTGCGTTCGCCTTTGTTCGGCTCGGCGGGCCGGCGAAACCGACCTCGACGTCGTACTACCATTGCGGAGTCTTTGATTACATACCCTGGTGCACTTTCAGTATACTGTTGACCGGTTGACAACAGAGGGGAATGAGCGGGCTTCTCGGTAATGATCCAAATCAAATGAGCGTGACCGAAGAGAGAAGCATGATTGAAGAGACTAAACTGATGAACGTGTGCTATATGACACTCTCAGATCTCTCAGATGACCTCGGTGGAGTGACTGATGTCCCATCTGTTCGTCATAGTTCTGGCAGCCGCTCTCCCATGAAGTCGTCGTTATGAGCATCATCATGAAAGGGAGCATCAGATATCATAATTGATAGATGGCTGACCTCGGGCTCGAGAGGATGCTATTGCGAGTGTAGACTATGTCCCATTTACCCGCCATGTTGATGCGAGCTCTTGAGACTGTTACACATACCAGTGGCAGCTGCTACTCGAACACTTACTACTGTATACGACAAGATCGGGACGGAACCACACAATGCTCTTATAGTCGACGGCGTTTGCGGGAATAAATCCACGTGGGACGTGGCACCATGACGCTCACGCGTCTCAGTCATCGCAGCGTATCCTCTAATTTCAACTCTCTAATTCACTTCCCATCCCATCGCCATGTCTCTCAATAACAGAAAGCAAGAACGCGACTTTACTGCCGAAGTAAAGGCCCTCGAGCCAGAAGCAGAGCAGCTCACCAAGGTCCGCCCTCCCCCACACATCCACCGCGATGCCACTGACGATCAATCAGGATGGCAAGCTTCAGGAAGCGATCGACAAAATCACTCTGCTCGAGAAGCAGACCCGAAACGCCGCCGACATGTCCTCCACTTCCACCCTGCTCGTCCTGCTCGCCCGTCTCTGCTGGTCCACCCAGGACTTGGACACGCTCAACGCCCAACTGACCATTTTGGCCAAGAAGCACGGCCAGATCAAGGAGGCGGTGGTGCGTATGGTGGATGAGGCTATCAAGTGGCTTCCGGAGCTTCGGGCCAGAAAAGACAAGGGGGACTATAACGGAAAGGACAAGGTGGACAGGTGGTTGGAGCTGGTCAAGACATTGAGGGATATCACGGAGGGCAAGATCTTTTTGGAACTGCCGAGGGCGCGCTTGACGGGCATGCTTGCGGCTCACCATGAGGCGTTGGCCGAGACGGCTCCCAAAGATGCTCGTGAGTTTTGATCCGTACAAGTTGACAGCCAGCTAATACCGTAACAGCCGAATCCTCCAAGGCCTCCAAAGAGAAGGAGAAGGACAAGAAGGATGCAAAGGAGCCCGCCAAAGAACCCGTGACCGCCAAGGAGCACCTCGACACTGCCGCCGACCTCATGTCTGATATCCAGGTGGAGACCTACTCCTCGATGGACAAGCGCGAAAAGACCGAGTTCATCTTGGAGCAGATGAGACTGGAAAGTCAACGAGGCAATTGGGTGCGAGTACGCGTGGGAAGCAGAAAGATCAACAGGGTGTACTTGAAAGACAAGGAAGTGCAGGTGAGTTTTTGCCCGAGGTGGATGAGGGAGGAGCTGATGGGACATAGGACATTAAACTCCGTTTCTACGACCTGATAGTCCAGCTTGCTCTTCAAGATGACGAATACCTTGAAGCTTGCCAGGCCTACCAGGAAGTGTGGGACACTGAAGAAGTCAAGGCCGATGCGGCAAAGGAGCTCAGTGCGATTGAAAACATCATAATATATGTCGTGCTCGCTTCTTACAACAATGAGCAAAGCGACATGATCCACAAGCTGTATGCGAACGCGGCTTTGCAAAAGGCTCCCCTGCACTTGTACGTCATCATATATATCTCCGTGTCTGGCTGACGAGTAGTAGCGACCTGTTGAAATGTTTCGTCACCAAAGAGCTCATGCGGTGGAAGGGTATCGAAGATATCTACGGCACCACCCTCCGCCAATCGCCCATCTTTGCTCCTGGATCTACACTGGGCAAGAAGATTGGTGTGACGGAAAAGGCCAAGAAGACTACAGAGGAGTTTGAGAACCCAGGAGACAAGAGGTGGGAAGAGCTGCACAAACGGGTCGTCGAGCACGTACGTTGGTGTTCAAAAGTGCCAGGACATTACTAACGTGGAATTCAAGAACATCCGCGTCGTCGCCACCTACTACTCCCGCATAACCCTCCCCCGTTTGTCCGCCCTCCTCGACCTGCCCCCTCTCACCACCGAACGTACCCTCTGCCAGCTCGTCACCTCCAAAACCGTCTACGCCCGTATCGACCGCCCAGCCGGCATCGTCGACTTTAGGAAGAAGCAAAATGTGAATGGGACGTTGAACGGGTGGAGTGGAGACTTGGGCAAGATGTTGGATTTGGTGGAGAAGGCGAGCCATTTGGTTAGCAAGGAGTATGCGATGCATGAGGCGGTCAAGGGGAAGAAGGTGGCGGCGTAGAGTGCACAACTGGAGAGGGAATAGCGGATTAGAAGTAGAGTTGTACCAAACCATCATGAAACGTATCATTGATTATGAATGTGAAGAATGGGTGGGAGACCCTTGGGAGGGATGCTAGCCATTGGACCGTGCCAGCGGTGACATAGGTGGATCAACCTGCCAAAGCGGCCACCCATGCCGCCCGATGGTGCGCCTCATCGTCTCGAAAGCGCCTCGCCCGCCAATGGCCCGGGAAGATCATGATCATGATGTTGGTGGGAAAGCATGCCGTCAAATGAGTTTGATTGTTGGCTGATCCCCCAAAGTGGCACTCGAGGACTGCCATGTGGACGATCTGTCGTCTAGTCCGCCAAGCATGCCATTTTTTTTGCCCCACTTGCCGTCCGGTTCCCGTAACACCCGATGAACAAGAGATTGCAAAAGAGTCCCGGATCCCGGGATGAGAAAATAAATCAAGAAAAAAAACCCCCCGGCAAGGCGGAAGGCGGCAAGAACATCTATTTGAATGTTTTTTTTACCGTTTGTGGTTAGAAGCGCGAAGCAAAAAGTGGAGTAGCTTGGCTATGATCTACGAGCGAGTGTCATGGGCATGCTACTGGACGTTGCGTACTATGTCTTGTAGTGGGAAGCAGGTGCACTAGTTGGAAAATGCGTCATGGAACCACCTTTCTTCAGAGTGCGCATCCTGATTCGCACCATCTTTCCTCTTTGGACCTCATTGCCCCATACACATGTACGTATAGAGTGAGAACGAGAGTAGGAGGAACGGGATAGGGGCATTACATAGGGCAGCACGCTGGCATACGGCCCGAGGGACCTGGAAAACGTGTGCCGGTCTTTCCGATTCCGTGTTTCACCCGCAGGCCGCTCGCTGGTGACAGGCGCTCGTCCACGGGTGACATGCCATGATGCGGTCTGTGGGATTCGAATATATATAACCTGAAGCTGGCTTGCAATGCAAGAGGATGGTCGTGGAAAGGGATGACGAGAACGCTGAAACGGGCGGCGGTGGGAGTGGTCCGTGTACGTAAGAGTGCCTTGCGATCAGAATGATCACACTATGAAGCTTGAAGTCAAGCAACGAGTACGTCAACGTGTCAAACGTCTTGACGTTGTTTGTCTCTCTTTTGATATTTTTCTGGCCACAAGCTTGGTGCAGCTTGGTGTTGCGTAGCGCCAGGCTGCGGATGGCTACTGTGACAACTGTGAGAGAATCCAGACTAAATAAAGAGGGGTGCTTGGTCGCGGAACTTCAGGATGACTTTCGTTCCAGGCCCCTTCCCGGAGTCCCGAGTCTTACCATGCGGCGGACCAGTTGTTCAGCTGCACGGGTGGTTTTCGTAGATGCAACAGGGATACCGGGGGTCAGAGGTATGCATGGAAGGGGGTGGCTAGGGCAGGACGCAGAGAGAGGCAGAGGGCAGAGGCAGCAGAGGCAGAGGATGTTGAGGGAGATGGGCTGCGTTACAAAATTAAAAACGCGATCAAGCGCGACACCCGGTGTTTCGGACGATTGGAAAAGTCAAGCCGGAACCCTGAACAGGAGGTAATTAGCGTACCAGAATAACGGGGACAGGGCGAGCGTCTATCATCTCATTCCCCTGCCCCCTGTCCCCTGTTATGTACATATGCACCCGTGTGGGTACATACGCGGGGCGCAAAGGGACGGGTGGGATATATGTCGCGAATGTATAGCCTGGACAGCGGCTTCGGAGGGTGTTCGGGAGGCACAGAACAGCAGCTTGCGGCGACGCGCGAGGCCGAATCCGAACAAGCAGGACTAATACAGTCGACCGGGGGCAGGGATCGGGGTGGAATAGGGGATAGGATACCGGATACGGCGGATAGGGAGTCGAGGGGGGCTTGGAATGGATATGTGCATGGCGGGAGAGGCAGGCACGGGACAGGGCGGGAGACACTGCCGGTCCAGAGCCATTCTCTCTCCCGTAGCCCCTCCCGCCCCCATGTCGCTGTCTCCATCCTCCTCCTCTCCTCCTCTCTCCGCCCATCCTCCCTGCCATCGTATACTCCATAGCCACCCCATCCTGCCCGCCACACCACACTGCCTGCCCACCCCCACCCTGCTCACACCCAGGGTCCCCTCCGCCTCGCGTGCCACAACAGCACACACCGAAAAAGAGGGCCACCACGCTCTCCCTCATCACCCCGCCGCCTCCCCAGAGCATATCCCACTCACCCGCTCCGCATCTCATCTTGCCTTGTTCCCTTGCGCGACTTTAACGTCTTGCCCTGACCCGCCTGCCGTCTGGACACCCCGGCTCGATACTGTTCACAAGAGCAGAGGCGGAATGAAGTGTCTTGCATAAGCCACCCATACCGACACATTCTTTGACACGCGCTGGTCTTTTCCAATAATACACTGTCCTAGTCCTACAGACTAGCGTCCCAAGGAGGCTAGTGCGCGAGCACAAGAAAGAGGACAAAGACCTATATCTCGTCAAGCGGAAGCTGTATAAAAAGCCCAACTTGTGTAAATCCTACTCAGCTAGTATACAGTAAGCTATCCTCCTAGGCCTTGTACTCTGAAAACTCACCAGGACATAGAAAAAATGAATCCCTCGCCTGCTAAACGCCCGCGGAGAACATCCACCCCCTCCCCTGAGCCTCGCCAGGGACCTTCCATCTCCCCTTCCCGCCAGCTTCCGCCTATACAAGGGACCCCTACGCTACCACCCCCCTTCGGCGGAAGCGCCGGCTGGAGCGCTAGGTGGAGAGGCGCGTCCAGGAGGTCGGGTGCGGAAGAATCCCCGTCGCCCAAAGACGAAGAGCCTATCGCTGGGCCCAGTACCAGCGGGTCCGGGTCCAACGCCGGTACGAGCGCACAGGGGTCGTCCATGGTTTTCACGCGAGACACGGGCGGAAGAGCGCCCAGAAGTATGATGGCATGTGTCAGATGTCGGCGGCAAAAGTAAGACCATGTCAGCCAACACCGTCTCGATCGCTGTGCTGACTTTTGGCTGTAGAATGAAGTGTGATGGGCCGTCCTCGGTGCCCTGTCGGGGCTGTCGCACGGCAGGCCAGCAATGCATCTTTGAACCTCGCTCCCGCCCGAAATCCATATCAGTCATCCCCTCCCGCCCATTCTACCCCGGCCGGCCAGGTTCACCAGCCTCATTCTACCCTCCAGGCGCCCAGCCTGCACCGCCCGTCACCTCCCGCCCTATGGGTCAAGAATACGCGTTTCGTCCCTCCAGCAGAGAACAGATGGGTCCACCCCCAGGCTCTACCATGGGCTCTGTATACTCTGGTATGACCAGCCGCCGCAGTCCCGGTCCGCCATCGATAGCGTCATCCGCCAACATCCCGCCAAGTCCATACGGCTACCAACCAGCCCCCCAAGCGCCTCCCCAAGTCATCCACCCCCCGCCATTTGCAGTACCTATCCCCCAACGTCCCATGTCGCCCACACGCACATCCACCGACGCCCGTCTACATGCGCTCGAACGCACCCTCGAATCCACCCTCCGTCCCCTTTCGTGGGTACCCAGCGCCCTATCCACACTACAATCGTCCGTCAACGACCTCCGCGCACAAGTAGCTCCCAGGCGTGTGTTTACAGTCGCAGAGAGTACGTGGGATTGTTACAGGACGAGGGTTTGGCCCCTGACGCCGTGGCTTGTCGGGTTGAGGGACGGCGCGGGTTTGCCGGGGATGGTGGCGGATATGATGGGCAGGCGAGCAGAGGAAGTCGCCAGAGCGGGTCAGCAGGGGCAAGGGACGAGTACGATCGGGCTGGAAGGGGAGGCGAGGAGGGAGGTGGGGAGGTTGATTGGGGAAGGAAGGGAGTGGGCAAAGGAAGAAGTGCATGGGTTGTGTGTGCTTGCGTAAGTCCATCCTGCACAACTTCTGCTTGCCCACCTAACAAAAAGTCAGGACGTGGACAAACGACAGAACGTATGCGGCATTGGCTGTGGCGGAAGCAAGATCGCTAGGCATGCATGCCCTCCGAAGAACTCAGGACGATTGGCGGGAATGGGCTTACGTTGTCATTATGGATACCATGTGAGCGCAGACCATTCACGCTATAGCGATCACTGATCAGTCTCGACAGGTGTCACGTTCCCGATTATCTCGAACCTATCACCCGCACAAGGCTTTCGGGCCCATGGCGTGACAGGCTGGGCTCGATGCCGACTTCGGATCCTGCCATCAGGGAGAGAGATTCAAGACTGCTGGCATGGATAGTGTACGCCGAGCTTCTCGGTGAAGGTGAGTTGAATGATGGGACGATGGTGGTCTGGCTAACATTGGGGCAGTTTTTCAATACCGCGAAACGCCAACCACGGGCAACGCTCTCGAGATGCGGGAAGAACGTCTCGTGGGTCCTTGGTCGCAATTTGGTCAGCACTGGGATGCTTGGGCATCCGAATTTGATGTTCGAAACGATCCGTGAGTACCCATTTGACTTGCGTTCCAAATCAGCTAACGCCTCGGTAGGATCCTTTCACTCTACCACATGTATGCTGTCTTGTTCACTGTCACACCCGTGTGCTTTGCGGACGACAGATCATGGGAAGAGCTTGCAACGTCTCCAGAAGGGCAGCAGTTACTGGAACGGGGCAAGGACGCCGCTATCAGCTTGATTCAGTCCATCTGCTCTACAGAAGTTGGCCGCACGCTTTCATAGTATGTTTCTCCCATTACCGAAAAGCATCAGCTGACCCCATTGAAGCTCCTTCCCGCTCTATAGACCCCTTCTCGCCTTGGCCGTTCTCCACCTCATATCCTTCGCTGCCGCCCTGCCTGCCGTCCCGGCCGTCCAAACTGCCCAAAGCAGCATCCTCCACGCCCTCCGCCAAGCGTACGAAACGCTCAATCTCCACGTTCCCCAGCGCGAAGCTCTCCCTGGTCCAGGGGCTGGTGTGGGTTTGGCATCCGGCACGGGAGGGGCAGGACAGGGTGCGACAGGCGGTCTATTAGGGGAGGTGGCAGAGACGGGGAGGTTGGAGTTGGGCAAGAGGTGGTTGGAGTTGAGTGTGGGGAGGGATGCGTGGAGGAGGATTGTGGGGTGATCGTGGCGAAGAGCATACCTTGGAGAGGTTAACGACAGGCCAGGATCATGAAAAGTAACGACAACTAGTTGTAACATCGTAATTTTGCTCTCTCTTGGTTGTGGCATAGTCATTCCGTCGAGTATTCTTCATCTCAGAGTCTCTTGATGGGCGGAAAGAATCGGCAAAAGAAAAGTAGTATCTCTCTTGTGTTTGATAGTAGCCTCGATAATTTCAGTACTGGCTACTGGGTACCCAGCATTGACGACACCATGCATAGTGCGATCTTCTTGTCATAGGGACAATTGCAAACATTTCCTCATGTCACGCTCAACTCTGACCGCTTTATCCCCAGCTCCAACCTTCCCGTCTCAAGCACCTCCCCCCGAATACAAAGAAATGCGATGGGAATGTGTTTTGTTCTGTTGTGGGAGCAGTTTCGTTGACACGATATGGCGAGAGTGGCTTGCTTGTCGGTTTTGAGCAGAGTAGGTAGGGATTGATTCGCTCCTAGCCGCTATCGCCTTATCATATCATCAAGGCTGCTCTCACGACAGACCAACACATGCCCATCGCAGATCACTGGAATCGTGAGCGGATCGCCAAAGACGATCGACGTCTCGAATACGTCAAGTCAGAGTTCAACATCCTCTGGTAAGTCTTGAAACATGCTATACTGAATTATACATACAAAGTAACAGCGCAAGATCCATCTATTTCCCCCTCTAGTTTTCCTTCTCCTTGACATCAAGGCCCTCAGCCTTCTCAGCGAGCTCATCAACGGCGGAAGCCTCGGCCTGAACCACCTCATCGCCCTCCTCCATCTTGACTTCCTTTGCCTGCGCCTCATAGTCCTCGTCGTCGGCACCCTCGACTCGGTAAAGGTAACCCTCAATCCAGCCAGAGACTTCTTCCTTGCCTTCACCAGACCAGCAAGATTCGAGGAAAGCGTCTCGACCGTTGGCATTCTTTTGCTGTTGGACGACTGTCAGCAATCTGTCACCTATTGATAAGGAATATAATGGCATACTTTTAATATGGGAAGACCACCTCCCTGCTCTTCTGGCAGCTCGACAAGCTTCTTGACGCATTCAGTCTTGTTGTTCATGATCGCATAGTGGAGAGGAGGCGAGCCGGCCTCGTTCGTGGCCGTCAGAAGAGAGGAGGGTACAAGCGGGAGGATGTACTCGAGCACATCTGAGTAACGATCAGTGGACACTCCTGCGTGCACTAGAGTTCAAACTTACCAAGGTGCCCATTGCCGCAGCACATGTGCAGAACGCTGTTTCCCCGCTCATCCCTGCCTTCCGCAAGAGCCTCTTTCCCGAACTCGTCCACGAACGCTTTGAGATCGTCCAAGTCGCCGAATCTGGAAGCGAGGATAGCGTCTTCAATTTGATCTTGGGTGGGTTTTGTTGAGGCCATTTTGGGTGATTTTGTGCAGGAAAATGAGGGAGGAGTATGGACAAAAAAGTTGATGCAAGAGAGGATGCGCGGGGGGGAGGGCGGACTTCGCCGCCTCGACGGTCATCATATGTATGTAGAAATCGCAGTCCGTCATTTCCTCGTATGAGTGGTATGGAGTAGCTGCTCAACGATGCGTATTCGAGTTGCTGTGGGATGGGGTCCTCCTGAGATATATCGTTTCGACTTCGCATGAATTGTACAGCGATACGTTGAGCATAACTCAACATGGTGGCAAACCACGTGACCGCGATGACGGACCGCGATCTCGATGCAAGTCCAGTCAACCGTACAACTGCTTTCTATCTTTGAGTTGCCCCCATGAGTGTGCAGACGTTCGACAATGGCCCCAAAGGCAAAGAATAACCAGCCAGCCCAGAAAAATACCCTCCTGGGATTCCTCAACAAGGGCTCCGAGTCGCCCACCAAGAATCAATCGAGCCATGTCGTGCCGGCAGAGCGACCGGTCAAACGAGAACTAGAAGAAGCCGTCGCTGGACCCTCCAGGATCGTCAAGACCCCTAGCAAAGGTAGCCGAAAGGGAAAAGGGAAAGAAACACAGGTGGACGGGTCTGCTCATGATCCTGTAGTCATCAGCGACGACGATGACATCGAGCTTCTTTCTCGCCCTGTGAGCCCAAAACGTCGCAAGACAGCCAAAACGACAACGCCTGCGGTGAAGAAGCCCGCCTCCCCAAACTTCCCCGTCTTTGCGGGCTACCCCGATTTCGAGCCTCCCCCGTCATGGCCCAAGGTCATCAATACCGCCGCTATCGACGATGAAGATGGTGTCCCACCGAGCGATGAGGATGACGCGAGGGATCAGGACCCCGAAGATGGGCAGCTGGAAGAGGATGATTCAGGGGTGGAGATGGAGGATGATGAGCCTAGGCATCCAGCGAGAGGGATGGGTCTGAGCCGATCTGGGTCTGGTGTTGAAGGAAGCTTGGGTGGTATGGACTGGGAAGAGCCCGATGAGGGAATGGGCATGGAAGATTATGGAGACGAAGAGGATGAGCCGCTTTCCATGAAGGATGGTGGTAAATCCTCTCGACCTATATCATCCTTCTCTTTTACCCCACCGGCAGAATCGTCGCCGCCCCCACCGCCTCCGACGAAAGGCCCGAACGCTTTTTCATTGCTCATGTCTGGCCACAAGGAGCGTGAGCAGTGGAAAGTGGCCGAAGATGATCTGAGGCGTGACGGGAAGAGAGTGGTCGGAAGAAGGAAGGCGCCCTTCTACAAGGTCCTGACGGGCATGCCGGTAGCTGTCGACGCATTTCGCTACGGCAAGATCCCTGGTGTCACCGCCTACCTTCTCACGTAGGTCATTCATCGTTGGTATTGACTAGCACTTACATTGCATAGGCATGCTCATTCGGATCACTATACCAACCTCTCCAAGTCCTGGACACACGGTCCCATCTATTGCTCTGAAACGACGGCCAACCTCATTGTCCACATGCTGCAAGTAAACCCCAAGTATGTGCATGGTCTCCCCGACAACATCCCTTTTGAAATGCCCAATACCGGCGGAGTCAAGGTAACGCCTCTAGAAGCAAATCACTGTCCGGGTTCCTCGATATTCTTGTTCGAAGGGCCTCAAACAGTAAATGCGGGTGATTCGGGGTTTGCAAGCGCATATGTCGGTACCAAGAGGATCTTTAGGTATCTCCACTGTGGGGACTTTCGAGCGTGAGTTTTTTATCTCCTTGTGTGATGGGGCTGACGAAACGAGCAGAAATCCGAAAATGGTTCTCCATCCTGCTATCGCCCGTGCCCCCATACACACCTGTTATCTCGACACAACATATCTCAACCCGAAATACTGCTTCCCTCCGCAGCCTCTCGTCATCTCCGCCTGCGCTACTTTGGCCCGACGGCAAATAGTGGGCGAGTCCCTCTCTGCGCCGAGTTTGGAAGAGGTCAAAAGAGGAGAGGTGACGGGGGTGGGTCTCAGTGTGGGCTCGGAGGGGTTAAGTGGCAAAGGCAATGTGGTGGTGAAGGGCGAAGATGGGAAGGAGACTGTTGTGGAGGCGGTGGTGAAGAAGGAGAATGGGGCGGAGGAGCGGGATAGGATGCAGGGATGGCTGGTGAAGAAGGAGGTCAAAGATGAAATCAAGGGTGAAATCGTGGATGAGGAGTTGAAAAGTGTCAAGAAAGAGAAGAAGAAGGGACGGACTCTTGTAGTCATCGGGACCTATTCTATAGGTAAAGAGAGGATAGTGAAGGGTAAGTGTGTTACTCTCTGGAGACGTCATTCCTGACATCTGTACAGCCGTTGCGAAAGCTCTAGGGTCCAAAATTTACTGTGATCCGCGGAAGCGGGGCATCTTGCTATGCCAAACAGATCCCGAACTTCATTCCATGATGACCTCGGATCCCAAAGAGGCAAGTACTCACACTCTCATAGGGACGTCACTGACCTTTGTTCCAGGCCCAGGTTCACCTGCTCCCACTTGGCAACATCCAAGCCGACCGTCTCCATCCCTACCTCGCCAACCTCCATCCCCACTTTGACCGTGTCCTCGGATTCCGTCCCACCGGCTGGAGTTACTCTCCGCCGGCAGGGGTGGATATGATGCCGGATGTGAATACGGTTATAAGACGGGATCAGGCGAGGAGGTTTGGCGAGGGAGATCTGAAGCCAATGAGGGGAAGTGGGAAGGATTTCATGATGTATGGTGAGTAACACTCCTTCACTCCTTTTAAATGTAGAACGCGCGCTGATGGTTGCAGGGGTGCCGTATTCGGAGCACTCGAGTTTCTTCGAATTGACTTGCTTTGCATTATCGCTGCCAGGCCCAGACCTTAAGATGATAGCCACAGTCAACGTCGGTAACGAAAAGAGGCAAGCCCCTATTTCTTTCTATGAGGCGTTTCTGACCTGCCACCAGTCGAGCAAAGATGAAAAAGTGGTTTGAAAAGTGGTTGACTGAGAAGGCGAGGAGGAAGGAAAAGAAGATGCCTGCGGTCGTCGAGTATCGGGACGAGACGTTTTGGTAGACACGTCGTGTTGTACAAGATCTGATAGGGACGATAGGGACGGGTTATGATGGCGCATTTGTTGTTTGTTCTGGCATGCATTCTCCCTGTACCTGTATCCTTACCAATGTAGTGGGACAATCTACAAAACCGCTAACAGAAAGCAAAAAGAACAGAAAGCAAAAGGAAAAAGAGTAAAAGGAACAGATATCAAAAAGAAACTTCCCAACAGGGAATCGAACCCTGATCTCCCGCGCAATACAATTCTGTAATGACAAGCGAGCATACTGACCGTTATACGATTGAGAATTAGACGTTTGGGACGTATTTGCAAGTTATACGTCGTGAATCACATTGTCCAGGACATCATCAGGGCCCGAGTTCGATGTCATCTCAAGTTTGTTCACCTTTCCAGCAACATGGCCTCGATGATAGAACGACTCATGGGCAAGGGGCCACAGAGCAACGACAGCTCTCCCTACCGCCCCCAACGCGAGCCGCTCCCCTACGAAGTACCGGATCCCAACGGGGTCGCATGGCTGCTCCGCTTGCCTGATGAGCTCCTGGAAAAGGTGTTCGAAAACATCGACAGAGCCACCTTCGTCAGGTGTCATCGGGTATGCTCTCAAATAAACGACTTTCTCAGCGGCAACGCCTCCATGAAGCTTCAAAACCTTCTACAAACTGCCTCGCTCCATCTCAATCCCAACGCGCTCAAGCCCAACACCTCCAACCCTCACCTCGTACCCCCCTCCCGAGCCTTCCTTCTGGACCAGCTTCGAGAGCGCTTGACTCGCTTCAGGACGTTCGATCACAAGGAGCCCGAGACTGTCAAGTTTGAGGAACGAGAGGGGCGTCTCTACGAATTCTTGGAAGGCATCCTGATGAGGAGTATCCCACCGCCAGACGCAAATCCATGGACGAGAGCGATTGGGCGAGAAATGGGAGTTTACGAGTTTGACAAGATGAGAGAATGGGAGGACGTCAAGGATGGGGATGAGCAAGACGACTCGTCCGTAGTCGAAAGCGATGTCGTCGATGTCGAAGAGCAAGAAGAGTATGGCCAATTCAGGCGTGTGACAAAGCTTGACTTTGATATGCTCGACTTTACATTCGACCCTGGTCAAGACTTGTTTGTCGCAGCGCAGTTTGTGATCTACAAGGCGGGGGATAACCCATACATCAGCTCAAAGTGAGTAAACTGCTCTCCGTAAGCGACTTTCACTGATTGATGTAGGCCCGGGTTCCAAGATCCTGGCAATGTCCCAACTTCCATGATCCTTCTCCATCTCTTGACAATCTCAACGTTCCAACCACATCCAATGGCGAAAGACCCCGTTATCGTATGGCCTGGCATCAGTCTCAAGACACAAGCTCCATCGATGGGATTCCAGATCTGCGATGACGGGTTGTACGTGATGAGGAACCAGAGCACTGGATTTGGAGGAAGGGACATGCTTTGTGGATGGCAGTGGACTACTGGTCGGCACGCTGTGGTGAGTGCGACCATCTTGATACATTGATCGTAACTCACACTCGTTAGACATTGACTGCCTCAAATGCGTCAACCTTCGAGTCGTTTGTCATGCTCAGCCCATCTTCTTTCGCCATCCCATCTGTCAAGACTGCTATCCGCCAAGAAGCAGATATCGTGGATACGATGCCGAGTCACACCGACCTCCTCTTTACTCATCATCTCCACATCTATGCTTTCCCGCCTCTTTCCTCAGCGACATTCAGGGCGGGCGAGCCAGTTCCACCACCCCATACTGCGACACACGTAACCACTATCGACATGCCCGAGTTTGTCGTCGACTTTGATGATCAAATACCTCCTCCTCGCATGACTATCCGAGCCGATCCTCCGCCAAGGTATACGTTCCCTACCTACCCGTTGGCCAACCCTCAACCATTTGTGCCGGACCCTGAAAGCGGGGTCTTTATCATCGAATTCTACTGCCAGCCTTATTCAGACGTGCCCATCCACTATGTCATGTTTATCATGCGGAAGACGCTGTTACAGTACCTTCCTGCACCAACAAGTCCCCTGCTCTATCAGTCATTTACCCGGCCCGCCCCCGTTGTGTCATTCTCCAAGATTGCGCCAAAGTGTAGACTGCTTGGACCTCACCAAAAAGTCCCTTGTGAGTAGATACCTCCGATTTTGAATAGCTAGGCTGACATGTACCAGCTTGGGTTTGCTACGTCTATCAGGACCGTTACGTTGCCAAGGAGGAAATCCCAATCGGTAACAAATTGTTGCTGTACGATTTCAACCCTCTCCGTGTCCGACAAGCTCTCCAGGATCCCAACATTGCGGTTCAGCTGCAGAGCGGGGCTTTGGAAGTGATGAATCAAGAGACGGTCATCGAGGCGCACAAAGACTATGAGTTTAGTGTGTTGGCTGAAAAGACGGTAACGGGGAAGGAGCTGCCTTGTTTGGTCACCAAACATAAGCAAGCCTTTGAAGGCGAAGATGATGAGGTTGATACCATCATCATCGACCAAGAGAGGATTATCGTCTTCGATGTGAGCGCAATCAATAAGCTGTGGGATGATTTGCTGACTTTTCCCAGGACGCAGAGGAGCTGGAGGCGCGCTACATGCGTGTAATGGAGTTTTAGAGCCGTTGTCTGGTGCCGCATCGTCAGCATGTATCATCCATTTGCAATCAACACCCTCATTGCCCACTTTGGGCCAGAATTGGCGCTTTTCCGACTCCCGCAGTGCGGTTCCCTATTCCACCCAGCTTTGTCATGTAGCAGCGGGATCGATGGCAATCGGTAGGCAACGACCAGTGCGTCCGTCGCCAAGCGTTGACAGTAATAACTCGAGTGTCCATACATCCGTAATTATGCGCGCGTATAGCTATCGAGACAAAGGTAGTAGGGCGACAAGGTTTGCGAATGTTGAGAGTACATATATGGAACAAATGGAGCTACATGCTCATGGATAGTGGCCAGGGGATAGGGGCCAGACGTTATGTCGGTCGAAAGGATGAAATCATAGAGTCGATCTAATAGTAACATGGAACTTGGCCAACGAGGATCCCAGTCGGTGATGGTTGTCCGATGAAGAAGAAAGTATGGTAGGATGAAAGAATAGGTGGCATTGTGCGTTCGAGAGCCTCGCTGGCCCGAGTCTGATGATAGGTCAACTGCGTTCGAAACCACATACGGAAGGCTTACACAACCCACTAAAACATCCTCAACCCCTGCCCAACGCTCCTCTGCTCTCCATTCCCACTCCTCATCCTCATCATGCTCATCTTCTTCAGAGCAAAGCCCTTCAAAGTCCTCTTGCCCTCTTTGGGATTTTGCTCTTGTTCCTTGTCTTGCACCGTAGGCTGGGTAGGGTTGTACTTTCCAAGACTCTGTGTATTGCGACTCATCCTAGACAGGTTTGGAGACAGAGGCGCTAAAGGCCCACGGCCAGTCTTGTCCTTTGTCGGCGCACGTCGAAGAGATTTGGGATAGGCAATGGAGGATGGGTCGTTCTCTCGCATCCTCTTTGGGGCCGGAGCGCGCTTGGATTTCAGGGAACGGTGGGGAGGGGTGGTAGGGTCGATGATCGAGTCGTCGTCGTTGTCGTCAGACATGTCGGAGATGGTGATACCGGGGATACTTCCATTCGGGCTAGAAATCACCACGCTCGCTCTCTTGGAGCCCTTGGACACCTTTTGAGGGCCATTTTGTGCGGTAGGCATGCAATCTACTGGCTCAACCACTGGCTCGACCACATGTCGAACAGACTCCTCGCTCGCCCGGATGACCAGCGAAGGCTGAGACCAAAGAGAAGGGAGTGATTCAAAAGTCTCGTCCCTCCCGCTCAGCATCTCAACATCACTTGACGCCTTTAGACTTTCCCGGCGAAGATTGATGGGTCCAGAGTCGTCTCCGGGGAACGAAAAGTCGAGAGAAGTATCTGATCGTACCGGGTCGAGGTTGTCGAGCTCGTGGAAGGTGTCGGCGGTAGCGGTAGCTTGAGAATACTCGGACTCGAAAGACATGAGACTGTGATCTTGCGGCACATACTGGCTGACCTCTTCGGATGAAGTCGAGAGGTCGCTCTTCGCGGGCGACTCTGCGAGTACAGGTATCTGTCGAGGAAAGGTCTTGTCGTAGTCAAACATAACCTTGTCAGGAATACGGAAGGGATTGGCAACGGTCTCGACAAGGTTGGCGTCCTCATGCTCGGGGCCGATGGAGGCGTCGTCGATGATATTCGTGATAGACACCCTAGAGGTATCGGAATGGTCCGGGGTCGCAATCTCTGGACTAAGCACAGGCGTTTGGTACGCCTCCTTCGTCGTCACATCGGGATACAAGCTTGGCGGAGTAAGAGGCACCTTGTCCAAAGACACATCTTGCGCCGCATCATAGTATACTCCTGTACTGTCCGACATCCACTCAAAAGATGTGTCTGCAGCAGCCGTGTCGCGGGCTTTGGTGTCGTGGTTCTCCTTGTAGGAAGAGGAAGAAACAGCGGCCGATGCCATAGCTTGGGACAAGCTCTCCAGATTGAGGTCCGCATCAAGTTTCAGGCGCTTGATATTCTTCCCGCTAGCGCTTCGGAACCTGGCAAAGCTCTCGTCAAACACATCCTCTCCCTTCTCCCGAGTGGAGCGCATGGCCGGCTCGGAGGAAGGTTTACTCGGCTTTTGTGTATGGCCGGGTGCGCGGTGGAAGGGGTCGTCCAGCTGGCCGTTCGCCGTGGTGGCCTTTTTGCTGCTCGGGATGCTCACATCTGGGTCGCCCACGGACGGCGTGGGAGTGCTCGGGGAGCCGAAGGATCGAGTGATCGCACTAGACGAACGAGATTGCAAGAGGCGAAGGGGCTTGAGCCCGCGGGATTTCCAAGAAGACGTGGTGTTGATGGATGAGGACGAAGATGTGGGTTCGCGATGCTGCCGAGTCATCAGCACTGTAATACATAGAACGGAAGGGCGCTCACGTTGTAAGATGAAGCGGGCGGTGTCATGGGGTTCTTGCTGGAGACAGGGAAAGACGGAAGAGTGGGAGAGTCCATCTGGGCCCTACGGACAGCCTCGATCTGTATACATTTCAGCTGATGACATACTTGACCGAGTAAGAAACGAGCCTTGGTCTGACCTTTGGCCATCAGAGCCACAAACTCCTTCTTGCGTTGCTGGAAGACAATCTCCTCCTAGACTCGCTGGTCAAGACAGGCAAGGCAAGATAAGCAAGAAACGTACCGCAGTCATGCTTGCATCGTCTGAAGGCTTCATATCGTCAACGATAGCAAATATCTCAGAGTCGGGAGACTGTTGGTCTTGAAGGAGCTCCACTTTGCCCGCGTGTTCGGCATCGATCTGCAAAAGTCAGCCAGAAGGCTCTTGGACTCGCCTAGCGATGTGACAGACCCTAGCTTGTCCTTGCGCAAGCCTGGCCATAAACTTCTCTCTCTTCCCCACTTTATCGAGCTGATAGTCGACATTATGGTGCTTTGGCTGTACCAATCAGCATCCCACCCTCAAGTCTAGGGCGAAATCTCACCTTTCGAGGAGTGCGCAAAGAACGAGGGAGGCTGAATGCAGGCTTGTCGGTCTGGCCAGAGAGGGTAGTCATGGATTTGGCGGAGACGAGTGGACGTTTGTCTCGGGCGAGACGTTCGCGCTCGACGTCGATCTGATGGGTGTCAGCATTGTATGCGAAAAGTAGGACATAGGACAGACCTTGATTTGCCCTTCGGCCATCAGAGCGATAAACTCGGCACGACGTTCTTGATGAAGGCGATGGGCCATCGCCCTCTCGGCCTGTGACAACGGCTCAGTTCATTTCGGGATGGATAATGGGAGGCATACTTCAAGGTCGGCAGATGACTTGGGTGTCCACGGGGTCTTGAGGTTGCGCAAAGACCGAGACTGTGCGATGTCAGTGATGGCTGGTGGAGGGTTGGTTAAACTTGCCTTGGTGGGAGTGTGTGGAGAAGAGGAAGCGTCAGGCATGAACACAAGGTCGCTAGGTGGAGATGCGGAGGATGCTTTGAAGCGCCTGAGCGTGGGAGAGTCTTCTCTGGGGAGTGGAGAAGAAGGGAATCTCATCTGTGATGCCATCAGCTGGGTACAGTAGCGGCCATAGAGACAAACCTTTCGCTCTGCCGCAGCGAGTCTGTTCTTGAAATCGGCCTTTCTCTGCTTGCCCGAAGACTGGACAGGCTACCAGTCTTTGTCAGAATACACCTCCATGACCCAAAAGCACTGACCGTCTCGTTCTGCGCAAAGTTGATCTCTACCGACATGCTCCTCACATGTTTGTCCTTTTCGAGCCTCTCGAGCAGATTAGGGAGGTCGGACTGGGCGACGTGGGCGTGTTTCGATGAAGAATGAGCGGGCTGTCCCTTGTTGGATACGGGGGCGTGAGAAGGTTGGGAGGGGAGAGAGGAGGTAGTTGAGACGGGAGGGCGGGCGCGGGAGTAGGAGTTTCCCATGGCGGTAAGGAGGGTGGTGTAGTAGAGAGCGTGGCGTCCCGGAGGATGAAGGGTGGGTAATTAGTCACAGTGAAGGCAGAGAAAGAAAACGAGAAGAGGGAGGGTCAGTGTTGTTTGTGTTCATATATAGGGCCGGTGAGAGGGCAAAGGGGGCGGGCCGGTGTGACTTTTGGATCGGAGTACCATTGTTTACGGTATGGATCCCTGTGGTACACGGTGAGGCTGACGTGATATTGCAGCAGGGTATTTGAGTACCTAGGCTGTTTTGTGGACGTGCAAGAAATGCAAAAGAAATGGCACCGGTTGACTGGACTCTCAAACGCGTCGCGTCGAATGGCTGCACCGTGCCTGGGTACGCGTCCATCATCACCGCGCATGTTTGCCAGTCCAGTCACCTTCCCGCACATCACCCAACATGGACCACAGCCCACTCCGCTTCCCCAACATCAAGGGCTACCGCATCGGCGTGGAAATCGGCGGCGGCGGCTTCTCCAAGTACGCCCCCCATCCCACCCACCAGCAGCGCTGACATCGTCCCAGGGTATTCCGTGCAGTCGACGACAACACCAACCAGCTCGCAGCCTGCAAAGTAGTCAACATCTTTGTCAACCCCAACTCGGTCCACTCGGCTCCCAACGTCAAGGAACTGCAGAAGGAGGTGCAGGTGCACAAAGCTTTGAAACACCACTATGTGCTAGAGTACCTTCACCATGAGCTGGTAGCCAAGGAGAAGGAGAGGGAGGGGCTCGTACCGGGACTGTACATCCTGTTGGAGCTGGCTGTTGGTGGTGATCTGTTTGATAAGATTGGTGGGTGTCTGCGAGTATGAGGGGATGTCGCGCTGATGGATGTACAGCGCCCGATGTCGGCGTCCCAGAGGACCTCGCCAAATTCTATTTCGCCCAGATGTGTTCTGGCATGGTAAGGCCTACAGCTTCACTTGTGCATCCCAAACTCACATACCGCAGGAATTCATCCACTCGAAGGGCATTGCCCATCGCGACCTCAAACCCGAAAACCTCCTTTTGGCCGCGAACGGCAACCTCAAGATCACCGACTTTGGCCTGTGTGCCGTCTTTAGACATCAAGGCAAGACGAGGCTCTTGAGCGGAAGGGTTGGAAGCTTGCCATATGTGGCGCCTGAAGTGGGTCGTTCTAGCTGCGATGGGCGTGAACTGATGAGTGGCAGATTAATGGGTTGCCGGGCACGGGATACGCTGCTGAGCCGGTGGATATCTGGGGTATGGGTGTTGTCCTCTACACTCTTCTGGTAGGAAGTGAGCCCCCCATCTACCGTGCCGATAACGCAGCTGATATTGCCAGATACACCATGGGATGAACCCGGAGACAACAGCCCCGAATTCTGCGCTTACCGCACCGGCGAACTGCTCAACTATGACCCCTGGACGAGAATACGTGGACAAGCACGAGGTAAGGTACTCCTCCACCTTGATATTGCAGTGCTGACATCGAGTAGCCATCCTGCTGAGCATGCTCCACATTGATCCCCAACAACGTATCACCATCGAAGGCATCAAGCAGCATCCTTGGTGCATGACGTGTGTACCCCCATGTCATCTCCGTGCTTGTATACTGATAGTCTCCTACAGTCCCAGTCAGCTGCACCGCGAGCAGATTCCAGAGGCCTTGACACAAGGTCTTCGAGGTGCGGGTATGATGACCTATGCCGATCCCACTTTCAACTCTGGTGCTTCTCAGGCATACACTTCCCAGTATGTCACCTTCCTATCATATGACTATAGTGTGGCTAATGGCTGGGTGTGCAGGCGAAACCAGAGGATGGCCAGCCAGACGGGATTCTTCAACAAGGAAGAGTCGCAATTCATGCGTGGTACTGGTAACATTGTATGCCTTCTCTTTTCATTCCTACACGGCAATACTGACGCCCATGATTTACAGACCCAAGCTGGTGATCTCATGTCCATCACCACCCGTTTCTGGCTCTCCCTCTCCCCCCCCAACGCCCTCCAACTCCTCTCCTCCTACCTCACCTCTTCCCTCGGTGCCAAAAACGTCCGTCTCACCCTGTCCAAAGACCCATCCACAGGCCGGGTGGCGGAAGACGGTTCTGCGGGGGGTAATATCACGGTGGTCAAGCTGGCGGGGAATAATAGGATGGAGGGGACGTTTATTGTGAGGGGAAATGATAGTTTGGCGGCGGAGGGGCAGAGTTTGGTGGTTATGCGCCGTGGAAAGGTGAGTTAGCATTCCATCTTTGATTGGATGTTTGTGTTGCTGACGGGCGCCAGGGATCGTTGCTGCATTGGAGATCGTTCTGGTGGTCGGTGGTTCGGGCTCAAGAGTTGGAGCAGTATATCGTAAGGGGTGATGAGTAGGGAAGCGTGTAGAGTTGATTTGCATCTCTGATCGATAAGCATGGACATCTTGTTTTACACTATGGCATGTAGACGAATAAGAGTAAGAGCATGCACCGTACGATGCATTGTCGTAAGAGCGCCAGAACGAAGACGTTTGAAAGCCATGACGCCGCCTGGTCGGAGATACGGGATCAAATTCGTGGTTCAGGGTTGTATGACGAGGGGTTGTTCTCGCGCTGTCTCGTATCTCTCTGCCCACCGCCGCATCCCCCGCCATGCAGCAGAACCAGTGGGGGCAGTACCCCTACAACCAGCAACAGCAGCCCCAGTTTCTCAACACACAGCCCACAGGCTTCCAGTCCCTCCAGCCAATGCAGACCGGCTTCAACCCAGGCCAGCAGCAGCAGCGCCCCCAGCCCACCGGCAACGTCTCCATCCCAGGCGGCCAGCCCAACAACTATGCCTTCCTCAACCAGCCCCCTGCCACCGGCTTCCGCCAGGGCCTCACCCCGCAGATGACTGGCTACCCAGGCGCTCAGGGCACCGGGTCCGGTCTCATGCCCCAGCAGACTGGCTTCTCCAGCGCCGGAAACGCGCGCATGATGCCCCAGCAGACGGGCTTCCAGGGCAGTATGATGTCCCAGCCGACCGGCATGATGTCGCAGCCCACGGGGATGGGTGGTGCCGGCATCACCCCGCAGCGAACAGGGTTCCAAGGCGGATTGATGTCGCAGCCGACCGGGATGCAGGGTCTGCAGGCGCAGCCGACCGGTATGCCGCATGACCCCAGGCTGCAGAGTATGATGCAGAGTTTCCTGCCGAGCAACTTGTCTCAAGTGAGTGACTTTTTGGTATAGCTGGATGGCCGCGTTGACGATTTTGATGCACAGCCTTTCGCTTCAGGCATCCCTCAATTCGCCCAGCCGGCGCAGCCTCTCCAGCAAACGTTCAACTCGCTCCTCCAGAACCCATCGGTCAACACTCCCAAGATCCCTTGGGTTCTTTCGCGCCAGGAAAAGAAGGACTATGACCAGATTTTCCGCGCGTGGGATACTACTGGTCAGGGTTTCATCTCTGGTGATATGGCAAAGGAGGTATTTGGACAGAGTGGTTTGGGGCAAGAGGATCTGATGAAGATCTGGCAAGTGTCATTTGCTCCAGAATCCGAACCATTCTAATGAGACTGCAGGAACTTGTCGGACGTGGACAACAGAGGCAAGCTCAATCTCCCCGAATTCCACGTCGCCATGGGTCTTGTCTACCGAGGTCAGTACTGCATGCCCATCTTGCGAGTTTTCAACTGACTTGGCATGCAGCTCTCAACGGAAACCCAATCCCCGATACTTTGCCCGAAGAGCTCGTACCGGCATCCATGCGCGACATTGACTCCACCGTCAACTTTATGAAGGATCTCCTCAAACACGAGTCATCTGCATCTCGCTCTGCCACCTCTTCTCCCGGCTATGCTACTCCTCGTGACACAAGCAAAGACGCTCTTCTCTATAAACACTCGGATGACGTCTCCACTACCTACAAGCCTTCGTCGAGGCATCTGGACCGCAAGTCTGTGCGCTATGCCGGTGAAGACCCCGATGCTGGCTTGAAAGACATTCGTCGCAAGCTCGAAAACACATCTACCTTGCTCGAAAAGTCTTCCGAGAAGAGCATAGAGGACGAAGAACTCGAGGAAGAGGTGGAGACTCTCCAGTACCGTCTCAAGCGTATTCAAGAAGACATCGAGTACTGCTCCAAGGGACGCAGGACTACCGAGAAGGACGAGGAACGCCGCAAGCTTGAGCGAGAACTGCTTTTCTTGATGCACGAGAAGCTGCCCGAGCTCGAGAGGAGGCAGGAAAGGAGAAAAGAGGAAAAGGCCATGGAGGAGAGGGCTGGTGTCCGACGCCGAGACGACAGAAACCGAACACATTCCCGATACGACGCCCGGGACAGTAGGGATGATTACGGTGGCTACCGCGGCACCTTTGACAGAGAGAAGGAGAAGGACAGGTACGACCGTGGCGTCAGATATGACGACTACGACAGGCGCGATAGGGACCGGTCACGAGACAGACGCGATGACTATGATCGTTACGACCGTGACCGTCGTGGCTCGAGAGAAGAGCGAGACCGATATGACCGTCCTCGATCGCCTGTCGCGGCGCGATCACCGCCGCCTGCTCCTCCCGCGCCGTCGGCTGCTGCAACGTCTACCTCTGCCCCGCCTCCTCCTCCTGCTCCGACCTCTGCGGCTGCGGTGCCCAGCACCAAGAACATGACTCCCGAGGAGCGCAAGGCATTCATCCGTGAACAGGCTCAGCGCCGAATCAACGAACGTCTTCGTTCGCTTGGTATCGAGAGCGAGACCAAGCAGGACGAAGTCGACAGTTCCGTTCAGGACAGACTTGAAAAGGAAAAGAAGGAGGCTGAGGAACTGTCGCGCAAGGCGGATGAGGAGCAAAAGGAGAGGGAGGAAGCGAGGAGAAAAAAGTTGGCGGGAGTGAACGGTGCCGAGGACCTGCCGACGGACAAGCCTGCCTCTCCTGCTCCATCTGCGCCCTTGAAGAGTGCTCTGAAGAAGCCGCCTCCCCCAGCGCCTGCCCCTAGAGCCAAGCCCCCTGCGCCCGCACCTCCTGCCTCCAGGGCGCCTGCTCCTGCCCCTCCCGCTCCTACCCCAAGAGCCCCTCCCGCTCCCAAGGTGCCCGAAGAAGACCCCGAGGAAGTCGAGTTCCGTCGATTGGAAGCAGAGGCAGCTAGGAAGAAGGAGGAGAGGAAGAAGAGGCTGGAAGCTATGCAAAGAGAGGAGGAGGAAGAGAGGCAAAAGGAAGAGGAGCTGTTGGCTGCTAGGAAAAACAGAAGCTTGGGCCCTAGCCCTGCTGCCGCATCCCCTGCCCCTCCTTCGCCCGCCCCTCCAGCCCCGTCAGCCCCGCCAGCCCCGCCAGCCCCTCCTGCTCCCCCTGCAGCTGAGCAAGCATCCGGCTCTTACAATCCTTTCAGAAAGCCCGGAGGTGCTCCAGCCGCATCACCTGCTCCCGCGTCAGGCGGCTTCAATCCATTCTTCAAGCCACCTGCTGCTGCCGCGACGGCTTCTCCTGCCGCAAAGTCGCCCGAGTCCTCCGTGTCCACACCTGCGCCAGAGACAGCCCCTCCTCCTCCTCCCCCTCCACCTGCGCCCCCTGCGCCCCCGGCGCCTGCCCCGCCAGCCTTCCAACCTCCTCCCAGGGCGCCTCCAAGTGAGCCAGAGTGGGAAGACATTACCGAAAAGCAAGCCGATGATTCCGACTCTGACTCTGATGACGAGTTTACTTCTTCTCGCGCTGGTCGTCAAGGTCTTGCTCAGGCACTGTTTGGCAACATCATGGGTGGATCAGCACCATCGCCGACTACATCGAGACCTGGGTCAGCGGCTCCCAAAGCTGCCCCCAAAACTTTGAACGTCGGTGGCGGTGATCCTGGACAGGGTATGAGCGCGCTGCTGTCCTCTATTCAGGGCGGTGCTAGATTAAAAAAGACACAGACTGTCGATAAGAGCAAGCCTCCCGGCGTGGGATCAGTCATTGGCGATGCTGCTCCCCCGGCTCATATCAGCACCACACCACGAGAACACGCGCCTCCTCAGGCGCAGGAAGCTCCTGCCCATGCTGAAGAACGCGCCCTTTCCCCTGCGCCTGCTTCTGACGATTCTTATGTCGGCGGCAACCCCAATAGACAGAGTGTGGACTGGTATGCTGGGCTGGCAGCGGACGCCACCCATCCGGCGGCCAGCGTTGGCGAAACCTCCGTGCTTGAACCTACGAAAGAGGTCGAAGAGGAGCAGGAGGCGCACCAGAGCCTTGGAGGGCCGGAAGTTGTTGTTGACAAGGCCGAAGATGAGGACGAGTTTGACCTTTCAACGAGTAAGTCGGGTCTACTCTGCATCTAGTCAAAATGCTTATTGATTTTGTAGCTCTCCGAGTCAGGTCATTGTACGAGTTTGTCGGCACGAGAGACGTCGACGTCAGCTTCAAGGAAGACGTCGTCATTGACGCTCATCCTGCCAAAGACCCGAGCAGCCTCTGGTGGTACGGTACTGTGGTGAAGGACCAGTCCAAGGGCTGGTTCCCTAGCAACTACGTTGAACAGATCCAAGGTGAGTCCTCAAGTGGCTGAATTAGACCAGCACTCACGCCTCCTCAGCCGTCCCCGCCCAGGCCCTGTACTCGTACGCCCCCGAAGAGGCCGATCAGCTTCCTTTCGCCGAAGGCGACAAGCTCTCCGTCATCGACCACTCAGAGCCCGACTGGTGGAAGGTCGAGCATTCTGGTGTGATCTTCTTGGTCCCTGCTGCCTATTTGGAACTCCAAGGTTAGTGTCCTAGCCCCCTCTCTCCCCAGCAATGAGAGGATGTTCACGTTGTTTGACGCAGGCTAAAATGTGTTTTTTTCTACATTATATTTTGAATATTTACTCTGTCCCCATGCCGTTCACGAATGTCCCCTTCTACACCTCAAAACCCGCCAAATCCTCGAACGCAACTATGAATATACCAATGACTCTCGGCTTGATACCCCAATACATGGTTTGGCATTCTCTTACAGGTCCGGCTAATGGAGTTACAGAGACGGCCCCAGTTATGCCTACTGACCGCAACCTTTCACCAACCGTGACCATTAGCGAACAGACAGAACAGCCACAGTCCCCCAACGAGCTTCAACCTCCCCGAGCATCTGCCACACTTCTTCAAAGCCCCTCGTCTCCAAAATCAACTCAGACACCTGGTACTCCCCAAATCCGCAATCGACCTCGGGCAGCATCAACCCTTTCGGTGACCAGTACCACAGCCTCGCGCCCGCCCTCATTCATTTCAGAAGACGAGGACGATCAAGGTGATAGCTCGTCTGATGATTCAATGTTGAGCTGGTGGTCTGACGACTCGTCGGATGACGACGAGGCCGTAGAAGAAGAGACCAGTGAAAAGGCGGAGAACAGGCAGGGCAACGATACAACCCCCAAAGCCAAAAAGACAAGAAGGTCTGCCCCGAAGCCGCCTACCAATCCTGAGAAAGAAGCAGAGCGTAAACGCCGAGAGGCTCAGCGTCACTCCTTACTTGCCGCCGCCGGTCTGCAAGTGACGCGAGAGCCATCAGTCAGGAGGGCTGCGCCTGCTGTCCCAGGTGGAAGAAAGAGGCGGCATGCTCCTGCTGTTCCAGAAGGTAGAAGGCGGGGCAAAAACCTGCCTCCGATTCCCGATGAGCAGCATGAGAAGGGTGAGAGGCTGGATACGCAAGATGCTTATGCGAGATACGAAGCTTTCTTGGCGCAATCTGCCCAAGCTCAGAGCCAGCCTTTGCCGCGCCCCGAGTCTTTCAAAGCCCAATCTCGACCCAGCTCGCAAGTGCTGTCACCTCAAACGACAGGTCAATCTCCTCAAGGCGCTCCCCTATCACCCACATCGACGATTACATCCCTTCCTCCATCCATAGGAAAAGAAGCAGGTGGGAAAATTTCAGGCTTTTTCAAGAGTGTTCTGGCCACACACCATCCCGAGCCCAAACGCCCGAGTATCAGCGGACCCACTATCTCCCGGGTCGGTATTGACGATCAACCATCTTCGCCTTCCCCTGGTTCCACAGGTCAGCCATCCGAAGCAGAGAGTAGCGAGTTTGGAAAGACATGGTCAAGTCTGGTGGAGCCGAGTGTGTTGGATACCATGGACAATAGCGAAAGAAAGAGGCAGGAAGCCATCTTTGAGTTTATTGCCACGGAGAATGCGTACAATCGAGATTTGCAGCTGATTGTAGAGGCAAGGGACATGTTCGTATGCGTTGTTTCAAGGCTAACATATGGCTTAGGTGTTTTACGCTTCTCTCCTATCGATGTTGGACGAGAAGGCTCTCACTGTCATCTTTGCCAACATCGAAGACATCTTGCTCTTCAACACTGGCTTCTTCAGTGCATTGGAAGAGAGACAAAAGGCTGCTAGGCTATATGTCGTCAAGATTGGCGATGTTCTGAGCTTTTTGAACGAAGCGGGCATCTACATGGTACGTCTGTTGATTGGTTGACTGCATTTCTTGCTGAGCACAACACAGACCTACTGCATCAATCAGCACCAAGCTATCAAGCTTCTCCAAAGTCTGCGGGTAGAGAGGCCGGAGCTCAACGCCCATCTTGAACACATCCGGGAGACAAATGCCTCCATTCGAGGACTTGATCTCTCAAGTTTCTTGCTCATCCCGAGTAAGCGCCATCTTGCGTCTCTACCTTGATCACTGACAGTGTGTTAGTGCAAAGGATCACCCGATATCCTCTTTTGATCAAACAAATCATTGGCTATACGCCTTACGACCACTCCGACCTTCCCCAGCTCGAACAAGCTCTGCGCGTGACAGAAGGAATAGTGAGCAGAATCAATGAGAGTGTACGGGAAAGTGAAGGGCAGGAGAGACTGAGGGCTTTGAGTGAAAACTTGTGGATCGGAGGGGAAGGGTAAGTTGGGGATATTGATCTATCAAGGGGAGTACTGATGACACCATGTAGCCGCTTGGATCTGACAGCGCCGACTGCCTTCTTGGGCCCTCGAAGGCTGGTGAAGGAAGGCACCGTCACCAAAGCCAAATCTGGGCGAAAGCTCACCATGCTGCTTTGCAACGACATCATCGTGCTCCTCGACAACAAGGATCTCTATCGCATGGTACGTCTTGAGCCTCTGGACGAGGAGCGGCAGGAGCTAACAGATGGGTATAGCCATTAGCATTGCACGAAGTCGAGGTGAAGCAGACGAGGGATGTCACGGGCTTTGCTCTTCGAGCAGACCAGAGGCGAGGTGGGGACACTGTTACTCTCAAGTAAGTCCGCGAGTTCTAGAGAGAAGGACGAATCTGACGTCGATGGCAGGGCAATGAGTGCTAGCGATGCAAAGGATTGGATGGGCAAAATTGATCGGGCCAGGAAGCAAGCTTTGAGCGCTCGACGTAGGTTCTGATGTTAGACCGGTCGGACCAATGCTGACTATATGTGCAGGTGCGATGTAATGAAATGAATCAAGTACAGAAACCACCCATGCATGCATTAGGAGAATGCAAGAACAACAATGCAACGTTTTTAAAATGAGATGCTGCTACAACCGAGATACTATACTTTTACCAATCCACCGTCTCTTTCTTCATCTCTGCCCCAATGTCAGTGACACCATCAACTTGATCTATCACTCCCAACACTTGCTCCGGCGATCTCAATCCCGGCTCTTCGATAGCCTCTTCTAGCCCCACACCTCTTTCCATCTTCACCGGCGTAATCGGCTGAGGCTGTGGCTCTGGATCGGCAATCTGCTGTAGAGAATCGTATGAGATCTCGATTTTGGGCTCCTTCTTGGGCCTCAGAGCATCGGGGAAAGAATCAGAAGTTTGACCCCACGCCCACTCCCCGAGCTCCTTCCCTTCCTCTTCCACCTCCCCAAAAGTGAAAACTACGTCTTTCCTGCCCTTCCCCGTCACCCCTCTCACCCGACTCGGACAGATACCCCTCTGCCCAAGAAGACACAGATCACACCTAGGTCCCACCGGCAGACAGATCATTTGCCCGAAACCGACCATGAGCGGGTTGATGGGCTTGTGCAGTTTCTCGGGAAGCCAGGATTGGAGGTTGAGCCGGGTTTGTTCGGGGTTGGTCGTTGGGGGTTTGTGCCACTTGAGGCGGTTGGTTATGCGATGGACATGGACATCTACACCTATACCGGCATTGCTTTGGTACATGTCAGCTCGATTCTCCGAGATGGTCCGGGGACTTACATGTCCCAAGCACACTGCAGAGCTAGAAACGCCATCTTTGGGCCCACACCTTTGAGCTCGCATAACCCCTCTAACGTGTTGGGTACGTCACCCTTCTCTTCGCCCTCTTTCTCCAGCAAGTGCTTTGCAGCCTCTTGTATGTAGTCTGCCTTGCGCCTCCAGAACCCGACCTTGTTGATACACTCATGGACTTGCTCAGCGGAAGCTGCCGCGAGCGATTCAGCAGTGAGCCCGCCGGGCAGAGTCTCGTGCAAGAGAGAGACGGCGGCAGAGGTGACGGCGTCTTTGGTCTGGGCAGAAAGCATGAGGGATATGAGAATGTGAAACCGGAACGTTTTGGCATCGTTTGCTCCAGTCCTTGGGCGTTCGCACCCCCTGCCTCTTGGTCAGTTGTAATCCAAAGAAAGATAGGGAGACTTACATATCATCGACCGGAGCTATGATGCCCCGCCGCATATGCTCTATGAGCCGGTATTGCTCTTCCCACTTTGCAGGGGCTGGGTGTGGCTTTGCAAGAGAAGTCTGGGGCATGGGCTTCTTGGGTGTCGATCGGGGAGTTGCCACCCTCTTGATGGGCGATGCCTGAATCTTGACATCGGGCTCGGCTTTGGCATCCTCGAGCCTTGGTTTTTTGCGAGGTGAGGGCGTCGCAGGTTTGTACTCGTATTTTGCGACGTTGAGCTTGCTCTTCTTTGGCAGCTCCTCCTCATCGTCCACAGCAGCAGTCTTGGCCGATCGAGTGGTCCGTCTCAAGGAAGTGAAGACCTGGCCATCGTTGGTGGGCTCTGCCGAGATGATTTTGACGCTCGAGTTGAGTGCTGACTGTGTGGCCTTGAGGCGGTGGCTGCGGGACATGCTGGGATGGAGATGGAGATGTAGATGTAGATGGGCGAGATGGGATATGGGAGCTCGATGATTGGCTTTTTGCAGCGATGCTCTGTTGACAAGATCGAGGCCACGTGGCTTTTCGGACATGCCCGATGATTGACTATGCATATGCTCAGCGATATCAGCTGAGAGATGCAGCTGTGAGGTATGCATGCAACTGCCAGAAAATGAACCAAGTCACGACTTATGCGTCGTCGAGCATGGAGACTTGAGCAGGGCCGGCATTCGGTACGCCGCGCAGACCAATTCGTTCGCGCTTTTCGCCTTCACCAACTCACCATCTACGAGGGGCTGCCTGCATCTCCCGCCCCTCCCCATGATCCGCAACGCCCTCAAGGGCTCTCACCGTCAAGCTACCCCGCCCCTGCCCTCCCACTCCCACTCCCACCTCCACCATCCTCAATCCAATCGACCAATCATTCTCCTCGCCCTCGTCCTCAGTGCCCTCTTTGGCCTGTCACTACTATCCCATCCCGACCCCTCTGCTGGAAGAAAACTGCAATTCCCGGGCCTGCTTCCAACGAAACCTCCACATCCTGCACACTTGAAAGACCAGGTGCTGGAAAGGGCGATCAATCAGACGTACGAGGCTTTCAAAGAAGCTTGTCCTGGCTCAAGCGGGATCGGAGTGCATCTCAATCCAGACCTCACTGCCTCTCAGAAGAAGCGATATGAGGGATTGAAAGGCTATGGCAAAGGCCGTTATATGCTAGTCACCAATACTCGACAGATCGAAGCTCATCTACCCGACCTCCTCAACACTCTCCTCGTCCTCCTACACTACCTCTCCCCCGAACACATCGCTGTGTCCATCCTCGAGGGGCCTTCTTCGGACTGCACCCAGAAGGTCATAGAAGATGTCTTGCAACCGATGCTAGCTGAGCAGGGGCTGGGGAGGAGCTGGATGCGTATCGAGACGGGCGAGCACAAGATCGACTGGTCCCAGCACAACCGTATCGAGAAGATCGCAGAGCTGCGTAACCGGGCTCTCGAGCCCCTCTGGGAGGGAGTCGGAGACGAAGAATGGTCGAAAGAGGTCGAAACAGTCGTCTTCTTCAACGATGTATATCTCCATGCTGCGGACGTTCTGGAAGTGCTCTATCAGCACCAGCAGAATGGGGCTGGTATAACGACGGCTTTGGACTGGTGGAAGAAGAGGCCAGAGTACTACTACGACGTCTGGGTCGGAAGGACCGTGAGTTTGCTCATCATAATACCGGTATAGGACTAACAAAAGCAGATCGATAATGGCGACCTCTTCTACCCCATCGACTGGCCCTGGTGGTCTCCCTCATCCGACCTCTTTTCCTCATCCACCGCATCCACCTCCAAGAACGCATACACCCACCTACAACCGTTCCAAGTATTCTCCTCCTGGAATGCCCTCGCAGTCCTGGACCCGAGGCCGTTCTTGGAGCATGGAGTGAGGTTTAGAAGAGGTGATCTAGAGAAGGGAGAGTGTGCGGCGAGTGAGTGTACGCTGGTGGCTAGTGATTTCTGGAAGGAAGGGTTTGGAAAGATTGCAGTGGTGCCAAGTGTCCAGGTGAGTACAACAAGCTTGCCGCCGAGGAAGGTGGCGCTAATGTGTATGATAGCTTGCCTACGAGCGAGATGTGGCGCAGGATGTTTTAGAGGACCTGAACAAGCAAAAGGCGCAGATAGGATGGGTTGATGGAGTCCCGCCAGATCATCTCGACGAAAAGCTCGAGTGGAGAAATGAGTAAGCGCAGTGCTCTTTCAACATTCCGACGAAGGCTGATCACGTCAAAGCCCGCCCGAGAAGGTCCGATGCCATCCCTGGCCAGAAACAAACGGGCTCAGTGCCAACGTATGGGAGAATACCGAATGGGTCAAGCCGTGGTTAGATTGATTGCATGTAGCAAAGGTCACACTGATTGGTCACATCTCTATTCATTACGACCACTGATCGCTCCTACTGACTACCCTTGCAAAGTTGCCCTTCTACAGCCAGTGCCACATCTGCCCGTCGAGCATTCTACCTTCCTGGCCCTCTTCGCCATAGTAGACAGTACCCATCAGACCTCCCTTCGCCTCCGCCCTCTTCTTCACTTCCACCTCTCTCCCAGGCTGATTCTTCCACGCCTCCACGATCTCACTGAAAGGATCCAAACCCCAGATAAATCCCCTCTCCCTCCCAGCATCTGACGCTGCCTTGTCAAAGGCCTGCAGAGCCAAGGGAAAGTACTCGGGAGTGAGTTTAGATATGAGTGTGACCAAAAACTCAAATCCGATTGGGAAGAAACTCGTCAAAAACAACACTATAGGGTCTTCTGCCGGGGTACCCGTCTTGATACGCACGCCGACGGGGTGAGGAGCGCAAGAGGGGTCATACCACGTAGACTTGACGGGGAGGAAAGCGAGGGCACCAGTTGACGCGGGGTCTTCGGCCCAGATCGCGCCTTTCGAGACGTCTGCCTCTGCCAGGCGAGCTTTCTCGCGGGTGGAGAGCTCTTTGCTGAGTGACTCGATATCGGGTCGATAGATCCATTCCACTTTATCTTCGTCAAAGTCTGGAGCCGTGGGCTTGATAGCCCATTTCAGACCCGAGTTTTGACTGTCGTTTACTACCCAGGCTTTTCTACCTTCTTGTAGACTGCATTTCGAGTAGAAAGTCGAGCCGACGTCAGACGTGAGCCACGAACCGAGAGCTACTGGTAGTTCATCCGCTTGTCCTGGCTTGAAGCCCGAGACAAGCTCATCCTGCTTCAGAGGCAGGAGAGAAGATGGGATGGAGGAAGGAGGTTGGAGATGGAGATGGAGGAGGGAGAGCATGTAGGTTGCGTAGCCGCGACCTTCATTTAGCGTCAGCTTGATATAACAGGAGGCAGTCGGTGGGATGCCATACGGTAATGCTGGGGAGGGGTCACGACAGAACTGATACCATACACAAAGCCATCTTTGAGGCCATCGTGGCCGGGACGTTTGGCCCAGCCTGTACGACGATAGCTGTTTGAAAGTGTCAGGTCTGATTTTGCTGAAGCGGTTGGTCGTCGATAACACTCACGTTCGACAAGCGGCGTACCCTTCCCCATCAATGTCATCTTTTCTCACAAGCGTCCTACGAGAAGTTTGTCAGTTCTTGCCCGATGACAATGACGACGTGTCGGGCGGGAAGCGACTTGCCAGATTGTCACCCTGTCGCCGCCCCATTCGGACTCGTACTTCTCCCTGTTGTAGTACTTGATGAAGTCCTAGTACGTATCCAGTGAGGCTTTGCAACAAGAAGAGAAATGAAGTTGTATCACGGACCTCTGTGGGAGAGAGTTCGTGATTCCAGTACGCCCCAGCTACCTCCCGGTGCTGGGCCATCTGCCTTTCGTTGGCGATGCGGATGGTGTAATCCTTGAGGTATTCTCTTCCCTCAGTCATTTTTTTCCACCAACTATCACGATGGAGAACGATGAAAGAGATTGTTTGACCATCTCATAACACCATGGGACCGCCACACGATGCGTGAACGGCTGGAGGTCGGCTATAACGGCCAAGACGCGCTGAACCTTCTCTAGTGCATACTTCGGGGGCCCCTCTCCTCCCCTTCTCCCCGGCGTTCCGAATGATCCTTGCCGGATTGGGAAATTTTTGTGAGGACGCCGTTCGGGCGCCGTCCGGCCTATCTCGGCGCCCTGTCAACAAGTTCTCCTTGCATCCGGGTCCCTTCCAACGGAGCATGCAAAATGGCACCCGGCATATATAAATCGCCCTGCCCACTCGCATTCCCCCCAACCCGCCACATCCCACCATTCTGTCCATCATCCGAACCGCCATCAACACTCTCCTCTTCAGCACCGTCATGACGTCGCGTACCCAGGTCGATCTCCTTGTGATCGGCGCTGGCCCTGCAGGGCTCGCAGCCGGACAGATGTTCTCTCGTCTCAAGCGCACTTGTCTTATCTACGATTCTGGGGTGTACCGCAACGACGTTTCGGACCACGCTCATGCCGTCGCTGGATTCGAAGGCGTCAACCCGGCCGAAATCAGGCGCAAGTACAGGCAAGACATCATCGAGTTCTACGGCGACACTACCACATTCAAGCAGGGGAAGATCACGACACTCAACAAGGTCGGAGAGGTGTTTGAAGCGAAGGACGAGAATGGCAACGAGGTCGTGGCACGGAAGGTCATTCTTGCTACCGGCCTGAAGGACAAGCTTCCTGACATTCCTGGTGAGTCTCTTTCGGGTCTTGACTGGCTATGGCTCACGCCAATGTAGGTATTGCCGACCAATGGGGCAAGCGCGCCATCCATTGTATCTTCTGCCACGGCACAGAGACTGCCAACAAACCCTTCGCGTTCCTCTTCACTGCCCCCAACGCCTGGATCAACCCAGGCCTCGCCGGTACCATGCTGAAGCTGTGGCCGAGTCTGAAGCACGACCCAGTATACGTGCTGACCCATGGTCAGGATGTCAACACTGCTGAAGGAAGAAAGGGTGCGGGGCTCGAGGCTTATTGGGATATCGTGCAGAAGAAAGGGTCAGTAGTTCTTGCGTTACCAGAGCTTCCGCTGACGCTTTCATAGATATACCATTATATCATCACCCATCACTTCGGTAAAGAGTGACGCCGACAATACCACCCTCACGATCACCTTCCAAGAACACTCCTCTATCCAAGTCCCCTACATGCTCCTGTTCCCCGAAAAGTGCACCCCCAACGACCACGCCCTTCCTTTCGTCAACGAACAGCTTTTCGGCCTGCCTCTCGGGCCCATGGGTACCATCCCCTTTGACCCTGCCTCTCAAGGGAGTGGTGGGGGAGGCGGTATGCCGCGTATGGGCGATAGCCCCAAGACGCCTGTGAAGGGCTTGTTCTGGGCGGGGAATAGCGGGGCGCCGGCAGGTAATGTGGCGATCAGTGTGGCACAAGGGCAGATGGCCGGGGCGGTCGCTGGAGATGAGCTCGGGGATGAGGATCTTGCCAAGCTGTAAGTAAGGTCTGGTATGAAGTATCGCCTCAAGCCACACCAAAATCTTTGATTGCACCTACGTTCATATTACGGACCTGATGATACTCTCAAATGAATCTCTCGGCCAGCTCGACTGGGAAATAGACCTTCTCCCCTTCATCCGTAGCACTCCTGAACGCTCTGATCTGGTCCTCCCATCCTTCCCCCAGCGACTCGGTAATGACCTTCTTCATATCCTTTCGCTCATCATCTTCAAACCTATCGAGTACGCTGTTAAACTTCCTCCCATGCTCTTCCATCTCCCTCTCAAACCAGTCCACACCCCCCTTGACCATCTTTTCAAATCCACCTTTGTTCATCTTTAGAGCAGACCTACAACACCCCTCCTCCTCACACATCGTCGCGCCCTCACGGAAGAACGTCATGAGCTCCTCTTTGGTAGCAAGCCGGGAGGGTAGACTTTTATCGTCGGTAGGGCGGTTCATACGGGGGTCAAGGAGGGATTCGTGAGTGTCGCGCCATCCCTTCAAGTAGGAGACAGCTTGATTACCGGCTTCAGATCCTCGTGACGATCCAGGGGGGGCAGTAGAAGCTCGTAGTGCAGTGAGACGCTTGAGGGAAGGGCTCAGGTAGCCGGAGAACGTGACATCTGGGGCGAAGGACAGATAGCAGTACTCGCTTTTGGGGCCATAAGTCACGTCTTGACTGTCGTCGCATGGTACCTCAATTACCCGGTCAAGAGAGGAATATTGGGTTGAGGAATCGTCTTGCTGGCTAGCCATTCTGGTGTCGTGTGCTGATGATTTTGGTTGTCGAGATAAGGTCTTTCAAATCTTCAGGCCATATATGTATGTCCAGCAAAGGAAGCTCGTTCTGCGTCCAAATCAGTGCCAATCTCTAGCTCAAAGCCATAGAAGTTCGTGCTCCGCCGCTTTGCAAAGGAGCGTCGTCTTCTGCTGGCTCAGCCTGTTGCCTCTCTTGTCAACGCCTTCGGCTGGTGGCTCTGATATAGTCCGCAAATACTGATGGAAATGTATGTGAAAGTAGACACTATTATTGTCGCTGCAATAGAAACAGATATTTACTGCTTCCACTCTACTTGTATGTCAAGCATGTTGAATGACGGGCGCGGCGGCCATGACCGCGCTGAGGAACGGGAGCAAACACGCGCCCCTGTTTCGGCGTTATGCAACCAAAACTCGCTTGCATTCCCCATTCCCATTCCCAATCCTATCCACATCGTCTGTCTTCCCATCCAAGGCCCTTCTCCCGGTGAGAGTGCTACGAACCCCCCCACCGCTCCGTCATGCAAGTCGAGTACGAATCATCCCCCGCTGTCGGGGAGCACCAGGCCGAGGAGAGCTTCTCCTTTCGCCCAGGAAACGGCGCGCCGGAATCAGAGGAGGAAGAAGCGGAAGAGCACGAGGCTGGTGGTGAAGGTACGTGTCATGCTCATCCCCTTGCTCCCGGCTGGGTGTCCTCAAGCTTTTGACGCGTCGGAAGCAAGCTGACACGCGTCGTCTTTTCAGGCTCCAAGAAGACCAAAACCAAGCGGATCATCAAGCAACGTCAGTCCCTCGCTGAAAAGCAGCCGGGTACAACAATGTTTCCGATCAGCAAGGTGAAGAAGATTGTCAAAGCGGATAGGGATGTGGATATCATGAGCAGTGAAGCTGTCTTCATGTGTGCTATTGCGGCTGTGAGTTTGCCACGCGTTTTTCATCGGGGATGGAGCTGATTCAGGTGTAGGAATATTTCATCAAGCATTTCATGGAGGAGGGATATACAAAGGCGCGGTTGGAAAAAAGGAAGATCATCAACTACAAGGATATGGGTGAGTCGGGTGACTTTTCAGACGCGACTTAGACTGACTTTGATCCAGCCAACGTGGTTGCTCGTAGCGAAGAGTTTGATTTCCTGAAAGGCAAGTCCAATTCCACTATTCTTCTATTCCTATCTTCGAGCTATGCTCGCTACAAGGATGAAAAAAAACTTATCCAGTTGTTCCGACTGAGCCGGCAAATATTGTCACGCCGTGCTAAGATTTGTAATCTTCTCTCTGAATCTTTTCCTTCTTCCTACACTTGTCAAATCATCATTCGAATACAGTGCTAACAAGAGAAGTAGACGTCATTCCCATTCCTATACCGATGTCTGAAGCTCTCGAACGACGCCGGCAGAAGCAGGTCGCCGAGGATAATCAAGATGAAGGGATCGTCGCCAGCTTCAATGATGAAGACCTGCCGCCCCTCGCGCCCTCCACCAACCCCCTCTTTCCCAATGCTGTGGTGAAGAAGGCCACTGCGGCGCACCCCAAGGCTGCCACATCCAGCGGCAAGAAGGAGTCGGGTGATGGGCCGCAGGGTACGAGAAAGAGTGCAAGGAGGAGCACGGTGGGGCAGGCTGATGAGAGCTTTGACCTGAACGAGTTCAGGGAGTCGCAAGATAATGAGCAAAGAGAACGAGGGCATAGTGTGGCGGTGACGAGCGAGGGTGGGGACGAGAAGATGGATGAGGAATGATTGTGATAACTTTACGCACATTTTACAGTTGTATATTGACATGACTTCTAATTGCATGTATCTTATAAATGTGAAGGTTGTCGCTGATGATTCAGGGGACTTGAGGTGTACGCGTTGGGTCATGAAACGCGTCGCGTCGAGAGAATCGCACCTGGGGTATGTTTGGCGACTGCCCCTCTCCGACGACTCGGCCTACACACCTTCCCCCATGCATCGCCTTCCTCGCCCGGGGATGTCCTTTGTCTGAAGGATGTGTAGGCACAACCCATGCGGCCTCTTGATCGCACAGACCGCCGGGCTCACCCAGGTATAAAGGGCAGTCCTTCGCCAGATCCTCTGATCCCCACCGACACTTATATCTTCATCCTTATAATAATTGCCATGCTCCTCAACCTCTCCCTCGTCGCCCTATCTCTCGCTGCCACCACCAACGGTCAGTCCTCCTCCCTGCCCTCCAAGACATGAGGCCGACTTTCCAGCAACAGCCGCCAATTCCATCCTCAGCCCCGGTCATGGTGCAATTTGGTACAAGAACAGCACCGTCTCCCTCAACTGGACCCTCACCGACCCTGCTACCGACAACTACTTCTTCCGGGCATACTTGTCCAACAAGGATTCGAGCGTGTTGGAGGGAAATCACTCGATCGCCGACAGTACCAATGCGACAGCAGAGTTTGTCTGGATCTTGTTGCCGCAGGTCCCCGCTTCGTGGGTCTAGCTTGTGAGAGCTGGACAAGGGAGCTGACAGAGATTGAATAGCGAAGGGTACACTGTGAATCTTGTCAACACCACCAACGAAACGCAAGTGTTTGCGACTTCTGGGGAATTTGAGATCCAAGACGGCATCGGCAAGTCGACATTGGAGAGCCTGCAGCCGTATACAAACTTACCCGCTACCTCTTGCAGTCGCATCTACCACCTATTCCTCATCCACCAGCTCCGCATCCTCTACTAGCGCAGTCAACATCCCAAACGCCAAGCTCACCACCAGCTCTTCATTAACGTAGGCTGACCTCTCTCGCCGCTCCTTGCGCTTGCTGATAACCTTGTGTGAAGTTCCAACCCATTCGCCACTGACGCCAGCTCCACATCGTCGGGCGCTGTTTTCGCCATCGATCTCAACTTTGCTGGGAATATCGTGCACGGCGGTCTGGTGATTACACTCGTGTGTATTGGTACGGGCGTCTTCCTCTAGGGACATTTGTGATGTTTTCGCTGTGCCTTTCGGGGAAGAGGTGTGATGTTATTCCTTTTTTATACTCATGCTATATAGTTCCAGTTAATTGTGATCTTGATCCATCGTGATACCTCTTACGACATGTACTTGTATATACAGCACATGGTATCCTCACGATTCGAGGCCTCGTGGCTCGTTGCCTCATTTGCTCTACACGTGCACAACCTCAGAGATTTGTTCACTCGTCAAGATGGTTGGATGATGACCCATACCCCAGCACACTACAACTGGCAGCGGATAGAGCCACTTACCCTCCGCTGCTTCCGCCTGGACTAAGCTTAGAATTGTGAGGGTTCAGAGTGTGACCAAGAAAGGAGTCGGTTTCGAGATGCATGATGGATTGAGGGATGGCGGTTGTGGCCATGAAACTGGCGCCAGGATCAGCCACTGCTGTATGGGAAGGTAGCAGTCACTTACCGCCCCCCCCCCCCCCCCCAGCTCGAAGGATTGAGATGATCACAGAGTCTTCCTTCTGGACAGGCTTGCTCACATCGGTGAGACAGCCACAGCTTAGATAGTGTCCAGCAAGACTATACGTGCCTATAGCAACAGGATTGGCCGACTATGCGAGTCTCGCGAGATGCCGCTCACACTTGACCGAGATCGGCACGCCATGAAGAGGTCCCCAATGCCCCTTGGCTTCCATCTGCTCATCGAGCCACTTTGCCCTCTCCTTCGCTTCCTGCAGAAAGCAATTCGAGAGACAGTTCGTACTCTGCTGAGCAAGGGCGGCGGACGTGGCATAAGCAGAGGTTACGGCCAAAGTAGTATATTTGCGAGAGGCGATAGCGTCGCGCAGGGCAGTGGCGTCCAGCTTGAGTAGAGGTGGTTCGTCTTGTGCGAAGAGATCAGATCTGCGGATGTAGTCGATGGCAGGATACACTTCTGGAGTCAAGTCGATCTTCCATTCGGCTGGGATGAACACGGCGAGTTGTTGATCGTAGGCGGTGGCCTGGGATTGCCAGCCGTTAGGCATACTTTTGAGAGTTGTATGACATCCGGAAAGCGACAAAGCTGCTTATGATCTTACTCCTTGAGTTGGGATAGCTGACAAGGCCGCCAAGAGACAAGAAACAGCCGAAGTGTGGTAAGCGGGAGAGGGAGTCACGCAGCAGATGCCAATCGACTTGCTTACTCACAGTGAAACATTCAGCACGTCCTCAAGCTTGCTGATCCAGGAGGCTCTGCTACGAACCCACCTTGCTGATTCATACCCGAAAGTTCAAGCAGGGACTCATGATGTCGACTACACCATCGGCAGAAGACGATAGAGAGCGTCACATGCATCTGACATCGTCCCAAGACTCTTTCTTCCCTGTCAGAGATAGTTGTAGCGTTTAGGAGTGTCAACATGGCAATCCAGCCCCGGCTCTCGTCTTACGCGCCTTACATACTTGGGTTGACCCACCTTGATCATCTGAAGGCCGATCGGCCAAATCCGACCCGAAATGTTGCCCGATCCGAAATGCTGGAGTCGGCTTTCTTAGTCCTTATCAGCCATTGAGCGCCTACAATCACTTTTCCCAGCGCCCGGCCTTCCCCAGCCCATTCAGCATCCACCAAATCCTGTCAATATCACTCACTGTGAATATTGTAGCTTAAACGCCCCGGTTCCTCATCGTCCAAAGAGCCTGATCATGTCTTCCACCCCACCATCTTCTCCCTGGGGGCCAGCAGTCCTGCCTCCCACATGGACCCTGTCCGAATGGCAACAAACCACCAGATCAGACCCCCTAGTCAATTGGGGTCGAGACGACCCTATACCCGAGAAAGTCGACATCGTCGTCGTAGGTTCTGGTCTGGCCGGTAAGCTCCTTCCCCTTCTCCCTCTAGGAAGTGCACCGGCTGATGATACGAACAGGCGCCAAGACAGCCTACTCCCTGCTCACTTCATACCCAGCTGAAGCCCGCCCTTCACTCATCACCTTCGAGGCCCGCGAGACCTGCTCTGGCGCATCTGGGCGAAACGCTGGCCATTGTCGTCCTGATGCTTTCCGAGGCTTTACGGCTTTTGCAACGATGCATGGGGAGAAGAATGCTGCGGGAGTACTTGCTAGTGAGGCTATCACTCTGGACAAGTAAGTCTTGACTGTGGAAAAGAGGCGCGGCTGATATATCGGACCAGGGTGAAAGCCTTTGTGAAGGAGCATTCTGTAGAGTGCGAGTTGACTGAACGGATGACACTTGATGTAGTCCTGAGCGAAGAATTCAAGGACTACTGCTCTCAGGCTATGCAGCGAGCCAAAGACTACGGCGTCGATGTCTCGCACATCAACTATTACGAAGGCGAAGAGGCCCGAAAGGTATGTCCTGCAACATCGACATGCTCAAGCTGATGGGGGACATGTAGATCACTCGTTCCCCTAGAGCTTTGGCAGCATACGAATGGCCCGCAGCCTCGGTAAACCCAGCTCAACTATGCTATGCCATCCACCGCATGAACATTGCCCTCGGGGCCAAGCTCTTTTCTTGGACGCCCGTCACTTCTTGCATCTCTCCCTCTCCCACCACGCTTGGCAAGGGAGAGGAAAGCGAAGACGGATATCGATGGAAGATCATGACTCCCCGAGGGGAAGTGTTGACAAAGAAGGTCGTTTGGGCGACGAACGGATATACAAACTTGGTCTTGCCCGAGATGGACGGTCTGATCACAGCCCATAAAGGTCAGCTCTATTCACTACACTCAGCTCGCCGACTGACGAGCTACAGCCCAAGCAATCAAGCTCACCCTCCCCCCGGCCGGGATGACCAAGTTCCCGAGGATTGAACATACCATGTCTCTCCGTTACGTCGAGCGATTCTACTCTGTGTAAGCCACTACTCTCTCATCATTCCTTACCTCGACCGCTAACCGTTAGTGATCAAGGATGCAACGACCCGACAACTCCATCATCCTCGCCTCCCCCCGCAAATGGCCCGGCCAATCCCCAAGCACATTTCAACACCTCTTTGGGACATACGACGATACCCACCCCCTATCCGAACGTACGACCAACACCTTCTCCGAAGTATGTGATACCCTTCCCGGGGGCGGGTATACAGTCGTCAAAGACGGTGGCGCAGAAGGGTACGCAAAAGAAGGCGAAGGCGGCTTGGACTATGCTTGGTCAGGTATCCTCGGTGTCACGCCCGACCATGTGCCCTTTGTAGGCTCCGTCCCCGATCGAGAGGGGCAGTATATCATAGCAGGCTTTAATGGGCACGGTATGGCGCGGATATTCCATGTTGCGCCATGCCTTGCCCGGCTCATCAAGGGGGAGAAGTGGGATGCGAGTGTGCCAGAGTGTTTTGAAATCACTGAGGAGAGGTTGAGGAGATTGAGGGAGGGGTTGGTAGAGAAGGCGGGGGCAATGGGAGAGTTGACGGAAAAGACGGGCGAAGTGAAGGTGTGATGCGTATTCCATGGTTCCAGATGAGCTGTAACAGACATAAGAAGGATTAGTTTACGTTTTTGGATTCTTTCAGTATGTATCGTGGTCAGTGCAATCAGTATAGCGTGTATGGGGTGATGTATCGTAGAGCCACAAAATCCAACTGCTTGTCGCCGCTTGAAAAACTTTTCCGCCAACCGCATGACGCCGAACGAATCGCACAGGTGACGGGAGAGGGGAGGATGGATGTTGAGAAACTGTCGATGCGTCGAGGTATGTGGAGATGTGGATTGGAGAGGACGAAAAGTGTCGGATGATAAGCGAAAGCCACGCCTGCAACATATGGTTTCTGAATCGTATCCATCTCGAATACAAAGCTTCACAAGACACCAAAATCGACCCTCTTTCGGTTGACTTAGGCGGCGTGCTTGGCCTTTCGGACCTGGAGCTTGTGGTGGTAGAACTGCAGAACCAATCAGCTTCATCCCACCCATCCACAATCGAACTCACCTCCAACTCCTTGCCCTCCAAAATGTAACCGTCGGCTCGTCCGCTCTGGCCGGGCCTAGAGGAGATGACAGCCAAAAGTCGACCGGCCTTGAATTGTTGCTCAAGGATGGGGTCGAGCTTGGCAACGGTCTTGCGCTCCTCAAGGACTCGCTTGACGTGGTTGGATTGCTTCTTGTCGGCCTCCTCCTCGGCGAGCTTGGCACCTCGGAAAGCGGGCTGAGCGTACTGCGAAAGATGTTAGATGGAGATTTGATTTGCAAAAGCAAGATTGACGTACGTGGGACTCGTACCACTGTCGGAAGGGGGTAGCGTCAATGTCGACAACGGCGCCCTTGACAAGAGTCTGAGTTCGGAGAAGCTCGTTGTTGGTGGCGTTGTATCGCTATTTTCTGTCAGCGAAAAAGATCGGATGACAACTCTTGCCCACTCACGACCTGAATCAACCTGGTCTTCCTGGTGATAGCCTCAGAACCCCAAGCAAAGTTTCCAGTGTCCAATCGGAGAGCACGGTACTTGACGTTACCGCCTCGGGTTCGGACAGTGTGGATTCGCTTGGAAGAGTCGAGCTTGGTCATGGCGGGCTGTCGTCCAAGCTCAAACTTTCTCTTCTTACGGCTGGGCGGGGTTAGTTGCGAGTAGAGGTGGATGGGGAGATGAACGCACTAGTGAGCTCGTCGAGCACCTGTGGCGGCGCGCTTGTGGCGCGAATCACGAGTGATACCCATTCTGCAATCCTGTCAGCACCCTGCCCCAGTATATCCCTTCAATCCCTGCACCACCACACCACAGTCCTCTATAATCTCTCCCTATTCTCCCTATCCGTGTCCCTGCTTCCCCTGTGGTGTGGCGGTGTTGCGTCGACTCACTTTGTTGATGGATAAGGAAAAGGCAACCTCGAATCCTGCAATTTCGACCCAAGCCCCAGCAGCGCGCAGAGGCGGGGACTGCCGCTCAAAAGTCTATCTCGCCGAAACGCCGTCCGCGAGGCCAGGAGGCGCTTATGTAATGAAATACTTATCACCGAAATGTGCGCGTGAGTCAGCGTTCTTGTTTGTCTCATTCGCTGCATGCGTGTTATGACTCGGCTGATATGTCGGGGAGGATGGATGTGAATGGAGTATTGTGCATGCCCAAGGATCTATCGCGATCGCTGCTATACCAGTACGATATATAAGCCGACTCGCTGAGTGTCGTCCACTATGCTATGGCTGAGGGTAAATTGATTGCATGCGTATACATACGCCTGAATGGTCGCCTAAACACCAAACAGATCGCCCCACCTCCCCACCTCCCCCGCAGCCCCCTTCATGGGCCCCTCGTTCCACATCCCCCTCACAAACCCATACCCATCCACATACATCCCCGCCACCTCCCCAAACACCTTTTTTAACTTGCCCACATACTGCCTCGCCGACTTTGTGAGTTCTGATATCTGACCCGAGGGGTGAGGAGACTGGAGGTAGGGTAGGAGGGAGGAGAGGAGGGTGCCGAATGTGTGGATGTAGGTGTTTACGACGCGCCAGTCTAGTTCTTGGGGTGTATTGTCGCGCATGGTTTGGAGTAGACTACCATCACGCAACACTGGTAGCGGCTTCTTCCCCTCTTGTCCTTTCAATATCTCTCTTTCCCATACTAGAGCTTCTAAGATGATTGCCATGGGCGCAAGCAGCGACATGGGGGCGAGCGTAGCAGATGATGGAGAGGGAGGTGGCGGATCGGGCGTACGAGACGCTGGGGTGAGCGATTGGAGCGTGGTGAGGAGTTTGACCAGCGCTTTATCTCTCGGCGATGCCAATGGTATCCCTTCAGCAGGGACTGGAAGCGCGATAGACCGCTTGATGTCCATTCGAGCTGCCAACTGTGGGTTTTGCTGAGGGTCGGATGACGTTCGCGTGTGGCTTTTGGACGAATGCCTCGGCGGGAGATGGTCCTGCAAGGAAGCTATCCGCCGTACGCCCTGCTTTCCTCGTACTGCATCAGGGGGAGCAGCAGCATTCGCGTGGCCCGAACCGACTCCAGCACCGATACTACGACCTCGAGTGACCTGGCCTGGTTGTAACCCCTGCCAGACTTGTCCGACAGCCATCTGGGCTGGTTGCTTGTTGCGGAGCTGCCCAGGCGAGAGCGGTTTCGGTACACTAGAGGGCGGGGTGGGCGACAGTCGAGGCCGGCCCATGAGGTCTGTATGGTTCATCGTCCCGCCTGCAGGAGGAAGCGATGGGAAGAGAGAGTCATCGAGATAGAAGGATAGCGAGGGGATGGGAGCAGGATTTGGCATGATGGTGGGTCAGCGAGAGATAAGCTGCTGGGTCAGCGATATATAACGAGCTGTCTCCTTTGTCAGCCATATCAAAGCATGCCTTTGATCACGCTCAGAACCCAAGGCTGCATACTCTACGCCCTCTTGACACCATACTCCTCCCTATACCTCGTCACCTCCTTCAGTTCCTTCTCCCACTTGCCCGAGCTCTCCAAGTACGCAATGATATCATCCAGGCCAATGATCGGCTCCACCGGTACCCCAAACTCCTCCTCCACCTCCTGCACCGTGCTCTTCCCGCTACCGCCTTGGCCCTTCTCTTGCCTGTCGACGAGCTGGACGATACCGACGAGTTTGGCTTCGGGGGAGGCTTGGAGGATGGCGATGGCTTCGCGGATGGCCTTGCCAGAGGTGAGGACATCGTCGATGATGACGATCCGGCCCTTGAGCGGCGCGCCGACCATGGTACCGCCTTCTCCATGCTTGTTTCAAGTGAGCAGCGCCCTCCACAATTGTGAGGGGTACTTACGTCCTTCTTCTCCTTTCGGTTGTAGCAGTAGCCAATATCCTTTCCGGTCTGCTGGTACAAGGCCACAGAGCTGACAGCAGCCAAAGAGATACCCTTATAAGCCGGGCCGAACAGTACGTCGAAATCAGGGATTCGCGAGTCGGACAGGATCTTGGCATAGGCATTGGCCGTAGCTGTCAGAAGCGACGAGGAGTAGAGCAAGCCGGCATTGAAAAAGTATGGTGATTTGCTAAGAGATACATCCGGGTGAGGACTGATCGGTTGACGATAAGAGGAGCGTACCGGCCAGACTTGAGGGTAAAGTCGCCAAAGAGGAGAACACCGTGCTTGATGGCGGCTTCGATGAATGCGACCTTGGCGGGATCGAGAGAAGAGGACATGGTGCTGAAAAATTAAGAAGAGTGATTTCAAGTGCAGATTGTTGGCAGATTGTGACTTGCGTCGTGCGGTCGGCTTCCGAACGGAACCAAAATCGATGTTTGGCTGACCGATAGTGAAGTACTTGACTGCCTTCTACCAGACAGATACCTAGACCTACACTGTAGACTCTATATCACCACACGTCATTGCGGATATTTAGTCGGCCATGTATCGATTCCCACCAGAGTCTTTGTAGAAATACAGATATGGGGAGTAGCTGACGAGGCGGTGCTAGGACGAGGAAATACGAGGCAAGGACCGGGACATATGACTCCTGGATGGCAGGCGCGGGAGTGAGGTCTCCAGGCTCCAGTAAAGATCGTGCTGCTCTGGTCTTTAGCTAATGATATCGATATCGATATTGAATCACATACCTGACTTGCTCACACGAATGCCCGGCTGCTCTCAATATAACAGTCGCCTTATGTACGTTATAGGCTATAACACTATTTCACTAACATATGAGTTTCCATAGTATAGTGGTTAGTACGCTGCTTTGTGGTTATCTAATCACTGTCTCGCAGCAGAGACGCGTGTTCGATTCACGCTGGGAACATTTCTTTTTGCCCTTTTGCCCTACCCGCCATCAAGCGCTGCCGTCTTGTGGCTGCGCTGCCATTGCGCGTTGTCTTTTTGCAGCTGCAAGACATCCCCGACAAGTATATATATATGCACCAGCTCTTTTCATCTTCTCCTCATCCATCCCTACCACAGCATGTCCCTCTATCACCTCCAGCTGCCCCCTCCCGCCGGACTTCATGCCCCGTGAGTTACGTCTACCTTCCTCGCCCCATAGAGTTGACGCGTCCGCCTCCAGTGATCCATCTGTTGTCCGCCCCAGCCTCGCCGGGGCTTTGGCTGTCTCCTCACTCCCCGGAAACTCCAACGGCCGTGGCAAACGCTCATTGAATGCCAGATACGACCAGCTCCTCAGCCAAGTCAAGGCCAAAGGCAGGTCTATCCTCTTTCCAAAGACAAAGACCAGGGGTGCAAAGCCTATACTGGTGAGTCTGAGAGTCGCTTCAAGGAGTGATGTTGATATTGGAATAGAAGAAGCTCCCTAGTCGGTCTCGGGGTGGCCTCTTTTCCCATTCAGTTTCTGCCTTACCCGTGTCTGCGCCAACCAAGCAAAGCGTTTCTCGGTCTACTATCCACCAACCCGCTTACCATCTGGGCCAACGCTCGACCACGAGTACCGCTGCTTGGGAGCGTGAAGGTCCCTCTTTCCACGCTGACCCGTACCCTTATCAGACGAGTCCGCGGCGGGATGGATATCTAACGGACGCCACCCCCACGGATGTTGACGTGTATGGCGACTACTCCATGGACGAAGACGGAGGCCGGTACATCGCGTCGTCTATACAGAACCGCAGTCCATCCCCGTTGAGCCAACCCAATTACACATATCACCCGGCACCTCCCCAGCTCACTCCAACGCCTATCCATTTTCACCATCCGACACCTCCACAGGTCAATCCCCAGCAGAACCGTCAGCCGATGACACTTGCGCAACACCGAGTTCGATTCAGGCCAGCGCAAGAGAATCAGCTGTACTCGCCTTCTCCGGCGACGTTTTTGCAGTGGCAGATGTCGACCCCGAAGGTCGCAGATGGTTCATTCGCGTCCCGAGATGCCAGCATGGTGAGTGATCTAGCGGGAGTAGGAGGATGGTATGGAGGATATATACGGGAGCATGAGAGGTGGGAGGAACCAAGCTCGTTCAATTGGGCTCCTGCACCGATGCAGATGGACGTCTCCGATGTGGCCACCGCGCCTCCTCTTTGGCAGCAGCCCCTGTCGCCCAGAATGGAAGCCGGACCACCGCCGCAGAAGGAAACACACGATTACCAACTTTCAAGCTCTCCACTCTTCAAGCACAACCAGCATTCTCAGACTCAGAACCTCTCGTCCGACGCTTACGTGCAACACTCCCCAACACCGCAAAGAATCCTTCAACTTCCGACCAACCTTGGGCCGACGCGACGCCCAACTCCTACTTCACCTCAACCCTCGCTGCCACTTTCCGAGAGCATCCCGCCACAGCTGATGCAAGCCCACCAATCTCTCCTTCCCGCCCACATCAAATCCTCCTCGGCAAAGGCAAAGAAGGCGAGACAAGAGAGGTCGTACAAGGTGAAGGGAAGGGAGTTGGTGAGGCTGCTGGAGGAATTGGCTGAAAGCGAGAGTGACGGGGAGGAGAATGAGAGCACTGGGGCCGGTTTGTGGACCACGAGTCAGAGGGATTCAAGACCGGTAAGTTTTATCCCAGCGTCCTAGCATAGCAGCGCCTGATTGTGTACAGCCCTTGGTGCTTTCTGCCATTACTTACGAGCCATCTCCATCTCGAACCCTCGTCAATCTGCCCATCAGCCAACACTCATCCTCCGCTACAAAAGTTCCCAACTCGGGCATCGAAGGTTCTTCTTTCGACCTCTCCTCAGACGCTGCCCGTCCCTCTCCCACCCATATCGCCGATCCCGGGCCAAAAGCCAAGCCACACTTGATCAACGACCTTTTGAAGCGAAAAGAGGCACCCTCGCCTTCCAGCAGTCCAGTAGCAAAGGCAGGCAAGAAAATGAAGGAGATGTCTGTGAGGGAGAAGATACGGGGAAGAGCGCCCACTCCGGGACCGACTCCGCTCGTCGTTAGTCAGACAGAGGACGATGATTTGGGGCTTGATCTGGATTATCTGGATTTGGACGCAAGCGAGTGTGGTTCTCAGCTTAGCTCTGCCACCAACATCAAGAATGTCTGCGCGGATATCCCATTCTCAAACCCACCCATTTTCGCCCTTTCCCAACTTCCTGTCCTTCCTCTCCCCCGACCTCTTCCGGATTACACACCCGCTCGGAAATCTCTCCAGCCTCGACGCAAACCTACTCGGAAGCGTGTGCAGAGGATAGAGTCAGAATCTGTCACGTCGGAAGAAGTAGAGTCTATCAGGAGCTCATCAGAACCGCCCGGTGGTGGGAAGGTGATGGTGGATGGGAGTGATGACGGGCGAGGCATCGATAGGAAGGGTCATCAAGTCACCGATTCGGATGGAACTGCCGTCGAATCCGACGTGGTCGCAACTCTACAAGCAGGGCACGGGAAGGATCTGACAAGACAGGGAAGCAATGCGGTCGGCGAGATGTATGGAAAGGGGAAGGGATGGGTGGACGAAGGGTTCTTCGATGCCAAAGGTGGGGAATTGGGGTTCCGTATCTGGCACGATTAAGAGCATCTTACCCCTTTCATCTTTGACTGGATCTTGAGAGAAACAATCATGTATCGGTGTCATCAGAAGGGTGATCGCAATCTTTAGTGCGCGTATCATGCGCATTTACTGATTCGCGTGCTACTGTGCCGGATCTGAACTTCTAGGCATGATACCTTTTAAATTGACATCATCACATGATGTCGTGATATAGCGCAGCTAGTGCGCTTTGTTGGGCATGATGAATCTCTTGAAACGACAACGTCTGCTTATTGATTTCCCCCTGAGCCAGCGCTTCGAGATCCAAACGACAAGAGATCCCCTTATCAGCACCAGATCTCGTATCGTACGGACCCTTCACCATATCTTATCCTACTTAAGCAAGTGAGACATCTCCCCTAGCAATGAAGCACACTCTTCACCATTCTCCTCCTCGAACGAGGATCTACACCGCCATCGCCATGGCCTTTTGCGATAGTAAGCGGGGCTAAAAGGGACCATACTGCACCAATTAGCGAGCTCATAAACAAATAGTGTTAGCCAGATCATTCAACATCAATAGATAGCCGGCAGACGGCTTCCGCCTCAAGCGTCGGTGCGCGTGGTCCACCATTGCTCCGGCGTCATCAGCAAGATAGTGCCACCAAAGGACTCAAAAGTAGCCTCGACCATAGCGCTTATAGGTCAAGGCTGGGTCATATCTGACGACGAGGCCCCCCCCCCCCCCCCCCGGCACATGGAGCATGAGGAGGAAGCAAGTCGGTACGAACGAGCCACCTGATGGTTACTGGATCCTTGACCACATCATCGACCTTGCATGTGTGAATGTGGGCCCTGCTATGTTGAATATGCTATATAATACCGACCTTATCAGAAAGGCCGGACATGTGTGTGACTTCTATCAATGTAGGGAGAGACCATTACAGGAAACCAAAAACCCAAAAGAGAAAGAAAAAATCGATACACCCTCAACGCCTCGCCTGCATCGACACCTCGAACGCCCCCCATTGTCTTAGGCCTCTACGATCTGACTGCTGATCTCAAAGTTGCCGCTGTCTTCCAACCTCTTCAACAAAACATCTCCGAAAGCTGTAGCAGGCGTGAGGACACCGCCCTTCTTGGCCAGAGGCGGGAGGGAAGTGTTGGCGGGAGGAGGGAGGATGAGAGAGAGGGCCGACTCGGCGATCATGTCTAGACATGTCATCAGCATGCGTAAATGATGAGAATAGGAAGCTGGCGTACAGGGAGTGGAGAGATATCCCGGGTCACCTTGTCCGTTAAACTTGGTCAACACCTGCACCACCTTGCCGTCCGTAGAGGTGGGACGGGAGGTGGAAATGTTTGTGAGTTTGAAATAGCCCGCGTGGAGTTTTCTGTACGTGTCGTCAGCCTTGCGCGGTCAGAGGAGAAGGTAAGCGTACTCGAGAGAAGCGCCTTCACCAGCCTTGGGAAGGTAACTCAAAATGAGATTCCTGACCTGATTTTATCCATCAGTGCATCGCTCTTGTATCACGAATGTGTGAAAGCTTACCCATTTGACACCAAAGAACAAGCCAAAGCCAAAGCCCATGAGGATGGTCGACAAACTACTCTTCACCTTACCATACCCAATATCCAACCCTTCCATGTACTTCATGACCTCTTCTTCCTTACCCTCGCCTTCGTCAGAAGGCTGGGGATCGGTGCTTCCGTAGGTGGAGGCAGAGGGGTAGAGGGTAGAGGAGAGGAACTGTGATCGACGGACGATACAGCGGTTGAAGACGTACATGAAAAAGTACGTCCCTGTCTGAGCGTTGGAGGCGCTTGTGGCGGGGAGAGATGGAGAGAGAAGGGGCTTGGTCGTAGGTAAGTCCGCTTTTATCCATTGTCAGTGAGGGAAAAAAATTAAGAGAGGTAGATACATACATCCAGGACAGAGAGTAAACTCGGGCGAACGGCGCTCGCTCTTGGGCAACTCGGTGAGAGAGACGAAAGACTGGACGGTGCCGCCGGCGATGGTGGCGGAGCACTTAAACATGGAGATGGAGTCTGCGAGGATACCGCCGGGGTAAGATGCACGGAGAGTCTTCTGGGCAAGGTACACGGTCATATCGCTGAACCCACGTCAGCGTCATCTATTTTTTTTATCATAACTCTGCCTCTACACCCGCTATACCCTACAGGGTGGGGGTGTAGAAAGGTGGACAGACTTACGAAGGGACAGAGTCAAATCCACTAGCAGGCACGATGCATGCTCCAGTCTCACCTGCAATAGCGTGATACTTGGGGATGATGTGAGTGGAGAGCCAGGCGGCTTCGCCACAGAGGTCGACATAGTGCGTGCCAGTCTTGGCGCAGGCGCTGTGAAGATGAGGGGTGTTAGTGTTTGTGAATCTTTGGGGATGATGTTGAGTGATGGGGACGACTTGCGAGATGATGTTTTCAGCGTTGGTGTTTCGGTAAGGGCCTTTTGCAAGCGGTGAGCGAGGGACAGAAATGACAGGGAGAGGACGTACCAGCGCAGTTGATAATCACGTTCGCCCTCTTCACCATCGCCTCCACACCCTCCAAATCACTCAACTCCAAGACAATGACCTCCCTCTTGCCTTCCAACAGCTGTTCATTCAACGTGTCGAGCTTGTCCTTGTTCCTACCCGAGATGGCAAAGTCAAACTCTTCAGCAGCGAGGGCAGGGTGGGCGTGAAGGTAGGTGAGGAGTTGACGGGCGGTGAAGGAAGTCGCGCCGTATACGACAGCAAAGGGTTTGGGGCCAGACATATCAAGAGTTTTGCTGTTTGCTACACGACAAGGAGGGAGAGGGGAAGTTCGTTTGTATACACACAAGCGAGAGAGAGAGATGGAGAAGAGAACGCAGCAAAGAAGACGAGTCGAGTATTTATCTTTGTTCACAGCCTTCTGGGGAGGATTCCAGGATCCATGGTACCCTTCTCGGTCGCATACCGAAGCAACTGCCCGCACAAAAGTACCCGACCGCGCCCTCCGGAAAGGACGGAGACGGACCAAAAAAAGAGCTGCCCGGTGATAATAGGTTAAGACTGACGAATCAAAATGGACCGGAAAGTCCGGAAAGAAAAGGTGGGAAAGGCTAAAAATTCAAGCACGCGCGTGCCTTTTCGGGCATTATGAACAACTGTAAACCTTGAATGCCTATCGTGGGATATCTCCTTGGTCTCTTATCATCGTCATGCAGCTGGTGCAGCTGGCGGGGATGGACGATGCGGGATATGCAGAGCCATCGAGCTGGTGATGCTGGGGGAGCAGATGCAGGGCTTGCGGCAGACCATCTGGCAGATGGGGTACGAGGCACGAGGGGAGCTCGCATGAAATCCGCGTAAACATATAGCACCTGCTTTGCACCTAGTGGTTAGTATGGGCACCTCTTTTGTCGAAAGCGTTTCAGCTTTGAGGCCTCTTATCTGGGCACTTGTTGGAGCGCTGGGAGGCCGATAGTGCTTCAAGGATTTGTCGCACTGATTTGAGCTATTACATCCAGGCGAGGGATGATGAGGTGAGGTGATCACGTTAGAAGATTAAGCAGCGAGTGCCGCATGGAATGGCCGCTGCATACTTTTTATGAGCCGCATGCCTACGAGGTTCTTACGAGGCCTACGAGGCCTACGATTACGACCAGTCTACGATATACGATTGACCTATGATGAACTACCGGCCAACGATTTACGATACTCATGTAATGGCATACGGCACAGAAGACCCTTGTCCTTGTACCTCGAGTGACGCGGCGACGCAGCCGCCTTTCCTTTATACATAGGGACCAGAGGAGGCCCCAGATCCCAGAGGCACCCAAGGACTAAATGCCATGGCCGACATCACCCATCCAGCATCTCCCCATTCCCTGCCCCCTGCTTGGCACTCCGGTATGAGACATGGTGATCGACTGCTGATTATATGGAGAGACATCGAAAGTCGAGTGATCAGTGATCAGCGAAATGAGGCTATGACAGGTAGCAGTGCAGTACTCTATCGCTCCATCTGAACTCTACTCGTGATCATACCCTCGACGGCGCTCGTCGTCCCACCCTTCCCCGTCCATCTTTGCAATAGAAGTCTTCCCTTCTCTTCTGCTCTATTGATCCCTCTTGCTGTTTGTGATTTCTTGATCTATCAGGTGGCTCTTCGAGGTGACTACCTTCGCGTAAGAGATCGATAGTCGGGCATCGCCGCGGGCCCCGAGCATCGGGCGATGTTCCAGAATTCGACGCGACGCGACTATTTTGTGGTATTTTGGCGCATTTCTCCTGCTTGCACCTGCTCTGATGTGTCCATCTTCTCTGATGCATCCTGACCCCCTCTAGTGAGACATGCTGATGGACTCCTTTCCTGCGCTGTCGCCCCTCCCGCCGCCCTCCGCCCTCTGCAGCACACCCCTGCTGATCTCCTCTCCGTGCGCTAGAAACACGCTTACAGCAATAAATCACCTCGGCGAGGCAGGGGGAAAGGGGGTCGCGCAACAACACACCTCCTTTCGGCAGCAGATCCTGACGCTACGATGCTGCCTTCCTCGGTCCCGCCCCGTCAAATAGTCCAGTCATCTTTGCATCCCCTTCTTTGTCTTTCTTGCCATGTCCCTCCCCGCCACCCCCCGCGCCGCCTACCGCTTCCCCCTCCCTCCTCCCGCCCCGCCCATGCTCGCCCCCGCCGACGCAGCCCTCGCCCGCCTCTTCGACACCCCCTGCCTCGACAGAGATCATCTCGTCGACGCCCTCCAGGAGCACGTATTCCGCTCCATGGGCCAGGGCAAGCGTGTGCGGGAATGGTGCACCCAGGTCACCCACGCTATCGAACGAGTACGCCCAGAAAAAGGAAAAAGTTGGTTGACGGTGGCTGACTCAACTACGCAGGCGCCTCCGTCTCCGGCCATCGGTGAAGCACTCGCCACGCCCATCCTCACCTCCCTCCTCCCCTTCACCCGCCTCCCGTCCAACCCCTACTTTCCCACCCCAGAGCCGCCTCTCCCACCGCCCCTCTTGCCCAACTCGTTCCTCGCCACACTCACCCGCAACCAGCTCATCGACGCCCTCGCCCGCCTCAGCAAAGAAGACCGGCTCATCTCGAAAAAGCTCCACTATGAGCAAGAACTCGTGCTGGAGGCCTGCCTCGAGTATATCGGGCGGCGGTGGCGGTCGGCAGAGACTATCGACGGCAACGTCGTAGATGACATCAGCAGAAAACTTACAGAAGTTGAATTCGAGGTACGGTGCTCCGTCACTCGTTACACAAGCTAATATATCCCACACAGGTACACCTCCAAGGATATCCCCCGACGGTCCGAAACGCGTTGTCCCCCGTTTTACACAAACTTCGCCATACCCTCGGTTTCATCACATCCTCCCAACTCGTCGCCAAACTCAACTCGACCGGGCCTAGCGCCTACCCGTACCCCCCGAGCCAGCCTGGCGAGATTGTCTCGTCATGGGTGGTGAGGCGTCTCCAAGCCGGCGTCAGCTACCAAAACATCCTGCATGAGCTCCATACCGTGCAATCGGGCTTGTCAGACGACGACCTCTTGCCCAACGTCCTCCGTCCACTCGGCCTCGCCGACGCCTTTTCCTCTCCATCCACTCCCAGACCCGCCGAACGTCAGCCAAAAGGTCTTTCTTTCAAGCCCAAAATCACCCCCAGATGGTTATCCCACAAACGCGCCAATTCTTCCATCACCAAGCTCCACCCCATCTCCTCTCCCCTCGCTGCAGCCGACCACCGCCGCCCATCTTTACCCGCCATCTCCTCGACACCTTCGCTGTTGACGCCGCCTGACGGGGACAGGCCGTCCTCTCGGGCCAGTGTCTGCTCTTCTCTAGGCTGTACCGACGTCAAAGGTGTCAAGTCGACCCTCCTGGGACAGCTGCTTGTCATGCGGTACCACATTCACGGGCATGAAGACGAAGGCTGGTTCCTCGGCGGTGGGCGCGAGTTGGCAGAGGAGCGACTGGCTTTGCTCGAAGCTCGTTCAGGGCCAGATGAAGAACTCCAACAAGTCTTCTCCTCGCTGCGCGGGGTCTTTTCGCTGCTTCAGCCCGCTCTTTCCGGGGAGAATATGCATACGCGGGATGTATCTTTCGACCTCGACCAGTACATCAAAGACATTTCGCTTCCTGTTCGGATCACCGAAGAAGACGATGATCAAGATCCTGTTGAGGCGCTTTACGATTCTCGCTGCGGGACTTCTGCATCAATGCACTCGTTTGCCAGTATGGACTCGCAGGCCGAGCACGAGCTTGAAGAAGGCCAGAAGCGTGTCTCGGGGCTGAGCACTTTTACTATCCGGAAAGCTGTAAGGGAAGAAGGGGTCAAGCAAAGGGCTGTGGAATTCCGTTTCCCTCAACTGCCTCAACTGCCCGAGCTTGCAGTGCCGCAATCGCCAGACACGCCGACTCGAACCTCTTCGCGCCTTGCGGCGAGCAGAAGCGTACCAGACTTTGAGGACGGCGGTAAATATACTCGTCTGCCGAGGAGGATTCTGAGGAAGGAGAGGAACGCGACGAGGTCAGCTCTTCAGCTCGGCACCAAACCCAATTCAAAGCCGGGACTGGGCTTGAGGATCGACACGACTACCACCCTTCCCTTGCGCCCTCTACTTTCCCCTTCCCCTTCTTTCAATTCAGGCCTGCCATACACTTTTCCAGATCACTCATTGCCTTTGACACCTACCACCTGCTATTCTACAATGACGACGGCGACGGGCATGGCCACGGCGCCAACCCCGAGGAGGTCGATGCAGATGACGGACCAGACCCTGGCTAGGAGGCAGATGCACCGGCAGTGTGTCATTTTCGATGGTGCACCCATCAGCCCGGGGACTGGGGCGGGTATGGACACTAGTGGGGGCGAGGGACGGTGGTCGGGAGAGATCCCACTCAACTCGCCGAGCTTGCGCGCTTCTCAGGCTTCGAGGTCTTCGAGTACCACTCTCCATGCGCCAACGCACTATCCTTCGCCCGAGTCGCCTATCCTCTCACCCACACCGACGTTCCATTCGCCATGCTCCCCATCCCCGTCTTCACGCATGCCAACCTCTCCTGTGCCTCTCTCCTCCATCCTCGCCCTCTTCCAATCCCTTTCTGAAGGTCATTCCCTGGAAGCGGCACAGGTGGAAGAGGCCTTGGGCAGGTTTGTGGAGGATGAGCAGAGGGCGGTGGAGGAAAAGGGAGGGGAGTGGGATGCGGAGGCGAGGTGTAGAGTGGCGTGGTTGATAGAACAGGTCGCTGAGCTCGTAAGTATTCCTTAAAACTGGGGATGGCAGGGTGCTGACGAGAAGCAGTTGAATGATCCGGTGTACCTCTCTGCGATCAGCAACGTCGTATCGTCCCTCTCAACCCCGCCCCTCTCGGTCACACCAGCGACCCCAGCACTCTCCCTCTCTCCACCTCCCACTCCCCCAGCCAGCGCCGCGCTCGGCCTCAACCTCGGCCTCGGCACCGCACCGCTCAATCTGAGCCCGGTCGAAAGAGCGCCATCGAGCAAGTCTTTTTCACATGCGTATTCGTCGAGCCGCTTTGCGAGCGTTGAAGCAGGGAGGGGAAGGGGTCATCATTCGGCGAGCTACTGCTGAAGGCTCCTGGGTTCGATCTGTAGTCATATTCTCTCTCGCTCTCCGGGCTTGGCTTTCATTAATACGATACCTGTATTCCTAACAATCTTTAATTTCAAAATCAAGACACGCAAACTTCTGTTGAGCATAGTACTAGTAGCTATAGACTTTACATCACTTCTTTCATTGTAGCTATAATGGTCTTTACTTTTCGCTCCCTTTTTCTCCTCTCGGTCTGATATCACCCTCACCCTCTAGTATGTCCTTATAATCACTTTCCGTCCTCTTCTTATATCGACCCCGCTCTATATTTATATACACGTATACATGATGTGGCGTTGAGAGGAGTCACAATAATCTATATTCATATCTCTTCTTTTCAGTGGTCTTCGTACATGACAGTACTTATAATGACACCACCTTATGCAATGTTTATCCATAGTGACACCACGGTGCTGGCGTCGCATCCCACGACCTGGGTTCGTGTCGTTGGTGGTAGACCGAGAGAGACTGAAGATTGCTTCTCGTCTTTGGCACGATAGTTTTTGGCAGCAAAGTGCATGACCCGCGTGGGCCGCTGATGACTGACGTTCGTTTAGCGAGCGTCAAAGTGCCACCGTCCAACTCACGGCGTATAATGCTATCCATGCACCACTTCGCCAAGCATTGTAAACGATTCAAATGGTTTCCCGCTTACCAGCCACCCTTCAAATGGCGGATCTGGTCCTGTAGACCCCTCCGACTTGGATGTAGAGTACATCTCCCCAAGCGCCTTCCAAGCGCCTTCGCCTGGTACTCTCACCAACTCGCCGCGCAAAGCAGACTTTGCAAGCTGGTAGGCTGGCGTTGGTGAGGGGTGTTTGAGATCCCAATATGTCGCGTTGTCCCAGCCGCCGGGCGGGGCGGGTTGAATTCGTTGAAGAAGGGAGGTATACGCCGACAGGATCTCGAATTTACAAAGCCTGCTGCGCCCTTTTGGCCGCAAGGGCTCAAACCCAGGGGCTTTCCATGGTGCCGACAGTATCGTCCCGTTGGACAGTATCTCTCTTTTAGATGGCTTGCCACCGGGGAGAAGAAGCCATGGTAGATGTGATAGGGAAAGGGCGGATGGTTGGGGTTCGGGGGCCGTGGGATGGAGTGAGGCGATGTATGGTTTGGAGTGGGGGAACGGTAAGGAGGTGAATTGGATGTCTGGAAGACGGGGTATATACTTCTGTGATACTTGATCTATCGCTGCTTTCAGTAAACGCTTCGAATGACAAAGGCTCACTTACTGGCCACTCGCTCGTATACAGCCCTCTCGACCTCACCTTTCACCCTCCTCTCCCACTCTTCCGGCTCGAGATCTGCCCCACTAGGCAGTTTCACACCACCCAGCACCATGCCATCCAGCTCTATCTTCGCCCATAACCCACTCGCTCCCAATAGCCCGCCCTGTAGGCCGAGTACGACCCAGGAAGCAATCTTGTCGGAACACGACATTGACGTGCTTGGGGGCGAGTCAGGTCGACCGGGTTTGGTGCGGAGAGAGGATATGTGGGAGTACTTTCCGCGTCCTCTGAGCGGTCCTGCGGGGGCGGGGAGCGGGGGCGGGGCGTAGGAAGTGAGCGATGGCGCAGGCGTGGGAGGCATGTCGAGAGAGTCGGACCATTGCGACGCGTCCTCCTGACTTTGATGCATTGCTGTATACATTGTAGAAGCATCTCCACACTGTAGTATGGTCAGCGTAGCATCAAGTCTTGTTGGAGAATACGTACAGGGAGAGCCGAGACATATAACCAGACTTTGACGCCGTTTTTGAGACTGAACTGCCCGCTGGCATTTCGCTCGACAAATATTTCTTCTCTGGGTGCATTATCCACAGGCGTGCCCGTATCAGCGACCAGAGACGCCTGGTGTATCAGCCACCGAATAAAGCCTCTTCTGGCCAGGATCTCGCCATGACAATCATGTACTGCGTCGCCCACTGGTGGTAGTCGCGCATGAGGCAGAACTTTGACTCCTGTCCCAAGAGATATTGGCACTATCCGTGGAGGTTTCTCTGTGTCATCTTGAAGGGTTGTATATTGTTCTTGGCCAGTAGAGCAGACGAGGGATATGGTCGAGAGTATTGTCCATTCCGGGACGCCGTTGTCTCTGCAGGTGGGTTTGCCGTGGGCGGGAAGGGCGGTGTACAGGTCTATGGATGCTTGGGCGAGGCGGGATGGGAGCATAGTCCAGAGGAATAAGGAAGAGCTGAAAGAGACAGAAGAATGTGATCCGGCGCCCGGGACGCGGCTGTGTTTGTCTTTTCCCCTCCGACTTCGGCTTCCCATGTGGCACAAACGAATACACACTTATTCTAGCGGGAGGGCACTGAGAAAGGGAGAGGAGGAAAAGAGGAAGAAGTCTTGCAGCTGCAAAAAACAACGCGCAAAGGCAGCGCAGCCACAAAGAAGGCAGCACCTGATGGCGGGTATGGCAAACGCAAAAAAGAAATGTTCCCAGCGTGAATCGAACACGCGTCTCTGCTGCGAGACAGTGATTAGATAACCACAAAGCAGCGTACTAACCACTATACTATGGAAACTGATATGTTAGCAAGGCAGCTTTGTAAGCTACAACCTAATTACAAAACCCTCGGATTGAAAGTAGCAGGCAGCTCATGTACGAGGGTTGTTGACGGGGCAATGGAACTTTGCGTTGTTGGGCTGGCGACGGGGTGTCAGCAGAGCACTAGGGATGTATTGTCTGGGTCGCGCTCACTGGTATTTGCTTAGTTTTACGCCTTTCTTCTCCACTCCGTCGTTTGGCAGCTACGAATTGCTCCTTCGCGGTAAGACCAGTATCGCCCGCATCTTGCCTGCTTCTTGGCGGTTTCTTTCGTCATGAAGAAGGGTTGAGGGATCAGGGGCGATTGAGGTGGATGGTATAGAAGAAGAACAGAGAATAGAAGATGCAAATGAAATGGTTGCCATGGGGCTGTCGTGAGAACATCCACAAACACAACGGATATATCAATGGTCAATCGCAAACATGCGGATCGCTGTGCGTCCCCTTCGAGGTCTTTAGATGCGATGCATGATGGACCAGGCATGAATGCAAAATGCAGTCTCTATCCCTCAGCGCGAGGTCCGTCCACTTCGGGTATAGCCTTAATGACTCCCTTGTGCAAGACCTTTTTCACATCGTCGAACACCTTTCCGCGATTATCCCTGCGCAAGACACAATCAGTACCTCCACATACGGCATGTTGCAGACTGAACTCACTTTAAGACACTATCCATATAAACACTCAATACATCACCCGCAATCCTGTCCATCTTTTCCAGCCCCGGCAGATTGTCGGCTCGAGATGGACCGGTGGATATCATGAGCACTGGTTTTCCCTGGTCGACGGCCTGCTTTACGAGGCGAAAGGCAGAGTAGGTAGCAAGGGATGTTCCGAGGATGAGGAGGGAGGAGGAGGAGTTGATGAGGTCGAATGAATGATCGCGGACTTCTGGTCGAATGGTTTCGCCCTGGACGATGTTAGTAGACATTCGACTGAACGGCTAAATCACTCACGAAGAATACTACGTTGGGTTTGACCTGCCATAAATCGCGTTAGAGATGTCCCTTGTGGAAGGGCTGTACGTACGATGGACGTGTGTTCTCCATCTGCCTTGCAGGATGGACAAGGGGGCACGTTGAATGTGCTAAAATCTGTTCCTCTCAGATCAACATCACCATCAGGATTCGTGCGTGGTTGACTATAGAGCAAGATCAGCATCTTTTAATGACCTTATGATGTGCGAAACCCACTTTCCAGTCCTCTCTGCCTCCTTGGCCGCCTCATCCCATACAGGATTCATCTTTGCTATGTGCTCTTGATACACGTCTCGCGTGATCTCGTGTCGATGTTTGAGACAGTGAACCTTTGCGAGTGTCCCGTGAAGCTCGAGTATGGGGGGATTAGATACAGAAGGATTGAGCAGACTATACGCCTTGGGATGCAGGTTGTCCACCTGCCAGAGTGTTAGCTTCATCGCTCTAATGGGGTAGCCATCGTACGTTTTGAGTGATGAGGTTTGGTGCGAGACCGAGGTGCTGTAGAGCTGCTATATATATATGCGTAGGGTTTGGCATGGCATCTCTGACAGGAGGGTACTAAGTCTATATTAGCAAATGCTTTATAGGTGGTATGGACGGGCTTACCCCGAGGAATGATCGTGCCCAATCTGGTTGCGATTAAGAGTCAGCGGCCTACACAGGCAATGATGAGCGCTCAAACTCACATCTGCGTCTGTAGGAAAGTCAGTAGATGCTCATGGTACGTGTTCCTCCACTTACCTGAACATGTGTCCCCTATCGGTGTCCTCTACCAGCTCATGATACAGAATCGGCCTGCCGAGCGGCAAACCCATCAGTTCCTTTACATCAAGACCGATCCGATTTAGTAGCTTACTTGTAGTTGGGGTTACTATAGCTCCCTTCCTTTCCTCTATAAGCTCTGATTCCACTGTCCACACTAACACCAGCGCCTGTCAGTAGGAGAGTTTTGCCTTTGCCTTTATCAAGAAAACGGGCAAGATGGGAGGCTGCGAGAGCAGGAGGGAGGAGGGTGAGGGCGTTTGGGGGGACGAGAGGGGCGGGAGGTAAGGTGGGAATGGATATCCGCACCATTTTTGATAGTCGATGGGTGGAAGAGATATGGATACGATGGCAAATATTTGGGCATCGACAGCAGCGATCGTGGTGGATTGCAGCCGGCCGCCGGGTGCTGCAGCGGCAAACCCCACTATCAGGTAGACGCATTACCGGCATGCATTGTGCCCTGTGCTACTCGAGAGGACACTCGAGAGACACGATGGGGCTGATGAACAGCGAGAAATGCGTCCTTCTACGGGCAGAGTGGCAGTTGAATCACATTGACGAGCCACAAGCTTCGCTTTCGGCACGCTTGACGATCTCGTTGCAGCGGAGAGTGCCGACGCGTATGACGCTCGAACGCGTTGCAAGGACAATGGCACTCCTCCAACTTTTTCCGCCCATTTCATCGCAGCATGCCTGCCTCCCCTACCCCCTCATCTCCCCTCTTCGGCCTCGACCATCCATCTCCCGGGTCGCGTACAGAATCAGACGACGACGAAATGCTCGACACGGTCGATCTCAATGCCGACCCCGCTCCTGAGGACGATCCTTGGCGCACTGTACCTCTTGCCGCGGCTGCTCCTTCGGTCGCTGGGGCTTCTTCGAGAGATAGCGGGGCGTCTTTCACGACTGACACGACGCAAAGACTGTCGAGAGCTGTCTCGACTCCTGCTACCGAGTTCACGCCGACGATAGAGGAGGAAGGAAAGGACATTGATGTGGCCGGAATTGAGGAGGGGGAGACCCCTATCGTTTTGGGTGTCGCTGTGGTAGACTTCAATCATCTTGCAAGTCGTTCTCCTTATCCCGCATCACACAGCTGATTGACATTTGAACGATAGATCGGGCCTACAGTCGAGTTTGCCTACCCTGCTTCACTGCAAGATGCTCTAGCAAATGACGAGGACTTGTCAAGGCTTCTACCATTCCTGGCCCTCCCGGATGGTGCACACTTGGTCAGTCATACTACCACTCACTCGAACGCTGCGCTCACATGGACCTCAGAGTGAAGAAGACTATTCATTCTTTGTACTTTACGTTGCGCTGCAGATGCCGGCACAGACACTGATCATTCGCATAGCACTGCACATATTCCCCCTCGGATTCCAGAGTACGCACCAACGTCCCGCCCTCTCAGACGTTGTTTGGAATCTCGTGGGTAAACCTGTTGCTGTGCGTTGGCTCCTACTGACAAGGACCTGATGCCGTAGATGCAATCGACAACTGGCGTCTACCGAGTTGCTCAAGAGACCGAGTGATGTGACGAGGAGTATGGTGCAGAAAGCAGTCATTGTTGTGGCTAGCAAGCCGGTATCTGTGAGTCGTTCTTGTTCGATCATGGTGTAATGGTGCTGACTCTGCAGGGGCCGATACGGTTCGTTGGGCCGACTATGACCAGAAGTCATCAACTGACCTGCATACAGAGATAGACTGGGAGTAGTTACAAGAGCATACTTTGCTCAACGGTCAGCTTTCCATGTCCCATCAGCTTCCCACCGCTGACATCTATCGTGACAGTGATTTCACGCATACCCAGATATTGGAGGACTTTTATCACAGTCTCGAGACAAGCTTGCAAGGAAAGAGTGGAGAGGAAGCCATATACATGGGTAAGACTTCCAGCCATATCAACTGAGATTGGCAGCTGACGTAAAGTATAGGTACAAGCCTACGAGAGTTAGTACACAAGTTCCGCCATCGCACCCTCATCCTCCTTAAACTCCTCATGCTCCAAAAGCGCATCATGCTCTTCGGATACCCGGTTGACAAGCTGTGCACATACCAGTACTCGCTGGTATCGCTGATACCAGGACTGTTGATGGACTTGTATGAGTCGGGTAGACCGGACCTAGAGAAGGAAACCAAGAAGGCAAGGCCGACATCTTTGAGGACTAGTGATAGGGCCAGTCTGCTGAGATTTATGGGGCTTCGTGAGTCGTTTGGAAGACAGCTAGGACGATTTGAGCTGATGGGCCCTGTCAAGCTCTGAGAGTGTTTGGCAACGGTGCTTTCTTCCAGCCCTACATGCCTCTCCAAGAGATTGACAAGCTGAAATGCAAGAGTTGGCTGGTGGGGACAACGAACCAGATCGTGACCCAGCAAAAGGACTGCAAGTATGATTTGCTTGTAAACGTGAGTATACGGCCTAGCATTATAAAGTTTGCGCTGATGTGAAGTGGTAGATCGACAACAATACTTTCGACTTTACAGATCCCAAGCTGGAAAAGACCGTTGGTCTCACGCCCGCGGATAGAAAGTGGATGGACGATGTGGTGCAGACAGTGGAGGAATCGTGGAACCTGGTATGCCTTCCGTTATGCTCTTGTCCTCAAGTCTATAGCTGACATGTCATTCAGCCAGAGGGAGAAAGACCATCGTGAGAGGCACCCCTTTTGATCTGACATGCCGCTGACAATTCACAGATTCAGAGGCAGCGACGACGATCTCCGCGCCCGCTTTGAAGAATACATCTTATCAGCCCTTTCATCCATCAAATACGCTGATTTCCTCACGAAAGGCAAAGCTTCCGACATTTCCATCATTGCCGAGACTGCAGGCGCGCCTGGGTCGGAAGGCAATGTGATCCAAGACTTTTCGGAGCAATGGATAATTGCGTTCAAGGAAACAGATGTCTATGAGAAATGGAATGGCATGACAGACCCGGTGCTGTTTGATATCCACGAGCCCAAGTGAGCTCCCTTTGGCTGGCAAATGACTTGGAGACTGACATCTTTAAAGGCATCCATGTGAAGGCAAAGCTGGTGTTGTATCAGATATAGGCCTCCGCCTCGCCGAAGGTCTCCACGATCTTCACCTCGACCAACAACTCGCGCCCACTCGCGACGCGCTCTCCAGCGCCTTCCAAGCTGGCTCGCAATCCATATTCAGAGCCTTTGACGGCGTCAGGAGTGAAGTTGATCGGCGGATGAAGGAGAGGGAGGAGCAGGCTCGGGCGAGAGGAGCAGCGTCGCCAGGAGCGAGTGGTAATTCAACACCGACTGCAAAGCCTGGCACGCCCACGGGGCAGGATTTGAAATCTACTATCGGAGGCATTGGGTCGGGTATAGGCTCGTTCTTTGGTTCAAAAGTGGCTTCTTTCCGCGCGCCGCCAAAGGACGAGAGTCCGAAAGGACTGAGACCTATGTCTTTGGTCGGCAGTGTGAGCTCGGGTAGTCTCAAGTCCATGACCAGGTCTGGTGAAAGTAGGCCTTCGTCGACGAGCAGGTGATTTGATAGACATTCTGGAAATCGGTCTTGACCACATAATCATGTATCCCTAGCTGTAGCCTCGACTGCAATCGTACATTCTGCATTGAGAGCACACATCTTCTGATCGTGAATTATTCTATCTTAGAAAGCTAGTATATAACAAGAACAACATGTAAATCGCGGCAAACGAGGAACAGTTTTATCGACAAAGCATCGGACAAGAATTTACAGAATACAACTTGAATCGTCATGGTACAGGTATCACGACAATGGCATGATCAATCTGCGCCAGACCCAACTCCACTCGCGCCCGCCATCTCGCTCCTCATCGTCACCCCACTCGCCCCATATACACTCGAGCTATTCACCCTCTTCACCTTCTTACTCCGCCCTCTCTCTTCCTCCCCACTATCCTTCTTGTCCCTGTCCAGCCTCACCATCGCCATACACCCAAACGCCCCCGCCACACAACACGCCGCAAGGGCAAATACTGTTGGCGCATAGGTGCCGACGGTGGCGGCAAAGACGGTGCCAAACATGAGGGGCGAGATGAGGGTTGAGCCCAGGGCGTGGATGACCGCGAGTGCGCCGAAGAGGCGGCCTGCCTGAGAAGGGTCTGGAAGGAGGGAAAGGGCCAGGGAGTTGGAGGCTGGGACGCCTGGGCCACCCAAGGTGAGAAGGGCAGAGAGAAGGATGAAACCTTTCTCTGAGGGGCCGAAAGCCAAGAGTACCCAGGGGAAGAACTCGCTGAAGAGGCAGATGCGGACCGTGAGGAGATCCAGGTGGGCTGAGCGAGGTGGTGCACGAGAAGACGGTTCGTCAGAGCTGGGCTCTGGCGCGGAAGGGTCGGAGGAGGTGGTGATGGCAGAGTCACCGGCAGCGTACGTTTGTGCTTCAGACACACCAGTATTGTTGCCCTGCTGGAAACGTGGCTTGACGTAGCGCATTATCACTGATGATTGTTAGCGCTTCACAGCTTGACATACGGGTAGAAGCTTACAAGGTACCAGACCGACCAATATGGCACTACGAAGGAACGCCATGGCAGACATGTACGGTCCGAGCTAGTATACCGTCAGAGATGTCGCGGTCGAACTGAGAAAACACTCACCTGCGTTGAAGTCCAACCAAAGGCGTAGAGAGAGTACTGCACCTTGGTGGCCAGTACACCCATGAGCAAAGACATGAAAAACAAGCCCGACCCGACAAAGGTCATATTCCAATTCTTTCTCTCTCTTCCCGTCCAAGCATCTTCCTCTGTTCTTGGGAAGAAGATTGCCAACGGGTCGAGGAAAGAAAAGGTCTTTCGGATTGTCCGTCGGACATTACCGGCAAACCTCTTTCTGCGCCTGGAGGGATTCGCGGCAGATACGATTGACCATCCGCTCAGAAGAGGGTCGCTCTCCCGGTTCCCGTCGCCAGCTGCACGAGGTGCATCATTAGCGACTTCCTCGTCCTCCCACTCTCGCTCAGCAGCTTCGCGCCGGGCAGCAGCGTCTTTGGCGAGAGCCGCGTTCTTGGTGAGGAGGACTCGTGCTTCAGATGAGAGCGATTCGGGGAGAAGGAAGAGGATGAGGATGATATAGACCGAGTGGATGAGGACATTGACGTAGAAGGGTGTCATGCTGCACCGAGTTGGCATCTGCAATTTGAAGATGTGAGAATGAACTCACATGTTGCCAGTGTAAGAGATGAGCATACTACCCAGTACTGGACCGGTAGCGAATCCTGCCATCATGATACCGTGCACCCTCGCAAATACCGTCACTCTGCTCCCATCGGGCGTGACGTCCGAGAGATAAGCGTTGATGGTGGCCGTGATGGTCGAGATACCGCCCAAGGATCCATCAATGAGAGGACCAAGCAACAGAGCGTAGTAGCCTCCGGGCGCTAGATATGGGAATGTAGCGACGAGGATAAAACATAGCTCGCTACGAGAAGCGTCAGGCAAAGTCCGAGATGGGGAGATGTGACTCACTTGCAGAGCAGGCCTAGCTCGACGACGGCCATGACTTTGGTACGGCCTAGTCTGTCAGAAGTCTGGCCCCAGAATCCGGTTGTCAAAGCAGACAGTATACCCATGGTCAGAGTCATGACTGAGAGGCTTATCAGCTCGTGTTCAGATAAACACTTTGGGTACCCACTCATGGTCAATTTGGCAGCAGTCGCTTGTACTTTGGGATTCTTTTTGCACAGCGATGGGTCGATCTCCTGGTAGTGCTGCCCCTCCTTGTTATCCTCTCCACTTCTCTCTGGCTCGTGATCTCCCCAAGGCTCGTCTCCGCCTGGGCGAGGCAAAGGCCCAGTCGGTTGCGGACCTGGCGGTAGCCGCTCTCGACGTCCTCCTGGCACAGACGCTTTGCGATGGGATTGTCGGTATTCGAATATCTCGTGCTGTAGCTTGAGGAACCACCTGTCTGAAGGTGACAGCTCTGTAGCATTTGCCTGGCCGACCGGCGCGAGGACAGCAGTATCGGAAGAGTCTGCCTGGTCTCGCCACACTGTCTGATAATCACCGGCGATCTGAGCATTGAAAGACCCATGTCCATTGACGATCACTGTCTGCTCCGATGATGGAGGATGCGCCAGACACGCGAGATTGATATACAGTTCCGATTTCGGTGGAGTCGCCATCCCCAGACTGACAGCGGCGCCGAGGATGAAAGGATACACCCACTTTGGCGAAGGTCTTCTCCAATACGGGCGCCTGGCTATAGAGCCTTCGCGGGCCGCATCCCAGTCTAGCTCAGACTCGAGCGGCGACGCCAGAGGGTCGGTACGGGGGAGGGGTGTTCCCACAGGCGTCCCCGATCGTGACATGGCTGTATCGAAGATCGCTCTCTCCTCGAGCCCACTCCCAGTCACGCCCTCGGCGTCGAATATGGAGCCGGGGACATACTCGTGCTGTTGGGGCTGGGGCTGGGGGAGGGCCGAGTGGACGGAAGAGGTGCTCGAGGAGTGGGAGATGGACGGTCGTAGATAAGGGGGCAGGGCTGAGGGATGGTGGCCGTGGGTGCCGTGGGTTGGGGGTTTGTCGGCCATGCTGGGTGTCGGCGGTGCTCTGGACGAGCGTGGTTGCTGGCTGAGTTGCGGCTGTGATGATGTATATACAGTACAGAAGTGGTGTTGCGATTGCGCGTTGCTGACTGAAATCGCTGGATGCGGCGTGCAAACACTGACCGCCAAACGCCGAAAAGGACTGCCTGTGGGCTGTGGCTGTGGATCGTTGAGCGAGAGTGTCTGTCAACTCGCCGCCACGCTCCAGAGGCCATGCATCCCGTGGCATCACCACTGCCACCTCGCTCGTCATTGCAATCTGGCCCCTCTCGGTCATTTCCGAACGGCGGGCTCATCAGGGCTCCACGGGAGTCGCGACTGTCTTTCTCTTTTGTCTTTCCAGCGCTAGCAGCAGTCAGTCCGCCATACTATGTGAGCGTGAGCGCAGAGGGATCAACTACAATTGTACAGTACGAGTACGATCACAGTACTACGGCAAGTTCCATGATGACACCGCAGGAACCAAACAAACGTCAATCAAGTGCCTCTTATTGGGCCTTTCCATGGCCAGGCATGCTTCTGTGACTGCTTTGGAGTTGCACGCTGGCGTGCAACCGTGCACAGAAAGAGGCTTCAGAAGTCCATTCATAGTCCATCTTCTACTCTGACATCATCGGGAGTATCACAAAGCCAGGTTCACAACCCCGGGTTCACAAGACAACAAGTACGGATTTAGGCGAAAAGTATGTATACAAGAGCTCAATATGTTGACAACAGGTCATTACAAAAGGTCTTTCAGCATATCATCAGTATACGCATGCCGGAATAGATCGGGAAAAGCGCTTACAGACTGAAGTAGAAGGGTCAGCACTTCCAGCTACACTGGGCACCGCCAACCCCTTGACGTTGAGCTTGACTTGCCCAGCATCCTCTGCACTTTTAACACCACCCTCCCGAATGTTACTCGCCTTGGCCGCCGGGGCCTGCGCAAGACGCACACCGCGCTGCTGCTGACGCTGCTTCTTGTGCTTCATCTCTTTTGTCTGCTTGACGCGGCGTCGGTCGGTGAGCATACGTCGGAGAGGTGGGGGCAGTTTGGAAGAGCGGCTTTCGGCGTTCTTCTTTCGGAGCTTTTCGGTGACGTTTTGCAAGTCTCTTGTGTGAATTGTCAGCACTGAAGTTGCCTTTGTCGTTGGAGGCTTACAGCTGTAGAGTGTCGGTAGCTTGTTTGAAAAAGGCAGAAGGCTCGGGGTAAGTCTTCTTCATCTGTAGCGCGATCTGCTCGGTTGAGTGATACCTCTGCTGAGCATCGTTGGCCTGAAGATCAAAAGCAGCAATCAGCACCCTCCTGAGCCAGGCTGTGATGCTATAGAGGGACTAACCAGGTCATCGGCGCTGCTAGAGTCGGAGACGAACTCTTTGATCTCGAGCACAAGATCTGCGAGCGTGCTCTCAACAGCCTCGGTAGACCCAGTGGGCGTGGTAGACCTCGAGATCTCCTGGAGACCTTCGGGTGTGTTGGTGGTAGGTGTTGCCATCTTGTGACCAAATGAGCAAGCAAAGAGATCGAGAGGAGAGAGGGGAAATAAGAGAAAATAGGATGGTCGAGGGTGATGATAAAGAAGTCGATCCAAGGCAGGTGGACCCTCGAGCACAGCATCATGGCCCAGCGTGACGATACTCTGGGCTTGCTCGAAGGCTGCCAGCAGGATACCGCATGCCATGGTGCCATGGTGACATCGTGACGTCTTTGGGGGGCTGACACCGAGCCCTTGAGGACGAAGCGAGGCTGTCGTGCGTCGCCGTTGATCTTCTCTTTCACGTGTTGTCGTCTTTTCTCATGGATTGGAAGAGAAGCCAGAACAGAGAAGACTGGTGTTAATCTTGGATGCTTGAAGAGCTCATAGGCCAAGCAATACGTGACGAGACAGCGCAACCGATTCATATTGGGGAAGAAGAGCGCCCGACGTCGAGTTGGAGTAGTGCGACAGTGGTTACTCGGTCCGACTCGAATGTTCTCGAAACGTGCTTATCGGATGCCGTAAGGCGCGCAGGTTCAAATCCTGCCTGCTCCTTTGCCTTTTTGAGTTACCTTTTTGAGACCTGAAAAGTATAGCGCTGATGGCACGTCCATGACCGAATCAGAAGGCTGTGCGCGGATACGCTCGGCATCGGGCCGGAAGCAGCCCTAGCTGTGGGCATGGACACACAGATATGTTTGTAAGACTCGATTCCGGTGGAGATTGGAGATCGTTTGCGATGTCGTACCAAAGTTGTCTTGTGTGCCCGAGTAGGCAAACAAGGACGACGCGAGTTCGGGGAACCAGGGCACTTGCATGCGTTGGACTCTGCAATTGGCAACGATACGCGAGGGTATACACAGGGCCAATGATTGCATACAGGCCAGTCGCTCTGCACAATAGAAAGGGACGAGAGGAACTGTTTGAGAGACAAAAGAAGAGAAGAAGGGCGCACGCGCCACTGGGGGTAATACCGAAATGCCCGTGTGCTGGCGGGGAGAATTGATCCCGGTCGGCGGCCATCGCATGCTCACTCGCTCACTCTGTCCATCTCATCTCATCTCTCATCCTCTCATCCGTCTCTCAACATCCCACCCCCCCGCCTCTCACACAGCCCATGGCCCATCCATGTTCTTCCAACATCACCAGCCCCAGCAATCCTCCGGTACCTCCACCGCCAAACATCATGACTCCTCAGATCGTCTACCAGGAGCCAGCAACTCTTCCTGGGGACGCCATCCATCCTTCACCCCCAGCCTCCCCATGCCTTCCCCCAACGGTTATCCTCCTTTAGGATCCGGCTATCCCCCCGGCGTAGGAGGTGCCCACCACCATCCCAGTCTCAACCACTCGCATGGAGGCATCCACCCGTCGTTTGGAAGCGGCGGGCTGGGAGGAAGCGGAGGACTGGGCCACGGGCCGGGAGGCTTCGGTATGGGAATGTTTCAGGGAGTGCAGGCGAGCCCGCCTAGGGGAGAACCCGTACCGATGACGAGCCACTGGCAGACGCAACTGGCGCGGGCGGAAACGTCGAGAACGGCCTCTTCTGCCCATCATCGGGCTAGAGCAGCTGCCATTTCGTCGAGGGCGACCAACAAGCCTTCTGCAGTGGCTATCGTAGACCCCAACGCGAGGCCTGGCTCCTCCCATGGGTCCAACGGTCTGCACAGAAAGCAAGGATCAGTCGCCTTGAATGGAGAACCCTCCACGGGCACTCCTGTCATGACCGCCCTCACCCCCTCTACCGACCCCGCGAATCCTACCCAACCGCCAGCGACGAGTGACAAGGAGGATGAGCAACGGCCGAATGAGCCGTGGACTGGTCTGGATCTGGGTGGTATACGGCTGAAGAGGCTGTCGCCTGCCCTGTTTTCCTTTTCCCACATCACCTCCTTGTACATAAACCACAACGCCCTCACCGCCATCCCCTCAGCCATCTCCAACCTCCGAAACCTTACCCTTCTCGACGCCACAGGCAACGAACTATCCTCTGTACCGCCAGAGATCGGTGTACTGTGCAAGCTCAAAGATCTCTTGCTCTTTGACAACAACATCACTACCCTCCCGTGGGAGTTTGGTACCCTCTATCAGCTCGAGATGCTTGGTATCGACGGCAACCCCATGAATGCAGACTACCGCAAAAAGCTCATCGAAGAGGGAACTCGAGGTCTCATCACCTATCTCAGAGATCACGCGCCCCAGGGCCCACCACCTCCCGAGAGACCGTGGATAGACCTCGAAACAGATATCGATTCCCCCTCCACCGGCAAACAAGAATCCTTCTCCGTCCTTACCTACAACATTCTCTGTGCCAGCTTTGCCCCCGCGACCACATACAGCTACACGCCATCGTGGGCGCTGAATTGGGACTATAGGAAGGGATTGCTGTTGGAGGAGATTACGGCGGCGTCGGCGGATGTGGTGTGTTTGCAAGAGATTGACTGCAAGCAGTATGCCGAGTTTTTCTATCCCGAGTTGAAGAAGAAGGGATATGAGGGCCAGCACTATCCGAGGTCGAGAGCAAAGACAATGTCGGCGGATGAACAGAAGAATGTGGATGGTTGTGCGACGTTCTGGAAGGTTGACAAGTGAGTGGATACTCTGAGGGTGATGGGGTGTGCTGACAGTAGAACAGGTTCAATCTTGTCGAGTCTCAGGTCGTCGAATTCAACCAGCTTGCTCTTCAAAAGACCGACATGCGAACCGAAGACATGTTCAACCGTGTCATGTCGCGAGACAATATTGCCGTCGTCGCCGCCCTCGAGTTCCGAGCATCCGGTGGCCGTCTCTTGGTCGCCAACTCGCATATCTACTGGGACCACCGCTACCGAGACGTCAAGCTGGTACAGATTGGTATGCTCATGGAAGAGCTCGAAAAGATTGTCGACCAGTTCTCCCAGTACCCTGCCAAGCTCGACTTGGACCCCGAGTACAACAACGGCCGCCCTGTCGTCTATGACCGGTCAGAGAAGGGTCGAGATATCCCACTCATCATGTGTGTCGACTTGAACTCTCTCTCGGGCTCTGGTGTGTACGATTACCTTTCCCAGGGTGAGGTATCGGGCGACCACGAAGACTTTATGACCCACTTGTACGGCAGATACACTGCTACCGGTCTCAAACATGGTCTGAACCTGCGTTCGGCGTGTTCCGGAATAGGAGAGATGAGGATGACCAACTTTACGCCGACGTTTGATGCGGCGATTGATTACGTCTTTTACACACCGAGGACGATGAAGGTTACGAGTGTGTTGGGTGATATCGACAGGGAGTATCTGGACAAGATTGTTGGATTCCCCAACGGGCACTTCCCTTCAGAGTGAGTTGCCTGGGCGTGCGCCAGAGTGAATGCTGACAGGTGTATAGCCATATCCCAGTATTCGTCCAATTCCGAGTCAGGGGTCAGCAATAATCATCATCATTTCAACCATTTTCATCCGACATCTTGTCACAATTACGCCAATATTGTTTATACCCCTTCTCCATTCTCCATCTCTCTTTCAATTCATTCAACATCCACTGTTTGTCTAGTATTCCCATCTTTTGACTCTTTTTCATCATCAGGCGTTCTTTCTTTCTTTCACACCATTTTCATTCCAATTATTCTCATACAGACTAGATCTGCAAACAGGTCTCTCTTTTCCATGTACGAGCGTATCAGAGCGCCTTATAGCCAGTATACAAGGAGGAGTAGTGTAAGTGCGATAAGTAGTTTGGGGTTTAACTGGAGCCTCTGCTCAAACTGTTTATGTGTGTTCTGGAATAGACGTAGTACTATGAATTCAAAGGCCACAATTCTATCTGCGGACCATCGAAGGCGTGCATTGTAACATTCAGACGACATGGCTCTTATCACGTAGGAAACTCGAAAACCCCGTTGGTGCTGCGCGTGACTTGGACGATAATCTCTGTCTTTCAACCGAAGCAGAAAAAAAGCCTAGTACTCCACTCTACTGTAGTACTGGTGTACAAGTACATAGCTGACGAGGCGATAGAGAAGCATCATGGGGACAGACAGGGTCAAAGGCAAAAAAGGCAAAAAGGAAAGGAGCAGGCAGGATTCGAACCTGCGTGCCTTACGGCATCCGATAAGCACGTTCTAAGACATTCGAGTCGGACCGAGTAACCACTGTCGCACTACTCCTATTTGATAGGGCCTTCGGAATGTGTCTATTATATCCCTATTGCAACGGCTTGATCTCAAATGACTATACTGGTGGACTGTAGTAATGCACACAGCTTTATTCTCAAAGACTCTCTCGCCTTCTTTTGATCTTAGATTAGCTAATTTTTACCCTTCAGCTTCTATCACCACCCGACTCCAAGTGATCAGTACGACGCTCAAGGAGGGTCAATACCAGCGTGGTGGAGGAGGTCTGGTATCTGCACTGTGTTTCTAAGAATGCACATCTGAGGACATGTTTGGGACATGTTCATATGTAGCAAGCCGAGGTGGATGGATAAGCGAACACTGAGTATGCATCAATACCCGACGACGACCTTAAAGTGCATCATAGCCATACTCGAGCTCGTGCAAGATATGAGCAGCCGCAACATCTCTCCCTAGCCTCGTCCCCTTATCGGTGACGATATCCTGCAACTCTTTCGCCCGGGCGAGAATCTTGGCGGTTTCAGGTGCGTCGGGAGTAGCGCCGATGACTCGAAGAAGGGCTTTTGTAAACTCTGGTTGAGAAACAGCGAGCCTAGGGCCAGTATCGGCCTGCCTAGGTTGAAATAGTCAAAGTCTTAATTCTTAATAAACAAGCTCACCCCGAAGACATATTGCCCCAGACACCATTGCCGAGGAAGGCCAAACGGCTCGCAAAGTCGAAGCAATCAAACCACGCAGGGAGTAGGACCTGAGGCGTGCCAGTGCTACAGGGACGGTGTCATTAACAATCATTTACGCCAGATACATGTGAACTTACAACAAAGCCTCGTGATAGCTGTTGCTACCCCCATGATTGACAGAACAGATGACGTTGCCGGTCTCGAGCACCGCCAAAGGATCGGCTTCGAGCCATTCTACTACCCGTAGTCTATCCCCGACTTCCTCCAGGCCCTGCAGCTCGTATTCCCCATACTTCCTTAGCTTCCAGAGGATTTGAATGTCCCTGCGCTTGTCTAGAAGCACTCGAAAGGATGCAATCATATTGTTGGCGACCGGCTCCCTGGTAAGAAAGTGGGATCCAAGAATGACCATTACCGTGGGTCGCGCTGTAACCCAATCATACAGCTCCTTGTCCGCTAGCTCCAAAGGCGTGGAAGCTTGGAGGATAGGCCCACAGCAGAGAAGAGACTCTGGGATGATAGCCGGGATCTCGGCCCCTGGCGTTGACATGCACAGAGTCTTGCTTGGCCGCACTTGCGTGACTTCGAATAGAGGAACTCTCTTTCGGTACCCGTTGGCATGTCGAGCTTTGTCAAAGGCTTTGTAGTACGAGCTGAAGGTGAAGTATAGGAGGGGAAAGAGGAGGGCGATTATGTTGAGGGGCACGAGGTACCAAGGGACGGGGAAGGGGAAGCCTGTCGTATGCCTGGAAGGTCATAACGTCAGTTGACAATGCTTCATGTTGAAGAGTACTTACGCAGGCCACAAAAAAGCACCAAGCCCCTGATCCCCCACAGCAAGCTCCTTTATCGTATTTGGACTGAGGGTTATGAACCGTACATCAGCCATCTTGCCTATAGCATCTCTGGCCGGGCCAAACATGGTGTCGACAATGACGAGGTCCGGCTTGAGCTCGCGGAGGAGTCTTTCGACATCGTGTGCTGTTTCAATGTATTCTTCGACAGGCTCGGAGTGTGTGATTGGGAACATGACAGTGGACCATTTCAAAGAGTTGAAAAACCAGGGATCAGCGCACAAGATATCCATGGCTTTCTCTGTATAGGCGAGGTCAGCACCCAGACGAGAACAATGATACTTGATATGGTCAACTCACCCTTAGCAGCCTTCCCATTCAGCCCATGTCTTCGGGCGAGTCTATCCGTGGCGGAAAATCCTACGATGGGGTGGAAGATTACACCCTCCGGAACTCGATCTCGGCAGTCGCTGGAAGACCCAAGATGTATGTCGATGCCGTCTTTGGAATTCTTCAGAAGGGAGCTTATAATAGCTAGGTGAGAGTTGGCCTGGCCATGCTCGGAGCTGAAGAACCTCGTTAGCTGGATACAGTGGGTGGAAATGAGACAAGGTGCGTACCAGGTCAAGAACAGGATCTTCCAGGGGTCTCGGTCATTAGTAGTTATCAAGCAGAGACGAACGGGAGACATTGTTCTCTTGAAGGCCTCTCACGCCTCTTATACAGTCCGATACCGCAAGAAGCCGAAGCATCGGCACGACGGCACGATACTGGAACAACAGGACACACTAGCATTTGGCTCCGAGCACTTGCGGTCCCTGGCCGGCAGACCGAACTCATGCAAGAGCCGGCAGAAGTCGCCCTCTATGGAGGAACATGCATCTGACCATACGTATAGACAGCCATATAGCCCACTCGAGAATCCAAGTACTTTCGTCCGTGGTGCACTAACCTCTAACATATATTTTAAAAATCAAAATCGACACAAAAACAAAGTCACCTCTGAAAACAAGCAACATCATCTCAGCCTCTCGAATCCGCCCATCCTCACAATGCTCGACCCACTCCCACTTCCACTGCCTACAACAGCAGCCTTCCCGACCTCTCCCTTGGCCTTTTGGAAGGCATTCCAGAATCGCAGAGTCTCATCGCCAGCACCCGTCGCTATCGTCTGCCCATCGGGGCTCATGGCGAGGTAGAGCACACGAAAGTTGTGGCCGGTAAGGGTTGCTATTTGAGTCATGGATGGGTATTTCCATATTTGGATTTGATTGGATACGGGGCCGCCAGAGTAGCCGTGGGTGGAGACGAGTTCGTTGGAGTTTTTGGACCACATCAGATTACAGACCTGTTTGATGTCAGATGGAACCATGAAAGGCAAATGTGCTACTCACTTGGCTACCCGTATCAATTTCACTGATCAAGCCTCCGGTCAAACTGTTCCAGAACCGAATCTTTTTATCCGCCGTACCACCCCCACTTGCCAATAGCCCTCTCTGATGAGGACTCCAAGCGATAGCCTTCACCGCCGCCCTGTGCTCTCCAAACCTCCACGTCGGCCTCGCATCCACTCCGCCCCACACAAACAGCTTGTTGTCATTCCCACCGCTCGCCAGCTGGTCCGTATCCGTATTCCATCGCAGCCCACAGACTTCCTGCTTGTGATGACCCGACAAGCGACGGATGTAGTGGTCTGCTATACGGGTATCGCGGTGGAGGATGGTTCGATCACGAGAGCCGGAAGAGAGGATGTGCGAGTTCCATGCAAGAGCGCCTACACGACCAGAGTGGCCAGTCATGACACGGATACGCTTGTTGTACTCGGCGTCCCAAATCTCGACCAGGCCGTTGTTGGTACCGATGGCTAAAGTGCTTCCCTGCAGCAAAGAGTCAGTGATGTTTGGGAGCAAGTCGGATGACGCACCTTGTTGGTCCATTCCAGGCCGGTAATCACATCGCCGCCTTCGCCTGTGTCGGTAGGACTCAGGTCGCAGAGTTTGGTGACCTTGCTTGTCTGAGCACTCCACAGGTAGACGCAGTTGTTGAGCCCGACGCCCAAGACATTTGATTGTGACCAAGAGACGAGATTGAGGTAAAAATCATCCTGCAGCGGGTCAGTAAAGTTTACAAGGATCCGATCGCAACTCACAGCCAAATCTGGCGCATCAAGCACCTTGAAGGGCGTTTTCGATATTGGCCGTATGCCTTTTCTCGGGCTCAAGAGGACTCGCTGCGACTCTTTTCCCACTGGGCTAAGACTGTAGGCCGGGTGGTTCATATCATCCAGACTATCACTCGCCGAGATCCCATTCACTCCCAGAGTCCTACCCGGGGAACCAAAGTTCAATATTCTCTTTTTCGTAGGAGTGCAAGGAGAGTATGTCCCATTGGTGACCGAGTTGGGAGGAGGGGAGAATGCTGAGCGACGGGGATTGGAATGCGAGGGAGAAGTGGCGCGATGTGTCGTAGAAGTGAGAGCGACCTGAGACTGATGCGCCCGATGATGCGACGAGCTTGGCCCGGCTCCTGGTGGTCTGCCGTGCCCCGAAGTAGGCGTCGACGGCGCATGCATCGGTAAAGGAGGCAGTGTCGAAGCCGGCGACATCTGCCGTTCCATCGGTGCCCCGGACGACGTGGGAAGAGCCATCGGAGGCGGACGGTGGTGATTAGGGGTGCTGCCAGCGCTGGAGATTGTATATGAAGGGGCACTGGGAGGGATATTGGAGGTGTCAAACGTCATCGGCTGGCGCATTTTATGATGCCGGGCTTTGGAGAGGCTGGACGGGGATTGACGGGAGGATGAGGGGGAGGGGAAAAGTTCGGTCTTGAGCAGCTGCGTAAAGGTCGCCTGGACCTCTTCTGTATAGGTGGTCAGCATTGTATGCGACGCCCAAGACGATACTTACCTCGCCGAACATCACCATCAGTCTGTTGCTGCCCGCTTTTTCTGCGGGTCTTCACCTTGGCAGAGCTTCGAGCACTGTCGGTCAGCTGGAAAGCTGCATGCATGTCGGTCCCATCTCGGGTGGGGATGAATCTGCTTCTCGTCAGCCCGTCTATCACGGATTGCGCACGGCTCGTCGTAGAGGCCCCTGCCATCTGTCCGTCATCCCAATGCCAGCAGCGATGCATGTGGCCTGGGCTATTCTCAGTCCGCAGTTGCGAACGAGAGCAACCATGTGCCAGTCGACTCTGGACATGGATGAATCCCAAGGATCCCTACGGGCATCAACAAGAACAAAGGCAGTGATGGTGCCTCCATAGCAACCGAGCACACACCCAGACCCCGCCGGTCCAAAGGTGCCAGTGTTCCCTGTTACCGAGCCAGAACAGGGTCTTCGATGCTCTCCTGCTGCGACGGTATTGCAAGGCGGCCAATCGCCTATGCCCTGCTGGGTGTACTAGCCCGTCATGCATACACACATGCACCGCTGTTCTCGTCCTCTTGAATCACCAGAAACACACTCACCTATCACCATAGTCCCGCTGCACCCCTTTACCTTTCATCTTTGGGCTCGCACTCTTGCTGGTAGCCATCCCTATGCTCCCAAAGACATCGGGATTCCCCAGTCCATCATGAAACAGATTACTGCTACCCCCGCTTGCCGCTGGATGGGAGGTCGATCTCAGATCGTACCGAGGTGACTTTGATATAGGTGTTGGGGGGGCATCGTGGATGGAAGACCGGATTCGGCGGGAGAACTCGGTATCGTAGATGGACATTGAACAGTTATTGAGGGCGGGGGAGGATGACAGAGGACGACGGGAGGAGTGGTTGGTAGATGGTAGGCGGGGTGATGGCGACGGTGGCGGCAGCGGCGACAGTCGGGAGAGGGCGGGCGGGGGAGCGGGGGAGAAGATGGGGGCAGGTCGAAGGGAAGAAGATGAGAATACGGAGAAGAAGAAGGAAATGAGGCTGGTTGTTTGCAGATTACAGGAGTGGTGACACACTTCTTAACGGGGGACCCTCTAAGTGGCCCATTCCACGCCAGAACTGGGCCCAAATGCGGCCATCTTCAGCTATGCCGTCTACCCGCCTGCCGGCCATGCATGAGAGTACCAGACATCCCAAAGAAACCAGCTTCCCTTCGGGTGCCCACAGGAGTGTAGCTACTCTCAGCTTCGAGTGAGAGGCATGCATGGTCTCGCGACGTACCGAGCGCCTCTACGGGTGTCCCTCAACATCGTTCCAGAGGTTGAAACGGTCGATGTGGTATTTCTCTTTCACACATGGGCTATACATACAGCCATTCAGCCTTTCCCGATACTACTATGCTCCATCATGTACATGTCACTGGCCGACTCGAGGGTTGGGTTGAGCTCGTGTTGAACGATCCAGACTTGCGGTTGCGTTTGGGTATTTAGGCCGGTAATTATTCCAGGCAACGCTCAAAACCCAAGTCTGTCCGTCATCAAGTCAACCTGAGATTCGATCTGCTAATTAACCCAACTTTATCTCTCTATTAGACACCAAGCACCCGCATCCCACCCACCCCCAGCCGCCCTGTACACCATCTTCGCCAGAGCAGTAGCCCTGTTAGCTCCCCACAACCTGTCACTACCCACCCTCAGAAAGCCCCCTCATGTCACGGAAGGAGCCAGGCAATGTACCTCCTCCCAATGCACCGGCGACAAAGGACGCGCCAATAATGCTGGAGCCTGAAGCAATGTCTTTACGGGGAAGGGGCTCCGTGTCTTCGACAGTATCTTCCGAGCCAGACTATTCCCAACTTCACCTATCAGAAGGACCACAAGCGACTTCGCCGGCATCCCGCAGCCCCCGCCCTTCGCGCTCCCCTAGAAAGTCTCTCGTTCCCGACGAGCACCCTCCCAAAAGACGTGTGTCTCCTCTCATGAAGCGGCTAGGTGAAGAACCTCCCTTCATGCTTCCCCACCCTTCTCGCTCGGAATCAACCTTCTACCCAGGCGTTGTCATCGGCTCTTTCGCCGGCGGCAGCGGGTCAAACTCCATCTTTGGACAAGACATGCAGCTGGACGGCAGTATGGATGATATACTCGACCCCAACGCTCGATCAGACTCCAAACCAGGGCAGGGTAGACAGCCACAGGCCGGAGCAAACATTGCGCCCTGGCTGCAAGACGATGAGCCCCCGTCGCGGTCGCATGACCCCACGCCGACAGCGCAAGATCCCGCGCCAGGGAATGCGGCGACGGTCAGAGAGAAGGATAAAAAGTCTTCCTCTGTGCTGAACCATTTCTCGTCAGTTCCTACCTTGCCAAAGATACGGCGATCCGGCACAGCAGACGGGACGGTATCGCCCTTGCCTGCCTCCGGTACTGCTACTCACTCGCCATCGGGCCTTGCTTCCTCGTCTTCCAGTATCAATACGGAAGGCAGAACATCGCGCGCCGGTTCTGGCGATTCGCTACAGACTCTGCCTTCAGGAAAGGGCCGGAGAATGAGTCCTGCAGAGCTGGGGCAAGGAAAAACCGGTACGCGGGCGGGGAGGTTTGGTAGTACGGCCAGTGCCGCCAGTGGAACGTCAAGTACGGGGGAGAAAAAGAAGGGCTTTTTGGGGGGACTGCTGAAGAGAAAGGGGCCAAATCTTTCGCTCAGTGCGTACTTGATCAGCATGTGGAATGTCGCTAACTCGAAAACGTAGATCCAATAAATGATGGCGCTTTCGATCACCGCGGCAGCACATCTTCCATACCCGGGTCAACATCTTCCAGAGGATCCGTATCGTCCACGGGCACCCGCTCTCCCGCAGCATCGACTGACCGTCCCACCGACCCCTTCTTCAAAGCGTTCCACTCCACTCACAATCTCGGCTCATACGTCCCGGAAGACGCCGTCTCACCATCGTACGAAGGTAACGAGACACCATTCCATCTGGATATGAATCTGGACGATATGGAGGGTATCATCGATCCCAGTAAAGCCGGACTGCCTACAGCGGGTGGGCCTACACATACCCCGCCTTCGGGTTTCCGACCACCTGCTGCATCCGTCGCTGCCACAGAAAGCTCCGTGGGCTCGACCGGTGTGCGCGAGCCGGCAAACCAAATGAGCTCGTTTGGCACCAGCATATCGTCTTCCAGCGAGTCGGGCCCTTCACACACTGGGCCTGGGTCAGATGATAAAAACGTGGGAAGACGCTTGATAGGAGAAGCAGAGAGGCAGCATGGGTCGTTTACTCAGACGAATCCTTTCAAACCGGGATCCTCGTCGGGATCAGCAGATCTTCGGCCACCTTACAATCCGCCGTCACCGCACTCTCTTCAAGCGAAAAACCAACTCCCTCCTTCTGGTGCAAATCTGCCTCGAAGACCGTCAGCGCTGAGAAATGTGGAGATGGGGAACGCAGGCGAGAAGCTGGAGGAAGAGAGCTCGCCAGATGGGTCGCAATCCATGTCGCCGGTTTGGAGAGCGCGAGGTCACAGTGCGACACTGTTCCAGGATCCATTCTCCGGCTCCCACAAGGGTGGCAACCCCCCACCATCTGCAGGTCTCTCTCCGTCCACCCTTGTGCATCCTCCGACATTACTCCCTGCGGCAGAAGCGGGCCCGGGCCCGAGTACGTTGGCTCAGCAGTCACTCGCTCCCCCGGGCGCTGCTTGGGCAGCCCCAGAGTCGTGGGGCGTGGAAGCCGATGAAGATGGGCCTGGGGAAGAAACCACATCGTCCAGTGACGACGACTGGGTCGGCGTCGGAGAGGAAGAGGAAGATGAACCTTTGTCACCTATTATGGCCTCGCCACCTTTAACTAGTCCAACCAGCGATACTTTCCCCTCCCCAACCCGCATACCGCCGTCGCCAAAGAAGGCACCGCCATTCGGGTTCAAATCGCAGCAGCAGAGGACGAGGCCGGGAACGGCGAATACGACTGGGACGACTGGGACGACTGGGACGATCGGGTCAGTGGGGAGGAGAAAGAATGGAAAGAGGGTGGGAAGTTCGGCGGGGAGACCAGGGACGGGCATACGGCCAGGGACGAGCGGAAGTGTTCATTCGGGAGGTTTGGTGAGTCTTTGTACACCATGTCTCGCGATGGTAGCTTATTCGACATAGTATTGGGCGAGGATATATAGAGCAGACAATTCGTACGGATTGTACAACCTGCCGCTGAATACTACGACCGCCGAACTACTGGCAGTCCTTTCCAATGACCAGACACCAGGCGGACAGAAGAAGGTTGCCACAAATATGAAGCTGTATATCTGCGAACGAGGTCAAGGTGAGTTGAAAGGTTTACAGAAATCTGCGGAGCTGATCGATACCAGATCGGATTCTGTCGCCTTCGGAAAAGCCCATCGCTATCCAGCACAGAAAACTGCTCCAGATGGGTCACACGGAGCAAGATAATCTTGAAGAATTGGGCAAGAGCGATTTGGCCATACTATGCCGATTCATCTACCAGGCTCCAATCCTGCCGATCATGAACCCTGTACGTTATCAAGTACACCTGGGGCAACGTGACTGATTCTTGACATAGGAGGAAGAAAGTTCGTACGACTCTTTCGAGTTCATCGACATCGCCGGTCGTGATTTGCAGACCATTCCCATCTTTTTGCACCTCCACGCTCACGACATCATCATCCTCAATGTGTCTCGAAACCCCATGAGCGACATCCCACTCGATTTCATCCAAGCGTGTACGGCCCTCAAAGAGCTTCGCATGTCGAATATGGCTCTCAAACGGGTCCCCAATAGCATCCGAGCAAGTCAAACGCTAGCTCGATTGGATGTATCGTGTAACAGGATCGCCGACCTGGAAAGTGTGGCATTGAACGAGGTGGAGACGCTCGTCTCGTTGAAGGTACAGAACAACAAGCTTACTTCGATGCCGAGTTATTTCGCGCAAATGAAGAGCTTGAAGTATCTCAACATCTCAAATAACAAATTTGAGAACTTCCCCGCTGTCGTTTGCGAGATGAGTAACTTGGTAGACTTGGATGTCTCGTTCAACAACATCACCGAGCTACCAGCGAAGATGAGCGATCTCAAATCATTGGAGAAGCTGGGGCTGTACTCTAACGAGATCACGCATATGCCCAAGTCCTTCTCCACGCTCGCCAATCTGCGCATACTTGATGTGCGGAGAAACAACATTACGGATCTATCGGTTGTCTATGCTCTGCCCAATTTGGCGACATTGCAAGCAGATTACAACAACGTTGTCACCCTCGATGCCCAACTTGGCGCAAACGTCCGTCAATTTTCTGTCCCTCACAATTCTGTCACTCGCTTCACCCTCGCCCCTCCTCCCAATATGGCCATTGTGACCTACATGCTCATGAACCTAGATCTTTCGCATGGCAAGATCTCCACTCTGGCCGACGAGGCTTTCAGCGGTTTGACCAATCTGGTCACGCTAAACCTGAATTTCAACCAGTTTACGAGGTTGCCCACCACGTTGAACAGATTGACGAATCTCGAAGTCTTCTCGTGTACCGACAATATGTTGAACACTCTGCCAGTCGGTTTCGGCAAGCTGCACAAGCTCAGGATTCTCAATCTACACAACAATAATCTGAAGCGTTTGCCCAATGACCTCTGGAGTTGTTCGTCTCTCGAGGTTTTCAACGCGAGCTCCAATCTTATCGATGCTTTCGAAGGACCTCCGGACGATATGGATTTCAGAGTGGGCAGAGGGTCAACGACGAGTCAAGGCAGTGGGAACGGAAGAGGTAAGGAATCCATCTCTCCGTTGGGAAAGAGCATGCGCAAACTGTTCCTTGCCGATAATCGTCTCAATGACGATGTCTTTCACTGGATCTCGCTCCTGCCGTTCCTTCGCGTCATCAACCTTTCCTTCAATGACATCTACGAGGTGCCCGCTTTCACCCTGAGCAGATGTGAGAAGCTTGAGGCGCTGTATCTCAGTGGGAACAAGCTGACAAGCTTGCCGGCGGAGGATTTGGAGAAGCTTCAGAATCTAAAGATTTTGCATTTGAACGGGAACAAGCTCCAGACGTTACCGAGTGAACTGGGTGCAATCAAGACGTTGCAACATCTTGATGTTGGAAGTAACGTGCTCAAGTATAACATTGCCAACTGGCCTTATGACTGGAACTGGTAAGTGTCTTCATTCAAACCTGAACCGGACTGATTTGATTTACAGGAATTGGAACACTTCGCTTCGATACCTCAATCTGTCAGGGAACAAGCGGCTGGAGATCAAGCCCACGTCCGCGCAAGACATGACTCACGCTTCGTCTTTTCGCCGAGAGCTGTCCGACTTTACTGCTCTGTCCCAGCTGCATGTCCTCGGTCTCATGGACGTTACTCTGCGTATCTCCTCCTTACCCGACGAGTCCGACGACAAGCGAGTCAGAACGTCATTCTCAGACATCAACAATATGGCCTATGGAATCGCAGATACTCTGGGTCATATCGATCACCTTGCCATGTTTGATCTTGTCGTCCCCAATTTCAGAGGCAAGGATAACGAGTGTATATTCGGAATGTTCGGCCGAGCTACGGTCACGCAGAGGCCAGGCAAGATCGCAAAGTATCTACAAGAGATCTTTGCCGAAACGCTCGCCCATCATCTTGAAAAATTACAGCCTGAAGAAGATACGAGTGAAGCCCTTCGTCGAACCTTCATGTCTACCCATCGCAAGTGCTTTGAATACTTTGTTGGGCAAGTCAAGATTGAGAATGAGCGCAAGCCGTCATGGACGAGTTTCGCCAGTTTCGACAGCATGTTCCGAGGCTGGTCACCTGGCCCCGCTTCCACGTTGAAGACCGGAGCCTCTGGTGCGGTCGTATATCTGAAGGAGAAGGTGCTTTACGTCGGCAGCATAGGAGACATGCTTGTTGTACTCTCCCGCAAGGGTGACGCGGAACTTCTCGCCAAACGCCATGATCCCACCGACAGGGAAGAAGTTGCTCGAATCCGAAAGGCCGAAGCTTGGGTTTCCACCAAGGGTTTTGTCAATGATGACAAAGACCTCGACATCTCGCGTGCATTTGGTTATTGGCATGAAATGCCAGCTATCAATGGCGCCCCCGAGATCCGTACTCGAACCCTTCAAGAGTCTGACGAGTTTGTCATCATCGGTAATCACGCTCTTTGGCAGTTCTGTTCTTATCAGACCGCTGTCGACATAGCCCGGACTGAGCGCGACGACCCTATGATGGCCGCTCAAAAGCTCAGAGACTTTGCCATATCGTATGGTGCCGAGGGCAATATCATGGTCATGGTCGTGAATGTCTCCGATCTTTTCTTTGGCAGAAACGGTGTTCGCACTCGCGGGTCCTCCTCCCAAACGCCCACGGATATGATCCCGGAGCAAGAATCATATTCTACAGCCAAACGTGTCGGCAGAAGGAGAGCCGAAGAGGTTGGTGACCGGACTCTAAACCGTCTTCAACAGGAAATCGAACCTCCCACTGGACAGGTGGCCATCGTTTTCACCGACATTGTCAACTCGACATATCTTTGGGAGACCAACCCGGCCATGCCCACCGCTATCAAAATGCATCACAATCTCATGCGCCGGCAGCTTCGACTCGACGGAGGTTACGAGGTCAAGACTGAAGGCGATTCCTTCATGGTCTCTTTCCAGTCTGTCACTGCCGCTGTGCTGTGGTGTTTCAACTGCCAAATCGGTTTGCTCACGGCGGAATGGCCAAGAGAGTTGCTGGATGCGGCGGACGGAAAGGTCACTCGTGATTCGAACGGTGTGATCGTGCAACGTGGGCTGCGTGTGCGTATGGGTGTTCATTGGGGCTCGCCAGAGTGTGAACGGGATCCGATCACGCGGCGGATGGACTATTATGGGCCTATGGTCAATCGAGCCGCCCGTATCAACGCCAGTGCGGATGGAGGTCAATTGATGGCCAGTCGGGATGTACTCAACGAGATATCTGTCTTTATGGAGTATCTCAAGACCACCGACGAACAGGCTCTTGACGAACTGCAGGGAGATTCAAAGAGGGAGATTATGGAGCTGCGAAGGATAGGCGTAGAGGTCAGAGATATGGGTGATAGGAAGCTGAAGGGTCTTGAAGGTATGCCACGTCGTTTACGACCGACTCCTCGCTAACATGGCCATAGTCCCTGAAAGGCTCCATCTGCTTTATCCCAAAACCCTCTGCGGTCGCCTGGAAATTTCCAACGAGATTCGCCCGGAAGTCGAAGTCAACGATGTTAGGAAACATGCTGATCGTCATCGAATGATTGATGTCGAACAAGTTCACCAGCTGTCCGCTATCGCCCTTCGTCTCGAGGCCGTCTGCTCGTACAGCCCGCCGGCTCCCACGTCTCCCGGAGTATCGCCTCAGCCAGTAGTGCAAAGGATGCCTGTGCCGCCAAGTTATCTCGGACCGAGTATAAAGGAGGAAATGAGCGATGAGGAACTTGCGGTGATTGTGGAAAGCTTGGTGGGAAGGATCGAGAATGCGGTGTCGACGTTGGTGAGTCTGATCATTGCCACATCTGCAACTCAACATTGACGATTCTGCTTAGTATCTGAAGAATTTTGGAGAATTCGGTGGCGTTTTGGCTGCCCTTCAGACTGCCACCAAAACGGACCCAAAGCTCATTATACATGCGCTGTCCCTCATGAACGGGGCTATGGGAAAGGAGAGAGCCATCGAGGGAGAAAGATAGTAATGTAGGGTCAGTGGGCATCATTATACGATCAGCTATCATTGGGCGTAGCGCATAGTTCCTGTATGTATTGGTATCAAGAGGTTCTCATCGTTCAAGTCTCTTGGACTCAATAGATTCTCTCAATCTGATTCCATTCTGGGGCTTTGCAAAACGTTCACCCTCGACTGGAACCGCCGCGCGCGCGTCGACGCGACGACATGACATGATTACATAAGCGGGACCATATCCCCAGCATCACCACCACCAGCATGGATAGACGCTGACGTGCATCTATATTTTTTGGCTGCCCCCCACCACTCCTACACCGACTGAGCCACGAAGGCGGGCAATGTCGCAGCCACCCACGCTCACACCAAATCTCAAGCGCGCACGCTCATCCTCACAGCTGTCCTCCCCGGACTCCACCTCCTCCCCAAAAAGAGCAGCCAGCGAAGACCCCTCAGAGCCAACCAGATTCCTCACTGCCGACTCCAACATGATACCAGGATCTAGTCCTCTCAGGCTTGATACTGCGGACGAAGAGAGCACAAGGAGCTGGGTGGAGCAGACCGGCCAAGTGCGGCTTGATTCCGAAGGCGACGCGGAAGGAGACGGAAATGCGACCATAATCGCAGAGTCGCAGGAACCATTGCCGGTGGTGTCCCAGAGCGAATGGAAGCAAAGAGTGAACGATGTGCTCGGTGAGTCACAACCGGCGCCAGGTATGTCCAAACTAAAGATTCCTGAAGAAAACCTTCCACCTCCTTTCAAACACTATGAGCGATACTATATCCTCCCCCAACTTATTCTCAAGAAGCTCCAGCAATTGGCTTTTGGCGAACCATCCGATGCGAGTCTCTCGCCGGACGAGCTGCTCGAAGCAATGCAAAAGCTTGTCCCAGACCAGTCCGCCGAGTCGTTCTGGGTCATCCGCTCCGAGCGCGGGGCGGAAGGCGCCAAACTCATCGGAAAGGGTGAACAGGAGGATGTATGGGCGTTGGGGGATGCCGAAGAGAATGTGGACTACGTTTTTATCCCTGAGGCGACCTGGCTGAAGGTCGTGGAATGGTTTGGCCCCTACCAGGGGCCGTCTTTACCGCGTTACTGCGTTCCGCCCGATAATATCGAAGTTCAACCTGCCACAATCCGTCTCTTCATCGTCTTTCCCGAATCCACTACCTCACCTACTTCCGATGAGGCCTCGCAGACTATCCTCATGTGCCCAAGCACCACCCCAATCAAGGTTTTCGAGAGCTTTGCTGATCACGTGGCCACCCAAAAACTCGGCGAGAGTCGGTTCACTGGTCAATGGGGCAGCAGGCTGTGGAAAGTCGAAAAGTCGGGCGACAACGACGAGACGCTTCTCAAAGCTGGCTCTTTGGAGATCACACCCAAGACGCTGATCGCCACCAAGGGTGAATTGATTGACACTTCGGCTGCAGAAGCCGATCTCGCCGAAACCGTGCTGGGTATCTCAAAGTCGCAAATCATTGCTATCGAATTCGGCAAGGTTGCGGAGGGGTCGACTGCGCCGACTTGGAGTGTTGATGTCGGTACGGACAAGCAGGCCATAGAGAAAAGCTCAAAGCCGGCGCCCCTCTTTTCCAAACCTGCCATGTTTGGGGGCACTTCCTCTGCTGCCACTGCTGGCGTAGAAACAAGGAGCCAGACGAAGCCCAAGGAGGGCAAGGGTTTGTTTGGGCTGCAGAACCTGGGTAACACTTGCTTCATGAACAGTGCTGTGCAATGTCTGAGCAATACCCCAGAGCTTTCGCAGTATTTCCTTGGTATGTCCATATGGCTTGCAGATTGAATCGCACTAATTCCTGTAGCTGGCGTCTACAACGATGAACTCAACCGTGACAATCCTCTTGGTATGTCTGGGCAGATCGCCGAAGCCTTCGGCCAAGTCATCGAGAATCTCTGGGCAGCTCAGTCCAACTCGTACGCTTCATATTCCCCCAGGCAACTCAAATGGACTACTGCCAAGTTTGCCTCTCAATTCGCAGGCTACGGCCAGCACGACACTCAAGAATTCATCGCATTCTTGCTGGATGGCTTGCACGAGGATTTGAACAGGATCATCAAGAAACCGTATATTGAAAAGCCGGACTGGGTCCCTGGAGGTGGAAACAAAGAGCTGGCCTCGCTAGGCAGAGATTGCTGGGAGGGTTATAAGAAGAGGAACGACTCGGTGATTGTGGATCTATTTCAGGGTCAACTGAAGAGTACCTTGGTTTGTCCGGAATGTACAAAGGTAAGTTCAGTCCTCGCGAGCAAACATTCAATGCTAACAACATATTAGGAATCCATCACGTTCGACCCCTTCATGTACCTGACTGTACCTTTGCCCATCGCCCAGCATAGGCAGTTCAAGGGTATATTTGTCCCTCGAGACACTGAAAAGGGCCCAACTCCTTTCCAGATACTGATTCCCCAAAACGCCGCCTTCTCGCAAATCAAAGACAAGCTTGGCGCGCTCTTTGGCTGCAAGGCCAACAATGTAAGTGACGCAATTGTTCGTAGAACAGCTCGACTGATAGTCACAGATCGTGGGTCTCGATCTCTGGAAGAACAGGCCTTACGCCTGGTGGCGCGACCCTGATCACAACAGCGAGTGCAAAGACAATGATGTTGCAGTCTTTTACGAGTTTGAACCGACCGTCAACGTTGTGGCCACTCGCAAGGCCGTTGGTACTACCCCTGCGGACGCGTCCGGCTCTTTCACCGTTCCAGTCTACACGTTCAAAACCATCGAGAACACCCGAGGCGGGTATCGTATTGGAGACTCGCCATCAGACACACACATGACCCCGTTCTTCATTACCTTGTCCAAGGCCGATGCTACAGACCCGGTCAAGGTACGGGAGGCGATCATGAGGGGATACAACAGATTTATGCGAGAGAACAAGAAGGGAGAAATTTACGTGGTCGCCTCGAGCGCCCAGGCGCGAGCTGCTTCGCCCGAGGACGAAGATGGTCCCGTCACCGAGATACACATGAACGGCGATCAAGCAACCATCGTCGAGGTGCCCACGACTCAGACTGCTGAGCAGGACACTCCTGTCAAGATTGTTGAGGTACCAGCCGAAGACGGCGATCATTTGGAGGTCGATCCCGCTACTGCGCCGACCTCTGGCAACGTCACAGGTCTTCACATGAACGGCTCGTCTACTTCTCTCGCCTCTTTGACATCCGCCCGATCAGCCGCTGCGTCCGTTTCAAGTACCGCGGGCAAACTTGTCCCCCGCGCCGACTTGTTCAAAGTCTACGTCGCAGACCCAGCTGGAGATCTGTCCTACAGCAACTTCCGCAACTCTTTGGCAAAGCCAAAGCAGGAAGTTGCTGGTCTGTACGACCAAGAGATCTCTGCTGCTTGCAAGAACTGGTCTCTACTTGAGAGCAGGAAGAAGAAGTCGAAAAGACATATGGTGAACCGTCTCGCGACGGGCTTTTCAGCTATGATCGGGGGCTCCAACACTTCCAACACCTCGGCTGCTGGCTCCGAAGACGAGGCTATCGATGGCTCCACCGACCCCAAACTTTCACCTGCTAAAGCTGCCAAGCTCAAGCTCAAGGAAGAAAAGGCAAAGCTGGTCGTTCGGCCCGGGGAAGGTATCTTTTGTGAATGGTCCCCGCGCGACTTTGCCGAGTGGCTCGACCATGACGCGGTGGAGGACAAGTTTGTCGACCCTGCTATCGGAAGGGAACTGGCGAAGAAGAATGCGGGCAAGCAGATCACTATCGAGGACTGTCTAGACGAGTTTTCAAAGGAGGAAACACTAGGAGATGACGACCTTTGGTATTGCCCTGTCGTAAGTCGTAACAATTGTGTTGGGGATGGGGCTAACGATATGGCAGTGTAAGAAACACCAGGCGGCCACGAAAAAGCTCGAGATTCACAAAGCTCCCGACATTCTTGTCATTTGCATCAAGCGTTTCGGCTCTTCGCGTCGAATGAATGACAAACTTGACAACTTGGTCAAGTTCCCCATCGATGGTCTCGATCTCGAAGACCGAATTGGCGAGCGACAGCTGGCCAAAACTTTAAAGGTCGATGGTGAAAATGTCACAGAGCACGGAATCGAGGAGAGTGACGAAGCTCTGCTCTATGACCTTTACGCTGTCGATAATCACTTTGGCGGGATGGGCGGTGGTCATTACACTGCTTTCTGCAGAAATCGAGTGGATGGAGAGTGGTACAACTATGATGATTCTCGAGTCTCCAAGACCGATGCCTCGGCTGTACAGGTGGGTTTTGTCAGCATTGCGAATCTCGAGCTGACGAATTCCACAGAGTCGAGCGGCCTACTTGCTCTTCTATCGTAGAAGAACGACTCGTCCTATCGGTGGCGTCTCTCGAGTCAAGGCCGAAGAAGCTATCCGCAAAAGGGCCGAAGATGCTCCCGAGCCCGAGGCCGGGCCCTCTGGACCTACCATGCACATGCCCGGCTACCTTCCTCTCAATCCCGACGCCGCCATCGACGAAGAGCTCCCTTCCTATCCGAGTGGCCCCCCAGACACATCCCTCGACGTAGACTCTAGCGAGGACGAAGCCGAGCATTCTCTCTCTCGCGCCAGCACCCGAGCTGCCGCCGGGCTGCCTGATGTGGATGCTGGCAACTACTCTTCGTTCACCACCAGTCAGCTCGGGTTCGGTAACAGTGTATCTTGGGGCGGAAGCAACGGGTCCAATAGAGCCTCGCAGTACTCGAACAATGTCGGGTTCTTGAATGGGATCGCGGGTTCGCAATACCCGGCACCAGCTGGGACCGAGCTGCCATACCTTTCCGATACTTACGCTTCTGGGCCTTCCACGACTCCCACGGGAGATGAGACACTGGATAGCGTAATGACGGATGCTGGAGCAGTCGGAGAGGAAGGAGTCTCGAGCACGGATGCCAGCACCCTGGCTGGTGACGAGCAGATGGTGGATCAGGAAATGGATATCGCTGAGAATGTTTCCGCTTCCGAGATTCCTACGGACAGGAAGGCGAAAGTAGACTAGATAGGTAGATTGGGGTTTAGGAGACCAAGCGTGTTGTATCATTAGAAGAATGCCAAGTGTTTCATAGGGCATAGGCAGTTATACGAATTCAAAGTACATGATCAAAAGCACCGGACATGTGTGAATGTGTGAATATGCATCGGGTTGTGAAATGCTTTGGTAGGATTATATGCATTTGAAGCTCGCCCCGCGGGCGGATAACATGGGACCAGAAAAGAAACTATGATATACAACTACGTGATTTCGTCATATATGACCAACACAAAAAGTCTATGGACATCGACAGCTGAACTCGTCGAGAAAGAATGAACAAAAAAACATGGAGGAATAATCCTACAACTCCAAACCGACCAGCACCCACTTGGTCGCATCCCACTCCCACCCTCCCTCTAGCCCACCTGGCTTCACGACTTGCCCTCCAACGTACATTAACGAATGAAGCATCTCTCCCAGAGCCTCTTGCTCTGCCTCATTCCTCTCGAGTATCAACACCAGATGATTCCCCTCGAGCGCTTCGGCCGCGAGGTCCAGAAGCGCAGTGAGAGATTCTCGGATGTCGAACGCGTAGGCAGAAGGGGCGAGATGAGAAGCAGAAGTGGGAGAGGTGGAAAAGAGGGGATCGTGAGGACGGAGGACTTGGGAAAAGTTGGGAGATAGGGATTCGGGGCGCTGGTTGACCGTACCATGCCCGGGAGGCATATGGATGAAGACGGTCCGACCGGAAGTAGATGGCGATGGGTAATCCACAATGAAGCCTTGCAGCTTATGGACAGGAGGCGTGAGGATCTCGAGCGTATGAGATAATAGTGATACAGTTGGTGCGTGGAGGGGAAAGATGGAGGTGATCAAGGTGATGATGGAATTGTCAAATTTGCCCAAGTCCGGTGTGGATCCAGAGTGCTCTGGGGATTCTTGCCCGACTTGAGCAGCGGAAGACGAGAGGGGTGTAAGGGGGAGAGACATGGGCCGCGCGGACGGTTGCCCGCGAGCTCCTGGAATGTCGACTGATTGGGTGAAAGATGAGGGAGGGGTTATCAGGTTGTTGGAGGTGGGCATATTGGATGGCGGGCGGTAGGACTGGGATGTGGTAGTGTCGGCAAATTGAGAGAAGTGTTGGTGCAGGTAGGACGACGGAGATTCTCTCGTGTTCTCTGTCGACTCACCGGCGATAGCATCGCCCTTGGTAACGAGGTTAGTCGCACACCCTGGCCTCAGTACAAGCTACTCACGGAAAGTGTTCTCCTCCTGCCTTCCTCAAACCCACCGCCGGCCACCCCCAGCGAAGGAAGAGTAGCCGGAAGTTGTGGTGCCGTCCTCAGAGTACACAAAGATCTGCCCGCCCTTGCCGCCTGCCCGGGCGATCGCGAGAGGTGGGAAGTAGGCGTTGTCGCTGTCATGGTGGTAATTTGGAGAGAAGAGGAGGGATGAGGTTATGCTTGCCCCAGCACCGACGTTTCCCGAAGCGCCGCTATGGACCGTCAGCGAGAGCGTCGCATGGGCGGATACTTTACGCACGCGGGGCGGAGATTTCTATTGATAAGCATGTTGGGAGTGGGGTGGCTCATTATGGGCGGTGTTCTCGCTGGGGGGCGGTGTGCCGGAGGGGGGCTGGGGCGGGATGACGAGAAAAATCAACTGGAGGGCAATCGTCGACGAGTAGCTATGCGCGCAGGAGGCGCAGGCGGCCGACGCCGGCCCCCACGTGGCATTTGGTAGACCAATGTATCAAGGATACCTATAGTCTGGCATTGAGGAGAAGATAAGAGGCGATGGGCTGGTGCATAGATGTGCTGTCGAGGGACCTTGGAGCTGCAAAAAGACAACCCGCAGTAGCGAATGTCGGGGTATGGGAAAAGCAAAAAAGAAATGTTCCCAGCGTGAATCGAACACGCGTCTCTGCTGCGAGACAGTGATTAGATAACCACAAAGCAGCGTACTAACCACTATACTATGGAAACTCATATGTTATTGTTGTAGTAAAGGGATATAGAACAACTGTACAATGTAGCTTGCATGGTGATCCTCCTGCGTTTGAGTGACTATTCGGCGGCGGCGACCTGGCGGTCATAAGATGGCAGTCGCGTCCTTATCCTTTCAAGTCAGCCAGTCAGTCAGGTATGTGATGTCCATCTGTACACGACCCGTTAATAAAGACTCATCCTCGAAGCAAAACATGAAGCAAGATAGACAGTTCTGAATGTCTGATCCAGGATTATCAGCGGACCAAGAACTTTCCACTCTGAGAATAAAGTCATTCTGCTGCTAGGAGATGACTCTTGCAAATGGGCTCAGAGGATACGGCACCGGTTCCGAAAACGTTCATGTACTGTAGAAACCGGTCATCTTAGATGAAGACACTTTCCAACCGGCGATTCTAGATAAAATCTCGTATTTCGCAAAATACCGGGTGTCCGGATCGCTGTGCGTTTCCCTGGAGCTGGCATAGTTTTTCGGTCTCACACTGCACCTGGGTTCCTCTAATGGCAGCGGTATGCATAGCCGGAGAGAGGCTTACTGCAGAGATGTTGGGCAAGAAGCCGATCATTGATGCTAGGACAGGTATGCAAAAATGGCATCATATGTCCAGAGACAAATGGTGCGAGCCGAATGCTGTAGCCCTTTGTTCTCCCTTCGTCTTGATGATCCAAGCGAATTTTCCTGAATCGAATTGCAGCTGCTGCTGAGAAGGCTACAGCTGCTGCTAAGAAGGCTACAGCTGCTGCTGAGAAGGCTACAGTTCAACATTACGTCAGCAGCCTGAGCGAACCAAACAAAGGCCAGCAGTCAGCCCCAAGCGCTCCTAGCTATTGTCGCCATTGTCTTCACTCGACTGCAGTGTGCACAATCTCAAGAACGAACTGCCTCTACAGAGTACAAGAGTCATTGCAATATGTCTCATTTCCTCTTAGATTATTGCTAGCCAAGGCATCACGCTGCCTACCTGTCGAGCGAGCTTCCAAACATCAATTGACCACGTTGACTTCCCTCGGTCTCTCGGGTCTCTCGGGATATATCTGACAGCAACCCCCATTCTCCGGTCCCTCCGCTTTTTGCATAACTGCGACGCGACCGAATGTCCCCAGCGCTTCTATCTGTGAACCGACCAGATCGCCGTAAAGCGGCCCCTACCGCCTTGTTGATAAGATCTCGCTCGGGAAAATTGGCTTTGTTTTTATTTATTTTTTCAAGATTTGATTGGTTCACCCGTGGATGGCAGAGAGGATCTTGTTGTTCGACGAGAAGAGCGATGGGGCAATGTAAGGGAGATGGGGGAGATGAGGAACAATGATGATGGATGCTTGTGTGTGGAAAGCGGGGAAGTGGCGGCTGGTAGCTCTTGCACCTTGATACAGGCCGACTCGTAGGGATACTCGTCAGCTGGCGGACGGAGTTGACGGCACCCAGGACGCCTCAGCTGTGCCAATCCTGCGACGTCGCTCAGAGCTGACCACCTGTTTCTCGGTACATCCAAGCCAGAGCTCTCCGACAAGCGTTCCCTTCAAGATCGACGACACATAGCCGCCGCCGGACTACCGACCGGTACGGTCATGGACTTTTCATTGCCCCGCACACCTCTCTTACCCCTGGGCACCCTCATTGAGAACCGCTGCCTCACCCTCCTGCATACCCCCAAGACATGCTGATGCAATGCGTAAAGCGAACGCATCCCACGGACATAACGGACAAGAGCCGAATGGTTTACCTAAGTGCGTGCCTGGTCGCATATGGGATGCTGCCGCTCGTGCGCCGAGGCCAGGTTGTTGTTCCGAGATCAAATTGCATCCTAGAGCGAAGCGGCGCATCTTCTCTATCCTCACTCTCATCTACACCATCGCTATATCTGCACAGTCCACAGACAAGCGAGTCCCCAGCTCACCAGCAATCCTTTCACCAACCCAAGTCGCCTACCGAGAAATCAGCCTTTGTGAGTATCCGACCTCCACTTTTTCCTTGTTCCTCTGTTTGCCCGAAAAGAGAACGCTTTGCTCATCCACCTCTTCACAGCCACAACCAATTGAACCCTCACTCCCCCATCCCACTCCCTTGTCCACCACACCCCAAACCCAGACACGCACCATGCCACCCATCGCCATCCGCTTCCTCGTCCCTCCCCCGGCGCGGGATGGCAGATCCGCACACAGACCCCACCCCTACATCGTGCTCGACAAAGCTTCCCTATCCTCTCCCTCCCTCCCCACCCCCCCTGCGAGCAAACGAAATGCCTCCTCTCGCCGTAGTTCGAGCACCACCATCCTCAACGCCAACGCACCCATCACCCCCTCCTCTCTCTCCGCCCCCAAGCCTTCCAGCGCGCCCCCCATGTCGAGCCAGAGCCGCAAACGCAAGGCCTCTTTCGCGCTACCCTCTCCCACAGAGCAGGCTGGTGGCGAGGGCAAGAAGGCCAAGATGGTGCTGGTAAGGATGAAGCCAGACTTTGGTACCATCCTTGCGCGCTGTGCCGCTTACGACCCAACCGACGACGGGCACACCGTCAAGCCCACCCACTCTTCCGCCACCAAGACGTACCTCCACCCTTACTCTCCTGCGTCGGACTGGGGCAACTTTCGCTCGAGCAAGCTGTCGCGAGAGGAGGAGGTGCGGGAGGAGAGGATGATGAAAGCCAAGAAGATGGGCAAGGAGGAGAAAAAGACAAAGATGGAGGGGGTGATGAGGGTGAAGGAGCTAGTCAAGGAGATGAAGGTCACTATGGGTGGTGGAGTGTATGTGCCCCCTGCTGTAGAGGAGGTGGTCGTCGACACCCCGGAGGGCACGCCCCGCCCTACCGCGGCCAAGCCAGGGCGAGGCAAAAAGTCTCTCTCGCCCGCATCCATCTCCACTCGCGCCAAGTCACACTCTCCCCTTGCGACAGAAACTTCCCTCGTAGCGGACGCCCTCGCCGACCCCCCCAAGACAGTACCGCTCGCTGCTGGCAAGGTCAAGCCGGGCAGACCCAAGAAGGTTACTGTGGTGGAGGCTAAGGAGAGGCCTAGTAGAAGTTCTGGAAGGACGAAGGAGGCTGAGAAGAGCTGACGTAGCCGAGTAAGTGTCTCTCGTGGCATTGCTAGGCATTGGCTGACTCTTGTTGAGCAGGCGCTACATCCTATCCCGCTTTCCCTTGGCCACCCATGCTTTACCACACTTGTAACGACTCGTCACCGCACATCATCGCGCTTTTCCAGGCAACCCATCACTTTAGAGCCTTTTCTCTCGTTGTCATCTAGTCTATCTACCATTTTTTGTACCCCTAATATCGTCCCCCATCTGTTCGCAGTGATCGCATGTTTTCATTTCGCTTTTCCGTTCGTGTCGTGGCATCCTCTACATTTTCCCTTCCTTCTGTTGCTCATATAACATTTCTCTTCACTTTCCCATCCATGTATCCCTCTGATCCAAACCCCACTGCAACTCTGCGAACTGAGTCTATCACACGCCCCCGGCTGCGAGACGACGTTGCCGGTCTCACACAAAAAGCTTCTGTTTCGCAATCTCGGGCGCGCGAATGATTTCTCAGGGTGATCCCTCGTTCCTGGTGGCTTATCATTATCTTCTATGGCGGCGCTCTCCGCTGGCGGCATTATGAGCGGTAAAAGACGAGTGGCAGTCGACGCAGAGTGGCAAAGAATGGAGGGAAGTATCACGTAGGGGAGCTCTGGGCTGATCAACATGCTCATTTGAGAGCCAAGAATGAGAAGCGGAGAGCAAAGATATGAGAAGAAGAGCTGGACATCATGATGCATACACACAAGAAGAGTGAGAAGGAAGGTATCGCAAGGTAGCGCTTGCGGGAGGTGGAACATGCAACTGTCAAACGGTGAATGACTACTGCTTCAGCTCAACTATGCTGAGAGCAGCGTAAAGACAAGTCAAGTACCACGACGAAGAACAAAGATGCATACCTGGATTATTTGTCACTTTGCGACGCGTAGCAGGTACAAAATGGTGTTTACGTAACGACGCGTGTTTCTTGTTGATGCAAACATGCCGCAACACCGCTCCTGGTTTCCATCACTTTCGTCCATCTCGCTTTTTATTCCTCCTCATTTCTCCCTCCACTGCGATACCCACCGCCACCCGCCACTGCCGACGCGCTGTCCCGCTGGATGCTCGCCCGCTGAGCCCGACAACCCCCAACCACGCGATTACCCACCCAGCCTCGACGCGTCGCCCCTGCTCAGACATCACAACCAACCGAGCAACACATCATTCAACCCTCCGACGCACCATCCACCCTCTATACCCACATCGCCCCCCTGATATCTTGTATCAACAAACATGACCTCAACCTCAAAGTCATCCACGCAGCAGCCACCCAGCAGCACGTTTCGTCTGCCGCGTGGGAAGGGCCTCAACAGGCCTGCAACGTGGTTTGGCGCGCAGTCTTTCGGCAAGTCGTCCACATCATCTACATCCTCCAGCGCCAGCAATTCGTCAGACGGGCCGAGCGCTTCGATAGCGCAGAGGATGGACGGTGTTAAACAAAGCCCCGTGCCGAATCCTTTCACCGTCTCGTCGTTCAAATCGCCCTTCCCATCCAGCAAGGGGAAACACAAGCTGTCCCCCTCGCCGTCACCGTCACCGAGAAAGCAAGACGAAGATTTTGTCATGATCTCACCTGTCGGACATGGCTCGTCACCGTTGGCAAACGCTGGGACGTCGTCGACGCCAGAGAATGACAGCCCCACGCCGGCTTGTGGGATGGCAAGCGCGGCGGCGAGGCTGAGATTGGTGGACGATTCGCCTATCAGGAGGGTACCTGGGCAGAGCAGGAGTCTGCGACCAGGGGCAGATGGGCAGTCTTCGATGAGCCCGCTCAAGAACCCTGTGGGAATGTCGGATGAAGAGGAGGAGGAAGAATTTTTGCAGGATGAAGCGCCGACGCCAATGATGGGCGAATCACCTGCACCGCCACCCCGCCCAGTGTTTACTGTGCGCCAGTCAAAGTCGTCCGACTCTTCGTCCTCGTCGAGTGGAGGATTGTTTGGTGATGCCTCCAAAATACCGACGCTCTCCAAATCCCATCCCCTTCGACGACGGGCAGGTACAGCTACAAGTCAAGACCGTCCCGCCACCCTTGGTCAGAAAAAGACAATCTCACTTGACCAGATCCACCGATCCGCATCAGGCGATGACGCCGAAGCTCTGTTTGGCAGCAACTCGCAGATCAACTCGCACGTCCGCAAAGCTCGTCCCTCGAGTACCTTTGCCATTTCCAGTGACGGACGGCCACCGCCTCCCGGTACGAGACCGGCGAGCTCGACAGAGCATAGGGCGCACAAGCGGATCAATTCGTCGGACAGGGTTGGGTTGACGCACATGCGGGCAAACTCGGCTGGGGGTAGCTCGACAGCATCAATAAGCAGGTCTTTCGGCGCCAAGTCGTTATCCTTGTCCCTCGCTCCCAACTTGGGCAACCTCCCAGACTTTTCCCATTCCAATGGCTCCATATCGTCTCTTTCCACAAACAACCTCACCCCTCCTGCGACATTTTCACCCACACAGCCTCCTATCTTTGAGGGTGTCAAGCCTTTACAAGAAGTGTTTCAGGAGGAAAAGACGGTCAGCCGAAAGTTCAAGCCGCGTGACTCGGGGGTCTCTATGGGGAGTGTCGAGGAAGAGCTCCCGAGCCAACCTCGTTCACTTATTCCTCCTCCCTCTGTCATGAAGCTCGCCCCTAGCCGGCTGCGTCGTCCAGCCATGCTCAAGCGGACTTCTTCCATGGGCGATGAGAAGGCTGTCGAAACCCCTGGTGTTGCCCCCATGCTTGCGAGCGGTTGGCCAGGCAAACCTGCGCCTTTCGAGTTTTTAGGCGACAGCGGGATTGGACTCGGTATCGGTGCCAACCAGGCGGATGCCAAGCCTTCCATGCCCGGTACACCTGTCAAGAAGCAAGCCTACAAGAGCAATGGTGTGGGGCATTCGGTCTCTCAGCCTACCCTTGGTTCAGACTCTTTCGACTGTGAGATGACGGCGCCTCTTGAAAATTCTTCCAAACCCAACCTGCCTCCCAACTTTGCCAAGCCCCGAAACACCATGCCCCCTCCTTCCACTCAGAAACCTCCGCCCAGCATGATGAAGCGCCGTCCTGGTACTTCTGAATTGCCGAGGCTTACCTTGACGCAAGCCAATTCGAGTTCGCCGATGGCTACAGAAGACGAACAGTCGCCGACGGTGCGCGCTCATGGGTCTCTGAAGGGGATCAGCCAAATGCGCAACTTGTCGTTGGTAAACTCGAGGGAGAAGGGGTCGAAGGGCAAGGACAGGCTGGGGGTGCTTGGGAGAAGTGAGGGTGGTGTGAGCGAGAGTGAAGAGGAGGATGGGACGCCTACAAAAAGTGGAGATTCCAAGATGGCGCTGGCCGGTAAGGTCTGCTTGTTATCACCATAGAAGCATGCTGACCCATGGATAGCGAACCGAAAGAATCTCATGACACCAACTCCATCCGCAAAGACTTCAATCAGAGCCGCTCCTCCTTCCGCATACTCCAACACCGCGACAACTGGCACCAACCTGATGCCCCGGTTGTCTCTTCCCGCCCTTCCGCCAAAGAAGATGGCCCCTAGCAGAACACTCCACCACCGTCAATCGCACCCTGCAACCAACCAGCCAGAGGAGGAAGATTTGTTTGAAGCGAAATTCATTACGCTGGATATCTTGGGCAAGGGGGCCTTTTCGACGGTTGTAAAGGTACAGGAAAGGAATGGCGAGGGGATCTGGGCAGTGAAGAAGGCGAGGGGCATGTTTGATGGTGTGCGCGATAGGTACGATCCTCAATTCCGATGTATTCGCGGCAAGCTGACGATTTGCAGGCTTCGACATCTTGAAGAGGTCGACATTCTTCGGCACCTTTCCCTCAAACCTTCACCTCATGTCATTCTTTTCCAAGATGCTTGGGAACAGAACCGACAACTGTTTATTCAAACAGAGCTTTGCTTGGGATCGCTTGCGTTTTTCTTGGAGGAGTACGGACGGGTCGTTGAGAGGCTTGATGAGGGGCGAGTATGGAAGTGTGTCCGCGAGCTGAGCGATGTAAGTTCTTCGCTCAATGTAGCATCCATTGCTGACCCCAATGGCAGGGTATCAACCATATCCACTCCAACGGCGTCATCCACTTCGACATCAAACCAGCCAACGTCCTCATCTCTGCCACCGGCTCGCTGAAAATCGGCGACTTTGGTCTTGCCACGCGCTGGCCGCGTGTTGAGCCTCTCGAAATCCTCAAGGGGGCCGGACTTGGCATGGGGAGTGGCAACATGGCTGTGTTGAGTACGATGAGGAAGGAGAAGCTGGAGAGGGAAGGGGACAGGGTGTACATGGCGCCCGAGATGCTGCGAGGTTTCTTTGTCATGGCCGCCGATATCTTCAGGTAAGTCGGGTCTCGACACTGAAAGTACAGCGCTGATCGATTTGTAGCTTTGGTCTTGTCGTTCTTGAAATTGCCACCAATATCTGTGTCCCTGACGGCGGTGCCCCCTGGCACGCCCTCCGCGAGAACGACTTTTCCGTTGTCGATCTTTCTCCCTTGTCCCCCGCTCTGTGCGAGCTCATCTGCCAGTGCATGTCTGCCCAGCCCGAGCTTCGACCCGAGATCACCCACATTGTCAGCCACCCTGTAGTGCAACGAGCAAGGAAGGGCAAGGACGCGCTGGCGCCAGAAGACAAGAATTGGTTGATGGAGGTGTTGGCCGGCGGATTCAGTACGCCAAATGTGCCTGCAGCGGCGGCTGGCGATGAGGATGTCGTGATGGAGTAGATCACCGGTCAGAAGTATAAATGTGGCATTCCCAGGGTTTCTTTATTCTTCCGCTTGTAATACAGTACTTTCTTTTCTACGTGTATAGCTGTAGTCTTGGACAATTCATTCTCTAATAATCGTTGTAAAATATCACATAGCTTTCCCTCATCCTTCAATCAACATTTACATCCAAGTAGTTTTAGGCATTCACAATACAAGTCACCTGTCTTTCATAGGGCTCTGCACGTTCTTCTCTCCCACAACACATTCAGATTAGCTTGGTCGAGTCATCCTTTGTTCTTTTCCTGTGGTTTTCGAACACGAACACGAAATCGTAGTCTAGTCTTAGTATATACGCTTGATGCGCTCTTCACGATTCCAATGCAACGATTGATGATACAATTGGGTAGTGACTGCGATGAACGCACAGCGATCAGGACACCGTGGTGTTTCCGACATTGTGCGGGAAGGAATTAGCTTCCCACCTTATCATGAAGATTACCAAGAAGACACGGACTTGCACTGCTCTCCGCTCTGCCGGCAGTCTGCCGGATGTGTTCGTGGGCGGTGGCCGATGGCCGAGAGACACGAGGCATCGTAATGTTTGGTTCCTGCCCCTTGCCGTTCCCGGATTCCCAAGTCGCTGGGCGCCTATTCTGTCTATATAAGAGGCAGATGAACCTCACTCCTGCCTGCTTCCAAAACACAATCCACCATGTCCACCACTCCCGAGCGCAAGACCATTCTCATCACCGGAGCCAACAGAGGGTAGGTCGCCACAGCGTACAACCTATACTGACGAGGTACAGTGTCGGCCTTGGAGTCGCCAAGGTATACCTTGAGAAGGGGTGGCGAGTTGTCGCAGCCGTCAGGGACCCGAGCAAGATGCCCAAGCTCGAGGGCGAGGTCGTCGTAGTTAAGATCGACTCCGAGTCCACTACCGACCCTTTCGACGTAGGCTCTTGTCATCTCATCTCAGGCTCATGTTGACACATTCACCAGGCTGTGGAAGAACTCAAGACCAAGCACAACATCCACCGCCTCAACACCGTGTTCGCCAACGCCGGTGCAACTCCCACTCCTGCCTTGCTCGTCGACACTACCCCAGACCAGCTCGACTTTATGCTCGCTACCAACGTCCGCGGGCCTCTCATGCTCTTCAGAGCCGTGCGTCCACTGTTGACGGATGACGACAAATTCGTGGGGGCGGGTTCGGACCTGGGCATCATGACCGGCAACTTGTACAAGCCTTATTTGGGGGTGTATGGTACTACCAAGGCGGCTATCACTTACCTCGTGAGCGGTGTCTGGGTTCATCTAGAAGACTTGACTGATGGTCACTGTAGATGCGAGGGCTTCACCACGAGGAACCAAAGTTGATGGTCTTCTCCCTCCACCCAGGCTTCCTTGACACGTCAGTCTCCTCATAGGTCTTGGTGATCCAAGCTGACTTGTACGGTATCAGTGACTTGGGAAATGCTGGCGCTGCCATGTCGGGCCTTGATGCACCCCCCGAGAAGCTCTCTGTGGCTGCTCGTATGTCTTTTCTCTCCATCATGCCGTCTTGATACTGATGTAACTATGTGAAGCTGCCATCTATGAGTTGTTCGAGAACGCCACGAAGGAAGAGACCTCTGAATACATGTGGAAGTAGTAAGTACAACCGAAGATTCTACATCGGGGCATTCAAGTGTACTACAGCGGGGAGATGAGCTGACGAGCGGTGGATAGCGATGGAACCAAGCTTCCTTTCTGAGCCCTTTGAGGGATGTGGTAAGAGGAGGAGCCGAGCTGGGTTGAATGAAATGTCAATTTGATAGAAACAAGTTCGAGGAGGGCTTCGGGTCCATAGCTACTGACAAGATGAATGTGGTAAATATGCTTTCCTCGGCCCTCTTTCTGTTTAAGCACGCAGAACAATGACTCACATTAACGAGTCAAAGAGCGGTATATGCACAAGAAGCCAGGTCGCGATGACGTTATACGAAGTACGCCGCGGGCCGCGGGTTGTGGCGATCAGGCCTGCTCTGGGGGGACAACTGAAGTTTTCACCACGTGTAATCGAGGGTTGAGTCCAAGTACGTGAAGAGGAGTACACAGTTATGCTTGGATGAGGTCTTGGAAGGAGCTGTAGAGGCTAAAGAAGAAGGGGAGGGGAGAGAAGAGAGTCAAAGAGTTCTATTTGAAGTCTCTGTCCCAACACCCAGCCTTTCTTATATACATGAATGAGTGACGAGACGATAGACGGAGGGACTGACTGCGTGACACGACTACGGCACGAAGCAAATAAGGGTACAAGTCGACCAGCGAAGCGTACAAAAAGGCCAAAGAAATTAAGAAAGAGGAGACGGGTCAAAGGAGGTAGGTTAGCGAATATGGGCGTGTCGATGTGCGTCGGACAGCCTTACTAGAAAAGAGGAAGAGAACGAGAACGAGTAACGGTAACGAAGATGGAGACGAAGACGGAGGTGAGCAAGGGTAAAAGCGAGAGTCCATGGGGCGTGCAGCGCCTAGCACGCTACGAGTACACGCCGCGGGATCTCCGCGATCGGCTCCCCGACGCGAATATCCTAAGCGAGGTGTAAGCAGCTATGTATAATTATAAGCTGCATATACGCATGCCGCCATGCATGTCTGACAGGTTCTCCTCTGTTAACTACTTCACATATCAAACATGTCTACCTCGGAACAAAAGACAGTCCTGATCACAGGCGCCAACAGAGGGTACGCATGGCATTCAGCTATAGTCACTACTGACTGACCATCGTCGCGAAACTCGCAGAATTGGACTTGCAGTCGCTAAAGGCTTCCTCGAGAACAAATGGCGAGTCGTAGCAGGTGTTCGAGATGTCACCAAGATGCCCCAGCTCGATGGGGACTTGGTCGTAGTCAAGATCGACTCTGCTTCCACTACAGACGCGCTTGAGGTACGTCTTTTCCACTTCCCAGTGCTATCCACCTGTCTCGACAACTCGGCTGATAGCACTTTTTAGGCCATGGAGGAGCTCAAAAATAGATACAACATCACTCAGCTCGACATTGTGCTAGCCAACGCCGGTGTCGCTTCCACAGCTGGCCCTCTTTATCAGACCGATCTCGAAAAGTTCGACCATGGTCACGCCGTAAACGTCCGCGGTCCTCTTGCCCTCTATCAAGCTGTGCGCCCGTTGTTTAAGGATGGAGCGACGTTTGCTGTGGTCAGCTCTGAGGTGGGATGTATCACTGGAGATTGGGTCCCTGCTTTGGGAGCTTATGGGAGCACGAAAGTGGCTCTGAACTTCCTTGTAAGCTGTGCTTCTTGTTGCTCCATACTTTGGTTTCCGAGTGGGTAGGGGACTAACGGTATGATCAGATGCGTGGTATCAACCAAGAAGAGCCCAAGCTCAAGGTATTTGCTATCCATCCCGGTTGGCTCGACACGTACGTATATCAATGAAGTATCTAGGAAGACCATAGCTGAACCGCGGCATAGCGACATGGGCAATGCAGGCGCAAAGGCTGTCGGAGTCGATGCTCCCCCCGAGAAGCTTTCGGTGGCTGCCCGTACGTACACCCGACAACCCACGAAGAATGTTCTGATGAGATCATATAGCTGCTATCGTTCAGCTGCTTCTTAAGGCGACCAAAGAAGAGACATCTGGTTTCGTGTGGAAATAGTAAGTGCCATTAGAAGTTCGAGTGTCATATGGTCTCATGAGTTTGGTGCTGATGAAGTATGACAGCGACGGCACAAAGCTTCCTTTCTAGAAAGCCATCTGAGACCAGCGGGGCGATTGTCAGAAGACAGAAGAAGCAAAGCCAGTCGAGCCGTACTCTATATCTCATGAACCTTGCTCTCCGAATCCTGAGAGAAGTGATCCATGCATATGCGCTCCATTCCACCGACGTCTCTCCTATCTGCTCTCCCCTTCCTTTTGCTCCCCCTTCGGCTGCTCAGCCCCCGCTTCAGCAGCGGCCTCTCCTTCTGGCCGGCTCTTGGCCACCTCCGCCTCCTTCTCTGCTTTTATTCTCTCCAGAGCCCTAAACACCTTGGACTGCAAGTAGAACGAGTGCGTGGGAGCCTTGCTCTTGGCGGATTTGCCAGTAGCTCGGGGAGGGGGTGTGGGTTTGGCACCGGGTTTTGTTTCGGCGGCGGTTGGGGGAGGGGGCGGGGAGTTGGCTTTGAAGATGACATCGTAGTGCTAAAGAGTTGCGTATTAGCACAGGATCTAAACGTTTCATGAAGACGAGTTCCAGCTCAAATGAGAGCCTCTGCAATAAACAGATGGTCACGTACCTTTTGAATGACATCCAGAGGGTCATCCTTCTTCACATTCAAGATCAACCGCGCCTCGTCCAAGCTCATCTGCAATTGGCTTGTAAGAGCATTCTTCTTTCCGTCCGCCGAGCGAGGTGCAGAATCGGCCATGCCTTCAGGCTTGTGGGTAAAGTCTGTAGATAACATCAGTGCTTCTCTGTGATATAGCGAAAAGACGAGACGCACTTTTGCCAGCTTGTTGCATGGCAGCAAAAGTAGCCTTGCCGAAGGCTTTTCCGCCGGTGATCACCAGCTGGGCGATGACTCTAGGAGCAGACTGGTATATAGTTAGTGAGCAGCGTACAGCCGTCCCCTGCTCGATAGCCGACATACCATCTTTTCTGATCTTTATTTCTTGTGACTTCTCAGCCGAAAAGGGGACTTTGTCGGTAGATTTTGCGGTATTGAACGGTGGCGGAGATTATTGAGGGTAGATCCGGTATTTCTGCAAGTCGCAAGCCGGGTGTCTGGAGGATTATAGGTGTATAGGGGCTTTTGAAGATCGACGGTGAAATGAAGAAATCGTTCTGGACTGGATGGTGAGATCTGGACACCGACGGGATCAAATGAACGCCACTCTCCTCCTTCTCTTTCTAATATCAGATCGCGCTCTATCTTCTCTATCACTCTATACTTTCTCTAACATCGATACAAACTTACCCATCTGCCCATCATGGACGTAGACAAGTCACTCGACGACATCATCGCCACCAAGAAGCAAGATAACAGGCCAAAGCAGGCTCAGCGTCCTCCCGCCCCGAGGCACTCAATCGGTTCGAATGGTGGTTCCAGGCCTACACCTTACGCTGTGCGTCCATCCGCTTACCCTCCGGAAACACTGAAAAGCTGCTGATACGATGCGACGCGCAGAGGCCCCCACCAAGATCGACAGGCGACAGATGGGTTCACGACGCTTATCCCGGCCGAGGTGGCTTCAACGGTCGACAAGGGCGCGCGGCCCCCAACCCACTGATCACAGGTACCGGCGCGACGTTTACCAAGGAGAACCAGAGGATTGAGATTGTTGGCTTGCACTACGAAGTGTCCAAGCAGGACTTGGAGGTAAGTGTCGACTTGTCGTGTCGACTGTCTTTTGCTGATGGCGCGATGAAGACAATCTTCTCACAAGCTGGCACCATCGCGGACGGGCCCCACATTCGTGTAAGCGTTTAGATCTTCAATTCTCACTCTTTCGGCGTCCAGTTTCAAGGGTTCATGGCGTCATGTGGATCGGCCTCAAGGCATACCTCGCGACAAGACAGTATACGGTGTTTGGGTGACATCGAAGATTGGCGATTGGGACCGGCGCTTGGGACTGGCGATTGGAACTGGACGCGACGAAAGAGCATTGGCTGTAATGACGGGGAATGATGCTCATGTTTTGCCTTGTTCTCTTTCTTTACCTTGTACGTGACTTCCTACTTCGAGCCAGAAACACGACTGACACATGGTCGCAGCCGATAGTACGACCGCTCTGGCCGATCAACTGGTGCCGCCTGGATTGAGTACACCACTGTGGCTGCTGCCAAGAATGCTATCAACAAGTTTGACGGTGCCATGACCAAGGGTGCGTTTGCCATCTGCTGTTCTGGAATGCCTGTTCTGTGTTGACCTATCTGTTCAGGCCAAACCATCTCCATCCGATACGGTCGCCCCCCTCCCGTCCAGAATCCGGGCTCCGCCAACGGTGCTGGCCCTGGCCCCGCTCGAAACGGTTCCACCGCATCTCTTCTGTCCAGAATACAACCATCTGCGCCAGCGGGCGGCAAGGCACCCAAGGGCCCGAAGGGAGTGGCAAATGCTCCTCCGGTGCGCGAAGCTAACGGTAATGGGGCTGCTGGAGCTGCGAGGGGTGGAAGGAGAGGGAGAGGAGGTCGCGGTGGTAGGGGAGGTGGTGCCAGGGGAGAGAGGCCTAAACCAAAATCGGCTGGGGACCTGGATTCCGAATTGGACAACTTCATGAAGCCTGCCGATTCTGTACGTGACTTGCATGTCAACAGGGGTTCGATTGCTGACCGGGTCTTCCAGGCCGGAGATGTTGAGATGGCTTGAGGTGGGGAAAGATATGGAGGATTGCCTTGAAATTGGGAAAATGATCGTGTTGGAATCTTCTTGTGTCACTCTGCTGGTCCTGAGATGTAACTACCTATGTGATTTGGTATTCCTTGATTGTGATACGGCTGCAGTACACGTCGAACTCGATGCATCTTGACAGCGCGATTTGGTGACGACTGGCCGACTTGCCTCCACTTGCCGACTCCACCCGCGAACCACTCAGAATGCAGACAGCCTCAGTCAAAACAACTCCTCTCATTCGTTCTCTACATTTGTTGTTGTCTATTTTTCTGCCAGGATTTCCCTCAAATTCAACACCAACATGCCCCCGCCACCGAAAAATATAACGATCCTCGGCGCTGGCCTTTCGGGGCTTTCGACAGCTTACCACCTCTCCACGCACCTACCTGCATCCTCTGGCACAAAAATCACAGTCTTGGAAGCGGCGAATCACATTGGAGGCTGGGTCGACTCGCGCAAGTATGAAGTGGGGTTTAAAGGCCAGGACGGGGTCATAAGAGAAGGGGTCGTGGGCATCGAGACGGGGCCTCGGAGTATACGGCCGAGAGGTGGAAGAGGGGCTGCGACGATGCTACGGATGGTATGTCTTTGTGGTTCCCAAACATGAGTGGCAAAAGCTAATAATATGATTAGCTGAGAGACATCGGGCTCGAGGAATCGATAATATCAATACCATTCTCCCATCCTGCAGCCAAAAATCGCTTCTTGCTGGACACGTCGACATTCACGCTCACGCCCCTACCCTCTTCCCTACCTTCTGTTCTTCGCCCTCAGCCACCATTACTCAAAGGCCTTCTTCCTTTGGCTCTTTCAGAACCTCTCAGGTCGAGAGGGAAAGAGAAGGAATTGACGGCAGATGGCGATGAGTCTGTGGACTCCTTCTTTCGGCGCCGATTTGGAGACTCGATCGCCGACAACCTGGCGAGTGCGATGGTCCACGGTATCTACGCCACCTCGTCCAAACAACTATCCCTTCGGTCCGCCTTCCCCATACTGCACGACGCCGAAGCCAAGTATGGTTCAGTTGTAGCTGGCATGTTACTCGGCACCAAATCAAAGGCAGCCAGGAAGGTCGAAGCAGACGATTGGGCAGAGCTGGGCGAGTTAGGAAAGAGGAGGGAGGAATGGAGCTTGTATGGGATCAAGGGCGGACTGGGGGCGATAACAGAGAAACTCCTGGAAAGAGTCACCCAGAGAGGAGTCAGGGTCGTCAATGGCGAGCCTGTCCGGCACATTGAGCTCTCTCGCAACCCCGAAGAGCCTATATCGCTGTCGACCTCTGCTCGATCTTTCAAATCGTCCCACCTCATCTCTGCCCTCCCCCCTCGTCTCCTTTCGCATCTCCTTCCCTCATCTGCACCATTACCCCACCTGGCACATAACCCTTCCACTTGCGTAGGGGTCATCAACATTGTCCTCCCTCTTCCTCCTTCGCAGGTCCACCCCGCAGGATTTGGGTATCTTGTCCCCCGATCGTCTCCCGAGAAGAACCCCTCGGGTGTACTGGGAGTGATCTTCGACTCCACAGCTGTGCCACCCTCCCCACCCGAGCTCGATGGACAGATAACAAAACTCACGGTCATGCTCGGCGGACCATACTGGTCATCTTACACGCCCAACTCTCCCACACACTCCGAGCCTGAGACTCTCATCCCCCTCGCCCTGTCGCATCTCCGCAAAACCTTCCCCCACCTGGCCAACGTTGAGCCTGTACTCGCTGTGGGCAACATTCACCACAATTGTATCCCTACCTACCTGCCTGGACATGGTCAGAGGCTCAGGGAGCTGCACGAGAACATTGGGAGCGGAGAGTGGAAGGGGAAGATCAGTCTGGTGGGCAATGGGTATGGAGGAGTGGGAGTGAACGATTGTGTGTATTCGGGGTGGGAGGTGGCGACAGCGCTTGGCGGGGGCGATAGGGTTACAGGGCTGGAGAGATGGCATGATTGGGAGTGAGGAGAGGATAGAGGCCGGTAGGCCATCATACTCAAGCATTTCTAGCGCATCATCAACACATGTATCTCAATGCATTGATCAGACGTTACAGTGCTATGGTGTTCATGAGATACGTCACGTAGGGACCGACATTTGGACAACAACAACACAGCGCGTCATACTTGTACAGCCACCTTATAGAATGGTAATCGTGATCCTTGATTCACAAGCTCCGCGCCATCATCTCCTCTCTACTGCGCTACACATCCGCTCGACCCTCGAGTCGCCTTCAAGTCCTGGAGCGATTGCTTGTTGCCACTGTCTTCCCGACAGAGCTCTGCAACCTTCTCGGGCCAATCTCCGATCACGGTAGCGACGGATTCTTCAAGAGGAAGATCCTGCACGTTCCCATTAGCCTCGGCTAAAGTGACATGGCCTCCCCAGTATGAGATGACTTACCCATGCTTGAGCCATGGTTGACAATCTCTTGGCGAGGTAGACCAGCCCGATGGAAACCCGGTCTGTCTTTTCCGCCACAGTGATGGGAGCCCGAGGTTTCATCTGAAGCAGACCGAGACGGGAGAAGTGGTCCAGAACGACTAGGCCCTCGCTGCGATTCCCTATCAATTCTGTTACACAGTGTCAGGCTTGAAGCTCACTCTGATATCTGCATAAACATCTCGATGGTCTCAATCGGCAATTGAAAGTCAAGTCCAACCTGCGGGATGACCTTCTTGCAGTACATGTTGCAAATGGCAGTGTAGGTATTGACCTGGACTCGTCAGCCAGGTTCAAGACTCACCTCGAGTCATGAAATGTACTCACCAAGAAGAAAATCGCCACCGGGCTGATGTTCGACTTTGTAGCGTACTTGACCCCCAAATCCTTGACTCGCTGGTCCCAGATTCTGAACAGGCCGATGTGGTCATCTCTGCCGTTAACAGAGATCATCTGGGTGATGGCCATGGACTGGGCACTGAACTTTGAGCTCTGGCTTCGATACTGGTCTCGCAAGTCCGCTAGCTTGCGGTCGTAGACCGTGTCGGCGATTCGGCTTCGTGGTGCCTTCGATTGGGCTGGCATCACTACTGCTGCTGAGCTGTGAATGTAAGGGTGGCGAATGAAACGTCTGTGTGGGTGGGAAATTGACTGTCATCAAGGTTGATCGTTTATAAGTCGACTGGTTCACGACTACAGCATGTTTGAGGCACCCTTTGCATTGGGCTTGATAGAGCGCCCGACGACAGGAGCTCAGTAGTCGTGGGTATGGCGTTCTGAGCACCAGAGGCTGTAGGGTTGACGTGCTTTGCTGCTGACCTCATCAAACCGGTTGCATGAAAGCAACGATACTGCTTGCTGGTGGTGCCTTTTCGGCATGAACTGTTGGTCTGTATAGTGATGAGGAGCATCAGATTACACCGGGTGATGTCAGTACCATAAGGGTACCATTGAACGGATATATGCAAACGCTTCATCGACCCGTGACGAAGGACGGTTGGGCGACACTTCATGTATAAGCCGTCACAAAATCCAATGTTTATGGATACATGCATGATTGCCACTCTTCTAATCATGACAACTGCTTCAATGAAAGACTACACGAGTATGCGGTATGGCCCTATGCCGTGGGCGGCTGAGTGACGGGCGGCGGGCAACATGTCTTAGCTGCGCAGTTTTCGGGTGGACAGCGCACGAGGCATAGATCCTCGGGAGCTGTGCCGGGGTCATAGAATCTAGAGTATCGTCAGTCCCTCGCTCATCCCATACACGCCGCAAGAATCCAGGACTCACTCAGGTTGGATAGTGACACTATGGATTCCAAACTCATGCATCACCTCTCTCACGTCCTCTGCCACCTCCATAAACTCCCTCCTCGCCTCCTGCCCCTTCTTTACCAGAACATGCACACTGCCTACAACCGTGTTCTCATTCAACTGCCACACGTGCAGCTCGTGTACTGCCTCCACATCACTGATCTCGTGAATGGCTTGGCGTACGTCGTCGAGGGCGATGTGGGAAGGGACACCTTGTAGAAGGATGTAGGAGGCGGATCGGCAAAGGGGGATGGCAGAGAAGAGGATGATTACAGTGATCAGGAGAGAGATGGTCGGATCCATGTAGATTGTCCATCGACTCTTGCCACTATGGGTACGATTAGCAAATGTATATTCAACCGGGAGATAGACTTACAACCATATTATGATACCAGACACAATGACCCCGATATTCCCAAAGAAGTCTCCCAAGACATGAAGAAAGACACCATGCATGTTCATGTGGCCATGCGAGTGCCCGCCGTGAGGGTGCCCGCCTTGAGAGTGAGCATGGGAAGGCGGATGGGGCACTTCCGCAGAGAATGCGACGTCGGGATGCCTATGATCATGGTTGTAATCATGGGCGTGACCGTGGTCGTGATCCGGGGCACGGCTGTTCTGTTGGGGAGGATGGTGATGCGAGCAGCCTGGCCCATGTTGATGAGGCTTCTCCGGCAGGGTTGGGGCCAGAACACGAGCATATGAAGAAACGTCCTGGGGAGAATGATGATGCGAGCAGCCTGGTCCATGTTGATGAGGCTTCTCTGAGAGAGTCGGAGCCAAAACGAGAGCAGACGAAGAAGCGCCCCTAGCAGCTAAAGTGGCAGAAGAGTCTTGTTCAGGACGGTGGTGGTGAAGGTGTCCTGCCAGAGTCCCACTCGAACCGCCTTTCAACTGCTCCTCCTCTTCCTCAATAGCGGACTGCATTCCCATCTTGTCAAGCCATCCCTTGCCCCAGCTCCGTCTTGCCCCATTTCCATGCTTCTCATGAGCTCCAGCCTTCTCCGACTCTCTGTAAGATGCCGCAGATGCTGAAGAGCCAGCAGGTGTACCGTACAGACTGGAAATGCTGGAACGCTTGCTGTAGACGCTGTTGTACCCCATCTCGTGGGCGGTCTGGATAACTTGGCGCCGGGTCTGAGAGGGGTGGACATAGAGCTCGGAGGGGTCGTGAGGAGGGATACGGGAGTGGTGGGAGTGGGCGTGCGAGAGATGAGAGTGGGTGGGGTGGAGGTCGTTGTTGTGTACGAGTGTAGCGGAAGAGTGTGGATGGGGAGCAGCTTCGACCTCGTCGTGTGAATGAGAATGTGAATGCCCTCCGTGCGCGTGCCCATGTTCTGTAGTCCAAATTAGCGCTGGTCGCATTGTATATCACAAAGGCTCACCATGAAACAAGAACAAGCCCACCACATTACTCGCCACGCCCAGACATCCCACAATGACAACCAACCTGGGGTCGCTGATCTCCTCAGGACTGACGAATCGCTCGATCGATTGCAGGCCGATAGAGACGCTGATAGCGACGAGGAAGACACCGTTGATCAGAGCACCGAGGATTTCTGCACGTTGCCAGCCGTATGAGTTGCGAGCGGAGGAAGGGGCGGTAGCGAGTTTGATAGCATAGAGCGCGACGACAAGGGATAGGACATCACTGCAAAATTGTCAGTGGCATTTTCGGAAGCCGTATAATAGACACATACTTGAGCATGTGGAATGCATCGGCGACAAGAGACAGGGAACCGACGTAGTATCCCAGTATAATTTCCTGCCCACAAAAGCGCAAATCAGTGTGTGTTCACCCGACTACATATTGCGGACCACTTACGGCGAGGAAGAAGAGGCTGTCGATCACCAGCAATATGAGGATTCTTGCTTTCTTGGAAAGTTTCATACTGGAGTCGAGGGGGAGAGTTGTGAAGGTTGGTGAAGGATAGGAGGTTTGCGAGTGTTTTTTTTTTTATTCCTGAATCAGAGATACCGGTGGCCGGGCTCATCGCAAAATCAGCTGTACTTATACATACCCCGCCCGTTGCGTGAGGATGAACGACGACCTCGAGGTCCCCAGATGAACGGTGGCTGGCACTAAGGAAAAGGAGGACTGCAAGCAATCTTGAAAGGATTGACCGTCGGAGAAGACAATACGGCAGCTGGATCGTCGGCCATCTCGGAGGACCGCGTGTGAACGGTTGATTTATTTATTGTTCTCGAAACATTGAGAGTTTTTTGTGCCATTGTCCATAGGGTCAGGGGCGCACAGAAAAGTGTCAGTGAACGCGCTTGGGGATGCACTAACCAAAGGCACAACAAGTATGTGTCATGCAGAGTGGGCAAAGGATGGTGTAAGTGTGGTACGTTGGTTCATGTCGGACGTTCAGAATGGTATGTATGATGGATTTCAAATCTTGGCTTGTCTACACAGATGATCAGCATGTCCCTTGGGTTTCAGACATCAGATCTATCACGCACCTGTAGAGCAGGATGTAGGCTACAGAGTCCTCACCGCCGCCGTCCATGGATAGAATCTTTTGACTATGCGGCAATGTCAGCTGGGTGCTTCAATTTGCTAGAGAATACTTACGCATCGCAGAATGTGACCTTGTTGTCTGTAGCGGAAAGATTGTCAGCACGAGAAATCAAGTTTTGATCGCGGAAGGATTCTCAAACTGACCATCAAACTTGGCCCATTGTTGCTGCTCAGCAGGGACAAAAGCCCCATCATCCATCCTTGCCCATCCGATGTAATGCCCTATTGATCGCTTCAATCATCTGCCAAGCAATCTTGTCGTCGAAGCACACGTACCAGAATCAGCGGAAGCACCCTTGTGCGTCACCACCGCCGCAAGCTCATAGAACGCACTCCCATCCCTCCTTCCACCTTCCGTCTCCTGAGTCTTCAACAACTCCTCAGCCTTCTCCCGCTCTTCCTTCCTCTTCTCTTCTTCTTCCTCCCTGCCTTCTCCGGGCTTTCGCTTCAAGACGGTGGCTCGGGCATCACGGTCCTTCAAGACGTTCTTGGCGTGAACGTTGAGGGGCTGAGTACGGGCGCGCAGAGAAGGGGTGAGGAGTTCGAGGAGATCCAGTTCGAGAGGGAATTTGACCTTGCGCATGATCTTGGCCTTTTTCCTGTGCACAGATTAGCCTGACATGTTGCCTGCGTGATGGGTGTGGCCTACTGAATATCTCTACGCCAGTAGAATCGGACCATATGAACGGTGAGGTACTCGGGCAATTTGGAGATGGCGGATTTCCTGTAATCCTGTCAACGATGCACCCAACGTAGAGAATGGACGTACATGGTGTAGGTGGCATTTCGCCCAAGAACCGGACTGTTCTTCTCAACCTGCTGTGTCAAGGACTACACATCGTTAGCTTGAGTCTCACAAGGTAATACAACCCACATCTTGGATCCCAGACAACAAAAAGTTGGTCGTGCCCGAGATGTTGCACTGTAATTTTGACAGACTCTCGGTACTCGTGCTTTCCGGCTCAGCGTCCGTCTCTGCGCACTTGAACGTCTTCTCCAGCTCCAATCCCATCAACTTGTCCACCAAAGACCCATCGGCGCCATGTGGCAGCTTGGACCGGAGGGCAGAGATGAGGGTCGTCCAAGCTTCATCGGCGTCCTGCTGGGAGTAGTGTCCGTGGTTGTCTGTCTCGGCGAACTGGGGGGCGAGAACACGGAGGTTGGAGATGAGGTCGAGGGGGACGACGGCATCGTGGGCAGAGTCGAGGTTGGTCATCAAGTTTTTGAGAGAAGAGACAACTCGGGTGTCGGCGGAAGTGCCGGAAGGGGTGAACCTGGGCAGGTGTCAGCGACTCTTGATGGAAGTGGGGCTACTCACTCTTTGAGGGCACTGTCGATCTCGGGGACGACTTTCAGAGCTTGGATAGTAGAGTTGAGGTAACAGGTGTTACCGAGGTTGACCAAACCATTGGGTTCTGCCTTCTACGTCGGAAATCAGCCGAGGTCCTTGACAACGTCCACTTTCAACTCACAGCATAGGATCCTTCACCGACGTCTTCCACTAGTTTGAAATTCAGCATGATTAAATAAACAAGCATCTATAACACTCACAGAATACGATAGGCTGAGTAGGAGCCTCAGGCAAAGCCTCGGCGGCACCGATGACCATCACGGTGACCTGTCAACCGTGTCAGCTTTATAGTGTGGTATTTGATCATGGCACACACCTTTTGGGAAGCAAGAGCAGCATAGTCGGTATCATCCTATCATTGCACATCAGCTCCATCTCTCCCATCGCGTCGCATTCGGCTCCTGGCCACCCACCTTGACGAGCTTGCCCTTGACCATGACCTTCATACGTTCTGCACCCAAAAGTCAGCAAGTAGCACCTCGGCCACTAGTACTTTGAATACGGACCAACAGGGACCCGGGTGAGCTCGGACACAGCCTGCTTGAAGGTAGCAGTTGTGGTCTCCTGCGTCACGGGGACATTGTAGTTTTTGCCAGAGTGTTTGATAGTCACTGCATATTGTCAGCTCTCTCCCCACTCGTATGAAATGGAGGGATACTTACACTCCATTGTAGCAGTAGAAACCTTGGGCATGAGAAAGAGGGAGATGAGATGCAAATGTTGACAAGAATCGACCCCTATGGAAACGATGATGGAAGCGTTGTTTGTCGTCAGCTTACGTAATTGGGACTGTCTCTACAATGGTCCCAATGGATGATGATCTGTTTCTTGTTCGCTCTCCATCTTTTCTTCGACTCTATTCCTCACTACTTTCTCGCCCACATCATCACATCAACACCCGTAGCGATCCCATTGACAGCACATCCTATGATGCTTCGGCAGTCGTAGTCCGCTGACAATAGTGTGAGGACTCAGTACGATCATATCCTGCTCCACCACCACGCGCTCCTACCTGCCTGCCTTTCGAGAGGACAAGCGGAGAGCTGTAACGGTGCTGTGTGTAAACTTGACACTTGGTGATTTCCTCGATGGAGTAGTATGGGGAAATGTTGGCTCGACACTAGCAAGCAACGATATATTCCCTAACGAGAGCTGTTTCCCATCTAGGGGTTTCCCTTGCTTCACCTTTGAGGGCGTTACCAAATGCCAAGTATGTACCCAGCGTCGTTACGTTACAGCTGCTCGCAGGTTCAATGTGAAAAAGGTCTATGATAGATCAGATAAGAACGAGTTTTCTAAGATGAAGGTATAGGAGTTTGGGACTGCGTCATTCAATCCACCTGCACATCCTCGAGCTAGCGGCCACTCATCACCCGTACTCGTCATTCATCCTCTACATTCTTCACACAGCCACACCCTCTCTCTTGCGTCTCTCTGCCATCATTCTCTCACACACCACACTCCCAACAGCCCTCTCCACTTCCACCCTCTTCCCCTCGATCAACCCTTTCGTCACTTCCCGCACTTCGGGCGTCATGTTCAAAGTAATGCGGTTGCAGGATGCTGCCGCCTTTTTGGATAGCGTTCGAGTAGGTGGTTTTGGAGTGATAGATGAGGAGAGGGAGTCCGCCGTGCGTGAGGCCGGAATGGTTGAGGTCGGTGTAGATGTATTGGAGGGCTTGTTCTAAGTAGGCTACCATTTCTTTTGGAGTCGACTTGAGATTGTAAGAAGCATCAACCAGCTTGAACTCTTCGACAAGCCTGAAAAGCTGAGCTTTCACGTAGTTCCTGATGATCAACACCCGTTGGAAAAGCGTATAATCCTCACCATAATACCTCCTTACAGTAGCGCTCACTTCGACTTGGATATTGTTGGGATTCTGAAATTTGAGGATAGATCCGGGGGCGATGTAGCAGATGATTTGACCGATGTTGATGGACCTTGTTTGGCTGAAGGTTTTGATGGGTCGAGCGGGTGCGACTGTACGTGATGGAAGTTAGCTGTAGTATCGATGGAGAAGGGGAAGAGGGGAGACGGACGTGTACGATAGGCAGGGGGCGGGGCTTCATATCGAGGGAGCGCTTCTTGGGAGGATGACATGGCAGGGAAATGAATATCCGTTGAATGGGTGGTCATGCACATGCTTGATTGACGTTGGGTGATGGAGTTGTGGGTTGAAGTGGTTTGAGGTGGATCATGAATGAGAGGGCTGTGATGTAGTAATAGTACCAGATCAGTCTCGACAGGTATTGTAGTAGCATAAAGGCTGACGATGCTGAACGGAAAGTCTCAAAGGAACTGCGTAGCTCCTGGTAGTGATGACGTGGTGAGATGCAGACTATAGAGCAGAGAAATGGCCAGAACGACGCACGTTCCAAGTATTTTGGCAGGAAATGGGAACTCCCTGTGGGAAGAGAAGGTGTTGAATCACAATGTGCTCCAATCCGAACCACACAAACCTTTCCTCGTTTGTCGACTCTTCTTATCTAATCAGCTGGTGCTGTTGTTGATCTCCGGAGCCAAACTCGGCGGTCGCCGCCTGATCATCTACGCAGGGAAGAAAATGGTCGGTCTTTCCAGTGTAGATGGCTTGAAATATGTATTATATCATGTAGAACCCACAGTCTCAGATATATGGTTAAATTAGAGGCTGGACACCGGAGGACGGCTCTTGTCTCGCACGTTGTCCCCAACCTCAACGCGACGCTGCTGACACGCGTTGTTGTCCCTCCGGCTCATGCCGCCTCTGTCGTAAACCTTTGGCCAGATCTCTGCAGATATCCCTGCTTACTCATTAGATCAACGTGCAAGGAAGCATGAAAGACATGGGCCGACTATGAACCCATGACTTTTCTTTGGGCACACCAGCGCTAAGGAAATCTACAATGGCTTCTTCTGTTGTTCAGTGATGGGACGACGTTACACCGGAGCTTGGTCACTTTACAGAGACGATCGATCACGGGTAGCTTAATATACATGTATATGTGGTCCCCACAGTAATTTTGATGCTTGAAGAGAAGGAATACAACCCATATAGGCATATAGGCGCCGGCCACTGATGTACGGGACGGCAAAGAGACGGCCGAAGTGCAAGAAGTACGACAGCCTGAGTGGACTCCATGTGCTGCCCTTCCCTGTGCAGTCAGACACTCGTACGTTCTGTCCCTCTCTTGTCCATTGCGGCATGTGCAGAGCTGCTTGAGACGCGTGCGACGAGTGTTTGGACAAACAGCGGGCTTATGGGCGGGCCGCGGGGATCCGAAAGCCGGATGCAGCTTGGCGCGTGACTTTGAGGGTGCCTGGGTGCCGTGTTGACATCTCTGATTGTGAGAACATGTAAGCCAATCGGTCTGTGCGGGGACGGGCAGCTGACTCACCCGGCCACAGATATATAGCCCCCATTTGCATCTCATTTCTCTTTTCTCCATCAACAACCTTCTCACGCTCTTTTACCCCACGCTCTTTAACAACGGTCAGTCTTCCCACAGCGCCCCTACCACGCTGACCATCAATAGCCATGCTCGCGTCCCCCCTCACCTTGCTCCTCTTGGGCGCTGGTGTCCCTGCTGCCATCGCCAGCCCCTTCCGCCTCATCAACCTGCGCGACGACGCCAACTCTACCGACCCTGTCACCGATGCCCCTACTGCTAGCTGGACCCAGAACAGTACTACTTCTGCCTCTGCTACCGAGGGTTGGAACTCGACCGAGTCTTGGAGCTCCACCGCCTCTGCCAGTCCTGTCTCTGTCACCTCTTCAGTGATCGAGGCTTCGACTGTCTCTTCTACCATCGCTGACCCTACCTCTCTCACTTCTTGGGCAGAGTCGAGTGTCTCTGCTACTGCCTCCGAGTCTGCTACCGCGGACGAGACTTGGCCCAGCGAGGCTCCTGCCGATGACGGTACCATCTCATCCTACCACACCTCCGACATCACCTACATCTCTCCCAACATCCCCGCCCCCCTCAACGCCACCCACGCCAACTCGTCTCCCAAGTGGGAAGCCGCCCACTCCCGGGCCCGCGAGCGCCTTGCCGGCTGGTCCCTCGAGGAGAAGGTGCACCTCACCACTGGTGTCGGATGGATGCAGGGAAAGTGTGTTGGTAATATCCCCGCCGTTGAGAGCCAAGGCTTTGGTGGTCTCTGTCTTCAAGACTCGCCTTTGGGTGTGAGATTTGCCGATTATGTCTCTGCCTTCCCCGCTGGTATCAATGCTGCTGCTACGTACGTCTATCCTCTGCTACTTCCAAGTCTTTGCTGACACTGTTTAGCTTCGACAAGGACCTCATCTACGCCCGAGGATACGCCATGGGCCAAGAGTTCAAGGGCAAAGGTGTCAACGTCGCCCTTGGTCCTATGACCAACATGGGTCGAGTCGCTGCTGGCGGTCGAAACTGGGAAGGCTTTGGCGCCGACCCTTACCTCTCTGGTTGGGCTACCGATGCTACTGTCCGAGGTATCCAAGACGCCGGTGTTCAAGCTTGGTACGCCTTTCCCATTCTCACTAAGCTCACCACTGACCATCGAACAGTGTCAAGCACTATGTCGGCAACGAGCAAGAGCGCAACCGTACCACCTCTTCTTCCAACATTGACGACCGTACCCTCCGTGAAATCTACACCCACCCCTTCCTCCGAGCCGTTCAAGCCGACGTCGCTGCCGTCATGTGCTCATACAATCTCGTTAACGGCTCCTGGGCTTGCCAAGACTCCAAGACGCTCAACGGTGTCTTGAAGACCGACTTTGGCTTCCAAGGTTATGTCACGGCCGACTGGGGAGCGCAGCACTCTGGTGTCTTGTCTGCCAATACCGGTTTGGACATGACTATGCCGGGAGATATTTCGTTTGGAAGTTTGACAAGTTACTGGGGTCAGAACCTTACCGACTCTGTCAACAATGGTTCCGTCAAGGCTGAGAGGGTCGACGATATGGCCGAGAGGATCCTTGCGGCGTATTATTTGCTTGGTCAGGATGAAGACTATCCCGAGGTCAACTTTGATTCATTCAGGCTGTTTGGCTCGAACCAGTCTCATGTTGATGTGCGCGATGACCACTACAAGTGAGTTCGCTTTTATGAAAGAGCCTCAAAAGCTGATATGTTACAGGGTCATTCGTCACGTTGGTGCTTCGTCTACTGTCCTTCTCAAGAACGAAAACAAGGCACTTCCCCTCACCACCCCCCGTCACATTGCTCTCATCGGTTCCGACCTCGGCCCTGCTATCAAAGGTCCCAACGGCATTTCTGACCGAGGAGGTATCGACGGTACCACCGCTATGGGCTGGGGTTCCGGCACCGCCGAGTTCCCCTACCTTGTCGACCCCCTCTCTGCCATCTCCCAGCGCGCCCGCGAGCACGGTGCCATCTTGAACTCTTGGTTGGACGACTGGGATGTCGCCAGTGCTCAGTACTGGGCTGCTCCTGCCGAGGTCGCTATCGTCGGTGTCCACGCCACTTCTGGTGAAGAGTACATCACTGTCGATGGCAATGTCGGCGACCGAAACAACCTCACTCTTTGGACCAACGGCGACGCTCTCGTGCAAGGTGTTGCTGCTGTCAACAACAACACTATCGTCGTCGTTCATGCTCCCGGGCCTATTCTCATGGAAGAGTGGATCAGCAACCCCAACGTCACTGCTGTCCTCTGGGCCGGTCTCCCCGGGCAAGAGAGTGGTAACGCCCTCGTCGACATCCTGTGGGGAGACTACAACCCCTCTGGCCGTCTTCCTTACACCATCGCCAAAGACAGGGCCGACTATCCCGCCGACATTGTCTACACCAACACCGACGACCCCATCGAGCCCCAAGTCGACTATACCGAGGGCCTCAACATTGACTACCGACACTTTTTGGCGGAGGGGATTGAACCGAGGTTTGCGTTTGGGTATGGGCTGTCGTACACCAGTTTTGACTTTAAGGACTTGAAGGTTGAGGCGGTTGAGGGAGAGAAGAGGAAGAGGGATGATGTGCCAGAGTTCCCCGAGGTTGATGAGAGCCCTCAAGGAGAGGTTGTCGTTGGCAGATTCACTGTTGACTCGTGCGTCCTTTTTTCTTCCCTCGAGTGCTGTTGCTGACGAGGTTATAGTCTTCACAAGCCCCGGTGGACCGTGTCTATTGATGTGACCAACACTGGCGATATCAACGGCTGCGAAGTGCCCCAGCTGTACCTCGTCTTCCCCGAACACGCCGGCGAGCCTCCCAAGGTGTTGCGTGACTTTGCCAGGTTCGTCTTTTTCCTCTCCTCTTTTCAACTCGAGCTAATCTTGATCATAGGATTAACCTCGACCCCGGAGCTACCAAGACCGTCTCCTGGAACCTCTCGCAGTACGACGTCTCCATCTGGGATGTCGAGACCCAGGAATGGACCGTGCCCGAGGGCGACTTTGGGGTGGAAGTTGGAAAGTATGTGGCGGATGTTGATGCGCAGACGTCGTCCTTCTGCTTTAAAGCTTGAAGGATCGTAGAAGATAGACTTCTTGTTTGATCTTCTTCCTTCCTCGATCGTGTTGGAATTTATTTTTGATCTGGGTTTTACAATGGACAATAAAAGTAACGTAATGGTAACGACTTGTTGAAACGATAAAAAGTAGGCTACACACACTCCTTGTAGAGTATCACAAAAACAAATCCGCAGAATCACATCATCCTATGCATTCTTCTATCTAATCTTCAGCTCTGTGTCATTGTTCGAGTAGAGCGATGATGGATGATGGCAATGAGTCGGGCACCTTGTGAAGCCACGGGAGTTCATCACTATACGACTTGTGTCAACTTGTATGAACTCTATCAACATAGGTCATCTCTATTATAGTAAAGTGTCCTTCTTGTACCCATTACAGTCCTTTTCCCTTCCTTTCCTTTCCAACGATATCAACGGCAAGACAGCTGGAACTTTGGAAGTACAGACGCCTACTGCTTGGGCGTGAAAGACCCAGTCTGCGCGTCTGCGTCCGCCACACTCTTTCCAACCTCCACGCCAAACTCGCCCTCGGGAACAACCCACTCCTGGCTCTCGACATCCCAGATGGAGACGTCGTATTGGGAGAGGTTCCAAGAGACGGTCTTTGTGGCTCCGGGGTCGAGGTTGATCCTATCACCAAGATTAGCTTGAAGTGGAAAGAGGAGAGAGGAGAGAGAGGAGTACGTACCTGGCAAAGTCACGCAGAACCTTGGGAGGTTCACCAGCGCTTTCGGGGTAGACAAGGTAGAGTTGAGGGATTTCGCAGCCGTTTACATCGCCGGTGTTGGTGACGTCGATAGATACGGTCCATCGGGGCTTGTGGAGACTAGATGAGATTAGCAGAAGTCCCCAAGAGAGCAAGCGATACTCACGACTCGACGACAAATTTACCAACTACGACCTCTCCCTCGGTACTCTCGTCAACCTGAGGGTTGTCTGACACATACCTTTTTGCCAAATCCCCAGCTCCCTCAACCTCGTCGACAATCAGGTTCGAAAGCTCAAAGCTGGTGTAAGACAGCCCATAGCCGAACGCGAACCTCGGTTCGATACCCTCGGACAAGAAATGTCGGTAGTCGATGTTAAGACCCTCGGTGTAGTCGATCTGCGGCTGCACGGGGTACTCAGAATTGGTGTAGACGATATCGGCAGAGTAGCCTGAACTGTCTTTGGCGATGGTATAGGGAAGTCGTCCCGAGGGGTTGTAGTCGCCCCAAAGCACATCGACAAGCGCATTACCACTCTCTTGCCCGGGGAACCCAGCCCAGAGTACAGCAGTAACGTTCGGGTGGTCGATCCACTCTTCCATGAGGATAGGCCCGGGAGCATGAACGACGACGATAGTGTTGTTGTTAGAAGAAGCTACAGCCTGCACGAGTGCATCGCCATTAGCCCAAAGAGTCAGGTTGTTGCGGTCGCCCTCGTTACCGTCCACCGTGCGCCCTAATTCACCAGAGTCGGAGTGGACACCGACGATAGCGACGTCAGCCCTGCTTGCCCAGTATGAAGCGTTTTGGGTGTTCCAGTCGTCTAAGGCGTAATTGATGATGGCGCCGCTCTCACGAGCACGCTGAGAGATGGCAGAGAGAGGGTCGATGAGGTATGGGAATTCAGCGGTACCGGAGCCCCAGCCCATGGCGGTGTGACCATCGAAACCAGCCCGGCTGTTGTAGCCATTGGGACCCTTCGTGGGAGGGGCGAGGTTCGAGCCGATGAGGGCTACGGAGCGTGGGGTGGATAGGGGAAGAGCGTGGTTTTCGTTCTTGAGGAGGACAGTGGAAGAGGCTCCAATGTGGCGGATCAACCTATTGAGCATGTCAGCATGGACAGTAGATAGGTCGAGAGATACATACTTGTGATGATCGCCTCGCACATCAACATGAGACATGTTGGAGCCAGACTGTCTGTACGAGTCAAAGTTGACTTCGGGATAGTCTTGATCCTGGCCGAGCAAAAAGTAGGCCGCCATGATCCTCTGAGCCATGTCGTCGAGCCTAGCCTCGCTAACGGAACCGTTGTTGACAGCCTCGGTAAGGTTACGTCCCCAGTAGGAGGTCAAGGTGCCAAAGGTGATGTCGCCGGGCATGCTCATGTCCAGACCGGTCTCCGCCGACAAGACACCAGAGTGCTGAGCCTGCCAATCCGACATGACGTACCCTTGGAACCCAAAGTCGGTCTTCAGAACACCATTGAGAGCCTTGGGGTTCTCGCACGCCCACGAGCCATTGATGAGGTTATAGGAGCACATGACCGAGGCGACGTCTGCTTGAACGGCTCGGAGGAAAGGGTGGGTGTAGATTTCGCGAAGGGTGCGGTCGTCGATATTGGAGGATAAAGTGGTTCGATTTCGCTCTTGCTCATTGCCGACAAAGTGCTTCACACTAGGAGGGGATCAGAATCTTTCGTCGTGACCCACAAAATAGGAGGCGACCTACCAAGCCTGAACACCGGCATCTTGAAGTCCCCGTACGGTGGCGTCGGTAGCCCAGCCAGAGAGGTAAGGATCACCGCCAAAGCCCTCCCAGTTGCGACCTGCTGCAGCCACTCGAGCCAGATTGGTCATAGGTCCCAAAGCAACATGAGCCCCTTTACCCTTAAACTCTTGGCCCATAGCATAACCTCGAGCGTAAATGAGATCTTTGTCAAAGCTGCTAAAATGTCAGAGGTGATCAAAGAAGATAAATGGGGAGACACACGTAGCAGCGGCATTGATACCGGCAGGGAAAGCAGACACATAGTCGGTCGACCTAACCCCCAGAGGCGAGTCTTGGAGACAGAGCCCTCCAAATCCCTGACTCTCCACAGGTCCAATGTTCCCAACACACCTTCCCTGCTGCCATCCAAGGCCAGTAGTGAGGGATACTTTTTCAGCTACCGTCCACCTGGATAGGTAAGAGCGAGCCCTATCGTGGGCTTCATTCCAATTCGAAGAGGGGTTGGCGTGGGTAGCGTTGAGAGGAGCAGGAATCTGGGGAGAGATGTAGGTGATGTTGGAAGTATGGTGAGATGAGATATTCTGTGCAAGCCTGTCGGAGGACACAGCAGTCTCAGCCGCCGAGGAGCTGGTTTGAGTGGTGTTGAGAGTGCCATTGGCGACCAAGACGTTCAAGGGGTTGGACACGACGAGGGGAACACTGGTGCCGAGCAGCAGCAGCACGAATGGCGATGCGAGCATGACTAAGCAGGAGGGTGGGAAGATGGGAGATGGCCCAGCCACTATTATATACCGCATGCACCCCCCCTGGAGGTCAGGTGAGCTCTCTCTTTCCGTCTTCGAGCCAAGAGCGTGGTCTCGCGTGTCTCAGCATCCCTGGCGGTTCCAGTTGCAGCATGGGCAGCTTCCAAGTCACGCGCATGACGTACCCCAAGACCTCGGAAGGCCGGCCGACTATCGTGTACGTACTCCAACTGGCTGCCGATATCTACACGACTATCGAAGTGATGCTGAATCCTTGTGTTGGTAGAACAGTGGTCTCCTTACTGAGTGTGTAGTCAAATTCGAATCATCCTGCATTCTTTGATCCAGTAATTTGAGAGACTTGTCTTCCTCTTATTATAGATTCTATCAAAGTTGATTTCTATTATTATAAAAGTCCACTAGAAGTTCCTGCCAAGTTCGTACTCGACTCTTTCATTTGATCCTAATCTACTGCTGAGGAGTGAAAGAACCTGTCTGCGCGTCTGCGTCTGCGACATACTTGCCTACCTCCACGCCAAACTCGCCCTCGGGAACAACCCACTCCTGGCTCTCGACATCCCAGATGGAGACGTCGTATTGGGAGAGGTTCCAAGAGACGGTCTTTGTGGCTCCGGGGTCGAGGTTGATCCTATCACCAAGATTAGCTTGAAGTGGAAAGAGGAGAGAGGAGAGAGAGGAGTACGTACCTGGCAAAGTCACGCAGAACCTTGGGAGGTTCACCAGCGCTTTCGGGGTAGACAAGGTAGAGTTGAGGGATTTCGCAGCCGTTTACATCGCCGGTGTTGGTGACGTCGATAGATACGGTCCATCGGGGCTTGTGGAGACTAGATGAGATTAGCAGAAGTCCCCAAGAGAGCAAGCGATACTCACGACTCGACGACAAATTTACCAACTACGACCTCTCCCTCGGTACTCTCGTCAACCTGAGGGTTGTCTGACACATACCTCTTCGCCAGATCCCCAGCTCCCTCAACCTCGTCGACAATCAGGTTCGAAAGCTCAAAGCTGGTGTAAGACAGCCCGTAGCCGAACGCGAACCTCGGTTCGATACCCTCGGACAAGAAATGTCGGTAGTCGATGTTAAGACCCTCGGTGTAGTCGATCTGCGGCTGCACGGGGTATTCAGAGTTGGTATAGACAATATCAGCAGAGTAGTCTGCCCTGTCTTTGGCGATGGTGTAAGGAAGACGAGCAGAGGGGTTGTAGTCGCCCCAAAGCACGTCCACGAGGGCGTTACCAGACTCTTGACCCGGAAGACCGGCCCAGAGGACAGCGGTAACGTTCGGGTGGTCGATCCATTCTTCAATGATGAGAGCGCCAGGGGTGTTGACGATGACGATAGTGTTGTTGTTTGCAGAAGCGACAGCCTTCACCAGCTCATCGCCGTTGGTCCAGAGAGTGAGGTTGTTTCGGTCACCCTCGTTCCCATCAACGACGAAAGCTTCTCCAGAGTCCGAGTGCACGCCGACAATAGCGACTTCTGCGCCGCTCGCCCAGTAGGAAGCGGCCGTGGTGTTCCAGTCGTCCAAGTAGGAGTTGATAATGGCGCCACCATCGCGAGCACGCTGAGAGATGGCAGAGAGGGGGTCGACGAGGTATGGGAAGTCGACAGAGCCGGAACCCCAGCCCATGGCGGTGTGGCCGTCGATACCGGCGCGGTAGGTGAAGCCGTTGGGGCCATTGGTAGGAGGGGCAAGGTCGGAGCCGATGAGGGCGATGGAGCGGGGATTGGTCAAGGGGAGGGCGTTGTTCTCGTTCTTGAGCAAGATAGCGGAAGAGGCACCGATGTGGCGGATCAACCTATGGGCAGGTTAGCATTGACAGTGGTTGAACCAAGAGGAACGTACTTGTGGTGATCACCGCGGACATCGACGTGTGAGTTGTTCGACCCAGTCAATCTGAAAGAATCATAGTTGACCTCAGGATAGTCCTCATCTTGACCGAGCAAAAAGTAGGCAGCCAAGATCCTCTGAGCCATGTCGTCGATCCTAGCTTCGCTGACGGTACCGTTGTTGACAGCCTCGGTAAGGTTCCTACCCCAGAAAGATGACAAGCTCCCCATTACAATGTCGCCCGGCATGCTCATGTCCAGACCGGACTCGGCAGAGAGGACACCGGTGTGTTGGGCTTGCCAGTCCGACATGACATAGCCTTGGAAGCCAAAGTCGGTCTTCAGAACGCCGTTGAGGGTCTTGGGGTTCTCGCATGCCCAAGAGCCGTTGACGAGGTTGTAAGAGCACATGACGGCAGCGACGTCGGCTTGGACGGCTCGGAGGAAGGGGTGGCTGTAGATCTCTCGCAAGGTACGGTCGTCGATGTTGGATGAAGACGTGGTACGGTTGCGGTCTTGTTCGTTACCGATATAGTGTTTGACACTGAAAGTGGATTAGCTATGCCAATAGTAGTTGACAGAAGGACAACCACGTGACGTACCAAGCTTGGACACCGGCATCCTGAAGACCTCGGATAGTAGCCTCGGTAGCCCAGCCAGAGAGGTAAGGGTCGCCGCCAAAACCTTCCCAGCCACGGCCAGCTGCAACCACTCGGCCCAAGTTGGTCATGGGGCCGAGGGCGACGTTGACACCTTTACCCTTGAACTCTTGGCCCATGGCGTATCCTCGGGCATAGATGAGATCCTTGTCAAAGCTACGGTCGCGTCAGCAAGAGTGAGGGTGAAAGCAGGATAGGCTTACGTAGCAGCAACATTGATACCGGCGGGGAAAGCCGAGATATAGTCGGTCCTGGCTACACCCAAAGGCGAGTCCTGAAGACAAAGACCCCTAAAGCCTTGACTCTCCACTGCGCCAATGTTACCAACACATCTGCCTTGCTCCCATCCCACACCGGTGGAGAGAGAGACTTTCTCCTCAAGGGTCCAGCTCGAGAGGTATGAGCGAGCCTTTTCGTGAGCAGCGGTCCAATTGGACGAAGGGTTGGCGTGGGTAGCGTTGATAGGTGCGGGAATCTGGGGAGAGATGTAGGTGATGTCCGAGGTGTGATAGGAGGAGATGTTCTGAGAGGAGTCTGGGGAGGCGATAGTGGCGGTAGACTCGGCAGCAGTAGAGGAGGCGGTGGAGGACTCGGTGGTGGTAATGTTGTCTCGAGCGCCCAAGACGTTGAAGGGGCTAGCAATGGCAGCGGGGATGCCAGTGCCGAGTAACAGCAAGAGGAGGGGTGACTTGAGCATGTCTGATAGACAAACAACGTCAGCAAAGAAGAGGATGATGTTTGTATGACTCACCTATAAGTACCTCCTGGCTGAGGGAAAGTTATTATAGGACAAGAGATAGAGAAGTCGGGGTGAATGCCCAGATGACTTGAGGGATGGAGAGGAGGAAAGAGGTGCCCCATGGGTGTTATATACCCCTCAGTCCATGCCCCGCCGGGCCAAGAACCAGGGCTCAGCTGCCCCGTTTTCTGCGGGTTGAGCGATACTTTTAGCGTGGTCTCATACTGTTTATCCTTGCAATCTAACTTGTTCCAGCAGAACGTTCACAGATCAACATCGCAGGAAATGGAAAAGTCACGCGCACAATTCCACAAATGCCGGATAAACGTCGGATGCCCGGTCCGCCGGCCGGCCGCCGGGATCCGTCCGGGGTTTCCCTTTGGGAGCATATGTATGTCTGTTCGGCAAAAGCCAGGGGCATCATATAATGCTTCGATAGATGCAGCATGTTCCGGGTGGAAGGAGCGAAAGGGTATAGACGGTATCCATGGATTACTGCGCCGGCTGCTTTCGAGCGGCAGATCCGGAGGCGATGATGATGAGCTGGGTTGATTGATGGATGCGAGCTGACATATTTTCTCGACTCGTCTGGATTGATTGTATATGCTGACCAGGCAGTCTGTATTACTCGTATTATATGACATGCTAAGATTCTATCTCGTGAGACGACTGGTATAGACTCTATCGATGTAAATAATTCTATTATAACGTGGTGCTATGTTTCTTGAATGATAAATTGTCCTTCTGTCCTTTTCTTCTTCTCAACGTCTCCTCATCTTTTCTCTACTGCTTGGGAGTGAAAGACCCTGTCTGCGCATCCTCATCCGCCACATACTTGCCCACCTCCACTCCAAATTCTCCCTCAGGCACAACCCAGTCTTGGCTCTCAACATCCCAGATGGAGACGTCGTATTGGGAGAGGTTCCAAGAGACGGTTTGGGTGGCTCCGGGGTCGAGGTTGATTCTATAGACATGGTTAGTATCAGATACAGAAGGAGGAGGAGGGAGAAGACGAACCTGGCAAAATCACGCAGAACCTTGGGAGGCTCACCAGCGCTTTCGGGGTAGACGAGGTAGAGTTGAGGGACCTCGCAGCCGTTCAGGCTACCAGTGTTTGTAACGTCGATAGATACAGACCATCGAGGCTTGTGGAGACTATATACAGATCAGCTTCATACCTCATAAGAATATGAGAAAGCGAAAAGATGACGTACGATTCAATGACAAATTTGCCAATCTCCACAGTCTCCTCCGCAGGGGTCTCATCCACCTGAGGATGGTTCACCAAATCATCCCTCTTCTCCAACTCTCCCGCTCCCTCGATAGCGCCCACACTCAAGTTCGAAAGCTCAAAGCTGGTGTACGACAGCCCATACCCAAACGCAAACCTCGGCTCAATACCCTCGGCCAAGAAGTGTCGGTAATCGATGTTGAGACCCTCAGTGTAGTCGACTTGAGGTTGAACAGGGTATTCAGAGTTGGTGTACACAATGTCGGCAGAGTAGTCGGACCTGTCTTTGGCGATGGTGTAAGGCAATCGGCCAGAGGGGTTGTAGTCACCAAAGAGCACGTCGGCGAGCGCGTTACCAGACTCTTGACCCGGAAGACCGGCCCAGAGGACGGCGGTGACGTTGGGGTGGTCGATCCACGACTCGACGATAATAGGCCCAGGGGAGTGGACGACGACGATAGTGTTGTTGTTGGTAGAAGCCACAGCCTGGACGAGATTGTCCCCGTTGGTCCAGAGCGTCAAGTTGTTTCGGTCTCCGTCGTTACCGTCTACCGTAATATACTCTTCTCCAGAGAGCGCATGCACGCCGACAATGGCAACTTCCGCGCCGCTCGCCCAGTAAGACGCGTTCTGGGTGTTCCAGTCGTCGAGGTACGAGTTGATGATGGCACCGCCCTCACGCGCGCGTTGAGAGATGGCAGAGAGAGGGTCAACGAGATATGGGAACTCGGCGGAGCCGGAACCCCAGCCCATGGCTGTGTGACCGCCGATACCGCCTCGGTCGGTGAAGCCGTTCGCGCCATCAGTGGGAGGGGCGAGGTCGGAGCCGATGAGGGCGACAGAGCGGGGAGTAGACAAGGGGAGAGCGTTGTTGTCATTCTTGAGCAGGATGGTGGAAGAGGCACCGATGTGGCGGATCAACCTTCGAAACTTGTCAGCGAATGCAGATCTTGATCAGAAAGACATTCACTTGTGGTGATCACCTCGGACATCAACATGGGACATGTTCGACCCAAACAGCCTGAACGAATCAAAGTTGACCTCGGGATAGTCTTTATCCTGACCCAGCAAAAAGTACGCCGCCATAATCCTCTGAGACATATCGTCGATCCTAGCTTCACTCACGGTGCCATTGTTGACAGCTTCCGTAAGGTTCCTTCCCCAGAAACTGGTTAAGCTTCCGGCGTACTCATCTCCAGGCATGCTCATATCCAGGCCGGTCTCCGCCGACAAGACACCAGAGTGCTGAGCTTGCCAGTCGGACGTGACGTAGCCCTGGAAGCCAAAGTCGGTCTTGAGGACACCGTTGAGAGTCTTGGGGTTCTCGCATGCCCAAGAGCCGTTGATGAGGTTGTATGAGCACATGACAGAGGCGACGTCGGCTTGGACAGCACGAAGGAAGGGGTGGGTATAGATCTCGCGGAGGGTACGGTCGTCGATGTTGGAAGAGGAAGTAGTCCTGTTGCGCTCTTGCTCGTTACCGACAAAGTGTTTGACACTATGCATTGGTCAGTAATGAGCCAAGATCTAGATTTGAAGCTTACCAAGCTTGAACACCGGCATCCTGCATACCTCGGACAGTAGCATCGGTAGCCCAGCCAGAGAGGTAAGGGTCGCCACCAAAGCCTTCCCAGTTTCGGCCGCCAGCAGCGACACGACCCATGTTGGTCATGGGACCGAGAGCGACATGCGCACCCTTGCCTTTGAATTCCTCGCCCAAAGCGTAGCCTCGAGCGTAGATGAGGTCCTTGTCGAATCTATGACAGTGTTAGTTTTGATTCCGAGTGAATGGGAAGGAACGTACGTAGCGGCAGCGTTGATACCAGCAGGGAAAGCAGACACATAGTCTGTCAACCTCACACCCAAAGGCGAGTCTTGAAGACAAAGACCCCCGAAGCCTTGGCTCTCCACCGCTGCAATATTACCCACACACCTCCCTTGCGTCCATCCCACACCAGTGGAAAGCGAGACCTTCTCAGCTATCGTCCAGTTGGACAGATAGGCACGCGCCTTTTCGTGGGCTGCGTTCCAGTTGGAAGAAGGGTTGGCGTGGGTGGTGTTGAGAGGAGCGGGGATCTGGGGCGAGATGTAGGTGATGTTGGAGGTGTGGTAGGAGGAGATGTTTGTGGAGGAGGATGAAGAGGGGATGGAGGAGTTGGAAGCTCCAGACTCCGAAGAGGCGGTCTCAGAAGAGGCTGCTGCGGAGGAGGTCGAGGTACCGTTGGCCACGTAAGAGTCGGAGGTAGTGGGGGCAGCGAGGGCGGCAGGGACGCCAGCACCAAGCGCAAGCAAGGCGAGAGGAGAGATGAGCATGGCTAGTAGAATGGTCAGCGGTGGACTGAGGTTTGGACGACAGACATACCTCTATTAGTATACCTTCTTCAGAGAGAAGAAGTGATTATGATTATAGCTACGAAGGTGAGTGGACGGGTGAGCAAGTGGTCATGGAGCTGGGTATATATAGTGACGGGAGACAGGATGGTAACGAGATATATCCGGGCAAGTACGCTATCGCATTTAGCAGCGGTGATGAGCCGGCTTGTGCGAGCAGTGGGGACGCTGAGACAGAGATTGCAATAGAACAACTATGTATCACAGGCAAAGACGGAGCCCATCCAATGCAAGATATGTTGCCCCGGGAAAATATTATCGCCTCCACGGGGCGGGAGCCGGGGCTGGGGTCGGCATCTTCGGCACATGCCGCCGCTGTTTTTCCGTTAGCTTTCTTTATCCTCTGGGTGCCGCTTATTGGCTCTTGCATCGCACACATCTCCCTATCTTGGTGACGGCATTCGCAGCTGAGCTCGGGACATCGGCTTCTGTCGTCCCGCTGCAACGGCATTGCCCAGGGTAGCATCCGAGTGGGGGCAGAGCTGGGACAGGCGATCCAGGCGATGACGATGATGTTGATCCTTCTTCTGGATCCGTCTGCCCCCCGCGACTTTGATACATCGTACAGAAGACAAGTATGTGAAAGCCAGACGCAACTGCCCGATATCATCCCCTGGTGGTTCTACTATGCCTCATGCATCATCAATCAGAAGATCATCAAGAGCGAGCCCTTCTGTCCGTAACGCTGCAGTGGTTCGGCGTGCCGATGAGCAGGGGCCGCTGGCTATTTGATTCGAGTAATGCTCATGGGCCTCTCTCTGTCTCTCTAGAGTGACTGAACGACCAACCTGAACGCTCGAACACTTGATTGCCCTGCATCAAGCAAACTTATCTATAACAAAAAATGCATTGTCTAGCTTATAGTAGTTTGGAGCCCCGATGAAACACCAGACAACATCTCATACATCCTTCCACCACCTCTTCCATCATCCAAGATCCACTCCCCATTATTCCTCTCTCGCATGCTTCCCATTGGTCTTGCCCGCAGCCCCCAGATCCAGCCCCACCTTGAACGGCTCCCCGTCCGGTGCATCTTCACCAACAACCTGCACGATGGGAGGAGGCGGTAAAGGCGGCGTAGGCGGGCGCATGGGCGAAGCAGGCGTAGCCGACGCCCCCACAGTAGACGGTGCCCCCGCCGCCGTCCCTGTCCCATCGTCATCATCATCCAAGTCCATCGCCACATCTTCTTCGTCCGCCCCAAAGATATCATCCATCAATTCATTATCCGCGCCGCCCTTTGACGGCGTTTGTCCAAGACTGCTTCCGCCTGGGGTGGAGTCTTTCGAAGGGGTGCCGGCGGCTGAACTGGAGGGGCCGTTGGACTTGAGACTGGAAGATGATGGACGGCGTTTGTTTTTGGCTTTGTAGTGTTGGATGACTTTGTGCGTAAAGTCTTTGGTGAAGGCTTTGAGTTTCTGTTTCTTGTCATCGGCAAAAGGTCGAAGATGGCGATCCGTGAGATTGCCCCGCTTCTTCTCCTTCTTCACCAAAATATCGGTACACTAAGCAGAATCAGCTTCGCCCCACCAAAACACACGAAAGACTTACCTCCTGAGCATACTTCTTGAACGTATCATGGTCAATTTGACTCCGATATTTCGTCATCGAATCAACCACCACATGCCCCACCATCTTCCTATACCGCCTCTCCCTCTTCTCCTGCTTCTCCTCTTCCGTCTCATGAGACCGTTTCTGCCTCTTTCGCCTTTCATCATCCCCATTCGCACTCCGGCTCGGTCCAGCAGCCGGCGAAGCCCCCGCCGACTCTCCCACCTGCTCCACCGGCACCGGGCTAACACTCTGTCCCGCCATAGCGATGATCGCATCCAACTTCAACCTATCCTGGCTCAAGCCCCCTTGGAGCGCCGGCTTCTTCTGTACAGCAGGTGGTGGGGGAGGGTTTGATCGGGGGACGGGGGCGCGAGGACGGACGGGGGCAATGTCGAGTTGGATTTCGACAGTGTTTTCCCAAGCGTCTGGACGGCGGGGAGCGAGGGCGGAGAGGATGTTGGCTTCGGCGATGGTCTGGGTACCGGCTTCGTCGTCTGCGTCGAGCTATTTCTTCATTAGCTAGCTGGTGATATAGAAGAGAGGAGAAGGAAATTTACAGTGGCGAGCTTGGATACTCTAGGGATTTTGTATGACAGTTCAAGAGTAGACCAATAGTCAAGAAGCTTTTGGGCCAGGCTGCTGATCTTTTCGTTGGGTCGCTCGGAGAGTTCTTTGACGGGTTCTTCAATCTGGGAATCTTCAATCTTGTTGCGGATTTGAAGTTTCCACTGATCCATGCTTTCGAGTGTCTGGCAAAAGATCAGCCACGTGTTTTTTTGAAAGGCGCGCGAAGAAGGCTTACCAGAAGGACAGCTTCTTTATCATCTGCCATCTCTGTCAGAACCATGAACATCATACTGAACCCGTGCATCCTCATGAGTTGTCGATGGATGGCGGGATCTTCAGTAATCTAACACTTATCAGCAACTTTTCCTCAGGTACCAGGACGTTACTCACCTTGATACGATGTAGAAGCTTTTTCATCATCTTTGGGTTCTCCATACTCTGACGCATCGCCGCTGCCACCTTCTGCACCTGATCTTCCACTATAGGTCTCAGAACGGGGTTAAAGTCGTCGTCGTCCAGTTGACGAGCCTTCTTCTTCTTGCTGCCTTTCATGCCGTCGGCTTCGACCTCGTCGGTAATACCAAGTGCTGCATCATTGTCAGCAACATGTCACAAGACGTGTAATACAGACTCACCGTCCAGGAAGAGGTCGTTCATGGTCCCGATATCAGTCTGCGTCTTTCCACCAATAGTTCCCACGCAATTCGGTTCACCACAATAACATGTCTGAGCGTCATGTCTATCCCGATATCAGCCCTCCCCTTCCCATGTATTCAAAAGAAGCTCACCCATAGCGATCAACATTGTAGTTGAAAGTGATTTCTTCACCCCTGAGGACGTCCCTCTTGGAAAAGATACCCATCCGCAGCCGGCGCCCCACCACCCATTTTTGTACTTCGCAATTAGGATTACAAGAGTGGTTGGCGAATCGTCCAATCCCGCCCTTCTTCGTCGCGTCAATGTACTAGAGAAGAACTCGAATCAGCGACGCCCGCTAGCATACCAAGCAAAACTCACCTCTTCTTTTTGCAACATCATAAAGTAGAAGTGCCGTATACCCTCTTTTACGTATTGCTGCATCCTCTTTCTGAAAGTGTTTTCCTTGACGACTTCGCCGATGTACTCGTAGATGAGAGTGTTGCTGCCCTCTCAGTCAGCATACACCAGCCACAAGCGCCAAAACCCCACGATCGCACTCACCTCGGTATATCCTTTCCCGCTCTCAGACCAAAGCCCTTTTTCTCAGTCTGCACAATTTCCACATCGCCATACTCCTTCTTTGAGAATCTACATGCCCGACCAATCAGCAGTGCCCCATAGGGTCACAAGGTTTGCTAGAGACATACTGTTGGTTCTGACAATGCCGCCCAGCCTTACACTCCCCTGCTAGACACTCTATAAACAATGCACGGTTGATACAATTCGAGTCGGCTCCACAGAGTTCAGCATCTGGGTCGTCTGGATGGAGGTCAGCATTTGGCGCGTCTCCATGGCCGGCGTCCCCAACAGCGCCGCCGCTTTCTACTTTTCCGCCCCCGCCGCCCTGCCGAAAAGACGTCCAACTCACACTTGCTCCATGTACAATCGCACACCATCATCTCATTATTCTCCTTCGTCAGGCCTATATCCTTCCTCTCATATACGCATTTCTCCAGCGTCGAAAATGTCTCGTGCGCCTCATCCCACGCGCTGGGCAAATCGTCGATCAAAACAGGTTTGACCTCTGGCGTCGCGCTCTTTTTCCCTCCTTTGGTTCCTCCTCTAGACGAAGAAGGTGCTGTGGACGGGGCAGTGTGGGTGCGGGGTTTGAGATCTTCGTCGTCGATGATGGGGGATGCTGGAGGGAACAGAGGAGACGGAGGCGCGTCGCGTTTGGAGGAGGGAGATGTTGAGCCTTCTGCCTCGGCTATGGCCACGGGGGAAGAAGGGGTAATTGGCTTTCGATCCTTGTCCCCTTCCCAGCTGTCTTGGAGCTCAGGCTTGGTGTCGGGACTGTCACCCATAGTGGTGGTTTTTTCGTGACGATTAAGAGCGGCCTTTTCCAATGTCAGAGCTGGTACGCATTAGCGAGCTATGCATGCATCATCAGCATCGGACCACGGGGAGAGTCTGCAGTACTGACCTGAATTTTGAGACACAAAGCTTTGCACAAAGACAAGCCAAAAAGGTCGGATGTGTGTGAAAGGTAAAAACAAGAACGCAGGATCCGCGGCACGAAGTTACCAGAGATCATTAGACGGTGTTACTAATCCCGTCCATCTTCTTCACCGTCCCGCATTCGGTCATGAGTATGCATGTAGATCGTAACAAAGATGCTCTCCACCTCCCTTATAATCCCCTTCAGCCCCAGAAACGCCTGGCCGAAAGAGGCGTTTTCGCATCTGGCGTCTTGACATCCCCAGGCACCCATCCGTCCCCAGGCGCAATTGTATCCTCGCTCGCTTCTCTCCGTCTCCTCTCGGTCTCACTATCTTGCTCTCCTCTACCCAGTCTCCACCACCTACTTCCACCGCTGGATTCTATAGATGAGGGGCTCGTAAGAAACGCAGGACCAGTAGGCTGCGAATCATTGGACGAGAGCGAGTCCCCACTCCCTTCCCTCGCCATCGCTCTCATCTTGAAGCTCTCTGACCTCACATGCCCATGAACCTCGTCTCCTTCCTCCTCTACTATATCATTGAAAGCGTTCCCTACTATCTTCTTCTCTCGCAGCTCGTTCATGGAGGCTGTCGAACGGAGGCCGGGAGAAGGCAGATTCGCACCCGGCTTGGTAGGTGTTGGGTAGAGCATACTGAGAGTCGTGGAGATATCGGCTTCTTTCACCGCGGGGGGAGTCACCGTTGCAGGAGAAGGGGATACGGCGGAAAAGTTGCCGCTGCGCTTCTTGTTGATCGTCTTAGTGGGTGTAGGCGACAGGTTGGTCTTGTCATCGGGTGGTTGGCGCATGGTGGTGTTGATAGTCATCGCGCCTCGGTGACTGGGACCAAGAGGATGTACCAGAGCAGGTACGGCCCTCTTTTCGATTTTCAAAGCTTCTCTGCTAAGCTTCATTTCGACCTCGCGCTCCTTCATCCACTTGAAAAAGTCGGGCGTCAACTCGCGTATCTTGCCGATAAATGGTATTCTGTAGCCCAGGGGTCTCGATGAGGAGAACGACGAGCGAGACAAGGGTCGACCTGTGGGAGTGTCGGTCACAAACGGACTAGAGGGGAGGTACAGAGACTGGTAGGCAGCGTCTTTGGGCGGGGCAGCGATCAAGTATATCTCCTCCTCCGGCAAGAGAAAAGGCAACATATACCTGCTATCAAGCAGCTCGCCGATGCTCTCGGGCGCGGTATGAGGAGTGAACTCTGCCAACACAATGGACCCATCAAAGAGCGCATCCACACTCGTCGGCTCCTCCATCCCTCCACTCCATCCACTCGCCCCACTCTGCTCCGTACCCCAACTCTCTTCCGACCACTCGCTGCTGTGCGACTTGCGCCTCTCTGCGTCTGCGCCAGCTTGCTGCAGACGTCTCCTCTCCCAGTCCCTTTGCAGTTGGACAAGATACTGGGAGCAGTCGTCTGCCATTCGGCCTTCGTTGACTTCGTAGCGGTAGTCGCGGACGGCACGGCGCATGTGGAGAGGGTTGATGGCTTTCATACCCTGCATCGTCCCGATCAGAGTATCGAATTCTTTGATCTGGGAAAGACATTGAAGCCACTGAAGAAGCTGAGAGACTGGCGCGAGATGCTGAGTCGCAATTTTGGCGGGAAGACCATTGGACCGGATCCAATCGTCCAGCGCCGTGAGGTTCATCCGGATCTGCAACGCCTTTGATCGACAGAGATACTTTTTCCTCGTCAAGATCCTATTGAACAGCTCGCAAGCGATCCAAAAGTATATCTGAGAGAAAGCCTGCACGATCAGAGCTGGATTGACCTCGTACAGCTGCAAGACAAGGAGCACGCCGGTGAGGATCTCTGTGATCTTGCCGGGCCCGCTGTCTACTTCAGGGGAGGGAGTGTTGCCGCCCGGCGTGGAAAAGGTCGAGCTTGTGCCAGACTCGTGGCTCGACGACCGTCCAGAGGACGACAGCCTCAGATCACCCATAGATTGTGGCCTGTTGGGGGTTTTCAATGCGCTCGCCATGCCCGGGCTCACAGACAGATCTATGGACTGTCTCGAGCCAGAGCTTGTCGATAGACCACCGGGACTCGTCCCAGCAGCAGAGAAGATCGAGCTCGCCTTTGGCATCTCCCTCTTCTTCTTCGGGACGAACGATCTGAATAGTGACCATTCTCCTTCGAAGCGGACATCGGCAAAGTCGTCAAGAGTTTCGTAGTCGAGGACGGCACTGTCCAGCACAGAGTCGATGCGGCGCTCTGCTATGCGGATAACAAAGACTACTCTCCCAGGTCAGACGGGTTGAGAGTACAGTTGAAATGAACGAACCGTGAATGGCGTTGACGAGTTCTTCAACCATCGTCAAGAGCCCCAGGTCTTCACATGCGACACGTAGCCCATCGTCTGATTGAAGATGATGCAACAAAACACAAGAATTGTACGCCCAAAAGGCCAAGAATGCAAGATCTTCGATATTGTCCTATGTGTTGTCAGTTGGTCATCCATCTGTAAGATAGAGCGGCTCACATAGACACCCTCTTCAACTCGCTCTACAGCCCCCTCGATCAGCTCCTCCAGCCACCCTTCATCACACATATACCAGGCAAACCTCGCATAGTAGAACAGCACATTAGCCGGCAATGTTCGCTTTGCGAGTGGCTGCGAGACTGGGGTATAGTCCGATATGAGAATGTCAAAGATCTCTGGAAGATTCACCAAGGAGAAGACTAGCATGTTGGAGTTGAATTCGAGATGGTTTATCTATGCAATGTCAGTAGAGATCTCATACCAGGCAGACTCACTTCTTCCTGTTCCTCGTCATCTGCCTGGTCTTGCGCGTCAAGCTCCAGATCGAGGTCGACCTCCAATCCATTATTCCTCTTCACCTCCTTCCGCGGCAAGACAAGCTCCGGTCGGACATCCACAACCCGCACCCTATCTATCACCCACCTCTCCCGCTCCGCCTCAACTCTCTCCCTCCTGCCTTGCGCCTCCATCTTTTCGAGATACCGACTGGCTTTCCGGCGTCTTCGTCCCAGCATCTTTTGTCTAGCTGGTGGGAGGCTTGTCAGAGCGGTGGATGATGGTGGGACGAATGATGAGCTGGGAAGAGGGGTGGATGGATGGGGTACGGAGATGGCGTGTTCGAGAAAGAGTGTTATAGCTTCCCGGTCTGGGATGCCCACTACGAGATCCAGAGCCGTGAGGCCGCGGGAGTTGGTGTCGTGGGGGGAAGCGCCGTGGCTGAGCAAGAAGGATACGAGGGGAGGTGTGGATACGAGGACGGCGAGATGCAATGGAGTCCAGCCATCTTACGGCCGATTAGCCTGGTGACACGACGACAGTACCGGGATGACTCACTTCGATCTCGCCCTCCTCTTGGTCCCACGCTCACACCCCATCTCTGGACTACAGCCCTGACGATCTCTTCCTTCTCCTGTCTTCCACAAGTACACATGACCGCCATTCCTACAATTCCCCAGTTCTCACTATCTTCCAGCGTTTCGACCTCCTTATCCAACACACCCCTCCACCGCCCATCAAGGCTGCATATCCAGTTCACCAGATCGACATCTCCTCGCTCTACGCCCCAGTGGATAGCATGCCGCAGAATCAAAGCTTTCCGCAAATCAGTCTCTTGTGTTGCGTTGTGCTCGTCTTCATCTAGGAGGGGAAAGATGGACTGTGGGGAGGGGTCTGATAGGAATCTGGGTTCGGGAGCCGCACCGCCAATTCCTCTTCTATAAATTAATCAGTCTTGACACATCAAGGAGTGAAAATTACGCACGTAGAGCTCTCCCCGGCCCTATACCCTGGCGACAGCATCATCCCAAAGTCTCTATCGATTATCGGCGACTCGGGCACGTCCTGCCCCTCCATGACCGCTCTTTGCAGCACATGCGGCGTATCCATATCGCTCACACTCCCCATTCGAGGAGTAAAGATGGGGCTGAATTGCTGGGAGGTCCGGCGGCGGGTCGGCGTGAAGGGCGATGAAAGGGTTGGCGTTTGGGGCGTTTGGGGAGTTGTGGTGGTCATTTTGGGGATCTGTCAGAGACTACCTGAAGTGGAAGCCTCGTTCGTATTTCAATCTGCTATTTTGTAGGGGACCAAAATGTGCTGCTTGTGACCGCCGTCACCGCCCTGTGCGGTCGTCCTGTTTCCCTTGATGGCGTGTGGCGAGGAAACCACGAGCGGGCTCGAGGCGAGGCTGATAGCAGTCGAGATAATAGTGCGTGGGGGCGGGGCCACTGGCGGATACCAAGTATTCTGTTTATACCGCTCGGACAGGTGGAATGCAGGAAAGAAAGAAGTCACAAGCAGCGTTTTGGCGCGAACGCGTCAAGGCGACCAAAGCAAAAGGGTCCGTAACGAGATGACCCTATATGTACACCCAGATGGCGGGTGACAGAGGTATACTCTTCGAAGGAGCCACAAGAAGCTCATGTGGAGTTCGAGCTTCGGTCTTGATCTAGGAACTTGAAAGAGATCTTTCCATGCATGCAATGCGGAACACATCTCAGCTCTCTCCTCGTTCGGTCACCGTAGTATCGTCGGCTTGTTGACAACTGCTCCTGTCTCCTGAGGGCCATTACGGACTATGCATTGATGTTATGATACAGAGAAATTCTATAAATCTAAAAGGTATGTACAGTATTATGATTAAAAGTCCAATAGAAATCCAATGAAAAGGTCCATGAAAAGTCCAATCAATCGTTCTTCAAAGTGGGAAACCCTTCAAACCGAACGACCCCTCCTTCGTCCGTGCTCCGGGTGCTTCAAAAGCACACTCTCAACAGCCTCCTTCACCTGCCACTCCCTACTGATCACCAGCCCCTCCACAACCTCATCAAGCGTCCTATTATGATAAAGCGGGCACCCCGGTCGCGCCAGACTCTTGGCGGCCCGTCGACTGGCTTGCTTCGACTCGCAGATGACCAGCTTGAGCCCGTAAGTGAGATTGTATTCTGAAATACTGGCATAGATGGGTTCGAGAGCTTCGTGTACGAGTGAGCTAAGATCGCCCGAACGGAGGGTACGCCCAGAAGCCTTTGCGACTGCTTGAAACTCGGCAATCAGGCGCGAGATCTGCGCTTCGAGATAGTTTTGGATCAAGACAGCGCGCTGGAAGAGGGTATCGTTATCGCCGTAACAGGTGCGGATGGTGGCGGTGACTTTGGCTTGGATCTGGCTGTGGCCTGGTTTTCGGGATTTGAGGGTACTGGGGCGGCTGAGCCAGACGATCATTTGGCCGAGGTTGATTTGGTTGACGAGGCCGACGAATGGGTTGGTGGGGAGTGAGGTGGATGATGTAGCTAGAGCCTGGGTCAGCGAAAAGGACCCTGATTCGAGGGAAAAGACTCACTGTCTCCATAAGCTGGAGGACGTCTCCCTTCCGTACCGGAGACACACTCTGCATACAAAGGAGGCTCCGGCTCAGGGGAAGAGCTCGAGCTGTTGACAGAGGTAACAGAAGAAGATGTGGTGCGGAGATGGATGGTGGTGGGGGTGGTCTTCATTTTTTTTCTTGTTGTAGCTGGGAGATGTGGTTGGGAGCTGGAGATTCACATTTCGAGCGGGGGGGGGGGGGGCATCTATATAAGTCAAGAAAGAAAGGAGTCGTTGCGGGATCACAGCGGAAATGCTCTACTACTAGTCTGTCCTCTTTCTATCGTGGCTCCTTGCTGCGGGGCGGATGTGGGGAGGCTATTTCGGAACCGTTGTGATGCTGTAGAAGATGGCGCCCTTTACTCTTCACCAGCTCTGATGTTTCCGCATGTGGTGAGGGCTGAAGAATCCGCAAGAATGATACTTCGACTTGCATTCATCTTTGCTCAGCTATCAACCACCAGAGATCAAAGTCGTCGCAACCGCGAATATCGTTTGACATACAAAAACAAAATGGTATGCTCATACAATGTGGTAGTCCCTGAAGAGGACAGTGAAAGTAAACCTCGCACCTTTCGTCCAGTAGCTAGTGGCAAACTAATAAACTATTCGCAGCACATCTCCTCCCAGTATTGCTCTCTCACGACAACGACAGAACCGTCCTTCCCGCACACCTCGGCCACATACTCATCCACATCCACGTCACCCCCGCCCTCAAATACTCTCTCCACCCCTCCGACCGCTCACGACGTCTAACAACCACCATCACCACCACCCAACGCCTCGGCATCGCCCACGAACACACCACAAACGAACGCGCCGTCTTCCTCCACCTCTACATCGAATTCATGGTAGAGTACCTCGGCTTATGCTTGGCGGAAGGAGACGACCAGATTGGTACGCCCGTTAGTGCATCGGTTTGGGAGTCACGGGTGTGGATGCTGCGTATCGTCATTGCGCGGATTTGGATCGGTTTCCAGAAGGCTTCTTCCGGCTCGGTCGACTACAACATGGTTCGGGGATTCGAGGCTCTACAAGCTCCTTCAAAGAGCCTGTTCACGCAATGCCGTAAGGAAGTGCTAAAGTCTGAGCTGCCATCATACGTACACCCGGACGTCTTTCACATGCTAGAGATGAAGGCGGCACTGGCCCTAAGGGACGATTTGGACTATGTTTTCGGGTGTCTACAGCGATTCCGAATGGAGATCAGGGTCAAAGGGATGGATTCAATCATAGCGGAAGCTGAAGCCAAGGAGACGTTCTTGAAAAAGAAGGGTATGCTGGAGAGGATTCGCAGGCGAAAGGGAATGTTCAGCCCGTTTGTCGTTGTGTGAAGTAATTTAGCCGGGGGATTCACAGCATAGAATCATTCAACCTAGCAACCGAGAACTATACACTTATATACACTCTCTCGCTCTACGCTATGCAGCCCATTAGTCGAACAAGTCATACAGGTTGAGTCACAAGTGGCGCTGAAAAGTGGAGGTGATTTGACTCCGGCCCCGTCGACGCGCACGAGCCTCGCGACATGGAACAGACATGGAATGATCCTCGTCAACCGTTGTATCTGCCCTGCATTTGCATTTATATATTGATACTGCGTTCCCACAATCTCTTGTTTGTGTGTAGACAACGCCACACGCTGCCATACCCCCCGACGTACGGTTAGTAGTCAAGAAGCGATAGACCTCCTTCCCAAGACCTTCGCATTTCGGCAACCACTCAGCCCTCGTGGCCTGCACTGTACCTCTCCCTCCCACCACCCCCGAAACACCATTCAGCATGGCTCTTTCTCTTGCCGACGAACTCGCTGCGTTTGACAACCCCCAAGCGGGGCCCTCTCAGAGCCTTGCCGCAGAGTTTGGACTCGACCTCGAAGCCGAGCTTGGGCTGGGCCCTGGATCCGGTGAATTTGGTATGGATGGCGGGGCGACTCTTGGTGAGTATTTCACACGAATTAACATCAGGTTGTTGACCTAGTGAATAGACGATGAGCTCCAGTTTGGCGGAGGCTTCGGGCGGCCCATCAACCCCCTGCCAACAGGACAGTCCGCAGAAGCACAGATGAACACTGCAACGTCCTCCCCCCGCGGCTCGATAGGATCTCCCAGTCGACTGCACGACTTTGACACTTCCCTATCCACCCCTCCATCTCCCTCTTCACCCATGTCCTCCACGTTTGAAGAACCGACTACGAATCCATCGACGCTCTATCCTTTGGACGCTGCAAGTCATTTACAAGGCGTCTCTTCTCCTCTTCGACCACCGAATGAGGTGAGGGGCAAGGGTCTGAGGAGTGGGAATTCTTCGAGGAGTTTAAGAGCGGGGAAGGAAGATGATGAGCCGTTGTTGGTGCTGTCGGAGGTCATGACGACAAATTCAAAGTTCATCACCGGCCTTCGTCAGATGGACGAGCCACACCCGCCTCTCCCCAGAGCGAACGCCTCTACCTCCTCCCGGTCTTCGACCCCACAGATCAAAGCTATACCTAAAGACACTGTCGATACTCTACTACATCGGCATCTCGTCAAGATGCAAGAGTCTGAGAGAGCCAGGGACGAACAGCTGCGTGAGCTGGGGGTGATAAGCAGAGATATGGGCTCAGTCGCATGGGGTGAGGCAGGCGAGCCTTCATCTCCTAGACTTGACCTCGTGGAGGAGGACGAGGAAAAGGAAGATACGGCGGATCTGGGATGGGTGGGCGAGAGCATGGTCATGCAAGAGGACGCACCCCGGCTTGTGGATGACATTGATCGCCACCTGGAGGACGACGGCGTCGAGGAAGAGCCTTTCAACTCTACCGATGCCCTCCTCGAAGATCCATTCTCCACCCCCCAGCTCGCCCCATCCTCCGACCCTTCACGCACAAATCACCCGAACCTTCCCGTACTTGCCAGCCAAACCCTCTCCGTCATCTCCACCTCCACCTCCCTCTCCCACACCCTCTCATCCCTCTCCGATTCTCTTCATACCTCCTCCTCTCAATCGACGTTCCTCTCCCGCCAAATACGCTCGCTACGCGCGGCAGTGCAAGGGTTCAGAGAGCGGGAAGATATGGAAGATGAAGCTTGGAAGGGCGTTGAACATTGGGAGAGGTCCAAGGTGGAGGAAGGTTTGCGAGGTGGGAAGGGGGTCAATATGGAGATGGAGAGGGTTTGGGAGGAATTTGAGGAATTGTGGGATGGGGCGAAGGCAGATATGGATAGGATTAGGAACGTGAGGGTAGATGTGTGAGAGTGTAGATTGATAGACGACCTTGATGTTCTTGATGACTTTTGACGAATTTGATGGTCTCGATCAATCTTGATGAATTCATGCCAATGCAATGATAGTGCTCTCGAGAGAGTTGTCGTGCATAATGAGCAGAATGACAGGTAAGCCGCCGTGCGCAACGGCACGACGGACGAGGTTGCGACGAGGAGGCCAAATGGGCAGACGGCGTACGCCGCGTGGAATGTTGCATGGGCAGAATCTCGCGTCAGCGCCAGATGGGCTGGGCAGGCGTCTGGGCGGGACGGTGCATGCGGTGTGGTGCGCTCCATGGTTCCATGTTTGGTCCACCCATCCCACCTGGCCGTCGCATGAACTCCGCTGCTGTCCACACCCGCCTCCCCCCGGCCAGCACCGCCTCCCGCTCTACAAAAACGCTCAAGTTCATCATATGTTCTTTCTCATCACTACCCATCCAGCACTACACTATTAAACTACATATAGAGTACCCCCATCTCCCAACTTGTGTCTTCACTATCCACATACCCGTATGTCCAACCCAAGCCGAGTACATACGAGCCTAGGCTCACAAATCGGTGCTCTTCTGGAATATTCCATAGGAGAGTCACTCTCTAGCTCATCCCTGGCGACTTGCTTTCATCAGCTTCAAGCATAAAGTCTTCCTCGGGTTCACGAAGGTCCCGCAACAGGTATGTTGGTAATCGTGCATTGGGGCCTACCCATGTCTGCACATGATTCGTCCAGTTACTGATACCTATTACAGGCCTGTGTATGACCCTTCCCCAAGAGAGTCTCCCATTGACGTTCAATCCATCCGAAAGGAGATGCAAGTTGTAAGCCATTCACTGGGAAAGGGCCGCGATTAGTTGTGTACAGCAAGCTAATATACGCCATAGCCCCAGAGAGCCTTTGTCCGCTGCCGCTGCCCCTCTTGCCTTGGCCGCGTGATGCAGGGCCGCGTGATGCAGTACCGAACCTGGCTCAAGAGGAAGGCTGATCACAAGTTCGAGCCGGCTTCTCAACCGACATCATTATCATCCGCTTCCCCCGGTATCACCAAAGAGGCTGAGAGAACAGTCTGTTAGTGCAATCCTGTGTCCCGCCAGAATCGAGCTGATCGGACAACTTTCATAAGCACAGGAACACGGCAGGCCTGGAAACCATATACAGGAGGCCACCGCGCGCAAATCGCGATAGCATGCCAGCATCTATCGCGAGTTGTACCTGTGATCTGTGTTGATGAGCTTCCCCATTGAGCATGTATCCTGTGCGCCAGTGTCAGGTCAATGGTGCTTCCGAATCTCGGTAAGGATAGATACCGAGGTCCTCTGCTATGCGAAATGGTGCATTCGATAATCAACTAATGATCTAAGCACAAGGGTCAATCTTTGGACGTTCAAACGATACACAAGCAGCTCACCATATCTGCCCGGTCTCTTCACGCGACAGTCTTGTCCCCAGCACTCTCCAAATCCTTCATAACCTCCTCAAAGATCTGCTCCCTAATCTCCTCCTTCTGCCTCTGCTTCGCCTTCATAGGGTAACCATACCTGACCTCCTTGGGCACCTTGCTATAGACAGGCGCACCCTCAGCCACGCCCCTCTGCTCCCTGAACACCGAGTTGATAAACTCGTCCTCCTCCTTCTGCCACTCTGCTCGGAAAAGGGTGATACCAGTGAGAGCTTGAGCCGTGAGATCTTGCTCAGAGAGGAATGATCGAAGGCTGAAAGGCTCTCGGGAGACGGTGGAGACGGAGGAAGGGGAGGTCTGCCTAAAGACAAGGACGACGTATCGGTGGTAGGGAGTTCCCTGCTCAGGTGCAGGAGGCTCCCAAGCGAGAATCTCCTTGCCGACAGCCTTGTCTGTGAGGTTGACTTGACCGTCGACTACTGACAGAGGGACGTCGGTCTTCATGTAAAGGAGACGCTCGTTGAAAGAGTGGGCCTCGTGGTTGGGTGCATCTGGGTCGATGACCAGGAGAGTGTGGAGGGCAGTGGGGTTGGGAGACGATGCTGTGGGGAGCGTGGGGTGGTGGAAGAGCTGGTGGGTGATTTTGGGGGGTTGGGCGAATGATGATGGGAGCTGGAAAGTACCAGGGATGATGGGGGCAGAGAGGGAGACAGTGAGGGGTGCTGTGGGAGGGATTTCGGCTAACAGGTCTGGCACGACGTTCATCTGCAGCGCCCTCTGCATCAACAAATCCAGTCCTCCGTCCTTCGTCCACTTCTTCTCCCCCATCCATCGCATTATTTTTTTGTCCATCGCGCCTTCCCCATTGGTCTCCTTGAACGTCCGTCTGACGGCGGGGTCGTTCGCGTAGGCTTCAATCTCGAGCTTGTCTAGTTGTTTAAGCTGTTCAAGGGAGGGAGAGGAGGGAAGTTGAGATTTGAAAGACTCGAGCTTGGCAAGAGTCTTGGATTGGTGGGCGGAGATGAAGGCGAGGGCAGCATCGTACGCTGGAGAGACGCCTGGGGCGAGGGCAGGCTCGAATGCGGCGTTTCTGGCGAGGGAAGTGGCGGCAAAAGAGCGCCTTTGTTGGGAGATGGCCCTGGCGGCGAGCTTGAGGGAGGCTCTGGAGGGCATTTTTGGTTTGAGGTGGGACGCAGGGCTCTAGCTAAACAGATGTCGAAATTCGGGGAAAAAGAAAGAGGACATAGAATTTTGATTCCGCTTGTTTACGTATGCACATCTTTGCCATGTTGAGCGATCATGAACATGAAGGAAGCCGTTCAGAAACCTGCAGAATTGCATATATACATATGACGCGCTGACTACTGAATTGAGAGTCTATTGTCAGTGCTAAATGTAGCAAACTATATCGAATGATAAATGTCCATCATATCACCTGCTTCTTCTTTTAAAACGTCGACGCCACAGGGCGAACAGTCGAGCGACGGTGGGGGCAGACCGCCGCAAGCCCCCGCTTGAGAGCGGTGGGAAACCTTCTCTTGGGAGAACAAGGGCTGTCAAGAAGGACAGCATTTACGGCCAAGCCCACATGCACCTCCTTGTCCCTGATCAGATGTCGATAGACATAGTAAACATCAGACGTGTCAATCCCTTCCATGTCTGCTCGAGCTTGGCAGCCACCCTGCTTCACAGCTCGGTGAAACTGAGACTTTCTGTTGGAGATGACGAGGTTGAAGCCATAGGTCAGACCGTAGTCTTCGAGCTCGCGGTATATGAGGGTAGCAGCGTCTCGGAGGTATGACACCATCTGTAAGGGGAAGATAATGCGGCCTTGGGCGTGAGCTTCCTGTCGAAGCTCGCAGGTGAGCTTTGAAATCTGAGTCTCCATGTACTCTTGCAAAAGAAGGGCCTTCTCGAAGGCCTCCATCTCTCCGTAGTGAGCGACACGGACGGTGGAGGTGACCTTGGTGCGGATGACATCGGGAGACTCGCCCTTGAGAGCGTTGCCGGTGCCGATGAAGATGTTGACTTGGCCGACGTTCATGGAGACGACGTCGCCGTGGAGCCAGACTCGGGGCATGTGGTCGTTGGGCATGTAGGAAACTCGGTTTTGAACTGTGACTCTTGTCAGCGATGTACCGTGTGGCTAAACGCGAGGGAGGGGACTGACGCTCTTCTTCCTTCATCTCCTTGTCCCGGCGAGCCTGATACTCGGCCAGCATTACCCGCTTGTAAAGCTCAAAAGCCTCCATCTCTTTAGAATATCTAGGTAGCCCTTCGGTCCAGGAGGCCGGGTACGGCGCGTAGGGTCCAATCCAGCAGAAATTCTGGTTTAGAGAAATCGAAGACGAAGACGAAGACGATGATAAAGTTGAAATCGATGAGGAGGAAAGGTTAGATGAGATAGACATGGCGGGAGGTTGTGGTTGGGTTGATGTGGGTTTGGTGGTGGTTCGGGTAATGGTTCGGGTGATGAGTTTGGGTGTGTGGAGAAAATCCAGAGTGGTATGGATATTCTGGGATGAGTTGTGGCTGAGAAGAAAGATGGCAATTGGGCCCGGTATATATGCACATATTGTCCTGCGGAACTGCAGCAGAGCCGCCAGCATATCGCGGGTTATCTTTCCGCAATCATAGCGGCATCGTAGCCCTATTCCGCTCGGAAAGGCTTGTCGGCGGAACAAGAGCGAGCGGTGGGTTTGATGTCTCGGGCATCGTTCTGAGGCCAGATATGGAGACGATATGCAGGAAGTGGCGTTAGTGACTGACGTATGGAAGCAGAAGACATTCAGTGATACTTGAGTGATACAAAACACTTGCAGAGCGTCGACGCGCGAAAGCATAGAGTGTCTCTTGGCGGAATCATATAAATCCCAACAAAATCCCAATTAAGTTTTGGACGCCGGACAAAAATCCCAGTAAGCGTACAAAAATCCCAAGTAACTTTTCGAAAGATACATAGAGCGATCGGACTTGTCCCATGCGATAGAGGATGCTCAGCAGTCCACAGGCGGGGGAATTGGCGAGAGGAAGCATTCGTGTAGGGATATGATCATTGTAAGTGTGCCGACGTGTGTTCATTCGTCCCTCGCTCATTGTGTCTCAGGTAGAGGTTGCTGCTGAAGCAGGTCCAGCTCAAGAGTGTACCGTATACCACAACACACTTCACAGACCGTGTCCGGATCTTTCGTTATTGAGGCCATCTTCTTTCCTACGGGAGCTCTACCATGCTGCAGAAGAAGTTGGGAGAACCAAGGCGATGCTTAAACAGAGTAGGCAATGCTTGAGAACTTTGTCACCCTCTGGCGCTGATTCCATGTGTAGACTTCAATACCCGATCGACCAGCCGCAAGAGCTCACACGCATACTGGATCAGGGTGAACTATCCTCATCGTCTGCCCGATGATAGAACTTTTACAGCAGCTATCACGACAGCCGGAAGACATGCCCGGTTCAATAGGGATCCGCTGATGACCGCGGAGAGCATTTATGAGCGAAATAAAGACCTGTTTCTTTAGTAAGTCGTTCGAAGTCATGTCAATGTCATGTCAGCTTACGTCGCCAAGTTTCAACAAGCCAAGCGTTCTGATTAAGGATGCAAATCCAACAGACACTCCCGATCTCCGCTTTGAATGCGCCGTCGCTCCGAAGGCTGGCTTGTATGCGGCTATCATCTACGGAAGACGCCACGGTCTCTATATGGACACGTCCTGGCGACACAAGACCAGATACAGAAGCCCGGTGACAATTCTGGCGACGAGGAACGACGCAGGACACATGGTTCAAGCGGCGAGAGACACTATCATTGGACGCCTACGCCCTGTGAAGTATCTTCTCATCGATGAAGTGTCGGTAGTCGGAGTGGACACACTGTTCAAGATTCACAAAACTCTGCAGGGTGTTACAGGGGACGACCAGAGCGATTTCGGTGGCCTCAACATCATCTTTGCTGGGGATGCCGCCCAACTTCCTGCTGTGCGCCAAACGCCTTTGCATGCACGCATCCCCGCCCCTGCTGTCCCTGCCCCTGCCGCAGATGTTCCCGCTCCGCCGCCCCCGCCGCCTCCACGACATCGATCGCACCGCGCGGCTGCTCGCACCCCGCCCCCCCGTTTACGTGCGATACGAGCCGCCTACGCAGTCGGATGACAGTGCGTTGGGACCCAGTTGCGACGCCGGAGTGCGCGACCCGGACGCGATCATGGAGGCCGATGATGGAGATTCTGCGTCTGGAGATGAGCAGGTCTCATGTCCTACGCAACCAACCTCGTCGACTGTCAACAACGACGACCTGCCCGACGCTCTGCCCTATTTGGTTCAGATACAGTCTCTTGTTGGGAAAGTTCTCGATTTCGAGCGGAGGAGAGATGATCGCGATAGGCTGGCAAGGACGCAGGTGAAGGAGCGGTATGAGGAGGTGATGGAAGTAGTTGTCTGGTCTAAAAATGGAGACGTGCTCTGGTTGTCAGGAGCGATGGTTCGACATGGAAATCCGACAAGGTATTTGCAAACGGTGTAGAAGTCGCCCAGGCAGATTCAGCAGCACAAATAACATGGATCCTGGCAAGTTATTCCTGTCATGCATGGAATTTTGGCTGACAATCGACCAGGTCCCTGCATAAATGAGCTCGCCAGACGACTTGGTCTGCCTGAGCCCGGAAACCTGACTCAGATTGAAGTCATGTTGGTAGCCAAAGTTCACATTCAGCTTCAGGCTTGGAAAGTCTCTAGTCAACACACCAAATAAGGCGAGCTCCCTCCGTAGGAAAGGGGATGGCCTCAATACTGAAAGATCCGGACACGGTCTGTGAGGTGTGTTGTGGTATATGGTACATTCTTGAGCTCGACCTGCTTCAGCAGTAACCTGTACCTGAGACACAATGAACGAGAGACGAATGAACACACATTGGCACACTTACAACGATCATATCCCTACACGAATGCTTCCTCTCACCAGTGGGCCTACCATATTAAGTAGTTGAGAGGCCCGAAGAGGTCCTGACGCGGAGGACTGTTGTGTGGGCGGCATCATGGCCAATGCGTCGTGATAAGGAGATAGGGCGGGGTGGACCGAGCGCGCTCGCTTTAGACAAAGGTGTGCGCTGTGGCACACATAGATGCCATACATTCACAGAGGGTACAACAAGGTTACATATGAAAACGCTCTACAGTCGTCTTAATTTACATACAGCACATCCCGCGACCGGTTACTACATTTCTGCACCAAACCCCTCACTCGAACTAAATCCCTCTCTTCAACAACCGTCTCTCAATGATACTCTCATACTCGTCCATCCCACCTTCCAACAGCCTCATACCCTTCTTCCGAAGAAGATATACCCTGGGCGGAGAGGAAGAGCATTCATCGTCCGAGGCGATGGGTGGGGATTCGTCTTCCGAGTCTATGAAGACGTTGCCGGTTATGACATTGCAAAAGTATCTGAAGGCCACATAATCAGCGTCATAGGAATTGGAGAGGGCATATACACGTACCTGTCATGCGTGACGAGAAGCAGACCTCCTTGCCACTTTCTCAGCTCTCGACTCAGCGCCTTGATGGTGGAGAAATCGAGATGCGTCGAAACTTCATCCAAGATCCTGTCAATATCATCGGCAGGTACTGTATCACAGCTCAAAATCGACATACAAGAAGTTTGGTGGATCATGGAAGAGCAAAGCCAGAGCCAGACGAACCTTCAAAGATACATCAGCTCATCTTCATGGAAACTCGATTGTCGTACCTTTTGACCCCCAGACAGCAGCTTCACTGGCGTATGGCTCGCCAATCTTCCGCCGAGCCCGAACCCTCCCAGTATCCGCCGTGCGCTTTGCTCCGTCACTGGAGTGGCGCTATCTTTGAAACGGTCGAGGAAGATTTGAAGTGATGTGATGTTGTCAAGGGTCGGCAAGGACTCGACCGTGTGCTAAAGTTAAAGTCAGCACTCCTCCCGGGGACTGTGCATCTGGATGACCCACCTGGTCAAAGTATCCAGTCTTGAGAGCAGGATGTCTTTTGACAGTGCCCCTTGTTGGCTGAAGCTCGCCAAGAATGAGCTTTGCCAATGTCGACTTTCCTTGTCCATTCTGCTCCACGTCAGTTCCTTTCACCCCCTCAAACGGATACGCTCACCCGTCCAACAAGCACCACCGTCTCCCCATACCCCATCACCAAATCCGCCCCCTCCAACACCACCTTTCTCCCCTTCCCCTTCCCAAACCCAACTTCGACCCCTTCCAGACTGAGCAAACTCCCCACATGCCCACCTCTCACCCCCGCCGCCTCAGGCAGCTTGATCCGCACTTCAGGTTCTTCTTGTTGAATCTCGATAGCATCCCGGTTGGAGAAATGGTGTCCAGCGAGGTCGCGGTTGAGTTTGAAGCGGGTGCCTTTGGCGGACGTTTCGTTTCCCCAGCGGTCGTTGAGTTTTTTGGAGCGGGATTTGACCATGCGGAGGCTAGAGCTTGTGAGCAGGAGACCCGGTCAAGAGGGCGTTGGCCTACCGGTTATCATCGCCAGTCTTTTTGGCTGATTTTTGGCCTTGCGCTATACTAGCTTCGATCTATCCACCACATCAGCCCAACCACAATTTTCACCGCACTAACGCACATGCTCTTTCTTCTTATCCAACGCCGCCTGCTGCCTGACCTTTCCCAGCCTCTCCTTTCTCTCGGCCTCTTCCTTCTCTGTCGGCGTGCCCGGGAAATACTCCAGCTTGTTCTGCCGGATGATCATGGTCTCGTCCGAGACCGCGTCGAGGAAAGAACGGTCATGGGATACTATGACGATGGTCTGGTCGAGGGAGCGGAGGTGGTGTTGGAGCCATATACTCGATTCCAGGTCCTGTATCCACGTTAGCTCTTGTAACAGTATGTTGAAGTGTGGCAAAATGGATGTACGAGGAAGTTTGAAGGCTCGTCCAACAAGAGCACATCACTAGGGATCAGCAACGCCAGAGCCAACCTACACCTCGACCTCCACCCGCCGGAGAGAGAGCCGAAAGGCCCATCGATCATCTCATCCGAAAACCCCAAACCTCTTAGAATACCCCGAGTCCTACTCTCGATCGTGTCGGCGCCGATGAATTCGAGGCTGAGTTGTACGTCGGAGAGGAGTGATGTGATTTTGAGGGAAGCGTCAGGCTCGACAGTATTGGTTTCGAATCTATTGCAATGTTAGACCATACCAAAAGCCTCGTGTAGAGGTGTGACTTACTTGCGTTTGGTCGCTTCGAGAGCCTCTTCAGCTGCAATCTCCGCCTCTCGCGCCTTTTTGCCTCTCGCCCCCGACCTTCTCAAAGCGACAGATTGCGATTCCACCAACGACCTTTCAGCGCGCTGAAGCAGTACCTGGTTGAGGAGCTTTTGGGATTCTTCTTCGTGCCCTGCATCTTGAGCTCGCTCCAATACTATGAGAGTTCATCAATAAACAAAGAGACGGTCCAAAAAGCGGGCTTACATGTTTGTTCATCCAAGAGACTCTTGAGCTCTAGATGCGAATCGAGGACATGTCGGATGACTGGTACATGCTCGGAGACGGGTGTGGCATCTGCTTCTTCGAGCTGCGAGACGTGTACGATCCGGATGGATGGAGGGATACCCGGGATCATGCGTTCGGCAATGGCGACTAACAGTGCTGCCAGTGATCTATCAGTTTCACATATTCACTCGAGAAGTACCAACGTACTTGATTTCCCAGTCCCATTTCTAGACATATCCAATTCAGCGTCACAAATGGTGATCAAGATAAACCCACTCACCGTCCCACCAAACCATACTTGACCTCACTTTTCAAATGTACCCTCGCCCCACTCACCAGCTCTCTTTCCCCGACAGTCAAGTCAACATCCTGCAAGTCGATATCGAGAGCAGAAGTAGAGTTGAGGGTTGCGGCGTGGAATCGGGATTGCTGGGCGCGCGCTTCTATGTGCGCAAACTTATTCAGTACTTGTTGTGATGGCATTTCTGTCGAGTGGTTGATTGTTGATGGTGTATCTTTCAGTGAGTGATGTATATAAGTTCGATGAGAGATAGAGGAGTGAGTTGCAGGTCAGTTCGGGACCGGTAAACCCTCGACTCTCTCGTTTCTTTCGGATCCGCCGAAGAATATCTTATCGCTGATCACGCCATCTGCCCGGCGCCGTTCACGCATTCGTGGGGATTGAGAGCCACATTGTAATTATGATCTAGACATTTCAGCAACAAACAAGGGATGTATAGGCAACCATTGTACATTGGCAAGACGATCTTGCCGTCACATGCGGCCTACAGCTGATGGTCTGTCTCAGCCTGTCGCTCCGTTTCAAAGAAGATTAAACTAACCATATACAATCGAGCCAGCTCAAATACCTCTTCTAACCATCCACGAGTATGTTCCGAGAGTCGAGCTGCTGACACACTTGTCCTCTTCTGTTGTCTTTCATGTCGTTGTTGTTTGTTGTTGTTGCGGTCCACGCCGCTCATCCGTCGGGCGCCGGTGCTTCAGCCCTCCATTCGTTCAAGGGCTTCTCTGCATATACCATTCCATCTTCAAAACAATAATCCACATCCCACAATGTCTGACTCTGAAGAAGACTTCATGTCCGACAAATTTCTCCTCAACCTCCCCCCTCCCCCTTCCTCCTCATCCACTTCCAACACATACACAGCACGAAGAGAGAAAGCGGCGTTGAAAGGGAACCGCTCCGGTCTAGCAAAGAATCAGCTGAAAGCACGGGATCTGGAGGAAGTTCGGCGGAGGGAGGGGATGGGGAGGAGTTTGTTCGAGAGGGAGGATGAAGATGAGGCCGAGGGGGGTGAAAGCGAAAGCCAAGGTGGGAAGAAGGGGAATAAGGCGATGGAGATGATGATGAAGATGGGCTGGAAAGTCGGTGAAGGACTCGGCAAGAAACGATCCCCCTCCCCGCCTCCTCCTTCTCATGCATCATCAGCAAGAGCAGGCTTGGGCGCGAAGCGATTCAAACCCGGCGACGAACTCGAAGACACCCCTCCACCTAAACCCCAGCCCATTACAGAGCCGATCCGAGTCTCTCTCTGGGCCCGCCGCAAAGGTCTCTCAGCTCGAGAACCCAGTCCACCACCATTACCCCTCAACGCATCTGGGCGGAACCCCGATGCTCTGGGGAAAGAGCAGATGGAAAGGTTGGCTAAGGAAGCGGATGGGTTTAGGGCTCGGCAGGGGCATGAGTGGGGTGAGAGGGATAAAGAGAGGAAAGGGAGGAAATGTAGGGATCTGCTTGTGGGGTATGATAAGGAGAAGGGGGTCAAGGTGGGTATCACATTAAGAGTGGTGGCGTAATGCTGATGGGAGAGAATAGTTTCATGCGTTACATGTCTTGCCGTTCGACCCGCTGGGCACGATGCCTCGCCCAATCCTCAAACTGATCTACCCCGCGGCTCTCTCCCCTTCCCCTTCCCCTTCCGCCTCCCGCTCTGGCTCTCCACTGCCGAATATAGTGGCCCATGGAAAAGAAGGAAACAAGTCTGAAGCCGAACGGCTGAGAGAACAGATGCGCCGGGATATGCTGAGCGATATTGATGGAGTCGAGGTGGCAGATGATGAGGAGAAGGATGTTAGGTTTGGGGTGGGGCCTGGTACTGCTCCGAAGAGGGAGAAAGTGAAAGATGAGGAGAAGAAGAAGGAAGGGGAGCAAGTGGAGGAGAAGGAGGATTATGAAGGGGTGGATTGGGAAGAGCATGTCGCGGGGACCAAGCGAGTATTGTCAATGGAGGTCAGTCCCTCCATCATCTCCCCTCGCTGTACTATAGCTGACTCTGCGCATAGCCCGGCGAATACTTGACCTTCATAGTCAACCAGCTCCGGCACGAGCACCTCTTCTGCTTTTGGTGTGCCTACAAGTACAGCTCTTGGGATGAACTCGAAGGCCCCGGAGGATGCCCAGGTGAAGAAGAAGACGATCATTAGTCTAGTCATGTCCTTTCATAAAAGTCGTTATGCGTAATGTACAAGGAAGCAACCGATTCAATACCTCTCTGCGAGCTCTTTTCTGCGCTTCCTCTCGACTCTTGCTACGCCTTCCTCCAGATTTTCCATCTTGTGGTGCAGGTCGATGAAGAGTTCTGATACCGTCGACGTCTACGGAAGATCAGCTCAAAATACTCTGGGGGAAGGGGAAGGACGTACAAAGTCGGTATACCGCACGAGGAGACCGCCTACTTGACTCCTAGCTTCGGCAAGCGCTTCGCCTTCATTCTCTGATTCTTGCATCGCGCGAATCAAGTCGGGCCTTTGCGGTATAAGATCTGCCTCCTTGTCAGCATGTACCACTCGTCAAAGTATGCAAAAGTATCACCTTCAAGCTGTCCACTGCCTTCAGCGCCTTTCCCCTTCAAAACCTCCAATTCTCTCAAATCCCTCTCGGCCCCGACTATATCCTCTGCTGCTGCAAGCACCATCGCGAGTTTGACACTGTCTGGTAATAGATCGGATTCTTGTATAGGCTGTGACTCGTCCGACGCTTGGTCGGTCATGGTGGATGTCGACGGGTGAGGGATAGTTAGGAGGGGCAAGTACTGTTCGTCTAAGCCTTATAAGTCTTAACTCCCATCGACAAGACGTAGCTTACAGCCATCGAGCAGACGTTTGACGCCTTCGCTTCTTTCCCCGAGCCTCTGGAGTCTCTCGTGGATCTCTCTGACTCTACGCGTCGCCGCCCCGTCCTGCGGTGCGCGTTTTGGGGCGGCAAGGGAGGAGGGGGGAGTGCCGAATAGCTGGGCTTCGAGGGTACGGAGTCTGAGGTCGAGGGCGAGCTGGGTGGCCATTGTGGGATGTATGGAAGGAGAAGAAGGAGAAGACGCGTCACGACTCTTTTGACATCTTGAATTCTGAATCCTGAATCTGCATCTATATCATCACCATGTCCGCCCCCCTCGCCCCCAGACCCCTCTTCGGCGGCGCCATCGCCCTCGCCCTCCCCCAGGACTCCATCGACGCCAGGTCCGCACCTCTCCCATCCCCCTGCCCCAGCTGACACCCGAGCAGCGACCTCCGCCAAATACCAGACAACCAAGAAGTCTTTCTCTTTCCCCACAGCGATACTGCCCTTGTACTGGAAGTGCTCGAGCTCGTGGAAGAGGGTGGTGCGAAGGATGATCTGTGGGAAGCTGCCAAGTGGGTACAAGGCGAGAGTAGGGGATGTGGATGGCTGATAAATATGGGCAGATTCCATTTCGGATCCATAGCCCACGACAACGCCTCCCTCTCATCCACAATCTTCACCTCCCCTCCCTCATCCCCAATCCCCAGCACCCCCTCAACATCCACCCCATCCCAGATCAAAGCTACAACACTAGCAGGCACGCAGCAGATCCATAAATTCTCCCATGACCCCACGGGTGCACCGAGGGAAGGGCACGAGGCGGATGTGCCGGACCAGGTATGGATTGGGCTTGCTCTGTGGCGGGTATGGATTGAGGGAGCGGCGGGGAGGAAGAAGGCGGATGTGGTGTTGAGCGTTAATGTCAATCTGAGTGCCGAGGGCGGAGAAGGGGCCAAAGAGCAACATCTTGTCGAAGGATGGTTTGCCCAGGCAGTCGATTCGTTCAAAGTCGAAGAATTTGGGCTATTCGGCGACGTCTAATAGCACAATGCATAGAGTACAATACACGAACAGAATATATCTTATGCCAGATATTGATACCCCGCCCCGAGTCCTTCGCCTATCCGCTCAAGATACTCTCTGTCAATCAGGCCTTCTATGCGCTTCTTTATAGATCCAACACTTGCGCTGAACCGGCCAGAGAGCTGGTGTGCTACCTCTGATATGAGCCCGTTGTGGTCCAGCCTCTTGCGGTCCTTCATAATCCGCACTATACACGCCTTGCTTAATGTCAGCTCTAGTCCTACAAGATCAAAAGAAACTCACTTCAATCTGATGCCTCCTCTCTTCTTCAACCATCCCCTCCGTCTCCTCCCTCTCTTTCCCACTCTCCACCTTTGCCCCCGCCGCGCCCGCTACCTGCATAATCTTGATCCTCGCCAGTGGGCTCACAAAGCCCTCGTTATACTCGAATGTGTCTTTGGGGTTGACTTCTTTGCCCTTGGGATGTTTTGTGAGCACACGGTACTTGCCGCAGGCGAGGGATTGAAGTGTGCGGACGAGGTCGCCTTCGGGGAGGCCAGTCTGTTTTTGGAGATCCTGCTTTTCATCAGCTTTGTTGGGGTTCAATCAAGAGGGGAAGGCTCACGGGATAAGACAGTATATCCCCACTCGCCAATCTCTCAAACTGCAACAACACAACCAACGCCTGCGTCGACACATTCAACTCCACCACCCCTTTCCTAAACCTACACTTGACATCCGCCGTGCCCAAGGCGACTTGCCAAGTCAACCTACGGCCCGAATGGCGCGAGTCGTAGTACTTTTGGAACGCCGCCATAGCTGGGTTGAGGGCGGGTGGAAAAGTGCACGGCGTGGGCGCTACGATGGGCTGAGGCCAATGCGATGCTGTAAGGACAGACACCGACAGGTCCAGCCCCACATCCCGCGCAGCCTCATACTTTCTAAACGCCACATCACTCTCCTTACTAACCCTCATATCCGTAAACATCCCCTCCAGCTTGTGGGTAAACTGGAAGCCCATCTCTTTCTTGAGCTTGCCGACCATCTCTTGCTCGGCGTCGTCGGAGGCGGAGCGAGAGTAGAGAAGACGGCGGGCGAGGTGGTTTTTGTAGTAGCGCTCGAATTTGTCCTTGTCGGTGAGGAAGCGGAAGAGGATGAGGGTTTTGGATTTGGCTTGTTCGATCTCGTCTTCGGTACGCTACAAATTTGTTAGCAGTGATCAATTCGAGAAGACAGACGTACAGTTTTAGAACCCTTCTTCAAGTTTTCATCAATAAACAAGCTCAGATACTCGGCTGCTCTAGCATTGGCGTTGATGAAACTCTGGAACGCCTCATTGATCGACATCTGCACTTGTTTATCATCCGCAAACGACTTTTCCAAGATCGAATCAAACTTGTCTTTGAGATCCAGCACGTCCTGGACCCAGCGCAGAGCCGAGGCAAGGGCAGCAGCCTGAGTCGTCTTTGGCTTGACAGGCGCTGGTTTCGAAGGCGACGCCATAGGCTGATCCGTATCTTCCCTCTTCACAGTCAAAGCCGGAGTGGCGATGACATCCGGGTCAACTGCAGCAGCATTGATCCCCTTCCCCCTCATCTCCACATCAAACCTCAACGCCCGCCTCAACTCTTCCTTCCCCGCCCCCTCTGGCACTTTTACAAACAAATCATACAGCCTCTTCAGATCATCGTATCGGTCCCGCTCGATCATAGACTGGAGGCCGGAGCCGGGCATCTGCAGGATGGGCGAGAGGTGGGAGGAGAGGAGGTTGTCGATGAGGAGGGCGTGCAGGGCGGGGTGTGTGTCGGTGGAGAGGTAGTGCAGGGTGCGGTCTGATTCTTCTCTGAGGCGTCGTTCGACGTTTCGTAGGTAGGCTGCGGCATCGCCTCTAGCCAGCATCTCCCCTGCTTCATACTCGTAAAACTCCCCACTCCGCCTCAAGAATTCGGGCTCAAAGTCGACCCTATACACCGTCGCCTCTTTATCCGTCAACCCCCTTTCCCTGATTTCTCTATCGCTGATGTGTAAGCGTTGGAGGATGTCTGTACATTCTCGCACAGTGGAGCGGGTGATGGACTCGCCGTCGCGTTCGAGCGAGACTTGGGAGAGGAGTGTGGAGATGAGGTGGGTGTGGATAGGGAAAAGGGGTGATCGGATGATGTGGATGAGGAAGAGCGAGAGGCCGACGTCGTAGATGGGTGGCTGCCCAGCGGCCACCGAGTAGTTTCGATCCTACCCCATGTCAGCCATGTCCCCGGTCATGAGCGACCTTACCATATACTGCAAAACAGCCTTGAGCTTGCGCATGCTCCCGATATGATCCTCCCACACGCCCTTGAGCGCTTTCAAGAATCTATCGCCCTCCAGCGCACGCTCGACAGCTTCCGCCCCACCGCCATAGATGCCCCCCTCGCCGCCGCCCAGTTTGCCGGCACCGCGAGTGCCTCCCGAACGCGGGAAGGTGGGCACGATGCGTTCTTGGGCGAGTTGATTGAGGTGTTCTGTTATAAGCTCTTTGACACCTTTGAACAGCTGGTCGCCGCCTGTACCTTCTATCAGCACGATGCATAGAACAGGAAAAGATGAACGGACGTTTGAAAAGCACCATGTTGTGGCCATAGCGATAGTGCTCCTCGAATGACAGCTTGGAGGCATTGTGGTTTTGTATCTCCCTGATACCATTAGAGAGCTTGCGCCATATCTCGTCGATAGAGGCTTCCGGGCTGATCTGCAGCAGGGTCAGCATGCCCCCCATCCATCATGGTCATCGTTAACTCGCCTTCTTGGGCGGACGCTGTGGAGAGGGTCAGCGACGGCCGCAAGACGCTTCAGGAGTGCTCACGATCTTTGGCTTGCCTCTGCGGGCAGCCCCCAGCGACATGGCCATGGCGAGTATATGCTTGGAGGTGATCAAAAACACCGTCGACGTTATCGAAACAGCCGTCTTCGCTGCCCCCGGCACCTGCCTCCACCGGCCGCGCGCATCATCTCTTTCTTCCGTTTTCCTCTACAAACGCTACCCAGTCTGAAAAATCGCGATGGCTTCCTCCAGCCCCGCTCTCTACGTCCTCAGGATGCTGTGGAGACGGGCCCCATCCTCCAACTTCAAGTCCTTCTCCACTGCTGCCCTCGCCCGAGATACGCCCGATACGACCATTTCAGCCTCCTCTATCGCGACGCCTCGGCACATGTCCTCCGCGTCTTTCCTCGAAGACGAGTCTCAGGAGTACTCGGCTGCCTCCCTGCATCTTTCGCCCAATATCAACCCGCCAGAGCCTATCCCTTGGCCAACGCTACTGCCTCGTCACGGCGTCCAGTCTGCGAAAAAACCCAAGATCTGTGACCCACTATTCCGCCTAGTCGGGCTGGAGCAGTACGACGAGGCTTTGGCCATTCTGCAAGAGCTCCAGAGCCACCATCAGATGATACAACATCGGCATATCTACTTGTTTCCAGCTCTGGATGCTCTTCGAGCTGGTGATACTGCCAGGTTCATGCTTTGGCTGGGTCTCTACCCCAATAAGCCGGCGACAGCAGACTTGCGGCCGCTGAGAGAGATATGGAGACCCATAACTCTTCTGATGCTTGGTCTCAAGGACGACCGCGCTCTGATAGAGCGCTACCTCTTGCATACTGCCAAGCTGGGTCTCACCCCCGTCACACTGCCCCCTCTCCTCGTCCACCTCGCCTTCACCCTCCCTGCTTCCGAATCCCTCGACCTCGTCTCCCGCGTCACCTCAGCTTACCTTCAATACACCACCTCTTCCACCTCTACCTCCTCTCGCGCCTTCTTCCAGAAGAGCACCGCTCTCATGCACCTCAACAAGATATGGGGGCACTATCTCCGAGTCTTGATGCTGGCAGGGTGGGAGGAAGAAGCGTGGCAATTGTACGAGTTCACGCCTGCAGATGTGCGGTGGGACCATAGGACAGTACGTGTCATGGAGCAGCAATGGGTATCCAAAAAGGTGGACGTGGCGCCAGACTTGCCCAGGCAGATCCGGCAGATGCTCGTCAGAGACTATATCCCAACGCCAAACGACCTCGCTCAAGCCCTTGCTGGCTTGACCTCCCCTTCCATCACGCAGACGCATCCCAACCTCCTTGCGAGGTTCCATTCGCGTTTCCTATCAGCGCCTTCCGGCCGAAAACGAGCTTGGGTGTTTGCAGAAATCATCAACCTCCAACAAGAAGGGCTGCATGACCAAGCTATCGAGCATTTCGCAAAGCACTACTACTGGGTGGGGCTACCGCCCCATCCCCTTGCGCCGAAAGAACCTGACGCAACGCCGCGATTCTACCCCACCCTCCCTCTCCTCACAACACTCTTCCGATCCTTCTTCCGCACCCTTCCCCAACCGCATGTCGAAAGCGTCCCCCTATCCATATCATCATACCTCGACTCCATACCTGCCCTCCCCCCTTCCCTCCGCCCCAATTTGGTCACCTACGTGACCCTCATAAGGGAGTGCGTATACCTAGCAGGACCGGATGCGGGCATGGCAGTGTACGAACGCATCATCACCCCTAACGACAAAGGGGAGGTACTGCACGAAGCGCACGAAGAGCTCTACAGGCCTATCCTCTTATCGCTCGCGCATCGTCGTCAGATCGAAAGGCTGCGTATACATCTCGACCACTTTGGCTCGCTGGGGTCGTCGGCGAAGCCGACGGGGCAGACGTATAGGGCGTTGGTGGCTGTGTTGAGCAAGACGGGTCAGCACCAGAAGGTGGCTGAGGAGATGGTGTATAGGGGGTTGGGAGAGGTTGGAGATGATTGTTTTGAGGGGTTGATCATGGAGGAGGACTGAGAGTGTGAGCTTCTTTGGCCTGAGATTGTGATATATGGGATCGTGCTGATATGACTCAGACCCTGGGCGGTACTGCGGCAAGAAAGGACGGGTGTTATCGCATTAGTACGATGAGTAAGTTCCTCGGATGGTGACGATACTCAGCGCTTATGCTTGATAGATGAATGATAGACGATAGACGACACAAAAAAGCATTGCATTGCATACAGCATCACACAAAGCACGGACAGTGAGTGAAAATGCGGCACTGAAGATGTATGCTGACCGGGAACAGATATCTTGTTTTATAGCATTTCATGGTATGAATCACGTCCCACACGACCTCTTGGATATACTCCAAACCCTCTTCTCCATCTGTCTCCCCCTGCTCTCCTCCAGCTACATCAGTACTCCCGCCGCCCCCCTAACATCCAGCTCATCCAGCGTAGAAGTCATCGCAAGCTCTAAACTTTCTTTGGTGGTTTCGTCGAGCACTTTACAAAAAGGGAGAAGATATTTGCTCGCCGTTTCACAGTCCAGTGCCGTAAAAAACTCGAGAATCAGCCACTTCTGGGTTCGCTGTCAATCGGTTAGCTCGCGTCTAAAAGGCACCTTCAGTCTTACTGGCTGATACCGTCGACGGGGCAAGATGGCGTGGATGCCAAGAAACTTGGAGGAGACACTCACAACCAGGTGGTCGGCCTCGGCATTTCGCTCAGCGACGGGCACGAGGTCCACAACGAGCTGACTTTGATTTCAGTGGAATTTCCGGGGATAGTGTGATCTGCATTCACCAGTGACTCGACGTGGGCGGTGACCTTGATGGCTCCGCAAGACTTTCCTGAAGCGTCAACCTCCAATCGCATCTTGCAGTCCTCGGCACTGATGGAAGGTCAAAAGACATGACTCGTATGTTTTCGGTGAGCTTACCTCCGACTCCATTTGCCTCTCTCTGATCCTTTATTGTCCCCTGCCTTGGCGTACTTTGTCTTGTGGTAGACCGAAAACCCCAAAAGGGGATCTAATCCTGGTTAGTCTATGCTTGTAGAGACTGAGGGCAACGTACACTCGCGTTCAACAAAGACAGCCCCGAGCGCCTTGATCTGGAGATCCAATAGATCGTCCACGGTGGTGAAGCAGAGGGCGAGGCTCTGGACTTGTTCCATAAAGTCGATAGCTTTTTCTGCCTCATGGAACTCTATGTAGATACTTTCGTACGGAGACTGCTACCATGACAGTCAGTCGTGACACGGAGGCTCTACAGTACGCACGCCATCATTGTCCTCCCCAGTCGGGTAGATCAAGAACATGCGGGCTCCGGCACGCAACACTTGGAGCTGGGTGGACATCATCGACATGTCTCCTCGTCCGTTTTTTCTGAAGGTGAACTTTGCCAGATGTCAATCGCAAGCTAGTCATGGTAGGATCGGATGACATACAACAGACTTGTTGTGCACAAATACTCTGATCTTCATGGCAGTACGTTGGAGTGTGCGTTGGACAACGATGTGGCAGTCGTTGATGCTGGTAGAAGTGAGCAATGGTATAAGGTTGCTCGTAGTATCCTCACTTGGAGAGGGGGTGGTCGGAAGCACGAGCGGGGGGAAAGCATCTGACTCTTTCCAGCTTGTCTGCACAGAATCAGTCAAGATCACACCATCACCAGAGGTTTCCTCACACTCTGAAGACACGGGGGCCACCTGTGTATACATATTGGCTTGGGATTGTGTCATCGCGTTTATCTGGCTGGGGTTGGTCATACGGGGATGCGGTTTGAGTGCAATACGGTGGTAATGAGAGTTGAATGAGAGAGTCGCGAGGCGGTCAATTTGTCGTTTGTTCGTTTTGGTCGTGTCATGTACCTCTTGTGTATCTCGCTCAGACAGGGCTGCCTCCACTTCTTCAGAAATGACACAGCATCCCGGCAGTGATCATTGTCTTCAGCCTTCTACACAATTGCTCAGAGCTCAACTCAGAGCTCAAGACATCTAGCGCGAAATGCCTTCGTGTAAGAGAAACATCACCCATCAACAGACCGAGAGAAGGGTTGCTTACACTTACGAATAAGATCATATAACAAGAGTTGCTCTGGCCAAGACGGAACCCGACTCGTCGATGGAAAACGAGCATATAGAGACAATCATCCAGTGGGTGCCCTCAATTGCGGCGAGCCGTGGCTGACTCCTGTGGCAGTAAAAACAACGTCGTCCTCTCGTTTGAGTTCACGCCTGCGAGGACATGGCTCAAAATTGTCCTCACATCTGATGGACACGTTCTCGTGAGTCTTTCTATCCGGCGACTGTGGCTGATGAACAGGTGGCAAAGCTCTTGCCATCAATTGGACAAGGTACAACGCAATCTAGGTGCGTCGCCTACAACAACAGTACGGCGTTGTTTCGGTTCGGGACACCTAGTGCCTTCGGCAATGAGAACAACGTATGCGACAATCCCCGCCTATATATAGCTTCAGCTGACAATTGGTAGCGGCAAACCTTCTTTCAGGTCGAGTTTGCCGACACGGACGCCATTCTGTCGATCCTCGCGTTTGTGGGCGACTTTTTGCGCCCAAGTTACGTCCATCGATAGACCGCTGGAGGCCACGGGGCCTTCTATGAATTGAAAGCTTTACGATCGCGTATCAGCACCTTCGTGCGCTTCTAGAACGCACCAGCCTCTAGACGACGAGAGCCCTCAGTTGAGTGCATTGGAACCACTCTAACTATTGTACTAGCTACTGTATTTACAATTCTACAAGGATTTGAGTATGATCTATTGATGGTGATCATCCCCTAGCACGTCTCCATCTTCCTCGAGCTCATCCTCATCCTCCTGGGTCCCATCTTCATCGTCCTCAAGACCATCTACATCTTCTCTAGACCCGTCCACATCGACACCATGGTCAGGATCATGGCCGCAATCACCATCCCTCCAGTCCAAGTCTTCCTATAGAGAAAGCTCCTCGTGGCGCATGGCACTGAAAAGGCAGGTAAAAGGGACAGAGAGGCTAGTCGCGATAGTCTGCACGTCATCCAGCAGACAGCACCGGGAAGGGTATGGGTGGTGATGGGGATCACACTGGGCAATGACCAGATGCTTTAGCCGGGGGTGTATGGCGACAGTATGGCGAGGACACTATTCTCGGAGTCGCTGGGGTACCGACGTTGATGTGGCGCTTGCGAGTACACCAGGGTTGTGGTCTTGTACAGGAGGAACCGGAGTCTTTTTGAGGGACGTTCCGTGGTTGCTGACTCGGGGTACACATGGCTGGTTCGAGGGCTGTAAACGAAAGTGTCGTACAGCAGCGGTTCGGCGGCGCGGTGAAAAGCTGAAGAGACGAAAAGGGCGGGATAGAGGGCGTCATGAGGGAGGTAAGAGAGGGTGCGGGGGAGTATGTCGGGGTGGAGAGCGACTTGGGGTGGAACAGAGAGGGTTGGACATGCCGAAAGTGCAGTGTTGATGTCGAAAAAAGAAATCCGGCGGGACAAGACGAGATGGATGGAAGCGCGGGAAGCGCCAGGCACATCTTGTTGTGGTTCCATCTCGCTGGCGATTTGGCGTAAGCAGTCCGAGGTAAGGACCCATGTGCTCGGCGTAAAGGTAGTCGACTTTTATTTAACTTGTTTGAGCTCGTACACTCCATTGTACAAGGCCATCGTCAACAGCGTCTCCACCATGGATATCGAACAGTAGGCCATTCTCTTCGTGCTGCTATCGACCTAGTGCTGATACAGTCCATCATCTGTGCAGATTCAGGAAGGCCGGTAAGCGTCCAGAAGCTCAAAGACCTTCAATATCATCAACATCGCTAACCAGGATTGCAGGTTATGCGGCCATTGACGCCATCTGTGACTACTATCAGAACATCCAGGATCTTCCGGTCAAGTCTGAAGTCAAGCCTGGGTATCTCTTGGACAAGCTGCCGGGTAAGTCATCTTGCCTATCAGCTATGGAAATATGATGGGCTTACTTGCCTGACGTTGGTAGACGAAGCTCCAGTCAAGGGCGAGCCTTTCGACCAAATTGCCGCGTCTTTCAAGAGCGATGTCCTTCCAGGTATGACCCTTGACTCAGACGACGCATGAAGCTTACCAGTCAACGCACAGGTATCACTCATTGGCAATCTCCCAACTTCTATGCCTACTTCCCTGCCAACTCTACATTTGAGAGTATGATTGCCGACCTCTACGCTGCGAGCGTGAGCAACCCCGGTTTCAATGTCAATCTTATCGTCTTTCCAAGCGATGCCAATAAGCTGATACGTGATGAAGTGGATATGTTCGCCCGCATCAACAGAGCTGGAGCAGGTCGTAGTCGACTGGGCCGCCAAGATGTTTGGCCTTTCGCCCGCTTTCCTCTCCAGCTCCAAAATCGGTGGCGGTGTCATACAGGTGCGTATCACTTTACCCGAGGTCTCCATCTTCTGACAACCAGCAGGGGTCGGCCTCGGAAGCCGCCTTGACAGCAGCGATGGCTGCTCGTGAGCGCGCTTTGCGTCACCTGACTCATGGTGGCAAGCAAGGCGCGAACGGGGATATCGAGGTCCCCGACGAGGTCAGGCAGAAGTATGGGCAGAAGCTCGTCATGTACGGCAGTACCCAAACTCATAGTCTTGGTGCTAAGGTACTTTTCTGACTCGAAATCAAACTGTTCATGGGGCTGATACGGAGATAGGCGGCGATCTTGCTAGGATTGACTTTCAGGGCTGTCCCGGTCTCTGCCAAAGATGACTTTGCGCTCAGAGGTGATGCTCTGAGAGAGGCGGTGGAGGAGGATAAAAAGGCTGGACTGGTCCCTTTCTTTGTCGGTGTGTTCATACATCCTCAGCTTTGATACAAAACTGAGTCCACATAGTCGGTACTGTTGGTACGACATCTTCGGGTGCGGTAGACAGAATCGCCGAGATCGGCCAGGTCTGTGAGTGCATCCATCCTGGACGATATCACGTTTATGATTTGCGACACAGTGAAAGAGAACCCTACCATGTTCTTGCATGTCGACGCGGCCGTGCGTCCCTTCCTCCTCTGCTCATTGTAGCCTTTTCTGACGTCTCTCAGTGGGCCGGCGTAGCTTATGCGTTGCCGGAGCACCGTGCTCAGCTTCGTTTGGATGAGGTGAACGAGCACGCTGGTTCGTTCGCTACTAATATGCACAAGTGGGGTCTCGTCACCTTTGACTGCAGTGAGTACTGCCGACATTCTTCATCCCGAGGTGAAATTTGACAATCTCGCGTAGCTCTCCTCTATGTAAGAGACAGGCATGACCTCACCCAGACATTCGACGTCACACCGGTACGCCCCCATCATCCTATTTCACCACCAAAATCCAAGCTGACGAATCTCACAGATCTTCTTGAGGAGCAAAGAAGCAGACGCAGGCGACGTGGTCGACTATCGGAACTGGCAGATCGCCCTCGGTAGACGATTCCGAAGCCTGAAAGTGTGGTTTGTGCTCAGGAGCTACGGTGTGGAAGGGTTCCAGGCGCATCTTCGACGTGTACGTCCCTCTGCCAGACAAAGAGTGGGATACTGATGAGTGGGGGCAGAGTATCTCGCATTGTCAAGCGCTCGCTGAAGCTATCCGCGCCTCGCCCAATTTCGAGCTCGTCACCCAACCCCAGCTCGGTCTCCTCACTTTCCGCCTCGTCCCTGCCACTCCTTCCCAAGCCTTGACTGAAGACACCCTGAACAAGCTGAACCAAGCATTCTACACCGAGCTCGATCACAGAAACGACATCTTCTTGACGCAGACCGCTTTGAAGAGCAAAGAGGGCAGCCTTGTGCATTGTGTGAGGTTTGCAATTGGTGGGGTGCATACGAAGGTGGAGGATGTTTTGGGTACTTGGAAGATTGTAGAGCAGGTCGGTGAGAAGAAGTTGAAGGAGTTTAAGGTTTAAAAAGAGGGAGCTGTTGGCGGGCGTTCCAATGCCTGATGTGTGCATTGCCGGTACTCAATCAGATAAAATCTCTCATTCAGGAGCTAGTCAGTCTCTAACACCGTAAGTAGAATTATATAGACAAGATCCACGAACCTTTCTCTGTCAGTACCGTCTTTGCCAAGTTGCGGTTACAGTCCCATCTATATCTTGCATTGGGAAACAGTATGCACCTCATTTGTCATATAATACGTTCTCATTCCCATTCTCCTTTCACGGACAAAGATGGAGCTTGATCACATACTCGTGAAAGTTGAATTGGGTCATGTTGATATTGCAATCCAAATCTCCTTCCGAAGAACAACACAGCCTGCTGCCATCATCGTCAACGGATGCGACGCGAGATAAGTGACTTTTTCGATAGCTCAGTTGATCTATTCCCGGCCCCGACAAGCGAGGGCCTTCAGAAAAGGCCCTCCCTTCTTTGCTTGACTTTTCGCCGCCTACTACTCTGAGGTGTATTACCGATCGTAGTTTATGCTTGTTCACCACTACGAATGACCAACATCATGATGATGGCCGAGAGATATGGCGGGTGCTATTCTCTCCTCATCCACTCCTCCTCCTTGCTATCAAAACAGGATGACCGTCCTCCTTCGTTTGTTGGCGGACATCTTCTAGCTGGACTCTCCTTTGATGGAATATGGTGTCTGCGCAGGGACAATTTCAGCAAGCTATAGTGAGTGGCACGTCAATCTTTCCAATAATCTTCCGACCTCGTGCAGATTGCCTTATATATACTTAGGAGGATTTCATCTTATCATCATCGGTCCACGACAGCATATCGATAATCGACGATGTCCAGGGATCTCACAATCATTCCGAAGCCCGACACGGTCACTGTCGACTTTACCGTACCCAGCGAATGCTCGCTGGTCCAAGAAGCACAAGCATATCTGCGTCCCGTATCATCCACCGCCAATCGTATCGCCCAAGCACTTTCGCTTCACGTTGCCTCACCTTCTCGAGGGGCGGGTGGATCCAGCAACCCCTATGAGTTTGCGTTCACTCGCGAGGGTTGCTCACCTGTCATTTCCCTCATGTTGAACAGCGAGCACTATTTCGCCTACATCACGAGAGCGCACAGCTGGCTCAAAGCTGGGCGTACATCATCCATAGTCGCCATTATGCCAGAGTCAACAACCACCAAAGATGAGGCCCGTACGGAGCTAGGTCGGCAGGCCTTTAGCGAACCACACAGGAGCACATGTGTCGAGTGCTCTCTACTCGACGATCAAGAGTTGTTGACCAAAGCCCAAACGACAGCTGTAGACATGGCGTCTACGCTCGGGCTACAGCAGTCCAAACTCAGAACCGAGATTCAACCGAGCCTGGCGGAGCTGGAAGAGAACAACGACAAAGGATGGGAAAAAGTTCAGAGTTTTGTCTCTGATGCTATTACCAGCACCTATGGGGAATCAGTCGACCATCCCGCCGAACTCATTGACCTCTCCAGCATGATGCTCGACGGTTTGCAAGAGGAGATCAACCCAGAAAGATCCGTGCCGTTCCCTGTAGACACGCTTCGCGCCTTCGGGAATAGGAAGCGTTCATCTATTCTCACAACGCTTGGGCGATTCTTATGAGACCCCTGTCGATCTTTGAATATCTCTCTATGTGTTGAAATGCATATTGATTCATAGTCTGAAATGTATAGAAGAAGGTACTGTACGTCACAAGTTCATTGTCCATAAAACGTATCGGGAATGAATAGCGCTGGTTTCGTGATATAATCGCCACACACGCATAACTCTCTCTCTCTCTCTCTCTTAACAGTAACAAAAAAGGAATGAATGCAAAAAGAAACCAGAACCCGACCGCTACCCTCTAAATCTCACCTCTTCATTGACTCTAGAATACACCCCTTTCTCTCTTTCCCCCGTATACAATCTTCCAAAGCCCGCTTAAGGCTTACTCAACTGCTCTCGCCTGAAGAAGAAGGCGTAACCGATGACGATTATGATCTGGCAGACAAGACAGAGCCAGAATTCGTAATGCGCCAAGGGCATGTTTTTGCCGGTTCCCGTGACATCCCAGATAGCGATGTTGGGGAAAACCTTTCCGGGGCCGACCTTATCAGGCGCGGTACCACTATGAGGAGTCAGCGAGTGCCTAAGGTCATGAAAGATGTAACTCACCGAGCAAGCATGACAATGCAAGAACCGAGGAACTGAGCGCCAGCCAGGGTAGCACAGACGTGCAATCTGGAAAGGGTCTGCAAAAGAATCATACCCAACCCGACACCCTGAATAGCGTCGAGCACACCAAGCCAGAGCCACAGACCGACACCAATGTAGGGACCGGCGTCTCCACCCCAAGGGACGTAGAGACCCATACCGGAGGTACCCCACCACATCTGACACCATCTGGGGGCAACGAGACCGATAGCGAACACGGGCAACAGCCAGGAGTGAATCTTCGAGTATCTGATGAGGATACCGAGAAGGAGACCCCAGATACCGATGAAGAAGATGACGATCATGACGACTACGGCCCACTTGGGAATGTCGGCTTGAGCCCAGAGATATTGCCAGTTTCGGCCGCTAGAAAACAGGTTAGCTCATGCTTGTTGCACGAGAGACTCCACTCACTAAGGTCCAGACAACCAGTAATCTCTGAGAATCTCCGCGATCAAGAACCAAATGACCAACTTCCTTCGCAACAGAGTTTTGTAGAAGTTGGGGACGTAAGGCGGGATCTGTCGGTAGTATTCGGGCAAACCGAACCACATGCAGTAGGCAAAGACCGCAGAGATAGCGGCAAGGGGCCAAGTGATGTAGATGATGACTCGAGAGGGCACGTAGCTGTCGGGGTCTTGCCCGGTAAGGGTGTAGCCCCAGTACCAAAGCGCCGAAACCCAGATTTGCTGGAGACCTTGCACGATACAAGCACGGAGAACCCAAACCTCTGTGGCGGCACCAGCTTCTTCACCAAAGTTGAGGCCGAAGAAGAGGAAACCAGCGGAAGAGGCAATGGCGTAGAGGTAGGTGGCGACTCGAGTAATGGTTTTTCGAGGCGCAAGGAAGACTCCGTGGATCGAAGGGAAACCGATGAGCAAGAAGGCGACAGCAAAGCTAGAATACTATCAGTATCATCAGACGTTGAAGTAGATCGGACTTACATGGCCCAAGGAAGACTCAGACAGAAGACGGAGGGCTTCATCCTGAAAAGAGTGTACCAAGCGACAGTGGCAACGGCAAAGATGGCACAGATGATGTAGAGATCCGTCTCCGTTTGCGTGTTGGAACCACCGAGCAAACTCAATTGGAAGGATGTCTGTATGGTATATCAGTATAAACACTTCTTTCTCAGTGAGACGACTCACAGCAGACAGCAATTGACCGAGAGAAATGATGATAGAGTATAGAGGCCATCCCGCGATCTGTCGACCGACAAAGATTTGCAGTCGAGTCATATGAGCCTCAGGCGGGTGACCCTCTTCGTACATCTCATGCCCAGCGCTGCCGGGTACGCCGCCGTAATGGCTTGCTCGATCTTCTTGACTGTGACCGGAATGAGACATGGGAGCTGAAGTATCAGAGTCCCGGTGCGGGACTGCTCGTTAGGTAAATGTCAAGACTAGTGTGATATGAAGAAGTACTTACATTCGGGACGGAAGCCTTCAATCATGCTAGGAGTACGAGACTGGATGAATGAATCACGAGATCGAATACTCATACCTAGGATACATTAGCAATGCTCTACACAAACGACGAAAATACTCACTAGCAATCTTGTCCTTCTTGACTTCATCGAAGAAGGCCTTTTCGCTCTTGATTAAGAACTTTTCGATACACAAGTCACCCTTGGAGTTGCCAGAGTTCAAGTCTCTCAACTTTTGCACAAAGCTCTGAGCAACTTCACCATCTGAATCGGTAAAGGTGTCCATGGCCTTGTTCAGCGGCGACGCGTTCTTCTCGTCCACAATAGAAGAGATAGAGTCGAAAGACGAAACACGCGAGTGGGCAGTGAACGGTCGAGTAGGGGCAAAGTTGGACTCCCCAGAAGCAGCAGAGGCAACGGAAGCACGTCGGTCAAAGTAGGGATCAGGAGCATTCTTGCCGCCAGTGTTCTTTGCGAATTGACGGTTGGCAGCAGCAAGGAAATTGTCGTAAGATTGAGCCACAGTAGAGTCCCGGTTGCCGCCAGCGGAACCGACAACAGTGCTGTCACCGTGATCAGAAGAACCAATTGACGAAGGCGCATCCTCCTCATCGTAACCAAAGAACTTGGGCTTGCCCTGAGACTTTCTCTTGTCACCGTTGTAGTAGAGAGGAGAAGCGTTGGGGTCTTCGTCATAGAAAGACTCGGCAGATTGTCGGTTGGCATTCTTGTCAAAGCGTTTGTGGTAGTCGGCACCAAGAGTGTTGTTGGAAGAGGCCATGGGAGCGTTGGGGTCAAAGTAGTTGGTCTGGCCGTCTGGGCCAAGAGGAGTCTGTCCGGGCATGGGAGAGTTTGGAGCAGTAGAGTCGGGAGTGTCAGACCTCGCCCACTCGCCTCGCGCCATAGAAGTAACAGAGCCGTTGTCGCCATTGGCGTAGAAGCCTTCCACGTTCTGGTCGACGTCAACCTGGTCCCAACCCCAAGCGTGCTCGCCAGCGCCACTTCGCGAAGCGACGATGGATCGACGTTGGAAGTCTTCGAGACGCTGACGCCACTCGACGACGGGGAAACGCTGAACGGCAGATCGAGCTCGGAGGATGGCACGCTCTTCCTGAGTAGATTTCAAGGCCAACTTGATAGTCTTTGTCAACTGAGAGAGCATGTGCACGGTAGCACTAGACTCGACGGGGAACCACTGTAGAATATGTCAGTCATGTTCCTGAACGGCCAGAAAAAAACTTACCCAACCAGGCATCAAACCAAGACCACCAAGACGAGCACCAACACCCAAAGCACCCTTTCTACCGAATTCGACAGCTACCAAACCGAAAGGCTCGTCTCGGGACGGAATAAGAGCAAAGTCGGCACCACTGAACAAGTAGGGAGGAAGAGAAGTAAACTCGGGCTTGGAGAAGACTCTGTCCGGGTACATCTCCATCAACCTCGCAAGCTTTTCGGCAGCAAATCGTCCGTAAAGATCAATGACGGGACCAACACAGATGAGTTGAATCTGAGGCTTCTTGTCGAGCAAGCTGGGCATGACATCGGCGATAAGGTCGACACCCTTCTGCTTGGACCAACGACCGACAAAGACAAACAAGTCCGCGTTGGGGTCTTGCTTGATACCAGCCCATTCTTGCGCCAATCGCTTGTCTTCAGGTCGCTTGGACTCGGCGTCTTGGTCGACGGTAATCTTGTCGACGGCAATAGGTTGCTCGTCGAGGGCGGCGATATCGGTAGGATCGGGGTTGGGAAGAGAGTCAATGTTTCGCAAAGTCCAGAGAGCAGGGTAACGAGCCCAAGACCTCTTGCCGTACTTGTCAGACACACCAGCAACACCAATAGACTTTTGGTGGTGCGAGATGAAGGAAGCACCGGCGTGAAGCAAGTTGAAAGTGTTACCGAACTGCACGTACTTGCTACAAACCTCCTTGGGGATGTTGAAAGCAGCGCAGACTTCCTTCATTTCGTCCTTGGTTCTCAAAGGCCAAAGACCCTGGAACTCGGCATTGTGCAAAGACAAACACGTAGGAATGACCTGAGGCAGGAGGTAGAGAGGAGCAAGAGCACCGTGGTAGTCGTTGATGTGGTAAATGTCGATGATGGGGTTTCGCCTAATGGCCTCGGCAATAGCCTGGTTCCAAGTAGAGTAGAAGATGGCAGACGACAAGTCGTCCATTCGCTGAGGGTAGGGATCGGCCTTGGTCTGAGCTCGGAAGACGGGAGAGTCGAGGATGATGTAGGTGATGTTGTCCAGCTTGTGGGTCTCGACCTCGATCAAGTATGGCTCGCCAAAGATGATGACCTCGATAGGCTCGGCATAGTCACCCTGGGGGTACTCGATATCCTGAACCTTGGGCACGACCCAGAACAAGTCGACATCCGTCATAGCCTTACCCATCAGGGAAGACATGACACCCAAACCACCAATCTTGACCTTCAGCTTCCAATCGATGATCTCGTACTCGAGAGTGGCAATCATGACCTTTCTACGCTTGTTGGGGTTTTCGGGCCAGCCAATAAGCTTGGCAGGGCCCTTACTGCTCTTCTCCGTCAAAGCCATGACACCACCCTTCTCGTTCACATCACCCTTCTTTTCACCATGACCGCCCACAATGGGGAAGTAGGAAGTCTCCTTGCCCGCCTTGGAGGGTTTGAGACCCCACCTGTTGACCTTGATAGAGTAGAAAGAGTATCGGAAGATGGCCGCGGCCGCAAAAGCGGTAAGCGCAGGGATGACGAGGAAGAGCGCAAAAGCGATAGCCGTAGTCGTCTGGTGACCAATAGGCTCAACGCTCCACTCGTGAGTGGCATCGTCGACCTTGATGTTCCACGCAAGATGAGGCGAAGGAGGAATAGACATGTTGAGATAGTTGGCAGTCTGAGAGTTGGGCGGGAATCGGTCAATGATACCATCCGAGTCGACATCACCATAAAAGTAATCGTCGTACGCCCAGATGTTGAGCTGGATGTACGCCGGCCA